TGGAACTGAAGTAAGATTATTTTGAGTTCATTGGATGGGATTGATTGATACATGTCCTGCTGATGATGGCGACAATAGTTTGGTTTGTGTCGTAGGTCAAGACAGTGGAAGAAGAGAACATCACACGCTGGGACCATGGAACCACAAACGGGATTTCAGACCCACACTGGCCTCCTGCAGTTCTAGTGGCAGTTTCCAGCACCAGTTCTAGGTGGAACTGAAAGACCAGCCACCGTTGTGCCAACTGGCTTCGTAGCACAAGGATGAATAAGAGGAAGATGGACAGGACACAGATGACAGAGTGGTAACACATGTGTAGGAGTTGTGGACAACGCGACTTTGACTTTCAGTCATCTTCCTTTAGGAAGGTTGGAAGAGATATAAATTTGCAATGGGAATCCTATTAAAATAGCTTTACGGTAAGTACTTTTGATAAAAAGCTTACTCAGAATCCCAAAAAAAGGTGAACTTTTCTTCTCTAAATGGGTTTAACATCCAAAATTAGCCGTGCAAGATCGATATTGGCCAGCTCTTAACCAGTTTCATAACTATCCAAGCCTGCCATGTATGCTTGAGCTGCTAATACCTGTGCACATCATAATTCGGTGAGTCCAAAAATAAGAGTCAGATCAAGTCAGATACACTTTGACAGAATCGGCAAGTTTTGCTATTCTCTGAATTGATCCCATCTCTAGTTTGTCCATTTTTATTTTTACTTCTTTTTGTGTCTCACATGGACTACACCAGAAACAATTAGGTTGACTTGCCATAGGGGCAAGTCAACCACTATCGCTCAATCGTGGAGGCATGAATGTATGTGTATATGTCAACCCGGACTTATATTCTAGACATGATATTTGAAAGTAAGATGCAATAATATGCGAGAGATACAGTTACATGTGCAACCCTGCATATGGCTGTAAAATTAACAAAAACATACTTAAGATTGTTCGGTAAATTGGCTTACGCTTGCAAGAGTCTAATATTTTGTCAACTCTGGCAGTATCGTAATTCTCATAACACGTCGAATATTTATTATTTTGACAGGGACACCTGCAGATGCATCCAGTTTATTCTTTTAATAACACCCACCAAATCATAGCTATCATTTATGCTTCTTTATCTTTGGAAAAACTTGTGGTTCCTGTTTGCAGCAGAAAATTTATTCATTTCTTGCTTGCCTTGAGAACTCCAAGTAGATCTATGCAGGATGCGTAGTGACTTTAATCCATTGTCAGAGCATGATTGTCGCGTGCATGGCCATCTGAGGGATATTACATTTTCTTCCGTGCAACATCACATCCATTGAAACCTGAGTGAACTTCTACAAAAACGGTAAGGAAATTAATGGTTGCAGATGGCAACAGGCTCATGCCAGGGACTGTGGCGGTGAAAGGTTTGAACCATGCGACTGCCATGGGAATAGCTCTTGGGGCTGAGTTCATTTTACTTACCACTGAGAATGAGACGTCTATAAGCATATGACGCTGATGGTGATGGGAGTCTTAGGTCAGGAAAGCATGTTTCCCTTGTTTCCTGTAAGCAGAGATATAATTTGGAATTGCCCAGTAGTTACATATGTTGCCTGTTAATGAACATATACTAGAGAACAAAGGTCCAGAAGACTTTTTTTTTTAGTGCCAGTTCCCAAGCGCGACAGGATACAATCTCTTTATTTAAACAAGCTTGCAGATGGGGATGGCTGCGTTTGTCTGATAACTTTCTGAGTGACATCAGGACTGGATGTTTTAATTATGCCTGGGATTGGAACTATTATAAACTTTTGTCTTGCCATAGAGAGATGAATGGGTGGTTGCTGTACCACCGTTAGCTTCAGACTGTGGCCTCGGCCTTTGCGTAGCCTGTGGTAAGCTCCTCCCCGGCTTCTCTGCGTCAGGTCTCCTTCTCATATATCCAGCAACTGTTCAACTGACGATGGGTTCGATTTCTGATGCCGGAGTCAAGATCCATTTGGTCCAAAGCCGTGCGAGATCTTCAGAAATTTTGAAGTCGCTCTTGACTGGTGCCTACTGTCCTCGGTTCCTGAGCTGCGGCTGCGGGGCTACGTGGTAAAATCTCGGCGGCAGTTTGGGAGTCCCTCCCCTGTTCCTCCTCGGATTCGTCCGCCCCTCCCCCACCTACTTGGCCCCCACCAGACGCGGAAGGATATCCCGCCACTAAAGTAAAATATGGTGAATCGGACTTCACCCGTTTTCTTCGTCGTGTAGCGCAGCACGAGAGCGCCTGCCTCGTGGGCCAAGCAGGACGAATTCTACCGCCCCGCTCTGCCCGCGCCTGCCTGCCACTCTGGTGCCCGGATGGTTACAATATTGGGTTGGTGGCTGTGCGGGCAGGCGGAAGGGGATGGAAGAACCTGGGAGAGGAGAAGAAACCGACGGGGTGAGTAGGCCGCACATGCCGGCGGGAGCTGAACGGCGCGGGGATGCCCATTCTCGGAGTTGGTGACCGGACGTTCCGCGCGGGCAGCTCGAGGGATAAAAACAAGTGCTTTTTTCTTTGCAGGGAAATGCATCAACACCTGTTAGGGGAAGGGCTGTTGGTAGAATGGAGTGACGCTGTTGGTGTTACCCTTCCCTTCCATTTGGAAGAACGGGGAGGAGGAGGAGGGGGGTAGCTTTGTAGAAAGAGTAGGGAGGGGGGGAAGGGTCTGGCTGGAGCAGTAAGTTGGTGGTGGTAAGAGTAAAAGGGGGCTGCCTACGGGGGAGGAACATGACAAGGTGACATAATGGGTGTCTTGGTCCGTCCGTCCCTCCCTCACCCTCGGTCATTAGAGAGGGACCGGCGGGGAGAAGGATGGAGAAAGGACTGTCGATGACAAGGGACGTTGGGCCACCCAAGCTCGCCAGTGGCCAGTCGTTGGGAGGCAGCTTTCATGGCGCTCTGACGTGAAGCGAGCGGGTGGGCACTAGCTAGTTTGATCCCCTTGCGAGTCGCTGTTTGTTTCTATGTCGAGATCTTGTCGTGGGCGGGTGCCGTCGGCGACAAATCCTCGCCGGCCCCCGCCGCGGGGCCGGGTGGATGGACGAATCTGCGCCTCTGGCGGAGATGGGATCCAGCACTGATAATACGATCGAAGGGAATAGGGGGCCCTCTGTTTCTGTTTTTCTCTTCTTTTTCTCTGATTCCCCTCTTTCTGCTTCAGTAATGGCAGAAATCTAAATGAGCTGTACACACTCTCTCTCTACACTCTCTCCCCCCTTCTCGCTGAATGAAAGAATAGGAAGGCGCCTGCAATATATTTTTCACCACCTCCCCTACCTGCCTCTCCTGCCCACCACCTTAGGCGGACGTTCGCGACAACATCAAGAGACCTGGATATTGGAGATGAGGGAAGTCTACATGCGAGGCCCATGACCGACCCAGACAGCACCAATCTATTTGTCGCCAGGACCTCCGGGAATTTCGCTCAATCATGAGTGAAACTCGGCTCCTCCGGCCACCATTTCTAGACTGGTGACTCGCTTCGAGCGGAAAGATAGAAGCCAGCTACGGCCTCCACCGAGCTTTAACTCAACAACCCAAGCTGGAAGAAGAGGGGAAGGGGAGAAGGAAATTGCTCGCCGGAGTATGAGGTGTTAGAATATAGAGCTTCATTGATTATCAAATCTCTGAAGGCAACTTCAGGGTTCTCCAATGAGCGGTCGGAGATGGAATTAGCAGCGTCAGCCCTTTTACGTCCTCCAGGATTGCGACCCGATCCGGAGGGAGAGAGAGGAGCTGTGGACAGACATACGTCCTCTTTTACCCCTGATTGGATCGGAAGGGAGAGACGGAAGAATCTGCGCTTTTTGCCAGAGAGGAAAAAGTTCCACTGGCCATGTCCGATAAATAACGCGGCGGGAGCTGCCGGGCATGTAAAGTCACCCGCTCATATGCTTTCGACGGGCGTGAAGTAGGCAGCCGTAGGCATCTCGAGTCCTCATGGAATGCGGTCGTCATGCTTCTCCGGTGGAGTCGCCCTTTTCCCCGGCGGTTCCGGCAAGAACCCCGTCGCCGGATATGCGGCCCCGCCGGACGCCTCTTCATCAGGGGAAAGCGATAAGGGGAGGGGATGAGAATTGCCTGAGGGCGGAGGACCAAACCAATCAAGACGAGGGCCCCCCCTCCATGTGATTAGAAAACAAATGCATAATATGAGGGGGGAGATTGCCGAGGGACCCATTAGCCGTGCTGAAGAAGGACGGAAGCGGAGAGAGAGAGAGAGAGAGGGAGTGAGACAGCCCGTAGGAGGGGGGAGACGAGAGAAAAGGTGCTCTGCTTCCTCTTTATATTAATCCGTGTTCTTTCTTCCGCTACAGCACTAGCCATTTATCCCGTGTTTTTCTCAGATGCATGTACATGTGTAAAGGCAAGAAAATGCAGAAAAAAAATGAAGGAAACAAGAAGAGTTCGGCCACCCACTTCGTCTTCTTCCCATCTCCAGTTCCCACCCGCACAACCCCCATACATAGCCATAATCTTCGTCCGGGTGCTCCGCTACTGGTCCTCCCTCCCTTTCTGGTCAAATCGGCCTGCAAGCTGCTCATCTGCTCCTCAGTCTATTCCTTGTTCCTGTGTTCTCTGTGTACTATTATGGTAGTGGTAGTAGTGGTGCTGGTAGTAGTACTAGTAGCCGTAGTAGTATCTATAGAGTAATACTATAATAGGTTGAGAGATGTATATAGGGTTGTATCTTCAATCTTCTAGCGGTCCCCCTGCTGAGATGATGACGGGCTTCGTCGTGCAGTCGCTTACCCTAAATGGCTCCTCTCCTAAAAGCTAATCCTAAACATTTGGCTCCTGTCACCTTTTCCCTCCTCGCTCTCCCTCATATCCTCTCTCTTTCCTACCCTTTACTTTCTCCCCTTTTGCTTTTGATAGCCAAGCAGCTGGAGGAAGTGAAGACGATGCCATAACGGAGGAAGGCTTCTCTTCTCCCTCCTCCCCGTCGCCGGCAGGGCGGGCTTCCCCTCCGCAACCCGACCCCTGCCGAGCTCTCCTCACAGCCCCACTGCCCCATGGCCGGACGAGAACCTGCCGGAGAAATTATCCAACATTCATCAAAGAGTTGCATATAAAAGAAGGGTACTTACTGAGAGAGAGAAAGAGAGAGAGAGGGGGGAGAAGGGATAACTCACCTGGGGATGGGGAAGAAGCAGGAGTTGAAGGAAGCCATGTCCAGGGTGGAGGATGGGGCCAGCAGCGAGGAAGTGATGAGGTGGCCGTTGTTATTGCTACCGTTGCTGAGGCAGCCGTCGACGTTATTGTTAGGGGAGCCGGCGGCGGGGGAGGTTGCCTCCGCCGCCTCGGAGTTGACGGAGAACGCGTTCCCGGCGAAGGAGCATTTGGTGGGCGACGCGAAAGGGCTGTCCGGAAGGTTGTGCTCCGCACTGCCGGCGAAACCGAGGTCAGCCATACCATGGCCAATCTTAGCAAGTAAACTCGAGCGTTGACGAAAACAGGAGGAAGCAAAGCCGCTGACTTTAAACTAGCCATCTCCCTCGTTTGCCTCGACTGCATTTAAAGCAGCTGCGCGGCGAGGAAGGCGAGAGAGGGATCGAGAGCCGGATAAAAACCGTCCTGGCATAAAATTTTATGCTTGTACTTTAATTTACCTTTCTTGGATCGCCACGAGCGGGATCCTCCTTGTCAGCTCCATCGCCGGTGTTGACTGCCGACTGCGGGAGGAACGCGTGGGTGTTAATCTTCTCAGCCGCTGCAGCAGCAACAGCGGCGGCTGCAGCGCCAGTCGATCCAGCGACAGTGGTGGTTGCTGCATTAAACAGCGGTGGCAGCAGGATTGAGACACTTGCCCGCGAGAGGGAAATCTTTTCACTCTCACACAAGCCTACTATTACTAAGAGCCCCCTAGCGAAGAAGGGAGCTTAGCTAATCATAGAAACGATCCTCCTCTCTCGCTACAGTAATACCTTCAGGTGGTGACAGCAGCTCCTCGGTGCTGCTACCGCCGCTGCTGCTACTGCTGCCCTCCGGGGCTGCATTGGGCGATGAAAGATTGGCATTGGGACTGGAGACGGCGGTGGTGGGGGAGTAGGTGTTGATTGGAACGGGCGACGGAAGCGACGACGTAACGGGCACGGCGGGCGATGAAAGATTCCTCGCCTTGAGGTCGAGCAGCTGGAGCCCCATGATCCGCCGCCGTTGCAGCTCAATTGCCTGCTGGAGCTCCGCCGCCTGCTGCTGCTCCTCTAGCTTCTTCCTCAGCAGCGCCTCCTGGCTGCTGTTATACAGCATGCTCGCGCCTGCAACTCACTCACGTAAAAAAGATGGACGCGCAATGTTGAAAACACGGTAGTAACAATGCATGCGGATGGCCACGGTCATGAAGATGACGGAGAGCTCACCGAGTAGCTGAAGGTCGTAAGGGTCCTTGGAATCTAGCCCGGTAGGAGTTGTGCAGCCGGAGAACACGCCCCTCTCTGCGTGCTGTTGTTGTTGCTGCTGTTGCTTCCTGCGCAAGGAAAACAGTAATCTGCTTAATCAATGGAACACAGTAGAGAGAGAGAGAGAATGGGGGGGGCAGTTCTGGGAGGAAGAGAGAGGGTGGAATGGAAGACGGAGGTAGGAGTGCCTGTACTTGTCGGGGACTTTTCCCTTCTCCTTGTAGGGTTTGACGAGGACGCGGGCATCGCAGACAAAGTGGGGGTTCCCCTTGGCCAGAATCAGCTTCACCGTCTCCGGGTAAACGAAGGTCACAAATCCAAACATCCGCTTCTGCTGGTACGGAATCCTCACGTCCTGGACTGGTCCGTAGATGCTTCACGGTGGCAACGAACAACAGGAACAGAGATGATGAGCAGGGAGAAGGAAGATACGTTTCGTCAGAGGGGAAAGAGCCTCTGATCGAGAGCCCAAACCTGAAGTAGTTGGCGACGTCCTCCTCTCTGAAAGTGCTGTCGGCCGGGAAGGTCAAGTAAATCTGCCGAGAGCCCGGATTCACCGCCCCTGCGTAGTCACCTCTCTCTAGCCTAGATCTCCCAAACTTATGCGGCTCCTCCCCTCCTAGCGAGAGAGCCGCCGCCGCCGCCGCCGCCGTCACTGCAGCAACCCTGCCGAAGAGAACCCGTGATGATATATTAATATTCCGGGGAAAGGACGACGAGGGTAGTGAATGAGAGAGTAGGCGACCTTTGGCTTTCATTCTGCTGCTGCTGCAGAAAGTTCATGCATTTGCCAGAAGATGGCGACTGGGCAGACGGCGAATAGGGAAAGGAGGCCGCCGCCGCCATGAGTTGAGATGCGGCGCCGAGCCTTGGGCTCTTGGACCTTAACAGAAGCTCGTGGAACTGCTGCTCCATCGCGGCATCCATCTTGCTGCTGGCCAGGGCGGCGGCAGCGGCGGCGGTCGCGTCGTCGGGTAAACCGTGCAGGAACCTGCAGCTGCTCCCGTTCTTGCAGTAGCCCCTGGCAAAGTACAGGCATGGCCTCCACCCCAAATCTGCCCCAGTTTCTGAGCTTAAGCACCGGTCTGCGGCGGAGAGGCTCCTCCGGTGGTGGTTGCTATTGATGCCCCAGTTGTTCATCCCAGCGTAGGGGAAGAGCATGGCTTCGCCGTTGCTGCTGGGGCTCCGGCAGTCCCCGACCATGTCGGGATAGAACAGGTCGCCGTTGCTCTTTGGGCCGCCGATCTGGAGGGCGTGGATAGAGTTGGGAGACGAGGCAGCGGCAGTGGGGTCGTTGAGGAAGGAGAACTGGTCTTGGAGCTGGAACTCCTCGATGAGATCGCCTCCGAAGAAGGGGGAAGGGGAGGAAGAGGACGACGGCGAGGGCACGGGCATACTCACGCCGTAGGACGAATTGGGGCTGATTAGGTCGTCCGTGCTCTGCAGGTCCTCGACAGCCCCGCTGTTCCCGTTACTACTGCTGCGAGAGAAGACCGGCGGCGGAGCCCACGAAGACGGTGATGGTAGCCCGCTGCCGCCGCCGCCGCCGCCGCCGCCGAGGAGGCGAGAAGATGAGTTCTGACGGCCGAGGAGAAACGGTGACGGAGATGGGGAGGACGGAGTAGATGGGGCGGACGGTGGGAGGAGACCGAGGTCCTTCCTAGCCTTGAAGACGACCGAGTGAAGGAGAGCTTCGGGGCCGAAGGCGAGGCGTATCATCTCCTTCTCGCCATGGTCCTGGATGAGGAGAAGACCCATGATCTTGGAGGCATTCTCCGGGTCCAAGCTCTGGATCCTTGAGAGCACTATTCTCGTGGCCTCGTAGGCGTCCATGGCGAGTGGGTAGTGGTGAGAGGAGGAAGAGGAGGAACAGAAAGCAGCTCCCCCCTTCCCCCGACTTTTCTCCTCCGCCTACTCTTTCCCTTCCCCTGTTATCCCTCGAACTGCCGGTCGCAGCTGCGAGCAGCTGTGAAAAGGACGAATGGGGGGGAAAGAAGACAGAAAAGAGAAAGAGGCTGGGGGAAAGGAGGCAAGGAGAGAGAGAAGAACCGAGCTACAGTATTCCCGTGTGGAAGTAAAAAGGGTAGACGGAGGATAGATTGATCTTACGGCGGCCACTGGCTGCCACGGGTAGAGAGAATGAGGGTGGGGGGCAAACCCAGATGAGAGCAATCGAAGAGTGAGGACCTCAAGTCAAATCCTCCTCATCCCACCCTGCTATCGAAGAAAAGATGCAGCATTTGTGCCTCTCCTCGTTCGTGAGGGAGGGGGGCCTGCTCGCTCACCCCTCCTTTCTTCGTCTCAGTTTTTCTTTCCACCCCCCCCCCGTTTGCTTTTCAGGGTTCACCGCCACAGTAGAACCCCCTCGCCCTTTCCCTCCCCCTTTTTCTGCATCACTGCCCAATAACTGACCGACTCCATTTCCCAGGTGGGCGATGGGCAGGGAGGGAGGCGTAAGACCCGTCACCACTCCCAACCTTCTCCACCACCACCTCCGCGCCCCACCCTGCTCCGCCCACCGCCGTCGTCAACTCCCCGCCGCTCTCTCCTCGAACGAGGGGGACTCTCGGCGTGACGGCTCCGTAATGGCGTCCCTCCCCCCTCTCGGAGTCGTTCACTCTCTCCCGACGCAAGCAGACAGGGGAGAGAAAGATTTGTAATCGATAGATCTGGATGTGCTAAAATAGACTGCGTGCCCTTCGTCCCTCTCATCTGCGCCTATCCTCCAAGCGAACCAGTGGACTGGCGCTCTATCCTCCCATCTGTCTCTCTCTCTCTCTCTCTCACTCACTCACTCTCTCTACCCTTCGGGTCAATGAAAGACCAGACGAGCAACCAATCTAGGGCGCCGGTAACGCTAAATTCCCAGCGAGTCGTCAGCTCGGCGCCGTGAGCCAGGGGGCTCCACCAGGGTCGATGTCGCTGTTGCCGCTGTTCCCTTCTTGTTCTTGCTCTTGTCGTCGTCGTCGTCCCCGCCCCGTCCCCGTCCATCGCGGCGAATGATGATGATACCCACGCCATGCATAACATGACCCACACCCAACTCATCGTAATCCCCCCCCCCCACCATCATCTTCTCCGTTCATATTCTAATCAACCCGTCTCCTCCTCATAAGAATTATAGCCGCCATCTGAGACGGGTTAGCCAACTGGACGACCCCCCCCCCTCCCCCATCACCCTCCAAAGCATCATAATGGGCACTGGATTCGTATGTCAGGCGTCTGGATCTCTCCCACTCTCTCTCTCTCTCTCTTTCACGTTCAGGCAACGGGGCCGGCGCCAACGCTATTCAATCTTACAGTGGGCCAGAGGGGGAGGGTAATTACACCGGTGAGAGATGGGGCGGCTCTAGGCCCTTGGATCTGCCTCGTGTGGGTCCAAGGGGCTCGGCGGATGGCGACGGCTCGGCTCTAAAGCGTGGTGCGCCCTTGGTGCCAGATCCCCACATGGGGAGTGTGGTCACCACTCCTCCCCCGTCATGTGCCCCTCCCTGCCTCGACTCAATCAGATGTCTGAAAATAATCCCCCCTCTCTCTCTCTCTCTTTCTCTCTCTCTTATTTAGTCCCCGCCCGCAGCTTGGTCTCTATTCCAGATAAGGTTTCCGGGGTGGCAGCTGGCCGCCTAAGCGAGGCTTGGAGGTGACGACATCCGGGGCTCGACCAGGTGTCGTAGCCATCACAGTGGTGGGGGTCTCCTCCCTGCCTTCCCCCTTCCCCTCTCCACTGTCCGACACGGTTCCCCCCTGCCCGTCTTCCCCCCTTCGTTCACAGCAGGATGACCATCTCCCTCCCACTCACCCTCACCCTCTCTGCCAACTCACGAAACTCCGATCTGACGAGGTTGAAGACGACGGCCATCCGCAGAAATATACTAAAATACCGTTCATTTCATGTAGACATATAATACCCACGATGGCTCGAGTGATCCAAGAAGAAGCGGCGGAAGAAAGCGACAGTGAGAGAGCCTCCACAGCCACCAACAAAGGATGCAAGGGGGAGCAGTCGCCCCTCTCCTCCTCTCTCCCAGCCTCGTCTTCAGGAACCGATCTGCCTTTCATCATTTCCCCTAAAGCTGTCACTGCTGAACTCTTGTAACAAAAACATCATCGGGCTGGCGTCTCAGAGCGAAGAGGATGCTGTTATGTTTCTACTTCTCCGGGTCTATCGAGCTTCCGCAGTCCGGAGCAGGAGTCGAGAGTGGGCAAATCCCATCTCCGTACTTCGGGGGCCCTTTGTTTCTAATTAATGCGAAGATGTTCTTCGTCTCATATGATAACATATTGAGCTCTCATTTAAAAACGAATAAAATAAAAAACAATTTTTTCGAGTCTCGTGGGCGCTGGTGGGGTAAAGACGGCTGCCTGACGCTCGATCTATTGGTCGGATTTTGATCAACCTTCGGAGGATGAATCTCTCTCGTGTTTTTCTTCGGCAACCGGACAGACGCCCAATCGATTGGTTGGATTATTGATGGCGTCCTTCTCTGAAAGAGACCTCCGATTGAATTCTCGTCGAGGCCCGCCGTGGAGGGGGGCCGGGAGCACGTAATAAAGGATCGGCCTTGTGAAGCTACCAACTGAGCTGGATCGGGAGGAACTCTGAGCCTCGTGTCAACCGAATGGGCAGCCAGCGGAGACAAGGGCCGGTCGAGTGGAGCCCACCCATCCGACGAGGCCAAGAAATGTCTCTATTGGGCCCGCCGGGCCCAGGAACCGACCAATCGTTTTTATTGGACCTGGGCCATTGTGGATGCTTGTGGGACCCCGGTCTCGAGAGCAGATTCCAAGCGCCTACTCGCCCTCGCAGACGGGATCGACCCGTGCCACCTTGGCCAGTTGACCACGCGGGCGAGCCACGTGGCTTCCCACTCGGACCCCGGCTGTTGACGGGCATCTTCAAGATTTTGACAATACCTGCCCGTCCTCCCGCACAAAGAAGCCCCTTTCGGATAAATTCAGCTGCGTAATTACCCGATTTCTGTTTTATATGCTCGTCGTGTCCTATCCAATACGTGGAGCTCTTCAACAAGGGGAGCATTCATTTGTTTGTCATCCATGCAGAGTCCTCGTCAGCGTGAGAGAGAGAGAGAGGGAGAGAGAGAGAGAGAGAGAGGGGGGGAGGAGGCTACGGTGTAAGCGAGTGAACAGTCAAAGCCCCTCTATGATTGGCCTCCCCTAATTGGGGCGTGCGGAAGGGGAAACATATTGTGATGGCATCGTTTCGTAAATTAGAGAGGGCGGGTGGGCACAGAGACGGGCACCGCTGTTCCTGCGGGACACGAGGGGCTGCGCAGATCGCACATGAAGGGGTGGGTCTTCCGCCCCACAGCATCGCCGTCCCCAACCTCGGTCTCTGCTGGTGTTCAGATCCCATGTGAGCCCCGTCAGCTCACCCTGTGGCTCTCGTCACCCCCTCTCTCTCTCTCTCTCTAGAAATTCATGGGGTTGTTGAGAATCGGCGCTCCAGGGGAGGGATAATCGGTCAAGCTGATGCTCGCTCGCCGGAGGGAGTCACCCGCGTTGAATTGAGGTCAGAGGTCGGATCGGGAGCCGCTCAGAGCCCCACGAGTCGAGCCTGGAGCACGGAGGTGTTTGACGTAATGCCACAGACAAGGGGTGGAATGACGCCTTCTCTGCTTTGGCAGGAACATTCGGGTAATTACTGTAGGAAAGAGCATTGCACGAGAGGCGAAAGCCTGGAGGCTTGGAGGAGAAGGGGGAGGCACAGGGTCAATGTGCCAGGCGCATCAGGCCAATCCCCCCATGTGGGAATCTGCAAGATAATATTTTACTCTCATATTTCGCCAGAACAGAGGGAGAGAGAGAGAGAGAGAGAGAGAGAGAGGGTAGAGGCAGATGGAAGGGAAAAGGGGCACGAGACAACTCATATCTCTTCTCTCTATCTACATCCCACCTCCGCCCTTCACGGTGTGCCTTAACAGGATGTGACCACGCGCTGCCGCATCTGTCTCCCCTCGAACGCATTCGCCATTCAAAATCCAGACACCTTTTTTTATTATTATTTTTATGCGCCGTTTCTTTTACTTTCCCTTTCCCAAAAGCTTGCGAAATTTCTTTAGCTTGCCTGCCATCAGACCCTTCACTGTTCTTCAACGTGCTTCCATGTGTTCTCCTGCATCCCCCTCTTCCCCGGGATCCACAATTGTATTCATCACCCAACCAAACCCTGCAATAGGAGCCCAAAATAATCAGACACCCCCTCCTAGTCCCTAGTTAGAGAGAGAGAGGGAGAGGGAGAGGCCCCGAAATGAGATGGGGCCCGTAATCTCGTACATCCGTAAGGACGCCCCGCTCGTTGGAGGGCTCTGACGTGCGGGATCTTCGGGTACCCCTCACGCACACATCACCATATCTTCTGCTGATTATTGACATAATCATCGCCCTAGTAAAGTAAAGCCCTTTAAACAAATGATTACGTGCCGCACTCGCACTCGCACACGCTTTTGGGTTTTTTAAAGCGCCGAGGCCCCCGTTGGTCGCCTGCAGCCTTCGACTGCCACTTCGAGGAGGAAGCCGGGTGAAGGAAAATGATCGACGGGTCTGACGATCTCCACCCCCCCGCTGCGCGGTCGCCCATCCCCATCTCTTCCCCTTCAGAGGGAACCCTGTCCATTGGTAGCTAGCCGGGCAATCTTTTGGTGCCCTCACCATAAGAGTTACCAAGCAGAGTTCTTCGGTAAATATAATAATAATAATATAAAAAAAAGAGCGCAAAGAGTCCACGGATATCGACTTGAAGAGTCATTTTTTTCTGGATTAAAATAATCCAGAAACGAGACAAAGTTTTATCAAGAAAAACCCAGGAAGATCCAAGATCTGCAAGGCCTGCCCCTGAACGGGGGAAGGGGCAGCCTTTCCGCAGGGGGCAGAGCGAAGAACAGCGGTAAAGCCCACTGCCATAAAGACAGCCACAAGCACAGAAATTTTTGGGCGCCCTCACGTAATAGGAAGCCAATTTCCCTTTCACGGGGACACAGCCGTGGCCTTCTCCTCTGTCAATGACGATCCCATCTTCCCACAGCAGTAACGGGGAACCATGGATGTAACAGACCTGCTGCTAGGACTCCGGCAAAGCTCCCTTTTGAACTGCTGATGAGAACTGGCGCATTGATGCCCCCAACCCCCCTTTTGAATGGCTTCCTTATCACTGCCATGGCAGAGCTCCCGACATCTCCAGTCGCCGCTGCGTTACTGCTCTGCAAATGATCCAGCTCCAAATGACCTCACCGCAGTATATGCAAATGAGATGATGGCGCCTCAGTTTCAAAAAGAAGCCTGTCTCTGACGCTTGTAAATCTCTGACTAGCTGATAAACCCATGCGTGGCATCAAGAACAGCACTTTATTTTGCCTTCAAAGAGATCAAATCAATCTTCCCCGGGTCTGATGCATGGAATCAAAAGGGCCCTGTAGCTGTATCCATTCTAACCCTGAGAGAGCCAAATCTCCGAAGAAGCGCTTCCCTACGGCAAGGCAGTCTTGGTTTCCCTAAAATAAAAATATGCACACAGGAAGGATTCCCCGAAATGATGGGCTTGTTCGATGTCCAATAAGGGCCCATCTTAGGGAGATGGGCTGATCAGAGCTGCAGGGCCCATATGAAGTGGGCCAGTCTACGTCGGAATGCTTCACACTAGTGTCCAGGATTGGCCCATCCTTACAACCCACACCACACATTAGCAATCTTCTTTGCCTCTGCAAAACATCAAATGCGCTCACCTACATACTCCTGTTAAAAAAATGTTGGTAGAAGGGCTGAGTCGGATCCGTTGACCAATTGGCTTCCAAATGGGCCGCTGAAGGTTTGGAAGATCCGGCGCATATTACTATAAAAGGGGGGGGGGGGGGATTTGAGCTTACCTACCACTCAGGACCTTTATCGTGACCTAAGTTCCGCAGACAATTCATTATGTGGTACTCATGAACGGAGAAACCATGTTGGCTATTACATAATTTCATGCACAAGAAGAGGAACCCTTAGGGTTCGACCGAGTTCACTTCATGATGGAAACAGTTGGAATAAACATACATTTGCACAATTTACTAAGTATAAGTCGAGAAAGAAGAGGGGGGAGGGGAAGTTTTAGAACAGTATTTATGCCTTATTAAGCAAATTATTTTACGTAAGAGATCAGAAATCAGAGTTTACCAATCCAGAATGTACCCAGGACAACCTTTGATCTGATCAACTAAGCATGCTGGATATCTATATATATATATATTATATATATATATATATTATATATATATATATAGATATCTGCACGGATAGACTCAGTGGTTTGATTCCAAGATCATGATTCATTCGTCATAGTCTGAGAGTGCTTTCCAAAAGGAAAGCAGGATTGATCCACGCTCTTGTTCCAAGAATCATCATGCTGAACATTTATTGAAAGATCGCATCAGTAAATTTACGAGGGATTAGGAATATAACAATTGCATTGAAATGGGGAAATCCGCATTGTACAGTATGAAGGAAAGAATAATCGCTGTAACTAACTGGATTTACACTGCGTATGCATCCATCATAACTGGCTTAAATTTGTAATTTGACTCATATGAAGAGGGAAAAAAGAAAATACAGTGGATAAATAAGGGGTCCAACACTTGAGATACCATATGAAATGGTTGGATGATGAAAAACCAAGATGATTATCAATCACATTCAAGTGGTCCATGTCTACATTTAAGAACTACAGAACGAAGTCGACTTAGCAAGGTTTCTTGGATCAGTGACAGAACATGAGGAAAATAACACTACTACAAGGGATTGGACAAAGTATTGAGCATTTTATAGGTATTTAATCATCAAATTCTCAACTTTACTTTTACTCTCTTCCACCAAAAAAAAAAGAGACCCAGCACAAGTTGGGCGTTTCAGGTGATGTGAAGATTGCGATTTGGCTCGACCAAGGTTAGCAAATCTGATGACAACAAAGGACAACTAAATGACAGAAGAGGCCCAAGGATGTACGCTAATTAAACCGCTAGAATCTGTGATCGGGTGAAATTGATTATTCAGTTTCTTATTCTAGAAAAAAAAAGTCCAGTAAAAATAAAAAGGATAAGGATACGAGGAGTCATTAAAACCGAAAACTTCAACACATTCCTTCTGCCAGACGAAATGAAGGATGTTGACTCCTCTTCAGGGAAAGTCCTCATAGGGAATAAGTAAAAATGCTCACGTCAGACATTTTTCTTCTCCATTTTTATCCAAAATAATATGATTCACCCGATATCTGGTCTTCCAGAGTTCACAACCAACCTTTGACCCATAGTGAACAAACAGCCTTTCAGGACTTTGACGCACTTGAAATTGGATAGTTTATTTACGATTATCATAAATTTAAGGAAAAATTCTCATTCGTTCTGCAGAGAATAGACCGAAATAATAGAAGTCAAATCACAGGAGTCGGAGGACAATATATTCCATGCTTGGGTTTTAACCCAAGAATGAAAGCGAATTACTCTCGTAGGATCCATTAATTACATGTGGGCTCCTAAGCAGGCATCAGGATGTCTGTCCAAAGAACCCTATCTAGGGTCTGTACGGGCTAGAAAGGTTTATATTCAGAGAAACCTAGTCGGGGTTTTGGATACCAAATTTCTCTCAATGACAACTATATATGGCACAACGTAAACCTCTGTTAGAGCAAGACGCCCATAGCATATTACCGCCATTTCGACCACCAGATGATTTCAGGTATACAGCCTCAGGTTCCAGAGTGATGTTAACCTCTACCATAGTATAACACAGTCATCCCTCCCATAACAACCGATGCTAATTCTGACTCTTCAAATAGAGGCTCAGCTCATGTCGTAGACACGATAAATAGTAAAATAAAATCTGGGGGTCAACATACAAGAAATAATATGCATTTCAGCAGGATATGATCATCAACCAATACGTAGAACCAAGTCGTATAAACAGGAAAACACAAACCGTTTCAGTTTGATTGGCCAGTCCAAAAGAAAAAAAAAAAGAGTCCATGTTTAACAGATGCCCACCTCGAACACTTGATAAAATGGGTCATGATTGAAAACAGGCAAAATTAGGCCACGTCAAGGTTAATTTTTCAGAATCAGATTTATTGGCAATGGCATCTATTACTAAAGTGAAAGAAGTTTTTGTTTTGATTTCATTCTCGAAGTAGATAGGACGATGTAATCTTAAAATATACAAAAGAGAGTATACACAAGTGTTTCCTCTGTCAGCTCTCAAAACCCCATCTGGACATCTATTGTTCCTTACAGCAACATGGTCTGTGCTAAACCAAACACCAAAACTGTCACCTTCCCCATTACACAGGGATCTCACTCACCACTTTATCTCATAAAAAGCCCCAGAAAATCTTTTAGAGTTGTCTCATAGTCCAGTACACTTGTTTCTCTCAGCATAAGCCACTCAAATGCTCCAATCCATATCCGCATCCAGTCCCCGTTATCACCAAGCGGAAGTTCACGTTCAAGTTTTTTTTTTTTTTTTTTTTAAACATTGACGCATAGTAGATGTCTTTCTTAAGAAACCTTGATTTAGAATTCTCCACTTACATTTCTCAACGTAACAGATGCTCTATTTTCATTGAATAAAATACTATATATAATGAATGTGAGACTCTCTCTCTCTCTCTATATATATAAATATGTATATGTATATATATATATATATAAATATATATATATCTCCCTCCTTCCCTCCATCTAAAGTGCCACTGTGGTATTGTTAAGAAAAAAATTCCAACTATTAAAGATCAAATAACTGTGGCATTTCTAATTGATGGAAAACGGTTCGAAGCCATCATGCAGTTTCTTTCTAATGGAACATAATCTAAAGATTACAAAACGGAAATTATTACTAGGTAGGCAAACTTGGAGAGAGTGTTTTTGTAGCAGAAATTTCGAAACACTTGAAACTATCTGTGTTTTTTAGGCAGCATAGGGGAAGTGATGTACCTCACAACCTAAATCCATCAGCTAAACTCAGATGAATCACTCTCAAGGGTGGTTGTGGAGAGGACATATATGGTCTAAATTGAAGCGTCAACATGTAGCACCCAGGTCAATAGGTTTGATGTCAGCATAATTATTATCAACGCTTGCAGATGTTACAGGTCTTCTCCATCAATCTTCTGATGGAATGTTGGAGATAAAGGAATCATAAAAATAGAAAGGAATTTCTTTCTTAAGGCATATTCAATCCATTCGGACTATTTTCTACAGCTTGCGAAATATGGGAAGTTTCAAAAATATGTAGTTGATAGATGAAGCAGGTTCACGGGAAAAGCAGTGACCAAGCAGTAAGTAAACGTTTCGCGGGCCATGAACATTATAAGCCTATAGACAATAAGAAATTAATAATTCTCACAAGTTATAAAATGAAAGTAGCAAACAACAAAAAAAGTTCCACAATTAAATACTGGTTAGTGGTGAAACCTAAACTAGACGATCAAAAAATAAAAGGTGCGACGAAATTGATCACTTACCCCAACTGAAGTTGTGGTAAGAGTTCACCTCCTTGTTCTCATTTATTTTCACCCCATAAAACTCATTGCTGTTAGTGCTTTGATACCATGATTGTTCGTTATAATTAACATTGTCCAAGGATTGCTCGTGAAATTTACCTCCATAGGCCTGAACCTCTTCTGGCTGGGGTCTCTCATGGCTATCAAAGAAGCCAAATAAATCCAGATTCTGAAGCCAGACATTCTTAGCTGACTCATGTTGAACGGAGTGGGGTTGCTCATGGCGGTACCTTTCGAAGGCATGTGTATATTCTGATCGTGGATACACCGGTTCAGGACTGTCTTCATGGTAAGTAGGAGACTCAGCATACGCAGTCTCAGAATGAGACCACTGATAGGAGTCTCCTCCATAGCCGGATGAATCTAGGGGATACGGGCAGACTTCCTTCTGGTAGGCATCATCGCAACTGGGCTTCTCATAACTCAAAGCCTCAGGAGGACTGAGATGAATTAATAGGGATTCCTGGGGTTGGTGCCTTTCGTATGCATAACTAAGATTACCACAGTTATAGCGCTCTTCCCTTTTTTCTCCATATGTGGGGAAAAAACCAAATAGGCTTTCCTCCTGGAAATCCTCGTCGTAACAAGGTTTTTCATAGCTCAAAGCCTCATGAGAACTGGACCGAACTAAGAGGGCCTCCTGGGATTGCTGTGTTTCGTATCCATAACTAATATTGCCATAACTATTGCTCTCGTCTCGTTTTCCTCCATATGCGTGGAAAAAACCAAATAAGCCTTCCTCCTGGTGATCCTCGTGGTAACAAGGGCTTCCATAACGCAAAGCGTCAGGAGAGCTGGACCGAAATAAGAGGCCATTCTGGGGCTGTTGACTTTCGTATGCGTAATTGAGATTGCCATAGTTATGACTCTCGTCCCTTTTTTCTTCGTACTCGTGGGAAAAACCAAATAGCCCTTCCTCCTGGTAATCCTCGCGGTAACAAAGCTTTTCATAACTCAAAGCCTCGTGATGACTGGACTGAATTAAGAGGGCCTCCTGGGGTTGATGCCTTTCATACGCATAATTCAGATTGGCATAGTTATGGCTCTCGTCCCTTTTTTCTCCGTATGTGTGCAAATAAGCAAATAGGTAATCCACAGCCCAGTTCAGCGGATTCTGATCCCTCGCCTTTCTTCCTGCACGCCTCTCTTCGAATGGAGCGGAGACAGGCCGATAACCAGACGTATCCGAGTAAGGCTCAGGATCGCGAGGACGAAAATCGCGCGCAGGACCATCAAAGTCCTTAATGCCATACGCACCAGGGTAATCCTCATCGCTCTGCTTCTCCTCATCGCCTCGGCGGTCAGAAGAATCACGTCGCTCCGCTACGTCAGACGGGGGCGGGGGCTCCGACACAGGCGAGGACGCCGAAGACGAGATCGGGTAGCAGATCGCCGAGCTCGGCGGGAGGGGCTGACCGTACGTGAACCCGATGTCGTAGCCTCCTTGATAAGGGTGCGGGTTGAACTCAACAAAACACTCCCCGTTGAAGTCCGAGTCCGACGACGCCATCGTCCCCGAGAGTCCACCAGCAGCGGCGCTGACGAGAGGAGATCCGAGCGGACTCCTGCATCTAATCCGCGCATATGAATCCTCTCTTCCTCGCCCCTACCTTCCACGGCCAGCGCACGCGATCAATCTATTGATTCTGACCGGAGCGCAGGTCCACCAGTGACCTCCCTGTCGGTGGCGTGTGAGGCAGCCCAGCGAGAGAACGTCCACATCGCTAAAATCTCCGGGAAAGAGGAGCAGACGACGACGTGTCTGTTGACCGGTTCACGCGCGCAGTAGTAAGCGACTTCCGCGTCTCCTAGAAACTAACAGCTCGCGTCCATATACAGTACAATCGAATATAATAATGTTTTCCTCATAGCATCGCCATCCTTCTCTAATACGATGCACATAAGGACAATTATAGTACTAATAACAATAACGACCTTGGGCAGTGGTCGCGCGAGCCAGCTGTTGGTTTTTGGCCATCTCCACTGGGCTTCCGATTTCGTCGGGGATCTCCCCGCTCACCTTCTCTTTTTCCGCGCGGCGGACCCGACCGGAGTTCCGTTGGCCGGTGGCGGGAGACCTGCCTGCCGGAGAGGGTGTCGCCGTCGTGGAGTTTTGCCTCGGCCGTTCATACCAGGGGGCAAAAACCGGCGACTTCTTCTTCTTCTCGTCAGATCGGCATTATCTTCCCCGATCTAGAACACTGAGGATAAGCTGGAGCCCATTCAGGAATCGTCGCAGTCCCTGAAGGCTGCCCCGCCCAACGGTCAGATCCGGTACAGATCGCCATCGTCTGCGGAGCTCGAGGGCCAGGTCGCGGCGTCGGCCGACCTCGAGGCCAAGATGAAGAGGGCGAGGCAGGATCCCCTCCCGGAAAAGATCAGGCGCTTGCGGGGCGTTATCATGGTCATCTGTATTCCCATCCTCCTCGTTTCGTTCGTCTTCTTCCTGATGCCTCGCAGCGGGTTCTCGGCCGATGGGAGTGGAAACCTCCTCATCGGCAGGAAGACAGTGCCTGGCGGGGAGTCCGTGAAATACGCCGTGATCTTTGACGCCGGGAGTTCCGGCAGCAGGGTTCATGTGTTCTGTTTCGACAAAAATTTACACATCCAGCCTATTGGGAAAGAACTCGAGCTCTTTGTGCAGGTGATTCTTATGTAGATATTCTCAAGACCCCTTCTCAAATATTCGCTCTCCATCGTATTTCCTGCATTTTTCCAGTCAATTGTTTCCTGGATTTTTGTTTTAAACCCTTCTTCGTTCTAAAATGTTTTCTACATCGCATTGTATTCTAGATTCGTAACCGAGCCCCAGTGTCTGTTTCGTAATTATCGAAGGCAGGGCCCTTGTTCCATTTAAAGTTTCGGTGGTATGATTACCTTTTCTATTTGATTGAGACATCTTGGATACTCCTCGTTGAACTGAAATAAGATATCATTTAATTGATACAAAATGTGGTTCATCATCTGCAAGCTTCAATGCATACACCACAACGGTAAGAGCATAACATATATCAGAATTCTTGTTTCTGTATCGATTTTTTCTTGATGTCGCAAAAAAATGTCAGGATGACGTTTCAAAACTTTTAAATTTTGCATCTGTCAAGCTGACAAAGTGCGATATAGGGGATATTGTGCATTGGCCTACTGAACCTTGCACTTTCAACATCTTTCGTTGTTGTGATTCTCATCTCTTACTTTGATCTCAAACTCACATTCCATCTTCTTATAGCCCGCTTCCCAAGTGATGATGACGAAAAAAAACTGTCTCCTCTTCGTGGCTTGCTCTTATTCTGTGAAGATGAGAGTATATGCACTAGGAGGCATGATTCTTTGTCCCATTACTCGTTAAAGGAGCAATATGTGTGGACCGATTGGGCGACAATTGATCCAGACTCCTCGAAATTAGTGCTTCAGTACCTTTTTTTTGAAAAAGGAACACTTATGTTCTGACTGTCTGAGCAGCTGAAGCAAATGGCTTATTTATAAAATCCGTCATAAAATTAGAAGCTTTGGAAAATGCTGGAAAAAATATATTTTTCAGAAAATTGGTCTTATGCCTTAAGAGTTTGTATCACAATTTTTTTTTTCCCCCTATGATTCTGGTCGAAAGATGTGTATTTTCTCATGCAAGGTATGCCATTTACAACTGCTGTAATTTATGAAAGGTGGAATGAAACCAGATGTTTTTGTTAAACTGATAAAAAAATTCTTCTAGTACTTTGTGTGGTAATAAAAGGCTTCTTTATGACAGGATGGTGTATCTTTCGTGCTACTCCTGGATTGGTTGATTTAATGTTAGTTTATTTTCAATGCAGACTGTTAGTTTATTGCTGCAGTTTCCCAATAAAATAGGGGAATTAATCGTTTTTAATAATTTTCTTTTTGTGGTCTCAGTGAAGTCTCTTTTGTCATAATTTTTTTCTCTCAATTTTCAGAAAAAACCTGGATTGAGTTCGTATGCCAAAAATCCTGACGATGCGGCAAATTCACTCCTATCTCTATTGAAGGAAGCTGAAGCGGTGATCCCCTCAGAATTGAGAAAGTTGACACCTGTGAAAGTTGGGGTAATGCAAATTTCTTCCAATTACACGTTCTTACACTATTACAGATCCACCTTGTCTTGTTTAGGCATTGCTAAACACTCGTTTAATTTTTACGTTGTTCAGGCAACTGCGGGTCTTAGAGCATTGGGCGCGGAAACATCTGAAAAAATATTGCAAGCAGTAATCTTATTTTTCTTTCTTCATTGATTTTCATATTTTCTTAAACTTTAGCTAAGTCCAGCCTTATTCTCTTTTTCACCTTATTACCATTTCAGTCAATGCTTGAGGCTTATAATTTTTATGATTTTTCCATTTAATTAATCGACTACAACACAAAACCCTGCAGGTTAAAGATTTTTTGCATGAGAAGAGTTCTTTGAAGTTTAAACCAGAGTGGGTTTCTGTTCTGGATGGAACACAGGAAGGTGCATTTCAGTGGGTAAGATATATTGGTATCCTTTCTTTACTTTGCAAATCTGCTGTGCTGTCGTTCTTTGTAGGTCAGTCAATCTGTTCACAACGAGAAACCGATAGAGAATAGAAAAATATGTATAACTTCATTTATAATAGATTTAGTCTTGCACGACTATATAGAAAACATCTAGCTTGTTTCTTCACGAGAGCCTGGCTATTTCAACTTGTCATCATCTTTACCTCGATTTAGATATGATTGACGCCTCCAGTTTCTACAGTATCTTCATCAAAAAATTCCCATGTTGTTATTAATTTTCTTAGCCAATGTGCTTAGGGTCTTTTTGCTAAAAATCGATATTTTTTTCATCACTCGAAAGTGGTGTATATAATGGTCTCAAGCGAGGGTGAAACACTTCAACATAAATCTATCGTGGATTGCATGTATATATTATCTACTACATCGTGATCCAAGGCTTAGGAGCTTCCTCATTTTCAGGTTACGATAAACTATTTGTTGGGAAAACTGGGAAAGACGTATGCAGACACAGTTGGAGTGGTTGATCTTGGTGGTGGGTCTGTCCAAATGGCCTATGCCATCTCAGAAAGTGACGCCGCAAAGGCTCCGACAATCAAGAACGGAGAAGATACCTATGTGAAGATATTATTTCTTAAAGGAGTCAAATACTACCTCTATGTCCACAGGTTTGGCATCTCCATCCCTAGTGAATTTTTTCATATTTGGAGGATGTTAATGCCATTGATTACTTAACTGGGAGTTGTAACACTAACTCTGCATTAGAAACATAGAGTGAACCTTGCATTAAATAACGAGATTCTGTCAGAGTACCTTTGGAAGATATGATCACATCTGAAAGCGATCCTCAATGAGATGCATCTTAAATTTTCCCTTTTTCCATTTAACAAAAATAATGTTTGTGACATCTTTTCTTGCTTTTTGAACAATAACAGCTACCTCCGTTATGGTTTATTAGCTGCCAGAGCAGAGATTTTGAAGGTTGATGATAGATCTGGAAATTCTTGCATTTTGGGTGGATACCATGGTACGATTGTCCATCTCTTAATAACTTATGCTCTATTTTTAATATATATATTTTAAAAACAGACTCATGCAACCTCATTTACCTATAATACAACCTTAATCTGCCTTTTATGGCTTGCGAATTAATCTCTCATATAGGAGCCGGGATTTTGCCTGAAAAGAATCTATTCTTTTGCAAATGAAATATTTACCTTATTTTCAACTCGAGCAAGAAGTCTAACGGTTATTTCTCCACTTAACCTTGTCCTAGTCATAATCGCTTGTATATGTCCTACGTGCGACTGAATTAATTGATCAGTCTCAGTGTCCCCTTCTGATAATTGCCATTAGAGATACAACTCCATTTCTACCTGATGTCGTTATTTCTAGTAGGAATTCCCGGATTTGCTTCTAAGGCCACCACGTCATTTTCATATGTTCTAATCACAATACCCCCTGCGACTTTCAGGTCCGGTCCGTCTTGGCTAGATTTATTTCTCGCTAAACACTCCTTTTGAAGACAACTTTATGGACGATAATTTAATGAGGATCATGTTTACTTTCTCTAGGATTATGCCTGTCATGCCCACAGTAGCAACTCGATTTTATAGATAAAGGATTTCCTACCACGAAGGGTTTCTTAACCACCCATGTAGGACTGAAGCATTTCTGAGAAGTCACTTATGCGACGTGATATCCCTCATATTTTCTTCTTCTTCAGATGATATCGTTCAATTTGATTTCAATACGAATGTCTAAGAACCGTTCTCACGCTGTGAAGGATCGTACAAGTACAATGGAGAAGTGAATGATGCTTCATCTTCACCGTCAGGGTCAAACTATAATCAGTGCAGGGAAGCTGCTGTTAAAGCCCTCAAAGTTGATCAACCAACATGCACACACATGAAGTGCACGTTTGGCGGCGTTTGGAATGGCGGCGGCGGTGACGGGCAGAAAAAGCTGTTTGTGGCTTCTTTCTTCTTTGACAGAGCCGCTGAGGTGACTACAGATTAACTATCTGGTACCGTCCTTGTGGGAGCTTTCTTTTTCTAACTCAGGTGCTCACTTCTTCAGGCCGGGTTTGTTGACCCAAAACTGTCAGTTGCTAAGGTGAACCCTTCAGATTTTGAGGATGCTGCCAAACGTGCGTGTGGCTTGAACCTGGAAGAAGCTGGGAAAACGTATCCCAAAGTCGAGGAGGACAATTTGCCTTATCTATGCATGGACCTCGTGTATCAGTACACACTGCTCATTGATGGGTTCGGTGGGTCCCATCCTGCCTGCACTACTGGCTTTCTTAAACACCTGCATTTAGCAATCCTTGAGTTAACTTGTATTCCCATCTTCTTTCCCCAAACAGGGTTGGATCAATTGCAGGAGATCACCTTGGTAAAGCAAGTGCCGTATGGTGAACGATTCGTAGAAGCTGCATGGCCTCTAGGCAGTGCGCTCGAAGCGGTGTCATCGGAATAGGATCCACAGACACTGTTTCATGGCCTCTCTCCCGGCATGTTGCCTTGGCACATGCAGGAAGCCCTCCGCAGTCTTACTTCATTGCCGGGTGATGAGTTTTCCAACTGCTGCTAAGACAGCTACTGGCCTGGCCATCACCCTCCCTCCCCCCCGGAGTTTTACCCATTTCTAACACGTGTCTTCATTTAACAGATTATCAGAGCCATTGTTTTGCTGTTGTTGTGCTTGTGCACCGAATGGAGAGGTAGAATACGGTCCAGTGATATATTTAAGCCTTGTGGCAGGTGCTTGAATCATTGTCGGGATGGAGAGCTATTAGTTCTGTTTATATCACCTTCATTTGGAAATGAAACTTCTTGGCTTTTTCTTTATGATGAAGATATGTCTCAGTGGGACCTGCTACGTTGGAAGTCCATTCTGGTCTGATCCTGTTCTTTTTCTTTCTAATTTTGGAACTCAGCGGAGGCTAGAAAGGAAAATATGCCTCTCTCTCTCTCTCTCTCTGTGAGTGCCTCTCTTTCTATCGTATGAGTTTATAAGGATTAAGTTGGAGTTATCTGATTCAGGCCATGACTTCGTAAGGAGTTCATCAAGTCTCTCTCTCTCTCGCTATGGTACGACTTCAGAAGGGTCGAGTTGGAGTTACCTGATTCAGGCCATGACCTAAGAAGTTAACCCCATCAAGTTTTCTCGCTCTCTCTCTCTTCCTCTCTCTTTGTGCCTCTCTATCTACTGTGCAACTTCATAAGGGTTGAGATGGAGCTATCTGATTCAGGCCATTGCTTAAGAAGTCAACCCCGTCAACTTCTCTCTCTCTCTCTCTCTGTCTCTCTGCCTCTGTACCGTACAACTTCATAAGGGTTGAGCTGGAGCTATCTGATTCAGGCTATGACCTAAGAAGTTGACCCCATCTAACTCTCTCTCTCTCTATTGTACGACTTCATAAGGGTTGAGTTGGAGTTATCTCATTCAGGCCATGACTTAAGAAGTTAACTCTGTCAAGTGCTCCGCGGCTCAAAGTGATTTCATTGACAAATGAATTCACTGCCGGTACTGGGCCGTCGGCGGAACCATCTTTTGACCAGGAAATATATGAATTCCAAGTCAAATTTAATCATATATTTCTTGTTGAAGCCCGTGATGCCAAAGGAAGGCGCCTTCATCGTCACCCTACAAGCCCATTACAAGTTATATGGGCCGGCCCATATACTCCCAATTTGTTCGCTAATGGAGCAGAAGCTCTTAAGCCCATTTATTTCTACCGAGGGTAGGCTCACCTTGAAATGGAAGCCTCCCACCTGAATCGGCCTCAAATCTTCTTTGATCATATCGAAGGCCCAATGGGCCCTATTCAGGGGGCATTACTCGCCTCAAACAAAAAGAGCCATGCGAGAGCCACGTGGCGCGCTCAAGTCGTCCGGATTAAATTCGTGAAGAGTTTGTTTGAGAGAATAAAACTTGCCGGGTCTTCTCCGAAAGTCAACGAAGCCGTTGAGCCAGCTCATTGAAGGTTGATGTAGAAAGAGTGAAGGTTTACTTTGGGTCATCGTCTTCATTGACCGTCTCCCTTCGTTCCGAGATAACAAGACCAGATCCTCACGGAAGAACTGCAGATTTACAGTTCTTGGGACGTTGACCTCCATGATGAGGGGAAAGGCTAGTCGTACCCCTTTTCCGGAAAAATAACGATCACAACGGATTGTTCGCCGGGCGCGCCGAGTTCGCGGATTCTATTGAAGAAATTCCGGAGGAAGAGAAATCCACTCTCCACCGGCCTCGCCCGGTTGGCGAGATAAGTGCAACAGAAGCGGGTAGACTACCAGAGACGGGCGGCCGCCGTAGTCCCGGAGAAGGTGGGGGGTGGGGCGGAGTTGAACCACCTAACGGAAACGAAGCAACGACGACGGGAAGTACGGCGATAAATCCAGCGGAGAAAATCTCGAGCCTGATCGCAACCGTGAGCTGCACCGGATGAATCCAACCGGTTTCCAGTTTCCGGAGAATCAGGAGGACGGAAGAGATTCCTGGAGAGGCCTCCCGCTCCGTCTCCCATAAATGCAGCCGACCCGGGCTCTCCCCGGTGGCACCGGCAGCGGCGAGACGAGGAGCAAGAAGGAAGAGTTGGGCAGCTCTCCCCGCCGGTACCTCAAACTCGATTCGTCCTCCTCCTTGGGAACGGCTCCAGAGGCTCGACCTTCTCTTCTCTTCGGACTGTACGACGAAGAACTTTCGCTGCCGTGGTTGTTCTGAGAAACGGGCTTCTGTGCGGATCCCCTTGGCAACGGTACTCTCCTTTTGGATGTTGCACAGGGGGCCTTTCTAAGGATGGACTGGTGGAAGATGAAACCACCGGAGATACCTCTCCACCGTAAGCATCAGCCAGCACCGGCGACCAAGAGCATCAAAAAGAATCGAATAAGCCCCTGCCTGTCGAGGGTCATCGTCGCCATTGTCGTCTGGGCAACCATGGCCCTGATGATCGCCATTGTGGGGCAGTGGGAACCTACACCTCCAACGTGCGTCTGGCCAACCTCCTGCTTAGAGCGAACCCATGGCCGGGACCACAAGGCCACCAACAACGCGCGCAGGGTCAATCACCTCGGCGGCTCCGCCGCCTCCCCACCCGTCCTCCTCCCTCAGCGTCAGTTTCTCACACCGGCTTACTTCCTCGAATATTTGGTGGTTTCTGATTTCCTTCCTATCTCTTTGTCGCCAAGACTTCCTTATTATCGTGCGCCCTAGCTATCGTTGCGTGCTTTTCTGTTGATATCATTGCATTTTTTTCAATGAAGTAAGCGTATAAATGCCGCCAGATCAGGCATGTTTTCTAAGGTTTGTACGATGTTTTCGAACCTACCTTGGTGCCGCCGCCTTTTTAAGGCCCCGGAAAGCAGTCATTTCCAAAGTAACGTGTTCCTGAACCTATTCTCCCGCGTTTATCTCCCAGTTTCCTCTTCACATATCGGCCCATGTCTACTCATTTTTCTGTGAAACTACGCACATATTTTTACGCCTAGCGGGTTTTCTCTCTTCCACCCACTGGAATCCATAAACCCACATGCAGCGCTACTTCGTTTACTACGATAATCTGTGGTCAACTCATGCAGGAGTTTACAAAAATAATGGCTATCTCCGAGTGTCTTGCAATGGGGGCTTGAATCAGATGCGAGCAGCGGTTCGTTTTCTATGGAAAGCTTATACTCGATACTCGTCGTTTTTGTTGTTATCACTATTATCATTATTTTATTTCATTCTACTCACAAGCTCTGGTAGAGTTGAGTTGACTTTTACCACTAGCTCAAGAGTATCTGGGTAACTTCTATCTGGGTACATTTTTATCTTGCAGATCTGTGACATGGTTACTATTGCGCGTTACTTGAATCTTACTCTTTTAGTGCCCGGGCTAGATAAAAGATCCTTCTGGGCTGACCCTAGGTACTCTCAATGTATCTTTAAATTAAGTCATGCTTTTATCATGAACCGCTGAAATTTCTTCATTTCTCCTCGTAATGTTTGGAACCCTCACACTCTTTTCCATCGACGAAAAAACTCGTGGTACAGCCACGTCTTGCCAAGAAGGATGGTCAAAGAACATAAATATTGACCCGCTGAAACAAGTTCTTCTTTCCAGTGATTTCCAGGACATATTCGACGTCCAGCACTTTATAAACTCCCTGAGAGATGAAGTGCGGATCGTTGATTCACTACCGAGCGATTTCAATAAGTCAGCCAACGTCAGAGTTCTAGAGATGCCCCCAGTGAGTTGGTCGAGTGAGAAATACTACATGGATAAGGTCAGGAACAAAGGGGATACCGTGAATTTCTTCGTATTTTTTCCATAAAATTACACGTTCTGAATTTTATCCCGTGATCAATTTTCTCCCTCTGCAGATTCTCCCTCTTTTCCGGAAGCACAAGATGGTTCATTTCCTCAAAACAGACAGCCGTCTGGCGAACAACGGCCTCCCCTTGGAGCTTCAAAAGCTCCGTTGCAAGGTCAACTACGAGGCCCTCAAGTTCGCCCCGAGCATTCAGGCCGTTGGAGATAAACTTGTCTCCCTTCTGAAGAGGGGACCCTTTATCGTTCTCCACCTACGATATGAGATGGACATGCTCGCTTTCTCCGGTTGCTCTCGGGGATGCTCGAGTGAAGAAGCCGAAGAACTCCGTAGAATGAGGTTCTTGTCTAGAAAACCTTGTTTTCTTCTCCTTCTCCTGGAAGCCTATCGATAATCTTTCCCTGGTTCTCAGATATGCGTATCCATGGTGGAAGGAGAAAGAGATAGACTCCGAGAAGAAGAGACTCGAAGGCCTGTGTCCTCTCACACCAGAGGAGACCGCCTTAGTGATGCAAGCCTTGGGAATCAGTCGGGACACACAGGTATACATCGCCTCTGGAGAAATCTATGGCGGCGAGAAGAGGATGGCCACCCTGCGGAATGCTTACCCTGATATAGTAAGTTCTTCCTTCCCCTCTCCTCCATAGCCTCGTTCGTCGTGTACAGATCACACGAGATGGGTTTCATATGCCGTGTGTTTCTTGTTTCCTTCTCCGACTTGCAGGTGAGGAAGGAGATGCTCCTCACTCCTGATGAGTTGAGCCCTTTCCAGAACCGGTCGACCCAGATGGCGGCTCTCGATTATCAGGTCTCCATTGCGAGCGATACCTTCATCCCCACCTACGACGGCAACATGGCGAAGGTCGTTGAAGGGCACCGAAGGTTTGACTTTTCTGAATCGATCTTCTGACTTTTGCCCATCGGCTTACGCTCTCAGATTAATTAACTCGCTAATGGTAGTAGGAAAGCACTAGGCCATTCATTCGAGCCTTTCGTTTAATCCGATTGAGAACTTTGTTCATGCCACTTCTCAGGTACATGGGATTCCTTCCGACCATATCCTTGGACAGAAAAAGACTTGTAGAACTCATTGACTTGCACCAAAACGGAACCTTTTCTTGGAGCCAATTCTCAGCCCTCGTTAAACGCGTTCATAGTGATCGGCTGGGGAAGCCGACTACGAGAAGAGTCATAGATCAGCAGCCAAAGCTAGAAGACAATTTCTACTCCAATCCTCAGGAATGCCTGGCACCTCTCAGCAGCTCATGAACACTATCTTCTTACATACGAGAACCCAGGAAGGAAGGAGCTGCTGGTCAGCTGTACAAGATGAGCATGCTCTGCGTTAGGATATCTCTCTCTCTCTCGAGAGAGAGAAAGAACATTTTGCTTTAGTTCAGTAGATTCGACCGTTTAATCTCGTTTATCCCTGAACCCTACCATTTCATATTTTATCTATATTTTGTTCAGTATTTCTTGCTTTAACGGAGAAAGGCTATGAAGCTGCGAGATCCGGCCGTCATATTAGGTGTAGATGTGGTCTAATCTTATGACCCGTTCATAGTAATAAACAACAATCAATAAAATATTGAAGGAATATGGTAGGTGAGGGCTCAATGTTATGAGCAGTCAAAAGGTGGGCAGGTTGGGTCTCAGGTATGGGGAAGTAAGGCCCCACATAAAGTAGTCCTGGCAGGACATGTCCTCGTGCGGCGGCGCTGCCTCGGGGAAGGCCGTCAATGCGGTCTGCAGATCGTCGATATTCAAATCCACGAACCAGTCGTCGTTGACTTTCGTTGCCTCCGCGAAGCCATGGGGGTTACATGGGCTGTCGTGACTTGAACAAGGCTCATCGTCGACGTCCGATTCCAGCGTTCTCACTCTCGCCGGAGCCGTGCGCTCTGCCGTCTCATCCTGGCGGAGCATTGGCGCCTTGTTGTTCTTCTTGTGGTACAAGCGGCAGAGTACCCAGTCATCTAGCTGCAAGAACCAACTCTCTCCTTCATACATGTTCCTCCCGATTCAAATCGGACGAAAGATAAGAGATAGAGAAGAGAGAGAGAGAATGAGGACTTTGTGGCGTACCCTCATGCTACAGCCACCCTTCTTGCCGGTGGCTTCCACCAGCCGGTACTCGTGCATGATCCAGTCGCTCTTGACGCCCTTAGGCGCCTTGCCGGAGTAGAAGACCAGAGCTTTCTTAATGCCGAGGGGCTTCGAGCTCCCCGCCGGCGTGATAGGCTTGTCGGCGCCGGTCGCCTTCCAGTACCCATTCCCGGCGGCCCTGTTGGGCCTCGACCCGTTCGGGTATTTCCGGTTCCTGGCCGTGAAGAAGTACCATTCTCTCTTCCCGAACAGCGCCTTCTCTGCTCAACCACGAGAAAAAAACCAGAAAGAAGAGCTCTGTCAGCCTCCGGCGAGAGCCTGCATTTTAGGGTGCGTTACGGTGGCGTACCTGGGAGCTCCCACGGATCGTAGTTGTACAGCTCGACCTCTGCGATGATGGAGACGGGGGGTTTCCCCTTTGCGGCCTTGCAGGAGAGGTAGTGCACGACGAGCTCCTCGTCGGTGGGATGGAAGCGGAAACCCGGCGGCAGATTGATCTCCGCCTCTGCGTCTCTTGTCATTATCCTGCTGCTGCTGCTACTACGAAGAAAACCAGAAGAGGTGGGAAGAAGAACAGGAAACCTTCGGCTTCCTCCAGCAATGGCACATGCGTAAGGGACTGCCGTGCCCTCTTCATTTAAAGTCGGAGAAGGGCTGCGGCCGGAGATGAAGAGCTGACGCCGAGGAAGTTTCCATCTGAGAGGGTACCGATTCCAGATGGTCAAAATGTTGCAGTCATCCACATTATCCGCACGTGTTTGGCTGCTGCTGCTTGCTACTTGGCGCCCGATGGAGTGGACACATGGCAGGACCACCAAATCCCTGACGTCACGGCGGCAGCGTCATGCCGGACGCGACCTCTCGGGCGGATTCCTGCTGACGCGGACGCTGGGTTACCGACTGCCAATGGATGGACGCGTGGCAAGAGAGGAGAGAGATAATTAACTAGAAAACAATAATATAAGATGCTTGGAAGGAAAAAAAAATGACATGGAAGAGGTTTAAATAAAAGAAAAAGAAGGCTTGAAAAAAAATTGTGACGGAAAAGCCCACTAGATTTCCTATATTTACGTACTAAGCGCGGGAAAAGACGGATCTCTGTTTTAACGCGGTAACCACCCGCCGCGGTTCCCGGCGACGACGAGCACTGCTGTCATCAGGGCGTCATCAGGGCGGTATAAGAAGCAGGCCGCCCCCATGCATTGTTCCTGAAGAGAAGAGATCGGTTCTTCGGCATTCCCCATTCCTTCCGGCACCTCCTCAAATAGGCTCCGTGTCAGCCGTGAAGGCCATTGCTCTGCTCGTGGTTCTCGATGGCTCGAGCGGGAGGAAGAGAACCAAGTCTACGGAACATCCGCCCCCCCGCCCCCCCGACCGTGGTGTCAACGGGGAGCACGCTCACGCTTAGGTTTATTACAAATGCAGCCGTGGTGTCAAAATGGATATTGACATGACAGTTGGACTGTTTGCGCAAAATGGAGAAGACCGAGCCTTGCAGCGAGCGACCAGCGGTCTGTGATCTCAAAAGGGACCTGTCGCTCTGACGTCCAAAGGACGAAAGATGATCCAATCCCTTACTTACGAGAAAATGATTGTCATTGAGAAATTAACAGGTGTTTTCCCTTTCTTCCTGTTTTTATTTGTTTTTTAATTCCTCGAGAGATAGTGGCTTCTCTTGCCGATCAGGAAACTAGCTTCCACCCTTAGCGTACGCAATCCTTTGACCATGGAATATGGATTTCATTTTATTTTGGACTTCCAAAATATTTGAAAATTATGGATCCAAGGGTTCTCTAGTTAACCAAAAAAAAATTAAACTGGTAACCATGGTTTATACGTCTGAATGAATTACAGCTGAGTGATTAGAGACTTATCAGTTCCGTTATCATTATATAAATGCTCGAACAAGTTTGGCATGCTGTGACTGGAGATCCAACGATCTCACCAGTAAATTATTGATAAAGATAGGCCTCTTTCTTGAAGGTCCCCCATGGTCAGACTGAGAATGGATTCTATTTTATGTAAAATAATATGCCAACAATACAACGACAGAGATTCGATGTGCCTTCCTTATTAATTATTTTCTTGAAATACTCTTATTATTTCAAATGAGATTCTTTCTCATTTGTTCTGTTTCTCTTTGAATTGTGAATATTTAGTTCAAGAGATCAGTTGTGAACGATTGATTAAATGTACCTTTGCTGGAAGCTCTCAGATGGTGGCTAAGGATGGACGCCGTAGAGTTTTTTACAAATAAATATATAACATATTTCATGTTTTCTTGAAGCTCTCAAATTGTGATACCGAGGATGCGCTATGTTTTAACGAAACTTTATGAAAAAGGGTATCAGAAAAGCATGTTTAATATTCCTTCCTTTTTCTAAATCCATAGTTATTTCCCTGAACTTCTTTTGCTTAGATTTTCTGAGGTTTTTTCTTATATTGTTGCGGTTTGGCCTTAACTGTGAATGAGATTTTATGAGGCTCATTTTCTTGGCCTTTTTTCATTCGTTGATGTATAGATTTCAGTCATGAAAATGCTTGAAAAGTTCGCAAGGAACCGCAACACAAATATAACAACTAGAGTTATGAGATTGATGATAGTTTACCCTTTGGTATGCGCATTTCTTTTTTTTGTCGTTGCCCAAGGGATCTATTCATTCTTTCGTCTCAGTGAAGGAAGCGGAGTTCACTACTACTTATAGGTCGACGTGAAGTCAGCGAGTGTAGGACGAAGGACATAATAAAATAGAGTAGGAGCCTCTGGATAAGGTGTATATTGAGTGGGGATCAGGCTAAACACCGGAAAATGTAGTTGCATCCCTTTCCTCTGGAGGCATGAGTTAAAGACAATGATGTGAGGAAGTAACAGAGAAAAAACGAGCTGATAGCAAAGATGCCCGGAGAGATGCTCTCTAAATATGATCATTCACAGTTGAGTTCCTAATTTGGCAGAAGACGTTAGGTGAAGAAGGAAACAGACATCTCTTATTCATTTGACTTCTCTTTCTTATTTGGCTTCTCTCTCTCTCTCTCTCTCTCTCTCTCTCTCTCTCTCTCTCTCTCTCTCTCTCTCTCTATACCTCTCCCCACACACAGATATGCACACAATATTTATTTTTTACGATTTTTTTATCTCTTATTCCATTTGCCTGCCTCCTCTTTTATACATTCTTTTTTCCTTATTTTTCTCATTTTCATTTTAATTCCATTGTGTTTTAGTTTGTTCTTTCCTTCATTTTTCTAGATCTGCCTTCTTTTTTTCTTTCTTTCTTTCTTTCCCTTAGTCTGGTCACTCTTTTTATTTTCTTCTGCTTCTTCCTCTTCTTGACTTCTTACTCGTTTTCATTTTTGGTTTTAATTCCAGAGTGATTTGTCTTTTGTTTTTTTCTTCTTTCGTTCTTCCATTCATCCCTCTTTTCTTCTTTCATTCTCTCTCTAGATCCCTTTTTTTTCATTCATATATATTTTTTTTCCTCTTTGATTCATTCCCGCCGTTCCTTTTTCTTCTTCTTTACTAATTTGCTCATAATCCGGTCATGAGTTTCATTCTTGGATTAAGTTTCTGGGAGGAAGACGTCTCTATCCTAAAGGAAGTGATTCTAGGAGCCAGAAGGTGTCCCCAACGTCCTTTTCTAATTAGCTAACTAGATTCTAAATCGCTGTGAGAAGAAACAAAGACGAAATTCCTCCTCCCCTTTGTCCTCGAAAATAAAATATAGTGTAGTTTGCTTCATTGCTCCACACATACAATAGATTTGCTGACGGTCATTCGTAGATTCGTGTTATATTCAACTGCATACAAGGTGATTCGGTCTCTCGGATTTTTATTTGCATGGTTCATCAGTTGGTCAACTAATGACGGCGTTCTAGGGTTCATATCCTAACCCTAGAGGCAGCGTAATGGGCCACGAATGAATTAGCATGAAATAGTCAACTGCATCCAGCGAAGCTTCTACTTGTTCATTGCGGCTGGAGAGATGGTTAGGTAAATGGCCTGATAATACTCGGGAGTAGCGGCCCCCTTCGTGGTCTTCCTTTCACAAGGTCTCAAAGTTGCACCGACAATGGGAGTCAGAGGTGAATTCAGGAGAAACAGACAGACATAGGTCTCCCAGGGTACAGACAACAAGGAAATGCATGTACAGAAAAACACAACATTTGTCCAACGGTCGCACGACATGACCTAGAAACAAGCACAGAGGCTCGTCAAACAGGTTCTCAAAGCTCGGAGAGTATGGCGGGGATGTAGTGGGAAAGCTCAGCTGTGAGGGACTGGAACCCATTCACGAGCTGCGTGTGGAAGTCTTGGTCTTCTTCCCCGATAAGTCGGAAATGGACCCGTATTGCACGCTTGCAGACAGCCATGAACTCCAGGAGCGCAGCGATAAGCTGTTGCAGCTCCTGAGATCGAAGCCTGGTTGCCGGCTCGCCGGAAAGGAAGGCCGTGCATACACTGAGGACACCACTGTTTACCTGTAAAGTATAACAGAGGCGTTATAGGAAGTCGGAAGAAGTCTCGGGTCAGAGAAGAAACCTCCAAAAGGCTGCATTCTCAAAAAGATTAGATTTCCCCAGAGGTTTAACGAAGATGAAGATGATAAGTACCTGAACAGCCACGCTGCCTTGGAGAATTCTCTGAAGACTTTGGAGCCTCGGCAGCTGGTCGCCTTCTGAGCTGCGAGGTTCTTCGAGCTCGTTCCTTAGTGCGGCGGTCCGGGTCTCAATCATGCCGATGGCATTCTCAACCGGAGAGAACTCCAGGGACTCGGATTTGGTCACCAAAAGCCGGTTCACCAGCGCGGGGAACGACCCCTCCGTCTGAAGGACGGTGCGGCGCTTCCACTGATCCTCCAGGCCCCCCTGCGTCTTGCCATTTTTCGTGAATGGAGTGTCGAAGAGGAAGCGGTTGAAGACGCGGGCATGCACACTGCCGGTCGAGAGAGAGAATATCCTCTCTCGTCGGCTTCCCAGGTCCTCGTCCTCCATAACGGGATCCACCGCTGTTATCTGCAGGTAGCAGACGCCAGGCTGCAGGTCCTCGGCGTTCACTTGCCTGGAGTCTGGTATGATGTGGAGGGTGTGGTTCCCGTCCATCTTGGCCTCGTAGATGTGACTAAGCTTCTCCATTATGTCGCCCAGTCGCACGTCCCGCGGTTCTCTGTAAACGTACTCCTTTCGGTCCAGCTTCCCGAATCGCTCCCCGTAGAATCCGACCCGGTAGTAAGTGGCGTCGATGAACGGGATCGGGCTGGCCTCCTGCTCGAGGATCGACTCGTAGACGTTGGTAAGGGACGTGTGGCATTTGGCGAGCTGCCCGAACGATCTCCTGCTCTTGTAGACGGGGATTATGAGCTCCAGGATGCCGGCGCAGAAATGGTAGAGCTCCGCCTGGGAAAACAGCTTATTCGCGAGCTGCAGGTACTTGACCGCGGAGTCCACGGTGAGCTTGGATGCCCCGTAGCCTTCTACCTCGGCAGCAGAAGCCTCGGCAATAATGGAGTCACTGACCATGGGGCATATCTTACGCAAGGAGGCCACGTGGTCTCCGCTCCAGACGGCATCGTTCCTTCCAACAAGAGCCTGCAACAAATAAGGGATTTTAGAGAGAAGCAAAAAAAAAATGTCACGACTAGTCTGAATTTCATCCCCCGCAACCAGGTCAAGTCAACCTGCATGATTACTCCGGCGACCGCTACTGCGCACTGAGCGGCTTCAGCCCAGGACTGCATCTCCTGATGCGCGTCGCATAAATGCAGTAACCACATTATGTGGAGGTCCGGGACGGGCGCATAGGCCATTGCTAGCTTGTGAAAGCTTTCTGCGGACGCGTATCTATCAGCGGTCATCTGAGATGCCTGCAAAACAAGAACGTATGTCACTGCAACTAAAAAGGAACGCGGACCCGAACACCGCCGAATTAACACCCAAGTAACTTGGAAAAAAAGGGACGTCTGGTGTTGTTGTCATAACATTGCAAGCTGTGCAAGGCCATGTCCGTCAACTATGTTTCAGCATGGCAAGTGTATTGATGTAATGATCACGAAACTAAACGGTTGATGTGCTAAGTGCAATATCCATTCGTCAGGCAGGCGATTAGTTACCATTCACGTCCAAACTAGTAGAGCCGCAAAACTGGATTGATGGGGAGGGATGGGATCTCTTACCAAAAGCGTGTGCTCCAGGCCTGCATCAAGAGCTTGGATCAGATTGTCGGAGAGATGCTTGGCCTCTGGCCAGGACCAACGGTTGTCGGCTGAACCCTCGGGAACGACCTCGAGGGCATTCTGAGGAACTCCACAAGCTTTTAGTAAGGCGGGGCTGCCCACTTCATCTGCCATTTCCTCCAGTGATCTTCTTAGACGCCGAGCCTCTCCACTCTCTTCCAGAGATCCATCAGATCTCATCTGAGTCACTTGTACGTCGGACATTAGCTCCGACAGTGTAATTGTCAGCATGACCCTCAGCCTCATTGTGTGCGTGAAGTAACGGAAGGAATTCTGCACAAGTTTCCAAGGACAGTAAATTAGGATGAGCAGCAGCAGGGCAAGCAATGGTCGTGAGAGAAAGATCGACGAGGGGAACATACTCGCACGAGAATCTGGAGCCCGAGAACCGCTCTTCTTCTGACAGACTCGTTGCGAAAGACTGCAAGCCGTAGGAGATGAAAGGCGACTTGCTTCAAAAATCGGTCATTCTCTCGTGCCATGAGAGTCGCCCCATGGAGACTGAAGATATTGTTGAGCACAAGAAACAGAGCTTTCCAAAAGGCTAGCGATTGACTTCGGGAGAAGAAGCTCATAAATATGGAAGTTATGCAGTCTAGCTTGCCATAATCAGTGGTGACCGCATGGGATGCTGCAGCCACTGAAATTTTTTCGGTCATCTCCAAGACCTGGAGACTCACAGCGGCACTGAGATTCTCTTCCCAAAGTTCCTGAACAAATACTTAGAAAACTGAGCTCATAGAACCGATAAGAAAAAATGAAAACTATAGGAGAAGACTACTCTACCAGTTTTTGTCTGAGCATAGGGTGAAGAGACTCTCTTAATGCTCGAGTGGAGACACCAATTCTAGATGACTGAGCCTGAGCAAGAGCTTCCCTTAATGAGTATGGTGGTGTAGGAGAGCCAAGGTGAGGACTAATCCTGTGCCACAAATATCCATTCTCTGGTGTTCCTTGTGGCTAATGGACGGAAAAATAACAGTTAATTAAGGTTTTAAAAAAAAAAGAATGATCTTTCAACTAAACAGGCAATAGCATGCATAATTACGCGTTAATCAGTCACAGAATACGAATAACTAAGGGAGAAATATGTAATTAGCCTGTTTGAAGATCGTCAGAAAAGTTACTGAGAAAAATTAATAGGCATATTCATTCAATGACGATCTGTTTGTTGCCGGCCTGCTGCGGAAATTCTTTCCTTTATGAGAGAACGATGCAACCTGCCAACTTTTCCCCAGTGCCTACTCCCCGCTACAGCCTTCAACCCATCTATCATGCGGTATATACATGAAATTGTTTTCTTACCTCTTTCTCTCTCTCCCCCCCCCCCCTTCCGGTTATCAACATACGTACAAGTAGAGAACTACAACCGAATATAGCACAGTCAACTAGCATATGCCACAAAGACTAGGGTTATACCCGCTAGGCAACTGTATCTACGAGTTGTATGGTGTCCCTTTGTTCTACATCCAACAGTTTGGAAATGAAAGTTGTCAATAATATCAGAAAAGGATGACAAAAAGGATGACAAAAAGTTTGACAATTGAACACGGTGAGGTCAACCAATATATGTATGCCTGAAAGTAAATATAAGCTGAGATAAGGAAGGGTAGACATTTCACTCAGGCATAATCACTTCACATATAGCGAAGTGATTATGAAGCATCCAATCTACAATCTAAGTTGCTCCTCTTTTCCACTGATTTTAAGCTCATCCGAAATTTACTAAATGGTCAAGGTTTATAGGATATAGCAAATGTAATAGCATCATGGCCATTCATATTTATCAAATTGGCACAAAAAATTAGCAATCATACTCTGACTTCTTGCCGAGAAGCTTCAGACAAGTATGCATTTATTGCTGGGGAAAGCCGGTCGGAATACTTTGGAGAGGTTGATCCTTCTGCATCAGGACTGCGGGAACTGCAGCCTACTAGCATGCTATCAGCTGTTTTCCGGTGCTGCAAGATAGGATCAAAGACGCACATTACTTTGGAGAGGTTGACCAATCGGCTTATGAGTGTCTCGACATTTTTCGAAGTCTAATTTAAAAGAAGATCTTATATTAGCACTAATCCACTAAGCTTGAAAAATTGATTGATTTGGAAGGCCCTTGCACGATCTCTAAAAACCTGATACCAGCTATGAATCATGATTACGTCCATTCTACCTATCAAAGGCTTATATTGACACGCCATTATAGGCTTTAGTCAGCACAAAAATGATGCATGTGATGAGCCTTGAGCGCACTAACCTCAAAAAGAATAAGACACTCTTCTAAGAGTTTAAAAAATAATCTCGTCCTCGCAATATTCTGCTGCCACGCTTTGATGAGAGATGCATCATCCAGGTTGCGTATGATTTGCAAAAGGACGATTAAGACCTCGCGCTTTTCAACTGTATTCAGGTTGTAGAAGACCGGCATCTCATCGAGTATCTGGAAAAGTAGAAGAAATAAATTTACATTGAGGGAATTTTTTTTAAAAGAAATTATAAAATGAAGTGTGATGCCCCCAAGTGTTCGTTGAAACATTACTAAATATAGAATTCAGCACAGAAGCACTTAAATTTGTCATAATGACCACATACAGCTATTTCCAGCAAAGAACAGGATTGATATTCCAAAAGGAGAACGAGACGAATAGATATGATGGGGCATTACTTATATATAGAGTACAAATAGACTGAACAAAAAAATAAAGCTAGAAGAATGTGAAACACCACATGTCTACATGAGTATGACTACATGAGGAAGAAAGGATTTTTTAGGTTGAAATCATGAACACATAATCATTGCCGGTTCAAGAAGCACCACACCTCTTCTGAGCCTCTTGTGGTAAAACTACTAGCTATTTTGCTAAGTAGAAATTAGTGCTATAAATCACCTAACTTTCAAGAAAATCCCAATCACGACTAGAATTCTATCCTAAAACTTCAACAGAACTGTACCTGCTCTATCAGAGGAAAATATAACTGAGCGATGTATAGTTTGTCCTCATGCTTCTGGTAACGAGAGTCAAATTCATGTTTGCACATGAGGACCACCAAGATTCGAGCAGCCTAGCAAAACACAGAACGTAGTTGTCATCAAACTAACAGCATCTTTGTGTCAAAAGGACAACTCAGTGAAAACAAATTATACCGTTGATAAAACGAAAACTAACGTAATCAAGACTACACATCAATAAGCAGGAGCGAATGACTTACTTTAGCCCGTTGTGTTAAGTCATCATGATCCCAGGTGAGAAAAAGCTCATGAATTAATACTGATGAAAGATAATTCCTGAAAAAGGGAAATTATGTTTAAACAATGAACTTTGATCCTGAAAATAGGACTTTGTAATTCACAGTAACTAAATCCATGTAGATTCTAGTGCACAAGGAGATGGTCATCATTACATGAAAACCCATACACCATGAGAAATACACAACTAAACAGGCTAAAGATTTTTATTTTCCTAGCTTCATATCTAATGTTCCACATGTTGTTAGGTTGCTGTAGATATTCAGTGGCTTTGTGGTACCTTTGGTTCTATATATAGAAAGTAAAAATATTGATGCAAAAATTTAAACGATAAAAGTTACCTACCGAAAGTTCATAGGGTTAATGGCATATGAGAGCATAAATGGCTGATTATATATTACACGGGAAGTCCCTGATGACCTGGATCCATGCTTATGAGTAAATTTTCAGGGTATTAGATCTGATTATGTCAGCTGCATAGAAGTCCTTGATTAGCATACCCTAAATGCATACCGAGAAAAGACACATGCTCATGTCTGTGTTACAAATCAGGAAGCATGGACAAATCTAATCAATTCGGAATATATCTAATCCGTAAAGTGATCTTTCCAAGGGGGAAAATACCAATTTGTGTCGAGCAACGAAACTCAGTCAGATTTATTTATGTACCTATCTGAAGGGTCTCTTCCTGGCATCTCAACAAACAGATCATGATCACATACTATCTGTAAAAACGTAAGCTTGCAGTCATGCAGAACAGATTGACAAACACCAGCAAACTTGTCCATGTATAAGGAAACCTGCAAATATGCAATAAAGCGAAGTTTTTCATGTCTCTTATTGCATAAAATTGAATTGAATTGAATCCCTTTAAAATTTAGAAAATAATCCAGTTGTGGCGATTAGTTTTCATAAGAGAATAATGGAACTTCAACTACTAAAAATTCTGCATCACAAATGTCAGATTGTGCATAAAAAAACAAAAAAAAGAAGAGAAATAGAGGTGGGCATGATAAACATAAACTCAGAATCAGGACAACTACTGATTTAAAATAGCAATCCCGGCATTAGCAATCTCATAACCATCACAATATAATCACGATCCAAATTGTCCTTAATTTATCAGTATCCACGACCAGAGAGTTTATCTGCCCAAAGATTAAGCAAAATATTCCTCTACAATTAGGATTATAATTTGTGCACTCTTACCAACAATTTTTGTGAGATATGTCACTGTATTGTTTTCATGAAAGAAAGGGATTGCAGACGAATTCTCTTCATGAGAAAATTCACCTATTTATTAACAAGCAAAAGATACATGCTAATCTATGGTACAGGTTCTCACACTCTAGGGATTGTAATTATAAAAAAATGGTGCTAACCTCATGCTGAAAAAAAGCACAGCCATTGAGGAAACAAAAGATAAACTCTCGCCATTTAAGTTTGAATAGCATTGACAGCTGTACACAAATGTGACGTTCTTTGTTTAAGGGGGTGGTCACTTCAAGGGCACGAAGACACCTCAGAAATGAACAGAATCCTTTATTGGCTGTTAGACTCACCATATATCCTCAAGAAACTAAAACAAAAGACTCAGTCTAGAGCAGATGCTATTTTAATGAAATATAAAATGAAAGAGAAACGCGTGCATTATAGTGTCAAATATAATGACGTTTACCAGTTCAAAAACTTGGCGTGGCTCTATGATAGACAAAAGATCGTAGCAGAAAAACGCCAGACTGCTGTTCAATCGCTTTGCCAAGCTTGATCCCTTTTTGCAGCGCTCATGTACCTCCGTCAGAAGACAATCATACAACTGCGTGATACACCTGAAAACAGCCTCCTTCAACTGCAATGGTGGAATGTCTTCCCCTGCAAAGAAGCGTGACACATTCAGATTAAATACAGATACATACAAGTAACATTAGAAAACTCCTCTATTGCAAGAGAAGAGAAAAGTATACGTTATTAATTCTAAAAATTTCATATGATTCATCAAAATGAAATACAAAAAGTTTGTCACCTAAACCATAAATAAACCTGTTAAAGCACGGGGACGAAAAGCAGCATTATTTATAGAGTTTAATGAAGAATCGGCATAAGTATTTAGTAACGTGATGCTTATCAATGCAGCTTTAAAATTATTTCAAACAAGCGTCCATGGTATCTCCATTTGTTCCAAACAAGCGTCACTATCATAGTTCCGATAGAAATAATTTTCGAGCTAACATGCAACAGAATAATTCTGCACGTCCCAGATACCTAGAGGAACATTATCACAGCAAAGACGGTTCTGTTCAAGTGCCATTGACTTTACAATAAGCTCCAAGAAGAACCATGCCATTGCCAACACGTCATCATAAACTGGTCCAACACGATAGCCTTTCGCCTGCACAACAGACCATAACATTTGCATGCAATAAGTCACACGAAAACAACAGGGTTATGTATAACATAGGGAAAAATCGTATTCCTAATTATGCAGATCGGAAGTCAGACAATATGAGAATATTCCCTCACTCAGGAGGCAACCTTTTTTGAAAACGGTCAAAATGTTGGCAAAAGAAACACTAAAAAGTTCATGTCAAGAGAAGGGAAATTTGGACAAGCTACAGTGAAAAAATTTAAAACTAAAAACAATTGTACAATAGGATAAAGAAATGCAGTATTACATAGAAATCACACTCATCAAGGAACAAAGATACTGGTTTCTTTACAGGTGTAGGTAAACAGGCAGAATATTTCTCCACTGCAGCATCTATGTTTATTGCCAGAATGCGTTCCTTCTTAATGCAGCAGGCACTTTTTGAATTTCTGACCACATCAATGTCTCAATTTTGACAAACTGTCAAGCTGGAAAGTGATGTCGCACCCTACTTCAGATGTCAGCTTTTGTAACTCCACAAGGAAATTTCAAACAAGCATAGGCTCGATGGGCAATTGTCTAACCCTTCCAAGGGGAATGAATATCTAGCCAGTGGTACATGGTTAGGGTTTTCCACTTCTTGCTTGCCATGTTAAAGCTATAAACACTGAGGGTATATCATCAGTTCCACGTTAGGACGATGGCTATAAGTTCAAATTGTTGTTGAAAAATACTGTTAAAAATGCGTCACTTTGGTAAGTTTCTTCTGTTTCTCCTGTCCCAATGGCCATTAAATTACTCCTATGTGCCAATGGCTATTTCCCTGGTCCCATATTTGAGGTCACCACCAATGGGCGTAAGTGCTTCTACTGGTTGCCATCATTAACCAGAAGGATCAGCAATAAAACGAAGAAAAATAAAGTAAACACCAACAACTGTAGTCATCAGAAGCTAAGCCTGATAGCAACAAGCGAGTCGGAGTTTCTGTCATTGTTCTTTTTTTCTATATCCCCACATTCCATATTCTTCATCTTATGTGATTCCAGGTCCCTTGTTCTCATTACTCATTTCTTTTTTAGTGAATTCACTCCAACAATTTTCAGTGTTGAACTCTTACAAAATAATACGATTTGAGGTCATTCTGACGAATTCCAATTCATAAGGATTACAGGAGGATTATAGAGGTCGGCCAATTTCTGATTCATAGAATTTTCATTATGTCAAACAAAGACGCCATTATGAAAAGAGCTTGCTGAGGAAAGACAACCGACTAATGTGTAATGACAATACACTAAGCAATGACAATGACTCAAAGAAGCAATGAAAACATATAACTTTTACCTTACTCCTAGCCAAGCTTCCCCATACGGTGGACAAACCAGGGTAAACAGTCGCCTGGCGACCACCAAAATCATCAAATGCATAATCAACATAGCTAACAAGAAAACGATTTCTTTCTGCACTATCAGAAGATTCTTGCTGAACCCTGCAAAAATTCAGAAGATTAGAGTATTTGTCAATGCTGTTGACAATGTAAATAATACATTCCTTACAATTTTATAACGATCCAAACGTTCACAGATAAGTATGTTTGATTTTCTGCCGTGAGCCATGATAAGCATTCAGTGGCTAGTAACATTTACATTTGAATGCATGTCAATGATAGAATAACAAAGACCATATATCCTTCTAAATTCAAGATAAACACTAATAACATACAAGGTTAAGGGAAACAGTTAGAAAGCGCAAATTTCGTTATATATTAAGAAAACCATATAAATAGACTACACATATTGTACTTTACTATAATTACTGACGAATCCTGTTCTGATTTATATATACATTCATCTTGCACAATATTTTAGAAGTCAAATCAAATTATCTCAACCAATGGAACTAAGGATCAGAAAAACGAAGTTATGAACAAAATTTCTTCAATTACTCGGACTGCAACTCGGCACACAAGCAATAACTTCATTCAAGATGTCAGTAGGTGAAGAAAAAAAACCAAAAGCGCAGGCTTCACCACAAATTTGAACAAAATATGATTGATTTATTCTCTTCCTTGATTGCAATATCTATTTTGTTGCAAAAGTGTGGAAGGGATGATCAAACAACTCAACTGGAAGAAATGATCGCAGGAAAATAAGGAAAAATATCAAAATGATATGGTTCCGCAAATTTTTCCTATATACCATCAACAACGGAACAAAACCGCCTGGGGGGTGTTGTTATTGGGGACAATGTACATGGACTTATATATATAAAAATCCAGCGGTTGAGAAACATACCGAGTGATGATATTCACCATAGCACGAAAAGCAGCAACCTGAAAATTAGAAAAAGTTAGAAGGATAACAGTGAAATAATTCTTTTGAACATTTTAAAAAATATTGTTGAAGAGTCAGCAATCAGATGCTTCCAAGAAAATAATAACTGGAAACCAGGTTATCGTCAAATAACTACAAAAGGACAGTCCTTAGAGTACCTGAAGAGTTTCTCCACCATCACCGATGAGGTGGAGGAGCATATTGAGTATCGGCTGGAGAAATTGTAGTAAAGCAGTTGAATCAACATTCTTGAGGCTATTGATGGCCTGCACAATTGAAGAATAATGTATTTGTTACACAAACTCTGAACTTTCTAAACAAGTATCATAGTTCTATCCAATGAAGAGTCTACACAATGTACAAAGGGAATTCTACCTAACTGAACAGATGTACCCGACACAAATCGTGAAGGTCAATGTAGAACACGATAATTAGACTCTAGATGAGAGATCATTTTACATGGATTTTTCGCATAAATTCTGTAGCCGCATAAGTGTTACGTTCTGTTGCAATTTTTAGTAGTAAAACAAGAGTTCTGCTGTGGCTCTGAAATGCAAACAATTCCTATAAAACTCATGCAAAATTTACACAAATGAGGTGAGGGGCAAGAAAACAACATAAATTCACACTAGGTAGAAAATATGCCGTTTTTTTCAGCTGGAAAGTAAGCAACAATCGAACGGAAAACCTTCACACAAATATGATAAAAACCTTACCATCCTACACACCTCTGCTTAGCATTCCTATAATTTACACTGCATCATTTTCACTATTTCGCACCAAAAATTTGTGCATCCAGGCTGACATTAAGTAATGACACCAAAATCTATCGAAACTCTTTTCTTACTAAAAAACTATTCCCTCTTCTTCATCATCTTTTCATTTAACAGACCCTAGAGGCAGAAAAAATCGTCCGATTTTCCATCAATACGTTGGCTGAACCCTACAGTAGCTGAAATGGGTTAGATAAGGAATCCAGACTGAAAACCAGGCTAGAAACAATCAAGGTGAAGCCAGAAACTACAAATATGTTGGTGGTATTTTGACCACGTCGAGATCAGATATGATTCAACATACATGGGGTAACCAGCAAGCATCTTAGAAGACAAGAAGTAAATAGAAATAAGTATTATTGCAATATCACACTACGAAGGAAACCATTTTAGAGGAATAGCTATCCAAGGAAAACTCTAGACAGAAAAAACACATATCAGATGAACAGCAAGAGCAACCATTAAAAAATTACAATGCATATGACATAAATAATTTGAAGGCACTGAGTAATAAAAAAAAGAAATAAGAGTAACAATTAGTACCTCAAGAAGCTCAGATCCCCAAGGGGGGCTTGTTCCCAGCATATGTCTATCATATTCCAAGAAGAAATCTCTGATTCTCTCATTGATTGGATACAATGAGGAGCATAACCTTAAACGCAGTTTAAAAACATTTTTTCCGTCCTCCAAATACCTCTCCTGCAAACAGATCAATGCAATAACTCTTATTGTCAGGTAATTGATCTCACAACCAAACAAGTCGCCGCCATATAATATACATGTATATGATGCACGGTCGATTTGTTATTAAACACATGTATATGATGCACGTTCCCGCATTTATATAAACAGAAATTGAAGAAATTAAAAATGGCCAATGGTGATAGCAAACACATTACCCTATGATTTGGTAATGTAAATGTAAACAATGAGTTGGGAAAACTGCAAGAATATGCAATAAAATGATATTGACTCAGGAAACTGGTTCATAATTGACACAACAATACCTTGCTACCATCCTGGAGATAATGTGGAGCAACTTCTCTAAATATAGGCAAAGATACATCAGATTGCAGCCTGTAAATATAATCTTGGTCAGGTCAACGCCACAATGATTTGAACTAAAAAATATGACGCACACAAAAGAAAATTCCAATAATTTACTTACATCAACGCCATCCAATCTACATTTTCGTTTTCATCAAATTCAAATAACAGCACCCTCGAATAAAAATATGGTCCAAGTGAAAATATTAAAGATTATAACAAGAGGAGGATGGGCACGGAACAAAAACACAAAAAATTACCGCCAACAAGGGTAACAAAGCCAAGAAAAAAATTAACACACACTGCTTCCAGCATATGACAAAATAACTAGAACCTTAGAAGGCATAACTCTGCCCAAAGAAAGAAGAATTTGTCAACACATCTGGTCTCACAGGTTAGTAATATCATCTTTAGGAAAGAACATACAATAGGGAGCTTGATTGTTGGTTGGATCGTTTCCTAATTTGTTGGTTCGTTTCCTGGTTGTTAGGTAGTTTACTTGGTTATGGCACTGGTACTTGTATATAACAGTTATCTAAGATGTGAATACGAGTCGAGTTTTTTCTCTGCATATCCTCCTAGGGTTTTTTGCCAACCTTCAAAACCTTTTTAAGCAGTGGATTGAGTTCATACCTGAAAGATTATCAATACTGGTGATTAATTGATTTTTAGCACTAGGAATTGACATGCTAGTATGAATACATTGAGAATAAGGAACTTTCCCTATTTAGAATTATGCTATTATTAGCATAAAGAGAACTTAAGAGAACAGGGATCTCAAAAAACTCCTTATGTTTGACCTTTGACCCCCACAGCTGAACTTCAGATTTTCAATGTTTGGATAGATACTTCAAACTTTTTGTAATATAATTTTAGTTTTAAAGCCACTTTCACTCGATCTAAATGATAGCTCACTCAAACAATGAACTGAAGATTACATACTAGTTATGATGATGCTTGACCAATCAGGAAACATTTTTTTAACGAACACCAAGATAATTTTTAGCCCAAAACCAACTAATTCACAGACGACACAATAGAAGAAAAGGAAGACGGATTTGATGAAATGACACATACTGAGCGTGGGTAGACAAAGGAAGTGCTGCATAACCTATGACCACCTGTAAAATCAAATATTGGTTAAAAGATCAATAATACTAAAAATTATGCATTAGTAAACCGAATAATTATCAGAAAAGTAAAAGATAAAGGACACAGTAATACGTCTGAATCAATCCGAAAGACTAATTGTCCTTACAGGTTTTGGAGCCTCGAGTTTCATTTGAAGGTCAACATCAAAAAAGGTAAACAAAAGGTGATGTTGAGGAGTCATAATAGCCGGAAGTGATATTTTAAATTCGTCATGGAAGCTTGCAAGCTTAGCACTGACAGCAACTTGAGTGTGAGACCATTTCTGAAGTGCTGCATCTGGATCCCTCGAATACACAGACTTCCAAGAAGAAAGTAAAACTATCAGATTATTTCATTAATTAAATTGCAAAATATCCAGCACAGAAAAAGGACATACTTCTAAGGGTGGTCGCCGGATATCAACATCATCTTTTCTCAACTCCACTCGTATAAACAAATTCTTTTTCCGACTCAAATTAACAGACAAGGGGTATACATAGAGACTATGCAAAAGTTGTGAAAATGGCTCGCTCCTTGTCATTGTGCGAAAATCAAAAACATGAATCTGCCACACACATGTGACTGTCGTTAATGAAATTAGCTAGAAGTGGTCAAGCATCAGACGTCAATATAAGAAAAAATTGAGCGTCAGAAAACGTAAATATTTTCTCAGCGGGACTATGGAACATTTGTGCAAAGAATATGGTAAGAAAGGCAGCAATATAAATAAACTGTGATGAACTGCTAAATGAAAAAGAAGAAATTCATGTTTCGCGTTATGAGTCTAAATTAATAATGACTGTTATGAGGTAGTACATGAGAAAAGGATGGGGCGTCTCTAGCGAAACAACACGAATTTCTTACCTACGGGAAAAAAAAGGAAACCAAAATCTTTCCCACGTAAAGAATACTCGTTCAAAATTATGGCCATGGGATTTCATTTCCATCAATGTCTCAAATAACACTTAAAATATCAGCATAAGTACTCTGCAAAGAGTTGCATAAATTACGCTCCTGTTCTGCTTCACCAAGAATGAACCCTCAGTAAAATTCGAGCCATGTGTCTCAATGTACATGCGGAAAATTTTAATGATCTGTCACCACATTCGAACTAGAATTGTTACGAAACTATTTGCACATGATATCCCATGACATGCATGAATGGCTGTGAGATAGAAAAAGAAAACTAAAAAATGATTATGAACCTCACAATTCCTAACCATTATATTTCATGCTTCTTAAATGGAAACCATGGATAACACGTAGAAAATAGGTCACTTGTCCACCTTTTGAATTGCCCTTCTGCACATTGTTAAACTCCATTAAATTAAAAAAATAACTTAAAGTCGCTACTACAGAATGCCCACAAGTTTTGCAAGAAAAAAATCCAGAACAAGGGCAAACTTCTGTAAGCTCTCATCTCAAAAAATGCGGTAATTTTAATGCTCCAAAATGTAGCAAAGCAAGATCATAACACCAGAATAGATAAATTTAATTCGAATTTGAGTATTCTAAAACCATTAACTGCTTACATCAGTGGTAATGCCACAATAATTTCCTGTACCATTCAGTCTGTTCCGGTTCACCTCTTTTCCATTAGCCATAGCATTATTTCTGTGATTCGCGTTCCTAGGTCCATCAGTGCCACTTGGGTACCTGAGAAAGGCAGGATTACCAGGTCGATCCCCAATGTCAATTGAACCATTGGTTAGACTGCCACTTTCAGACATGTTGTCGGCATCAATAAGGTCTGCTTGAAGCTTTTCAATTTCCAACTTCAGTAGACCTTTTACAGGCTTGTGGACCTTCCTTTTAGGATCCTATGAGTCATAAAAGAAAGCTGGTTTATAGAATATTTGAATATAGAAAGACATCAGGAAAATTAACCAACCTAACAATCACAGGAAATCATGAAATTAGCGAATGTCTTCAATAAACACCAAAACAGTTAACGTACATGGGTACTAATTCTTGGTGTTCATGCCCATCTGAGTCATTCAATATGCACAATCTCAACTAGCTACAGAAAATCATGCGAACCCTAACTCAAACATAAGTTTTTTCTCGCCAATAGAAGCAGATGTTATCAAATGGCATAGAAAGAGTTAACACCTGGAATGTAAAAGAAAAAGATCGATAATATACAGAAAAAACTACAGGCAAGGCCCTAAAGCACGTACATCTATAACAGTGGGAGTAAAGAAAAGACGCTGAATTTTGGAAGCATAGAAGCAAATGCAATGATCCAGAGGACTGTGACAGAGGTAAAATATTTGCATCGAAGAACCCAAATAACAACAAACACTCTTTCAAACCAAGGCTCACTTCTGCCATCATGAAAATATAGGTTCTCCTGACACACTAAATTATCAACATTCTGGGCTACAATGCAACCTAAACCTGACACTCCTAAAGAATAGGCAAGCAGGAATTGTAGAAGTTCCGGGGCAATAATAGCATGACATAGAGTCGCCAAATTGTATATGAAGAACCAGTGGAATCTGAAGAAAGCTTAGAATTAAGCATGTAACCACGATGAAATTGGCAATAATGAGGATCCATATTTGGACAACCAAGTGGACAATGTTCTCCATTTCCATTTAGGCTACATGTTTTTGTGCTTATTCAATTCAAATCTGAGAAAGCTTGCAGCTCATCCAAGCTTTCTCATAATAAGATAAGAATTATCAACGTAGACAAATCGTCATCACGTTCATTCCGATTTAAAATGAACTATCAAAAACTTTGAAAAATCCCCTGTTAATTATTATATAATATGGACACCAGAGAAACTAAAGGAATCAGTACACAAATGTATAAGAAGTTTAAACTCTCAGAAGAAAAGTGACGTGGCATTCAGCAGAGATGGTGCAGGGATAACCATAACACCTGAAGAGAGTCCTCAGTGTAGCTTTCCTTAACCGCGTTCAAATTTGATATTTCAACGAGAATAGGGCTTCCATTAGAATATTGCGTCAACTTTCCATCCAAAGTTGCTTTTGCAACAGGTTCACCAGCAGTCTCTTGGGAACTTGAGCCCGAAATACTGGGGGTAAGAGGACTGCTTGGGGAGCCAACTCCACCAATGGCTGAATAACTGCCGGTTTCAAATAATGGAATAATAGCCCAAGCAAATGACTCCCTGTAAGGCATGATTCGAGACCAAACCTCAAGTTTCTGTTTTTCCCTCTCTGTCAACAGTACCTGTTAACATGAAACAATCTGCATGAGTATTCAATTGATTCCAGCAATCCAGATGATGAAACATAGTGGTTCTGAAAATATGCCAAATTTGGGAGTAGTTTCTCTTATTCAAATCATATAAAGTTGACAACAAAGTGAATTACAAGAAAATCGAAGGGTAAAAATAATTGCTCCTGAACCACAGTAACATTCCCCTAAATATGATAGAAACAACTACCATCTTATGACAGGAACGATACTACCATTTCCCAACGACTTTTGATAAGAAAATTTAAGGCAACTATATTATAGACTGATTAACAGTACGCCATGAATCCAAAAAGCAGCTTGCTTTCTTTTCTTAAGTAGATAGTGTCGCATATTCATGAAGTATTTAAAAAAAAAGTTATCATACGTATGTGAAACAACCAACTCTCAAAACCCCATGCAATGGCAATAATCTACGCACGATGTGCACTAAGCTATAAAGCCCCAAAAGATGATAGAACCACCCAGAGCACGTTAAACCCACCATATTTCGCAATTGCATTCCCAAAAATGATCTTTCACAGCTACTTCCTAGTACTTACACATGTTTAATTATCATCCACAGCCTACCATCGGCATCCATCAAAATGGAACTTAATGGGTGGAATAAAGATATAGGCTTTTATTCAACCCCAATTTCATCCATGTTGTTCACAATATAAGTTACAATATAAAGGTGATAAACAACAGAGAATAGAATAATGAACAAACCTGACAAGGAAAGAAAGAGGCAGAGAACCGTCAGATTATTATAGATAACGGTTGTGAGCAAACAAGGACGAGAGATTTAAATGCTCAGCGATACGTACAAAAATATGCAACACACAGAAAAGAGGTATATACATTCCATAAGTTAGTGAGACCATGAAATAGTTTCACAAAATCACAATTAATGTTGGATCATAGTAAGAAACTTATCCATTGACAACCAAACAGAATAGCTGCTGCCGTTTTAAGCTATTCAGTATCAATTCAGCGCCTATTTAAAAACAGCACACTGGCATTAAAATTTTGTCGAGAAAATTTCAGAAATTCCTCGACATAAACTGAAGATTAGACTTCACGAAACTAGAATCTTAGACAGGTAACAATCATATTACTTGTGTTCTTGCAAAAGTAATCCTCATTTAAATCTTCCACAAACACTAAAGCAGTCCAATAAAGAGAACTACAGCATGCTTTTAGAATAAGTGGTAAGCATTTTACTAAAAATGTATGTTTAACAAAAAATACATTATTGATAATGCATCAAGTGACATTCAAATGAAGAGTATGGCATTAAAGGATAAAGAGTAAAACTAAACTTACAGGTTCTTTGCGAGAATAAACAGATGGGTTAACCCCGCCTTCCTCTGTGGCTGCCTTCTCTAGTTGAATAAGTAGACAGACTGATGGTGATGGAGCATCTAAGGAAAAAATGCCGCGGTGTTCTGATAGCAAATTAGCCTGGAGACAGAGCAAACAGAAAGGAATCTTTCAATAACATCATATAACACATCCAGAGAATTTTTCCTCCTGAGCTGTTCCTTCCAATTATGTTCGTTTTCATTCCTGTAGCTGCTTTTAAGTCGAGTTGGTTGAATACAATTTCAAAGAAAATGCTTATGATTGATGGTTTTATCTTTAACAATGTTAAGAATGCATGCTTATGCATTTTACTCGTCATCAGACCAGGTACCGAGATGGCCTGATTCATTCCAGATCGGGAGAGAAGGCAAGTGGCAACCCATGCCTTATTGAACCCTGTCCGAGAGGACGGGCTGGGTCACTTTGGCAGGCAATTGACTGATTTAGCCCTTAAATATACCCCCGAAAGAAAGAGGGATTGTCACAACTGATTCCAATAGCATGTAGACACGGGCCTTGCAGATCAAGCTTTCGAAGCTAAGAACACAGTCAGAGAGCTCAGAGCAAACGAAAAGCTGAAAGAGATTAACTTTACTAAAAAGAAGGAGATGAGGTATTTTTTTGACAACATACCTCCAGCCCATTCGTCGGTAACACATGAAAGTAGAAGTCCTCTGACAATTTCTCTCTTCTATCCCTATTGTATAAACAAATGGTCCCATGAAATGGCTCTACAACAAAATAAAAGTAAAAAAAATTGCTCAGCAAGGAGGATACCAAGAATTGTAACTGAAAAAGGTGGAACCTTTAACGTGAAACCTTGAATGTATAGCAGAAATAAAGCACTCACCAGCAAGTCCAGCTTGAAATGATAAAGATACAACCTTTACCGATATCTTCAATCCGCTGAAAGATAGTTAAGATAATTAGAACATGAATGATTTATTGACTGCCCACTTAAACAAGAAAACTCTGTGAAGGGAAATATAATGCCAATTACACTTGAACATTTAGTAGGCACGTTTTTGAGATAAGACAATCATAACCTCGAATATTGAAAAGGATGAATTTCTGAAGTCCTTTGTCCAAAAATCATTGATCTTTCAGTTTCCCAATCAAAGCAAGGCTCGTATGCTGGTAAAGGCGACTCACCAAAATGCTGGGATCACAGAAGTAAAAGAGTACAGTGAGCACATGCCAAATAGACAGAACAGAACATCATTGACAAAAAACTACTGAAATGAGAAGAAGTCCAGATCAAAAAAAAACATAAAGGCATGCTTATGAGAAAATATTTGAAAGGAGAGGCTAAAGATAGGAGATAGATGCTCGGTTACAGATGACTCCCCTAAATCTATTTATATGATGAGTATAATTTTAATCAATGGTAAACCACGATCATCAGTATGCCCCTACTTCACCATTGAAAATGTGGCCTATGTTTGAAGCTCACGGAAGAGTCTAAATATACATATGAAAAGAAACAATACATAATTAACAGAAAATTTTCAATTTACAACAGAAAGTGGAGTTTCACGACACCATTTCCATACTCTCCTTCAACGTAATTCTGAAGGCAACGCATTTTAAATGTGACTAACATATCCAAATTTAACATATGCAGATTGGGAGGCTATTCCCTTGACATCATGACTAATAAGTTTTTCATAAACGAGTTTTTAAATTACTAGCACATAAAATACCACTGCTCTATTGGTAAAAAACAGAAAGAACTGGGGGTAGCCCAGCCCTCAGAAAAGCAAAAAGAGAAGAAACCAATGGAGGTGTTTGTGTCCGAGGAATTGCCCTTTGCCCAGAGATGCGTTCCCCTTGCTATGTTACTGTTTTACACCACTAGCCTATAAGGTCTTTACCTCTAGCCTCTGCTCTTTTTTCCACTCTACTACCCTCTCCTCTATTTTTTCTGTAGTTTTCATTAATCTTCAAGATCTGGATGGCTTGACCAAGATGAACTTAACACCAAACCTAGACCGCCACCCCATACGATAATTGAAGGAAATCAATCTTGGAAACTTATCAAACTCTAAGATGAGGATTAAACAGCTGAAGTTGAAAAACGAAAACATTAAAAAAAAACCAGGACTAACAAAATTATCATTAAAAATGTCAAATAGGAGGGCATAGCTACCGAGGATTGTCTGCCTGAGGTGCTGGGAATGTCATCATCAGTAGTATCTTCAGCCTTGGGATGCCTTGCACATGCCAGCTGCATTTCTGCAAAGGATAGAAAAAAAAATGTATACATATTTTTTTCAAAGCGACAACTACCAGTCAAAATTTGAGGGGAGGAATCATCATTTCACTTGCTGATTGGTCCTCTATTTCAAATTAGATTTATTCTCTAAACAAACTCGAAGTTCATGGCAGATTCCGAGATTAGTGTGGCGACTGATAAGCTCGGTAGATTTTCTCGCATGTTTGGGACATTTGGAATGAGAACAGACTGAACTTTTAGGACAGTTGCTCTTGTAGAGGGTTTTATCTAGTTGAGAGATTACTCATGCGAGCTCTAATATTTAATCAAAGTCTACTGTATCCATGTTCAGAAAACAAATAAATAATAAAGATCATCACACTGCTGTGTCTACATCACCTGTTTCAATGTCAGTATCAGGACCTTCATATATCTGGCTTTGAAATGGTACAGATCCAACACTTTCATAGTGGCCATACTTGCTTTCATCTTTCACCCAATCAGCCTTGTAACACTGTACCAACTCATTCAGGTGGGGCCACTGCTCCAAATTTTCGTTTAGCTGGAAGTAAAACATGGATTGAGAAAGGCAAAAAGTATTGCATGAATACCAAAAGCAGTGGCCAAAGTGTTCGCAGAATATATAATCAGCTATCTATAGGCACAGGACACATACTTCTCTGCTTCAGCAGTTTTAAAAAAACAAAACCTAAGGAGAATCATAATTTCCCCATGTAGATATTGGCGTATAATATGCATCCATATATGAAGAAAGAGAAATCAAACGGAAAATAAGCCACTCATCTCAAGAACTAGCGGATTCTAGGCTTTCTCTGACCCCTGATACTGATGAAGATGAAGGTATTGGACACTAGATGATCCCTCGAGCCTAGGAAGTGGCTTCTCCACAAAAAAGTGAGGACTTTAATGTGGTGAGTTTCTATATAGAGATATTGCCTACATATGGATTGGCTTGTTCTCGTAATAAAGAATGTCACTACTTCTCTCAGATTACATGGTGAGGCATGATAATTGCTACTCAAAAAAAAATCGCATACATTGGGAAGCAGCGGCAATTACTGTAGCATTAACATCAGATATGAATGACCGAATCTCTATACACGGTGCCCAAGATTTCATGAAATGCCATACATCATTCAGAATGAGACATACAATCAGATACCATGGCTTTGATTAACAGAAAGCGTAGCATTATTACAACGAGAGTGACCTACAGTGTTTGAGCGATAACAGTACTCTATTCTAAGCGGGTCGGGGTTACAGTGTGATTTTCACCATCTCAGGATACACCATGGAGATGATTGTATGGGTATTCCAAGAGCCATCAGAAACCCAGTTTCTCAGCAAAATAAAAAACCATCACCAAAAGACAAACGATTTCTGGGTTCCAAAAATGCAATTGCATTTACATCTTTTCGAAATAAAATTGTTATCCCAAGGTAACAAGAGAAAGAAACAAACCAATGAATTCAGCTCAGGATTTGAGGCCCATGGTTGACGTGGTATTCGTTTAAAGCGAGACCCACTTGAGGATACATCATCCATTCTCAAGGCCAACTTTACAACAGAAAAAAAGTAAATCATTTTCTTTCTGTCAGCAAGATTCATGAACCATCAGTAAAATGAAATCTATAAAATATGCATCGACATTTTCGTTTGATATTTGTTACAAGATTGAACATCGCAACCAACCAATATAAAATAATTAAGTATTCGAGAAACAATTTCTTTCTAAAGAAATAAACACGAAAACAGATATTAATAAGAATTACCACAAGTCAAATCTCTTGCAACCCAGATACCTCATTATTAAGACATGAGTGCTATTTAGCCAGAAGAAGATAGGGAAAGTACTCCGTCCACTTCCTTGATTAAAGTCTTGGGCTTTTCTCCTCCCGTATAATTATTAATTAAATTTTATATTTAATTTTTCTTTGTTTTTAAAGTTACGTGTTAAAAATGGAATTTGTATGAAATTTTAAAGTGTGCAAAACCCTTGAGTCTTTCTCCAACAAGTAAAAAAATTATCTCGCGGAGGGAAGCAAGGGTCGTCCATAACAGCAGCAACTAACAGAAATCAGTAAGGGTAGAAATTGTCCATTCACGACAGGCAGAAGGTAGTAAACAGAAGCGGCTTTTTTTGGTTTTTCTTCTTTTGGCCCTTTGTCAACTAGTACAGACATGCTGCCTCATGAAGCAGCTAAAAGGCCAAGTATGGACAACAATTAGCCAATCCATACGACATCAGTGGCATCTATTTGACGGCATATTTTTCCTCTTTCTTCAATTTATAGGCCAATCAGATTTCCCCCTCCTTTGCATCAGATAAACCCTCATTGACTCCAATACTAATCAACGAATTTGACTCAAAACTGGAAAATGTTTCCCTTATCCATTCTCCATGCATTCATAGGACAATAATTTCATATAGTGATCAATTCCTCTTTACTTTTGTCAACCTAGAGTGTTTAGCATAATCCATCGCCCTACTGCTTGGAAAGAGTAGATAGGAATAGCAATTACTTATACACCCACCACAATATCACAACTGTGATTATATGTTTCTATAATGTACGAAAGACAGCTCACTTGAGAAAGATAACGCAAAACAAAAAAAAAAGATGAATCTGATGGACCATAAATAATTGGAAACTTTGATTTATCATGGAACATATCCACTCACACATCCATGATTTCTCATTCAGGAACAAGATGCTGACAGTTCAGTTTATATGATCATGTCCGTGCAGATTCAGCATACATCACAGGAAAAATGTGAAACAAGCACGTATTTGTATCCAACTCTATTTATAACATATATCAAAGTTATAGTTGAATAATTATTAGGTTGAGTGCACTTGAATACAAGTTTTATTTCACAAATAATGAAATGCTATAATTACTGAATCACGAATAAAGGGATCATCAATTAATTATTCATATGAAGAGATCATTTAACATCCGGATCACCTCTTACCACATGTTTCCCTCTATTTCACTTCTCATCTTCCAAATTTTCCACAGAATGTCTACTATCCTTTCAAGCAATATAAATACAGAAATTAAATACATGAGAGGTGCTAAGGAAAAATACTAGGATTTATGAGAGAATATGATGCATCAATGCAATGTACTAGATATCAAAATATCTTCAAAAACGAGAACATGAGACACACTCAGACCTTAGAAATGGAAGGCATAAAAAATCATACGTTATTTCATGCCTAATAAGCCCGAGACCTCACACCACCTAAAGACATCCAAAATCAACAAGCATATCTGCTTCATAAGCCAAAACTTCGTCGACGCCAACAGACAAACGCTTCACAGGTGCACTCAAAAAGTACGCATGAAAGCCGGAGATTAGGCCGTTATAGCACTGTCGGGAGGAGTTCTGGGAAGATGCACTTTATAATTAAAGCTTCAGTAAGGTCCAACATCCAACAGCGATCCCATTCTTCTTCATACTACTAGGGATTAGCAGATATTTGAGAGGGAGAAAAAAAGAGAGAAAGCTCAACATTGAATCAGAAAACTGGTAAACTTTCGCCCTGACTAACCCTACAGTAATAAGGCCACATTCCAAATACCAATGCAGCTACATTCCACCAATGCCTTAGAAATTCTCTGAATGATGGGGACGGATTTCCCTTCAACAATCAGACGAAGGCTAATGCGCATCGAGAGAAGTGTAATTCGTCTTACGAACTAAGAATGAGGAGCGCAAAAAAGAGGATGACTAGGCCATAGCTGAAACCGACGAGACCAGAACTAAACGCATTTCGTGCTTCACCTTTGTCGCCGTTCTGCGGCCGACGAAAGCCTAAACAGACAAATGCCGCATGTCCAAACGAAGCCATACGTTCAAGTCATCAAAGGACACAGAGACCTAAAGACAGTGAAGAGCGGCCAGAAAAGGGAGGGAGAAAGAAAGAGGACAACTTACCCTAAAGAGTGGAGAGCTGAGCTGAACTGAGGCTAACTTCGCATCCCTCACGGTCCAAGCTGCCGAGTGTCTGACGATGAAGGCACGTCCACAGATCCACCCCAATCTCGTCGATCCCACCCTGGATCTCTCACTCAACTGCTCCCATTCCCACACCCCATTTCAAAACGGAGTCAAGGGCGGAAAGAAAGCAATGCAATGCCTCCTGTCCTCTCTCTCTCTCTCCCTCTCGCACACACAGTCCCCGGACGAGACGGATGACCTGTCAGGAAGGAGCCGGCGCCAGCGCTCGGGAGGAGGGCGAAGGACGTTGAAACAGGGGAGAACCGAGCCACCTCCTCCCCACCTCCCCAAACCCCAACTTCCCCGACCAATACTGGCTTTTTTAACCAGCCTTTTTATCTTAGTTTTCTGAGTTGCCACTCCACGCCAGCCAGCAGCAGCGGTGTCCGGCGTGAGCCCGCCATTATTTTACTTAAAAGGAAAGGCACGGCACAGTGATTGATACCCCGATCCGTCCATCCACTCCGCCCCCACCTCCCTGCCCTAGCCGCGCCACGAAGAACCCTCTCGAATCTTCCCCCTGGACAGTGGAATTGATCGTGGGAGTGGGTCGTGGGAGTGAGTCGCAGGGAGGGGGTGCGGGGTCCACTCCTTGGTACTTTTTTTCTATCTGGCCCCGCAAGTTGCGAGCTGCGAACCGAGCCGACCGAGTCAACTCCGACCCGTGCTGAGAGAGGCGATTCGCTATTCACGATTCCCGATTCCCTTCCGGCCTGTCCTTGTCAGCGGAGAGGACAGCGCTTCAGTCTAGGCAGTGTACGGCGGAGCGCCGATAGATATGATGAGCCGTGGATTTAGTGGAGGAGACCCGTCCGATCCGGACCGGGTCTGTTCACGTGACTCGGGTTGGGCCGATCATTTTTCTATAAATCTTCCATAAATAAACTGACGTTCACGGTCGTCACTTACCCGGCGTTAGTTAGATCGTTTATTATTCGTCCTAAATTCTCTATGACGTCATTACGCGGTTCCCACACGCCAACTTTTGGGCCGGGCCCATACCGCCTTGACTTCAGGCCCGGCCCAATAACGATGGGCACGAGGATGGCCATCAACGTTGGGTTTGGTCCGTTTTGCGAGGCCCAATTCCGGGCCCGACAGTAAACAATTGCTGGCCCATAAAAGCCCGTCAGCCACAAGCTTTTTGACGGACTCTTTACGTCCTTCTCAAACGCGAGCCGAGGCCACTAAGCACCCAAACGCCGGATCCCGACGCATCTTAACAGCGAGATTCCCCTGATCTCACACCCGATCGACGGAGCCATCTGTCGCAATACTTCGGTGGACACGTATGGCTACCTTTCGGGGGCCAATGCTTTCTCGTGGGAAGAGGCGACCCCGTAAAGCAAGAGTAGAGAAAGGTAGGAATAAAGGGTGCGAGGGAACCGCAATGGAAATCGTAGTTAGATAATGACAGTGTAAGAAACCGTGATGGTTTCCGCTTGGAGAATGGGAGGGATTTCCTTGGAATCAAGGGAGTGAGGATTAGAACGAGATGGGCGCGTGACTAGTGGAAGAAAAGTGGGCTTTTCTAGTTGCGAGGACCTTTCTCTCGGTGCAGCCACCGGCCATTGAACAAGCTTTGCGTAGCTACGTGCAGCACACTGGAGTGTGCTTTTGTATGAATGTGTTTAGTATCATATACTTTCGATCTTATCAATCTCACTGTTGCTCTTTCAATCCGTGCGTCGTGCGGGCTCATAAGTGAGTTAACCCTGGACGATTAAGCCAACATTGACAAGGCCTGTAGGATGGGCAAGAGCTAGTTCCTAGAGAGTTCTGGGATCGGCCCGGCAGTGTACCGGGGCTGGTTTACTTCTTTCAAGAGTCTGATTTTAAGACCCGGCATTGAAAAACATAGTCTGGCCGGAGGTTCGTTTCTATGCTTAGCCGGGAGAAATAAATCGCTTTCTCGATTCCTGACTATTTCACAATATTCAATTGCGCCGCGACGACCCAAGATGTCTAAAGTTTATTCACAGGTTCATGAGGTACTGACCGAAATGAGAGGCCAGAGGTTTGACTCGGAACGGAGGGGGACATCCCGCCGCTGGTTTCACGACCTCCATCTCGTGGGCCAGCACAGCCCTGTGGTCGCTTCTGGAAAGCGATGTTCGAGGTCGCAATCCTAGGCTGCTCACGCACGATAGAATGAAGAAAGACAGAGAAACCATAGGAGCGGAATCAGGAAAGGCTAATCATGCAGGAGTCAAAACACTCTCCCGTACACTACTACTACCGCTAGTGGATATGATAATGCCTGGTCAAGGGTTCTACAGCTTCGTGCTCGTAGGAACTCGACAAGCTCTCTCAGCGTTGGACGCCCGGATGATGGATAAGGATCAAAAGAGCCTCAATAAACAATATTTTTATCAATGTTCTTGATATGGCACAAGAATGCTAAAGGGGATCTTCTTTCCCAGTCCTCTGTTAGGTGGGAGCGCATCATCGGCGAGCCCGTTTTATAATCGGATCATAGAACCTTATAGGATAGAGATCAATGCTTTCGGTCCAATGATATAAATGAGGTATATACTGATTCCTTTATCCGTGGAAACTCTGGGAGCTGATTCAGTTAATCTTGCGACACTGAACCAGACTTGAACCATATATTACCTGTGCCCAAAACACGCCAGAATTCGCCTGCGCTGAACTCTTATCCTGCCGTTTTGACTTTCCACCTTCGTTTATTTTGGTTTGACTTGCTTGTTTTTCTTTTATTGGAATGAATATCTTTCCACTGGGCATTGACACGTACTTAGATAAACATATTTAAATGAGGGAGAGAGAGAGGGAGGGAAAGAGAGGACCGCACAATAACTTCTTCAACAGCGTCTAACATGGGCAATAAGTAGTGTTTGAGTGGACCGACGTGTGCCCACGTGCGCGTCTGTGTGGAAGAGAGAGAAAGGTCAGCACGACGCCTGCTCAACATCGAATAACATGAGAGGTAGGATAATCTCAAATCAGACCAGGAGACGTCTGAAAGGGGAAACCGCCGGGGGTATAATCTCGTGGAATATAAGAGCATGACACAGATGGAACTCTCTATTTTCCAGGGAATCTTTTATGCAGTCATGTATCGTTGGTTAGTCTTATTCGGATAATCATCACATTTTATTCAACCCCCCCCCCCCACCCCCCCCAACCCCAATTTCGTCCAAAGATCCCAGAGTTGAGATCTCAGCGTTTTCACACAAAGAAGCGAATTCCGACACCCAACCTTCTACCAATAGGAATTCTTGATTCCGTTGAAAGCTTCCTTACTCCAGCTGTCATTAAATCTGAAATGTTACGTTTCCTAGGTAGTTGAGGACTTGGTCGATAGAGTAACCACGCGAGTAGAACTGGGTAATTCTTTTATCGAGGTAATGATTTCACAAGCAATTGTGTTTGACAACTTGGAAGCGTTTTCCACATAACATCACACACCTAAATTGACTTTGGCATAATCCAAATTAGATATCCTATTATATTTCCAATAAATAGCATATATTAAAGTTTAGAAGAAACTCAGAGTAGCGTTGGTGGGTCATGTAGTCCTAATACCTACCTTGGTCAACATTTTTGATATGGTCCGACCCAGAAACTTGGAGTCAATTCTTCTTATCACATTATTCTGTCACAGTCGCTCACCTCGCTCTCCCCCCCGACCGGGGAGAGGCTTCGATTTGACCCTAATTCTCTCACAATCGAGATGCTTTTGCGAACTTTACAACTGTTGTCTAGCCCCTCACATCCAATTGCTGCCCACATATTCCCACCCAGCTATCCTCCGATCCACCTAGATGCCGCTCTCTGATCTCTACCTTGTCCCGATTTTCCTTTTTTTGTCTTATTCTCATTAAAGCATCTGAGCATCTCAGTTATTTTATTTTATACAGATTTTCCCTTAATTCTCATTTTATTCTCTCCCATCTGAGCTGCAGTCTGCGTGGATGTCGTGCGCAAAACGATTGATACTTTCCTCGCCTCCTCTGACGTCTGTCTTCGAGTTTTTCGCGTCTTTTTCCACGTCTCAGATGCCCGCGGCACTTTCGCGGTAGGTTCGACCCGGTCACTTCGGTCAGCATCAGCGTGTTCCAAGTTATCGGTACCCTTATACTCCACATTTGATCCTCGGTGAGTTCACACACATCATCTGGAGAACGCTAGACGACGACCAGGATGTATGTGGAGGCCATCGTGGCGCGTCTTCGAGTGCCCACCGTGAATCCAAGCCGTTCATTTCAGAGCAATTAATCTATTGATGCTGTGACTTTGTAATCACGTCCCCAGGGAAAGCCAACACCGTTCTCCTCTCCCCTCCGCCACCCGTTTTATCTTCTGTCACGACCTTTGCAAGGTCTTCCTGAGGATCTTGCGGTGGTGCTCGTGGTTGTTGATAGCCATTGATGGAGTTTCTGGTCTTCTGTATTTTATTCGGCGTGAAGGAACACGGTGTAGATGTTAAGGAATTGATAGCACTTCACCAGGTGGGGAACCCCCACGACGGCTGACATCCGCTATGGACCTATTACTCGTCGGTGCCCACCCCCCACGCCCCCCAAGGTTTTCCCAGCGTGTCTCATGCTCAAGTAACCGCAGTCCAGCTCTCTCTCTCTCTCTCTCTCTCTCTCTCTCTCTCTCTCTCTCTCTCTCTCTCTCTCTCTCTCTCTCTCTCTCTCTCCCTCCCTCCCTCCCTCTCTCCTTCTTTCTCCCTCCCTCTTCTATTCTCTACACTATCCTCTCCTCCCCCCTCCCCCCTCCCCCGCCCACCCTTCACTGATTTGGCAGAGGAAATGAGACCTCGTCGCACACGTCAGACACGCGACAACCTATGACAACCACGTGTTCCCTGAGACCGGCCGCAAAGTCCAACTTTGACCATCTGTCAATATTTCCACCGCCGTTTTATCCCACAGCACAATCGGAATATTCTGCGGTGATACCGCGAAGCGAGAGAGAGAGAGGGAGAGATATCGGGGTCCATTCGAGATCCGCCATCTGATCGATTATCCTCACCACACAGAGAGAGCATCATCTCCTGATTGAGGCGCGCACACCCCCGCCATCGACTTATTTCACCGTAGTAATCAGACCGCGTCACAGGGTTAGAAGAAATCGAGTCCAAGTCGCACCTGCCAGCCCGGCACGGGTAATCGGAGGAAAATCGGGTCAAAGCGCTGAAGAAGACTCGAGTGGGCGCCTTTCCGTGCTAATTTGAGAGGAATCAGAACCTTGAGAGCAGCCGACGACACGTGTCAGTAACTGAGTGCAAGACGTCACCCATCTGATGTCATGTCGTTAAGCTGATCAATTGTCCCCATCCCGTTCGTGGCGGGCACTTACGACCAGAGAGCTTGGTCGAGAGGATACCGCCCGTCCTGCCTCTATCCAGAACTACCTTCGCTTAGGGACAAAAATCAGCGGCCATATAACCAAGACGACCGCCGCCTCTACCAGAAGTTTTGATTCCGCCGCGCTCCCTTCCGTCTTGCCGTCGCTCCATTTTTTCCCTCCCCCGTCATACGACCTTCGTATCAAAAGTATTTCTGCTAGTGATAATTACAGAGAGAGAGAGAGAGAGAAAGAGAGAGGAATGACGAACCCGGAGGCGCAGCTGCCGCCAGGCTTCCGATTCCACCCGACTGACGAGGAGCTCATCCTCTACTACCTGAGGAACCAGGTTATCTCGCTGCCGTGCCCGGTTTCCATCATCGCTGAAGTCGACATCTACAAGTTCAATCCGTGGGATCTACCTGGTGAGAGGGCATCGACCTGCGCCCGCGGACGGCCATCTTCTTGTTTCCTCTCTTCCTTTACGTGCTCTCTGAACGACCAACGCCGCGGGCGGTGTCGATATTTTTGGTTGCAGCTAAGGCGATGTTCGGAGACAGGGAGTGGTACTTCTTCAGCCCGAGGGACCGCAAGTACCCCAACGGGATGCGCCCGAACCGGGCAGCGGCCTCCGGCTACTGGAAGGCCACGGGCACCGACAAAGTGATACTGACGTCGGGCCCGCAGAAGGAGAACATTGGGGTGAAGAAGGCCCTCGTCTTCTACAAGGGGAGGCCTCCCAAGGGCGTCAAGACCAGCTGGATCATGAATGAATACCGCCTGGTCGATTCACCTGACGCAAAACACAACGGGAGGCACACCAAGCACCTCGACTCCATGAGGGTGAGATACCTGTTATTTCTAATCTCGCATGGGGTTCGAAATCTAGTGTAATTGATTCATGCATCGCTCGAACCCGGGAACGTAGCTTGACGTACTTACAGAAATTTCGACCTTTAAAAGAATGAACGCCTATTCATATCTCTCGTGTCTCCGATATTTGCAGTTGGATGATTGGGTACTCTGCCGGATTTACAGAAGGCCCAATGGTGGACCCGTCTCATCATCCGGCGGCGACTGCTTCGAGACCAATCCTGAGGACTCGGGCTTCCCCGTGGGACCTTGGGCGGCTCCAGGAGAGGCTGACATCAAGCTCTCGAAGTCTTTCTCGAGCGAACTGCTCCATGATGCGGACTACTCCGTGTTATCTAGGCTACTTTATGAAAATCAGCTGGGGTTCACCCCAGAGCTCGGTTACCATCTGGGTCACGCCACGCTAAACGGCCAGACCCTTCCCCACGCTGGAGGAGACAACTCCGTCGACGTCTCGCGGGAGTCTCCTTCTGTCATCGGAAACTGTCAAAAGCGCCAGAGAACGTCGGCAGACTATCTAGGGGAAGTTGGCACCTCGTCCTTGGATCAGCCGAAGAGATATAACAGTGCATGCAAAAGCTACACCGCCTCCGCCTATCAAATGGACGAGAGTCCTCCTCGTTGCAGCGTTCTCACCCAACCGTTTCTACACCAGAACATAATGTTGACCTCCAACCTAGGATTTCAGTGAACTTCTTCGCGGATTGAGAAAGGAAAAAGGAGATCCAAAAAAAAGAAGCATAGAGAAGCTTGTTTGTTTAGTTTTCCGGGTCCCTCACCGCACAGAAGAAACTGTACAGGGTTTTCTAAAAAACAAATTCAACGGGCATGTGAAGCTTGATCGGGTTTCAGAAAAGAACGGATACCGTGAGCTTCAGATGAACGGCATCGTGAGTAGAAGAAGTTTATCCCTTGGATAATGTAAGAAACTTAAATTAGATTAGTCGTTGTATTGATGAGGTTTGAATCGGGTTTGTGGCTTTTCTCACTATCTTCGTATTTAATAAGAGCTATGGGATTATCTTAGCGCATCCAGACGTTCAACTCTCACAATTACTTGCCAATGATTAAAGAAGATATTTTAATTAACCGTTTCAGTGAGGGAATATTTAAATTTCATCTCGTGATAAATATAAAATAACACGTGTGAGATATAAGATCGAATTAAAATAACATTTTAATTAACCGTTTCATTTTATATATTTTCATATTATATTTTCGCAAATATGGCGTTTTGATTCCTACGAAATAATATTCATCAATTCTCCCCACGATGCCGTTAAGATTATGCAACGCGATGCTCTGGACTGTGCGTCAGCATAACTATGCTATTTGCTTACAACTTCAAGTTTTGGCATCGATATGAAGTTCATGCGTCTTGACAGGGACGTCCCCCAGCCAACAACAAGCCTGTAAGAGGCTACAGATTAATTTATTAAACCGACTTTTCGCCCTTATGATGAAAACGCTTTTATGGGTAAATCCATCTGTATTTTCGATTTGCTCATGAAGTTTTTACCGGCCACTTGATCCTTGTGACTTAGTCTTTCGACTAAAGAAGTATGACTAATACGCTCAGAATATTTTCTAGCCCAGTAGTCTATTCTATCTAAAGACCGAGGGATTTGTTAATCATTCACCTGCATAAATCTGTGGAACATCTGGTTTAATTAGGGTAAATGTGATGGAATATGCCGTAAGAGGTAAACGCAAAGGTTCAGGTAGTTTGTACCACTACCATCTATTGCGTGCTCGCTCGGCCTTCGCAGATATGTTGCACTCCACGAGAGCTCGAAGTGCGTATTCCAAAGGAATGTATGCCGAGAGGCCTACGCCACGCGTCTAACAAAAGCGAGACTTTCAGAGCCAGTGAAGGAGGTCCCGGGGGAGACTTTGAAAAATACCCACAGCCCGGTTCAGCCCCTTCACGTGTGCTGCAGTCAAAGACCCGCCACTAATCTTTATCTAGCCAAGTTTGACGTGGCTGCGTAGCTACCATTCAAGGCCGTAAGAGATCTCTGTTCCTCTTAAACATATGCTTAATTAACAAGTGCACTGTAGGTTCCACGGCCCACTTAAGCTAGTTATATCGACTGAGGAGATAAGGATGAGAGAAACATTCGGCTACAGTCACTTGTAATACGAATAGACTAAAACCGAACGCCCCAGTGGATCGATGAGAAGAAATTGCCAGGAGTTTACCCCGGCGTCGACACCCAAAACTGGCGGCGGCGGCGGCGGCTGCGGCGGCAGATATGGACCCGATCGCATGTGGAGACTGTGCACTGGGTCCCCAGCCGCCCAGACTGATACTTATCCATCTCTTAATCCTGCAACCGACGTCATAATAGAGGTCATCGGCCCAATCAAGGAGAGTTGAATGAGGAGCTGAATGAGAGATTCAACTAGCTTAGGACAAGTGTTCGCCATGACATTTGCATGTGGACCCGGCGTCATACGAAGTTGCGCGTTCTCTTAATATAATTCGAATTGAGTTGAAAAACAGGGCCATTATCAACTTAGGGTTCGTATCCATCAGGGCCCCTGAATACGATTTTGTTTTAAATCCCAGCACAGTAAACCTATGCATTATATTAGTGAGCTTCAAGATAAACTCATCTGGCGTGAACCTTTAATGCAGACCAAAGTAGAGTAACACCGCCAAAGTTATAAAACCAGGGTCATTTGGAAACTAATCTGGCTCAGGTTATGCCTTCTTTAAGTGACGATACTGCCCTCCAAGATACAGAGGGTCTCATCACGAATCCTCCAGGATCTGATAATCACTCTCAGCCCCAACCATCCCCCCACCCCACCTCCCATGTTCTTCCCACCATGTTCCTCCAAATAGTAACTCTGCCCACCAAGCTACACGTGTGAGTCGCCTTGGTACGTGGTCTCATGAGATTTACAAATGAAGACGTCGCCAGCAGTAGATGGAAGTCTGCGATGGAATCTGCGGCGGCGACGACGCAGAAGGCTAGCTGTGAATCCACCGACGGCCTTGTGGCGACATCGTGGTTTCTTCGACTGGCAGCCAGCAGGGAGCTGGCCACTTGAGTGCAAAAGCTCGTGGTCTCGAATTTTATTTCCTTAGCCGATATCATATCAGGAGATGCTCCAATGCCGGCGCCCTTCAGCCCGACCCGCCGCCGGCCTTCCACGTCGCCGTCGGCAAGTAATGACACGGGAGTTGGTGGGGAAGGCAAGCGAAAATAGGGACCGTGGGGTGATGTTGATTACCGAGAGAGAGGACAAGCTCCTTCGCCGCTCGACGCTGAACCAGGTGGACGTTGTTTCCCGCACTTCGACGATGGGCGAATGAATCTGTGAGAGCATGGATACGGATCCGCGTTGTCGGTTAATATTTACACGATGTACGTCCAGGTTATGTTTACACAAAATTGAACGGCATTTCATTGATATATTTAGACACCGGGAGATTTAAAGCAATTAACATTACTCAGGGACTTACTAATACCTCTGAAAAAATATGATGATATTTCAGAGGGGTTGACTTCTTCTATCTGTAGAAATTTTCCAGACAGACGTACTGGGCAGGCGAACCACTCTAGCGCCCTCCATCCAGTATCCAGAATGTTCATCCAACGGTGGGCCTGAGAGTTGTGGGCTTTCCCCGGATGTATTGCCCATCGGATCTCTCGGCGTTGGACATTGGATCCGGCGGCAGTCGACCATCATGCGGGCCGTGGGAGCTGCGGCGGCGTTCCCGACGACAAGTGTAATATTTTGAATGTTTTATGAAATAATTTACCTACGTCTGCTTGATATGTGTGTGTGTGTATATATATATATATATACATATATATCAGTGTCTTTACTTTAATGCCTCCGACCTGGAGAGACAGACGCGCTGATTTTTCTCCCTCTCTCACGTTCCTTTTTCTCCCAAATTCTCTCTCCTCTCGTTCCTCGTTCTTTCTCTTCCTGATTCGAATGGAGTCAGCGAGGTATGGACGGAGATTAGGTATGACCGACCTGCGACGTTAGGCCACCGACAGCCTCGCCACAAAAAGTCGTGGCGTGGGCAGATAGCAGGCCGAGCTAGAGGGCTTGAATAGGGTAGGTCATTGTCCAGGCAATAGGCCCGAATAGAGTGATACGTTTGGCCAGAGAGGAGGCCCAGCAGAGTCAGGAGTTTATCTGGGTATCAGGCCCGATTTGAGCAGGCCGTTCAAGAGTTGGTTGCGTTTAATACCCATGGCCATGAACTTGTGGTAGTGGATGTTGTAGCCGTGGACTCCACCCTTGTTCTCTAGTAAGGGTGCTGATGGGGACTGATGATGGACAAGAGTCCAGGCCTTGAGCCTAGGGAGCCCAGTGGCCTCATAACGCATTGAGAGAGAGAGAGAGAGAGAGAGAGAGGCAGGCCCTGTAATAGAATTTTAGTTTATTTTACCAAGTCATCATACAATCCATGTTTTATCTGTCGAGAACAATGATCAAATAGAATTGAAGATATACTTCAGATGGTTAAAAGAATCGCCCAATATTTCAGGTAGGTGGTTCCATTTGTAAGATTGTCTTGATATGTATTGATACAATATTTGTGTTTTATTATTTATAAACAGGTTTTCTTTGGAATTATTTTCCTTCAGTCAATAATGCAGGGTTACCAATTATTTTAATATAGTTAAATAGCCATTAATACACCTTAGTAAAGCGAAATATGAAATGTGCGTGATAGAAATGCACGAAAATATGATTAAATTATGAATCATGCGTGCACAATAATTCATAAAGATAATTAAATACTATGAGTGATGTAATACTGACGTTGTGAGAACGATACGTTCTTCAAGTATGTAATAAAGATTGGAGAAAGGATGTGAAGGTAGATGGATATCCTCTTAAACCCAATGTAGTGAAGTTGGAGGTGTGGGTAGTACTCTCAATTATTTTAAAAATTGAAACTATCTCGCTCACTTTATGTGCTTATGTCATGACTGGATACATGTTATTAAAGTCCAAAATGATGTCATAAACTAAGATATAATTATCACACACAAATATATAATAGGAATGTAAAGACATCAAAATGTTAAATTTTAAGTAAAATTGTAAAATGAAAATCCATAATTTATCTATTTAATTGATGATTATTTCAATGATAGTTTTACTAATATATGATAATAGCATGTATTAAAATCATTTTTATTTTTCTATTTTTCATTTTGTGAAAATGACATATAAGGTTGTCATTAGTTGTAATGACACACTTACCCTTTTTCTCTATTTAAGGTAAATGACATATGCAAGATGTGAGTGATGCTACAACATTCTCCAGGGATTAATTGCATTGTTGTATAACTGCTTTATTGCCACTCTTCACTTAACTTGTTATAGCTATGTAGAAGATCCGTAAGTGTCTTTTTTTCAATCAAAGACAATTTTGAAGTTATTTTGTGTAATACATGTTGCTTAAGTGTTGATACTTGGTACTTTTGAATTCGTCATATATTGTCCTTAATTCTGTAAGGCTGCCTCCTTAAGTTTTGTTTCAAATAAGTCATCATCAAAGTATTGTTAGGTAGGCCCACATGGGCATGTCATGATAATGCGAGAGTGTAAAGGTCAGTATCAAGGAGATGGAGAATTGTTCCTAATCATCTATGATGGGAAGGATTGTTGAATTGACGGGACCAAAGAGTTGTTTATTCTAGCTCATTGAATGCGTTGAAAGGCAGCCTTTGGACATCTAAAGACATATGATGAAGAAGAAAAAAAATGGAAGAACAATGGGTGATAGGACTCAATATTTATCTCACAAGTTCATGCTTATTTATAACACTTTTCTCAAACTCGATGCACATTTCATCATCGATTATTTGGGATTTCCAATATTTTTCCCTTAATTTGGATGAAGTCATTTGTTCCAAATTTTTTAATCTTCCTTATATATTTGACGAATTATTTATAGCAAAGAATGGTAGATGAGCATGCATTTGTTTTTTTTCGTTTTCAACTCTTTTTCTAATAATACCAGGTGAGATGGTTTCCATAATTGTTTTAAGTTGAGTAAATCATTCCATTTTTTATGTATAAATTCGTTTTCTTTGTCGATGTGCTAAATTATGATTCAATATAAATCACAATCAAGTGATAGTCAATTGCACAGACGCGTTTCATAACTAAATGTATTACTATTCTTCTGAATCTTGTCTTCTTCTTGTTTTTCTCAGTTCTTACCCATCTTTGTTACCTTCACTGTTTCATTTAGCTACTTTCTTCAACCATATTTTTTGACTGTTTCATAGTTTACTTGCCGATTAGTGGTAGTGGTTCCAATATTTTAACCGCACCTGACATCGGATGGCAGATCGACCCACTTCCGACGGACATTTATGGCGAAAGAGATAGAATCTGGGGCGACGGCGAGGTGGGTTGCTCATTTACTGGACCAGCGTTGGTTGCCGGCCGGCTCCATTGTAACCCTCTCTTGGGTGTCAGCGACGAGGCACGCGGAGAACGAGCGAGTCAAACCCACGGCCCGAATCTCTCTCGCTGTTCTCATCTATCCACGGCGGCGGCGCCGAGTGTTTATCACTGACGGTGAGACTCCTAGTGTGAACGGAGAGGTGGCTCGCAACGGCTGCTGCCCAGCCCAGTGATATGGCTCACTCGGGCCCCAGCTTGCCCGCTTCGTCCCGCCGGTCGTCACTGTTCACTCACGTGTGTGGTCGTCTCCCCCAGTGAGCCATGACGCACCACGTCGTGCAGCGCCAGCCACACTGCCGTTAGAGCGTTGCCCACCGGCCGGCATCACCAGGGGGCCCAGAGCCCGGTGCTTCCTCTGATGTTATCAACGTTTAGGTATTCTTTGATATCGACACTGATTATCGGGTGCGCCGGGTTTCCCGACGGCAGCTTGGCGGAATGCGGCAACTCGCGATGGAGATGAGACATAGGCGACTCCGCCAGCGTAGAAAACGCGGAGTTGATTCTCGTAGTCATGAGGCACGATGGGTGGCCGCGATGACCGGGTCAGAGTTCTCCTTCTGGAGAACAGTTGGCAAGCTCCTCCTAGTCAATGAGCACTTTGACTCTGAAGGGGTCTTGTTTTGATGATCATGGCCCTTCATGAGGTCTTCAGCGCCAGCGAAGGCGGTCGGCTCTTCGTTGCCCTAATGAAGCAATGCAATGTCATGCAGCAACGTACTCGGTGCAGTGGTGGCGTTAATACTGGGCATGTCCCGCCTAAAAGTTTCGTCTTCCTTCCTCGTCTGGATTGGGGCGACGCCCTCTCCAGCAAAAAGGGGCGCACGCGTTGAGACAGTTGTCGCCAACTTTCATCTCTCTGGCATCCCAGCCGGCTGCCTTCACTGGCCCCAACCTCTCTCTCTCTCTCTCGTTTCTCTCTCTATGAGCACACACGCGTTTTTGAAGGGGAGGCATTAGAGGCTTAAGATCAGAGTTTAGCCCCGAAGAAGTCAAGATCATTTCCCATCGAGGAACTCAACCCTAATCGTAAGTTGCAAATCTTGATGATCCTCACACTCTAATGACTCCAAAAACCACCCTTTCGTCAGACCGCTATCCTCAACTATTATTCCCCGAACCCTCTTTGATGATCCATCAAGCAGAGGGAGGCACCGTTCGTCAAGCGGAGGATTAATAATTCACCCGCTGCGTACCGTCATGTGACCATCGCGTCACCGCCAGCTGCCTCACCACACCGGAATTTTGCACTGTTAGCCACCCGAGCAATTTATGTACCCTGCTCGCGTCAGCACGTGACACCGCCTCGTTCTCCGGCCCCCCTGTCCCTTTATCTTCTCGTCGTGGTCTGCGTCCCTAGCCACAGAAATCCTGATGACGCCATTGACGCAGACCCCACCCCTCTCTGATGCCATCTCTCTGATTTGGACAGTTCAAATCGAGTAACCTAATGGGTCCAGTGAAGCACACCGCGCATCCCATAAAAGATGTTTAGTTCTTCAGTTACCCACGCGGAGAGGCGAAAGGGGACTAGCTCGCACCCGGCCAAGGGAATAAAAAGATCGGGCCTCATCGGACGGCGGTGGCTACGACGGTGATGTATGGCGTGTTTCAACGGTGGGCCGGTCGGTGGGGGGAAGGGATGGGCTGTCTACTTCGGTCATGTCCCTGGTTGACGTCAGATCAAGAGAGCCATCGACTCGGCAACCGGGTCAACACGAGGGGACGATAATTTTAGTTAGGCATCTCGCCCAACGCGGCCGCGCCGCCTTCCACCTTCAAACCCCTCGCGATTCTCTCTGTTCCAAAATATCTATGCTCTTAGCCATCTCCAACCCCGTCAATGTGTATAAAATAATCAAAACAATGCCCACGAAGTTGGCGAACGCGTGCCGCGCTCTCGGCCATAGCTGACGGCAGGTACAGTGAGACCCTCGACAGCCCTATACGGTTAAAAGGAAGGGTTCCCATGGGTTATTGACGGCAGGACGGATCACCGAAGATGCCGCAAGGGAAAACAGATGGAACTACCTTCATGAGGCTTACTTCCTTTTCTAGTCACTAGATACTCCAAAACATAATCGGGCCCAAGTAACGTCTTACATTAATGAGGAAACTGACGCTGCCCGTCTTAATGTTTCCGCCGAAGGATGAGCTCAATCGCCAAATCCCAAAGTGGTTGAGAAATTCTGCGAATAAATCTCCAACAAAGTTCATTTGACGTCAACAAGTCTTTTGTGAAAAAGGTAACCAGCCTTCTCCTGATTAGCCAGCTCTACATTAACTCTTAAATATCACGCGGCAATGCACCCTCTCTGTCTTGGTTTGACGAGCGAGCTTCTGACCCTGCAAAACCAAAGCGAGGAAGCTCCGTCGCTCCTGCACTCTGGTTTGGGAATGGCCGTTCAACCAGAGAATTTTGAAAGGATTCTTCCACGGATGGACAGAGTGGGGGCCGCTCAGACTTTCCCATCTAATCGTTCTGGCTCTAACACTTGACATACGGGTGACGAGGAAGAGGAGGGTATGTGGATTGAACGTGCCGTCCTATAAAATACACGGCGAAAAGTCCGGAATGTCAAAGGGGAGCGGAGGTTCACAGCTCGAAATAAGACAAGCCCCTTTCCTTTTCAGGAGCACCCAGGGGGCGGCGTAAACCACGCCTTCGGACGGCACATTGAGCCCCACGGATACTTCAACGAGGTTCATCAGAAAACAAGACCTGTTAGCCTTCTCTCCTTTGTTTGGAGGAAGACGAAGGTCTCAAAAGGGTGGGAGAAACATAACCTCTAAGGCGGTTTAAAACATAGAGAGCCAGTCCAGCTTCTCTCTATGTTCGCCGTTCTTCGAGGACCCCTTTGTCAAGGGGCAGTAAAATGCCCTGGCCCCGTGGGACCATCTCATCCGGAGGAGTCGACAGAAAGGGAGTCTATAAAAGAGACGATTAAGACCCGGACAACGGTAGCAATTTTCTATTGGTTATAGTCAATATAAAAATACCATTAATATCCGGGAAGAAGCTTCTTGGGAAGTGCCTTGCGTTCCAAGGGTCTTGTGTCCGGGGTCTCCCGGCGAACTCTATTTAGGTCTAGAGTCTTGCCACCGTACCTTCTTTCTAACTCCCTTCTCGAGATCTCGCCGGGCATTTTCCTCGGATTACTGTACGGGTCCTTTCTGATTCTCTCTCTCCCTTCCCCTACCTCTATCCTTTCTTCTACTTTCGTTCTGCAGATCGTCTTGCTCTTCTGTTCTGGAGTATCCGATCTTTCGCATGTCTCCTTACGGAAGAATCGGAATAATAATTGGGCTTCCCTTTGCAGATATCCTTTTAGGCTCTCAACCTTCTGCTGTTCGTAAGAGGCGATTTGAGTGGTTACAGGTGCAACACGGGAGGCCCCCATGGGAGACAACTTGATGGACTTGCCTCCTGGTTTCAGGTTCCATCCAACTGATGAAGAGATCATAACTCACTACCTACGAAAGAAGGTCGTGAACAAAACCTTCAGCTCTATAGCCATAGGGGAAGCAGATTTGAACAGATGTGAACCGTGGAATCTTCCAAGTAAATTTCCCTTGAAATATTCACCCTTGTATCATTCATCTTTTGCGCTCTTCCTTTCCAATTGTTTTCCTTGATCTCATTCTTGTCGCTGCATAATTTCCAGGCAAGGCGAAGATGGGGGAGAAGGAGTGGTATTTCTTCTGCAAAAGGGACAAGAAGTACCCAACTGGAACGAGGACGAATAGGGCCACGGAATCTGGATATTGGAAGGCCACTGGAAAAGACAAGGAGATATTTTACAGGGGAAAGTCTTCTCTCGTCGGAATGAAGAAAACCCTTGTGTTCTACCTTGGAAGAGCTCCCAAAGGACAGAAAACCAACTGGGTGATGCATGAATACAGGCTTGAAGGAAAATTCTCAGGCTACGACCCTCCAGGAACTTCCAACGTACTTTCCCCCTTCCTCTTCAAATGATTCCTTATTTCCACTCCTTCGCAACCGCATGAATAATTCTCAACCTTTTGTGATCGCAGGATGAATGGGTTATCTGTAGAGTGTTTCACAAGAGCACAGGTCCAAAGACGAGACCTTCACCTGAGCTTGAAAGAACCGATTCCTTTGGAGCGTTGCTCTCGTCTGCAGATGATCGCTTCACCTACAACGGCGATGGCATGGCTGTCAAAGCATCCTCCACCGCCATGTTAAATCCTTCCTATCTGGCCTCCACCATGCCCATGGAGTATCCTCGAGATCCACAGAGATCCTTCTTTACCAACAATAATGGTGAACTCTGCTCCGGCTTCCCATCCCAAGAGGCCATTCTCTACCCTCAAGGAGCCGTCGGCCTTCCTGGCCAGCTATCCCCCTCGTCGGCCAACGCCGGCTACATGCACCAGGACAGGAATCTCGGCTTTCCTTCTCAAACGACAGCAACTGCATTCAGGAGTCACACCAAGGTGGAACAATACTCTAATCCCTCTTTCGTAAGCGTTTCACAAGACACGGGGCTGAGCACTGATATGAACACCGAGATATCGTCGGTCATCTCTACGCGTGATGTTGGCGTCTCTCGGTCATATAACGATCCAGATTATCCCTCCTCTTCGGCCACTCCGGCGGACGATTACATCAGCTTCTGGGAGTACTAAAGGTGCTTGGAGATATCTTGTGCATCAGTCCCCTTTGTGAGGAACTGGTTCCTCTTTGCAAGGTCCCTGAAAGACAGTGACTTGTCCTTCTGATATTCTTACTGTATATACTGCTTGAGCTGTTTTACACATACAGATTACATATTACTGTACTGTCTGTAAACGGAAAATATATTGGAACAAAGGGTAGAGAATCTCCGAGCATCATTTAGATTTATAGATACTCTTTTGTTCATTTTCTGGACTCCTTGATGCCCACCGTCTCTTCTTCACTTCCTAATACTTCACCCATCGATAAACTGTATGCTGTTCTGATTCTGGATCTACTTCCCTTTGATGAACCTATTGCCTAACCATGTTAGATATACGATTCTCTCATCTTGCTCTCAATACTCTGGTCACTTGTTGTGTCGTCCCATCCGAGTCGATGTCTCTCATGACTCATAGAGGGGCCTTCTTCGCCTGCATCTGGTAGACACAATTCAATAACCCCCTTCTCTTTACGAGGCTGCTTCTTCGTGAATTTGGAGTCATGCCCTCCTTTTACCCTTCTTAGTGCAAGAACCAATTCTATGCCTCCAGAGATATTCATGAGTTTTTCCCGATACATTCACCTCTTTAATGTACAGGCAATCTGGATCTGTGCATTCCCTGCGGTGCCAGCCATGTAGCAAACTTGTTTCCATGGTGCCGGACTTCACTTGTGGCGTTCCTGATACTCCTTCATGAACCATCTTGCACAAGCTCTTGGTTCCCGGTGCACGTGGCCTGTGCTCGAACGGCTTGCCATCTGCCGAGCAGAGAGACCTTTCAGTTTTGGATGTGTCCACTGAAGGATTCATATTCGGAGAGAGAGAGGAATAACATGACCACAGCATACAAAAGATGGGGCTTCGAGCGCAAATAGGAAAGAGTCAGTTAAAAGGGTGAGGTCAGGATAATGAAAAAGGAGAGAATAGGGAGAGCGGTTCATGTGACTCGATGGCCAGGTCTCCAATTCAACGCAGAGAATATCAAGCTTCCTTGTGAAGGTAGGAAGGAACGAGCTTTCTGCCAGTCCCTCTCCTGATATCCAGCATTAACAGCTGGGAACGGGATATGGTTGTCGCTCAACCCGCGCCCTCATGTGCTACCTATCCGAGCTCCTTCTCGGGCGGCACGTGCTACTCATGAATTTTCTCCATGAAAGACTTGTCCCCAAAGACTTGCTACTCATGAATTTTCTCCACGGCAAAAATAATCTCTCCGTAGGTCGGTCTAATTGTGTGCTGACTGTCGTCGATGAATTCCTCGATTTGTATATAAAATCCATGATGAATAAAGTAAACGTCAAACAAACTTCTATGTCTAACATTCAATGAAACAGTGGCCATTTAAAGTAAATTTGACCTATACGAACCTTATAGTATGTGCTCTGAATATTCAACGTGCAGTGAGGAGCTTTCTGAAAGGGACTCGTTCGGGTTACAGATCATCACGCATCTAGTAGGAATTGATCCATCGACCTACGAAGAACTCTAATCGATCGATAATACAGATGTCCATGATCCATGTGCCGACTCAGTTTTTTTATTGTCTTTAGATTCAAAACTAATTCGAGACTGGAATTAAAGTCGAAACAGCAACTTAGTCTCTATACCGGTTAAGTCTAAGAGTCAATAGGGTTCTCGACCGAAAATAATATTCCCACTTTTATCTTATGATCTAGCCGTATCGAAATAACTCATTGCTAAGATATTATAACTCTCTATACTTGACACTTTATTAAAATCGAATAGGTGAATATTGTAAATCCAGTTTGGCCCCGACTTCATAAAATTATTTATTTCATGAACTTAGATTGACAAGTCCACATGTCCCACGAGAAAGCAGTCATTTTCGTAGTTAATGACATGCATATTCCAGCTGCGAAGGAGAATATACGTCGTGCGATGAGAGACTAATTACCTGTCCCAGCAACAGTAGTCTTCCACACGCACGCTAATTAAACAGGCGCCGTTGCCGGTGTCTACAAGACTCTTCACATCTCCCATCAGAAGGTTGCGATCTTAATCTTGATTCCAGGAACCGTTTCTAGTCATTTAATATCTATCGATGATCTGTTGTTTAACTACGTCCGGTAATGGGGGGAAGAAGCCATGCAGTCCGGCACGACCCAATTTATTCCGAACGTGGGAGTCCAAATTAATCCCGAATATACGATAGTTTGTAACATGAAACATTTAGAATCCATTACCTTGTTAACCCTCTTACGATGATTCACGTCACATCACTTCTAGAACTATACAGAAGGCTGGATCGAACGAGTCTAGGGTTTTTCACAAGTCTATCTAACTAGGTTTTCAATGAAACGTGTAAAAGACGCTTCAGTGGGGAGACTAGGGAAAAGTCAACGATATATGGGAAAACGTCAACGATCCATGGGGAAAGTCAACGATATATGTGAAACAGGTTTTGAGGGCTCAACGTAACTCCAAATTATGGGAATATACCATTGCTGACTTTCTGATGAGACAGGCAGTCGGATAATGCCAAGAGCAAAGCATTTACCAGCCGCAAAAAGGCTAGAATCATTTACACCAGTTGTACAGTTTGGTCGTAGCCTTTCAGTCGTCGGGTTCTCAGACGGAAAGACAGGTAGCCCACCCCAAATCGTCTGGCAGGCCCTGCACGATCTGTGTTTCATTTTGTTAACAAGGGCTTCTTCCAAACGATGTCCTTAGGAAGAAAGGAGAAGCTATTGTACTGCTTGTAAGGAATTAATTCGACGTTGCAGTATCCTGAGGAAAATAGAAATGGCCCGAAGGTTTCCAAAAATAAAGGAATTTAATTTTTCCGTTCCAATCATATTATTATTCATATAAACAAGAAGGAAACGTATCGTAACTCGAACTTCTGCAAGTTTCGATCTCATAACTAAGGCGGAAAATTAATTTTCTTGGAGTAACCCAGTTTGGTTTTCATCCGAACCAACGCAAGAGTTTGATAATGCCCGGCCTGAAAGGCTGATATGTGCCCTCCAGACATTGGGTCCTACATGAGTGAAAGCCACTCTCTCTCTCTCTTCCTCTCTCTCTGTTTCTCCCTCTCCCATCCCCTCCCCCCAAGATACCCTTGAATAGGTCTGACCTGGAGCCCTTGCATGAGTCTGACCTGGACCTTGTAAAGGACAACCCAATCTGAGGGAGCTTGACAAGACGTGGCCTGAGTTGCCTCGTTGACACTCCTAATCACTTAGATATCGAATTCTTCAGTCGTAGTCACCAGCGCAGAGGTAACAGTACCGGCCTTCATATATTTAGCCTTTCTCCTTAGCGTGGAATATTCGGTCACAACGCGTAAATCCGCGCGTTCAGAGAACATTCGCTGGAACAGTATTGGCAAGTTGAAACAACATCTCCCAGATCTTAAGAGGAAGCATCTACAATTTTATATGGGATACGTTGCGAAGACGTGAAGATTCTAGGCGGAGACGCTGGTTTAGTTTAATACGATCATTAACTAAACAGTTATCCAAAAAAGAGCCTCCATCTACACTATGAAGATAAACTATCTGCCAATAAAGTCCACGTTCTATCTGCCAATAAAGTCATTGACCCAATGCCACATTCTTCCAGATCGAAACTGTTTGATGAGCTTACACCGTGATTAGTTCAATTATTTCTCTGAAAATTATCAAAGTCTTTGAATGATTGTGATACGTTATGAATCCTGCTTCATACTTTTGAAGGAATTTCGTAAGCGGGGTAAGCCTATATTACCCCTGAACATTGAACTCAAAATCTAGACTTGATAGGAAGAAAAAGGCCTGTTTTCTAATCGCACGGCCTGCCCTGAGGCCTATTATAGAATGGGCCTGAACTGAGCTCTGGAAGGCCCGGAGTTCAGCCAAAAGACCATTTCGAGAAATCCCCAGAGACTCGGGTTCGGTTTGGGAGTGCCCGAAAAAGTTAGTGAACTCATAAGTGTAAAACAAATCATTTTCGTAGCTCACTTAGATGTATATATTAACTTACGAAACATCTATTATGCAAGCAGAACGTCCGGCGAATACAGGAGTCGAGTTTGGCCAAGCTCTAGTCGACGCAGTTCCACGGGAAATCAAAACCATGCAATGAGACATGCGTTTTTCGCTCATGCAGCATCACGACGGGCAACTGAGGAAGCGCGGAAGGTCGATCAACCCACAGAGGCCCAAAAAAAAAAGTAACATGGTACACGCTTCTGTTCCGTGTCATACGAAACCAAAAAATTCTCCTAGTAATAAGATTATTCTTTCTTCAAACGTATGCGAATGAGACGACGATTAAGATTCCGGATTTGCCGAGAAAGTTGGGGCAGTCACAGTTTGAAAAGCGCGGAAGACCGATCAACCCACAGAGGCCAAAAAACAATTAAAATGGTACAGGCTTCTGTTCCATATCATACGAAACCATAAGATTCTCCTAGTACTGAAGATTAGTCCTTCTTCAAACATAAGCGAATGAGATGACGATTAAGTTTCTGAATTTGTTGAGAAAATTCGGGCAGTCGCAATTTGAGAAGGTCGGAGATTTTGCGCAGCGGAAGCCTAGAGCTTGATGACGATTTCTCGAAGTAAACCGTTCATGGATGACGATTTAGCGAGCTGTCTGGCACAAGAGGGACGATATTGGGAGGATCGACAGATGGCAGCAGTGCCGTTTTCCTGACATTTCCGCCCATCAATCGTCTTCAAGGTATTCTCCTAAATATAAGCCTGTGGGCCTTCCGATCCTCCGGCGGGTCTGCCGATTGATTACCTTACCGGGAAGTATGATAACATGCCGGCTGCTCTTCCGGAAAAGGTTGAGAGAGAGAGAGAGAGAGAGGGAGGGACGTGTGGGACTTTTGTTCTCTCCACGTCTCATTGTTAGAAGCGTTCAAGTTACAGTCGGCGATAGATGGCAACGGTCCAACAGCAGGGGGAAGAAGACGACGACCGTATTGCCAGTCATTGAGATCCTTTTCTTAGGCTCCACGCAAGAATGAGTCATTCTTTGGGTGCCCCTCGCTCGCATATCTGCGACGAGGGGTAAATCTCGGTTTCAACGGTAGCTTCGGTAAGTCGTAAATTCGGAAGTCAAGGGAAGTCGTGGGCCATATAAAAATAGTCAACGGGGCCGGGCCTCTGGCCTTCGCAACCCAGAACATAGCCCTTTCACATGGCCCGGAGGAAAGTCTGGACAGCGAGAGAAAGCAAGAAAGCTACTAATCGGAGGGGCCCAATTGAAGCCCAAAACATGGTCTGGGTCAAAGAGCCCTATTTTATAGGTCAACGTATTTTGGAGGGTCAACCTTTGAACAACTTGCTCATACTTGCCCCTGATATCGTAACGTTGTCCTTCACCGTGTACTCTCACGATGCGGTCTTCTCCCACGATCAAACACCGTCCCATCAGCAAGCTGCCTAGGGATATTTTTCACGCTGACTGCAAATACTCCCATGATTCTTGGGATAGGACTGGCCTAGAATGGGTTTTATGGCGGACTTTTCGCCTCTGCTCTTCCGTCCTGCTCCGTCGGTGAAAAACAGAATTTTGACTTTTCCACCGCCAATTTGACTTTTTCCACCGCCAATTCGAGCTACAGAACTGGAGACACGTCCGAATGATCAACGCCCACATACGCGTTTCAGTTGTCCGCTGGTTTTTTTTTTTTTTCTTCAACGTATTATTTCCTTTTTTTGGTAGAGGAAACGGAGTAATAATTGTTATGGAAAATACCCGTCAGTTTTTGTAAATTCTGAAAATAAATATTGCAGAGATTCGGGATACAGGGAGGAGATAGGTTTTTGCCACGTGTCGCTATCTGGGGGAAGAGAAGCTTCACGAACGTCTCGTTTCTCTGATGGCCGCGTTGCCCTGGCATCCGCCGTCTGTCTGGAGATGGGCTCCACAAGCCGGTCGATCAACGGCTGGAAATAAGATAATCCCCAAAAAAATGTAGATAAGGCAACACTTTTTGTGGATTAGTTTGTAACTTTTCTAGAGAGAGAAAGAGAGAGAGAGAAAGAGGCGTCTGCCATAAGAAGGCATTTGGATAGCGCAGTAGCTCCCACCGAGTTCTTGTTATCGACGACAACTCCTCTCACTCCGTTCTATTGTCTGAAAGTTCGAAAACGCTCTCGGGATCTGATCGCGGTGTCTAGGGGATTCGCGAGTTGTCCTCTCTAATCGGCAGAAAGGGATTTGATCGTCGAGGGAAGATGTCTGATGTGCTGGGTAAGAGCAGCCTCCTGTCATCGTGTGGGCGGCAGTTAGCCATCTGTGGGTCTCGCGGGGGAGCCGACGGCAACCGCTGCCTCGCCGGCCTCTGTTTCGGGCGGTCGCCTCAGACTGTCGAGTCTTTGAGGTTCTCCTCTGGCTGTGACTTCCATGGGACGGCGGTGGTCCAAAAGAAGAACTGGGGGAAACCCGCGAAAGCTTCCCAACAAGCAGCTGTACCCGTACAGGTACTACAGACCTCAAATCCGAAAATCCCTAATCTATGGTGCTCTATTTTGATGTTATTGTGGAGGAAGAACCCGCTCCGTGCTTCGTTTTCTTCTTTTTTTTCCGCCTTGCTTTCGATCTAGGGCTTTTAAATCAACTATTATGGGGTCAGTCTATTTCCCCCTTCCTCTCTTTATTAATTTAATCGATCAGAACCTTAGATGCGATCGGAGCCCTCATAAGAATTTCTACTATTAGATTTGATCGGTGTTTCTGATTCTTCCCTTGTTGTCGCAGATGACCCTCAGCATCGGGAAGGCCATGAAGTGGTGGGAGAAGGGCCTCCAGCCTAACATGAAGGAGATCAGTTCAGCACAGGATCTCGTAGATTCCTTGACGAACGCTGGGAACCAGCTTGTGATCGTAGACTTCTTCTCTCCTGGCTGTGCTGGCTGCAAAGCTCTCCATCCTAAGGTACGCACTCGTTAAACGCCATCAATTTCTTCAGATTTGATCGTATTCGAGATTCCCTTGTTGATCTGTTTTGGTATCTGCAGATCTGCCAGTTTGCAGAGAAGAATCCGGACGTTCAATTTCTCCAAATAAACTACGAGAAGCATAAATCTATGTGCTATAGCTTGAACGTCCACGTCCTCCCCTTTTTTAGGTTCTACAGGGGAGCTCAAGGACGCCTCTGCAGCTTTAGCTGCACCAACGCCACCGTAAGCTTCCCTTCCCTTCCCTTCCCTTCCCTGCCCTGCCCTGCCCTGCCCTGTCCTGTGTTTCTTTCTCAACGGATTAGAAATTTAACCCTGTTCAGCCATGGGTTCTGGTCAGATTCCCATGTTTGGGTATCCGTGATTTAGGCAAGGAAAATATCGTCCCCAGATCTTGCCCGTGTTATTGTTGTTTTATTTCTTTCTTTTTTCGGGGATGGGCTTCAGTTTGCAGACAATATCTCCTTCGGAAACAATTATATATTTCCCGAAACTGGTTCAAGATTAAAAATCTCTTTTTGGAAAGTTTTCTTCTTCCTGTGTCTGGGTTTTGACTTCGGACGCTCTCATTTTTCAGATTAAGAAGTTTAAGGATGCGATGGCGAAGCACGGCACCGAAAGATGCAGCCTTGGGCCTGCGAAGGGGCTGGAGGAGTCGGAACTCCTGGCTCTGGCCGGAAACAAGGATCTCTCCTTCACCTACACGGGCAGATCGGAGCCGGAGCTGGAGCCTGTTCCTGGGCTAGTGAAGGAAGCCTCGCCACCGCCGCCACCTGCTCCAAAACCCACTTTCGCCGGCGCCGCCCAAGACTCATCAGAGAAGCCCGTCGTCGCCGCATGGAGATGAACAAGCCGGCGGCTTTTCTTCCGCTCTGTACAGCATCCGTAGAGATTACTCAATGGCCGGGCAGTTGGGAGTGGTGATGTACCTCCCCCCCTCCTTCAAGGCCCAGTGGGGGAAACGACCCCCTATGGAGCGAGAGGATCAGGGCTTTGTTATGCTGTGTGTTCTATCTAGTCTTACAGGCTATGGTTTTTGGATAATTAGCCCTGACACCGTAGATGATGAGTATTGAAAGCTTCCCCTCCCCTCACCCGCCATATTCCTTTTAAATTGGGGAATTGGAGGAGTCCACTTGTATTTCTGGTTCAGAAGATCTGAAAGCTCCATTCGACTTATCTCCACTGCATGTGGCTATGTTTCTGGTTCTCTGTATGTCTTCTGCGATATTTCTATGGGTGCGGGTGGGCTCCAACACGTCATCACACAGTCAGTAGCCCCAATGGAATATTGGGGAGACTGTCTCATTAGGTGGCTCCGCCGTGGACGGCGCCGGCCGGTGGCCTGTAGCCGGTGTCCTCATTCGTGCCGTCAGCCACAGAGTGCGGGACCTGACACTCGCCGGCTTATCCATGACTCTGAGGTTCATGAAGACTGTCTCGCCGGTCAACCCAGTAGATCGAACTGCTACTGTGCATCAATTCCTTATCATGCGATCAACCCACCATGCCGCACTCTCTTCTGCGTCGGCCCCTCTAAGAGTCTTGTCTGTGGAGGGCTCGATTGTGTTCAAGTTTGGCATTTGATTTGACTGTTCTAGCAGAGATCCAAGGGCTTTCTTAATTTCCGCCGACTTGTCGGCCATAATCCATAAGCACTGTTCAGACTGAACGATGGCAGAGCTTGCTTGCGCCGGTGATTGGAGTCGGTATATCCTTCTCGAAGAATTCAACGGAATTGATCTTGTGATGATGTGGACCTGCAGATTTTGTTGAATCTGTGGCGTCCGGTTGACAGATTCCCCGGCATTGCTTGTCGGCGCGGGACGCGGCACTGCGCCAACCGGTGAGGGCGTGGTTGGCTCCTGCTTCCCGCTCCGTCACCACCACTGCCGCCGCCGCTGCCGCCACCACCTCCACATCCCCTGCGTCCTCTCCGCCTGTTCTTTGAGATTCATTGTGCCTCCGGTCGCAGTTCCGCCACCTTCACATCCCGCCAAGCCGCCGGAAAGCGACGAAGAAGGCTTCCGTTAACCCATCGGTAGGAACGGACAAGCCACACGGCGGGAGGGCGTTGGCGGTCGGCGGTACAAGCGTCGGTTTTCCGCCGGGACCTTAGCAGGGCGACGCAAATCTTCTGTACATGGAGGCCTTCTGCGTGAAGGGCCGTGACCCAGCCAACTGGCAGTTCGGCGTTTCACGTGGACACCTCATGGGTCGACGGTGGCCATCCAACTGGCAACTCGGCGTGAATCTTCTGAGCATGGATGCCCTCCATGCGCGGCAGCCACCCAAGTGGCGCTGACGCCCGCCACCAGATCTGGTGGAGGTCCCCGTTTGCAAGTGATAACATTTAGGGTCATCACAAGCTTACTCCGTCAAAAAGGTTACTTTCTTATCACTGATGAGGGAAGAAAGATCTCTCTCTCTCTCTCTCTCTCTCACTTACTCATTCACTGTATACACACATCGGGAGGAACAGACAGAATCAGAAAGTATGCTGTCATTTTTCACTCAATCCGCAGATGAGACGCATGGCAGCTGACGTTCGGTAACGCCACCCGCTCACGGAAGAGAGCGCGCCGCCGCACCCCAGAGTTACCTGACCCACTGAAACGAGAACCGATAACATCAGGAGATCCGTACACTTGTGCGGCTGTTCGCCACCGCTTTGAGCTGCTCTCTGGTCACCCCCACGAAGTAGCAGATCATCTCATGAAATTGCTGCATCCCGGAAAGGGGTAGGATGATAGAAGAGCGGTCGGACTCGGCCACCTGCCCAGATTAGAGATCAGTGACGAACCCAAATGGGAAGAACGGATCTTGGAGTCGAATAAACAAGGAAAAACAGAGACACCCATCGTGAATGGTGCCTCGGAAATCCTGACGATGTGGCCCCTGCTGTTTCCTCCTAAGTCAAAGAAGAACCTCTTCTGGTCGGCTCTGATTACCTTGGAAGCGCCGTGACCCCCGATCTCATCCTGCGGAAGGAGAACAACTGATCGATCGACATTTAGGTTGAACCTGGGAGAAGAATCCGAATGGTGACTACGTATAAACCCAGAACCAACTTCGTCAGAGAGTCGAGGACGATGCTCAGGAGGGGCAGAGTTTTGCTGTTCCAGTAGAACAAGGCGGAGATGAGAACTGAGGATTGGATGATAGTGTGGTCAATTATGTACGCATAAGGGAAAACCTTACCATTCTATCAAGTTCATCATTCATTTGGCTCAGAATGTCCCTGCATGCTGCCCAGCCATGGCACACGGCGCTCCCAGCGGGGACAATGGTTGTGCTACGGTTTCTGCTCACAGAAGCTTCCGACATCTAGCCAAATGCACGCAGTTAGCAGACTGTACTTCGACATGAATTGAACCTAGGTGCATTCTCATCGGTGTGCTGGATTAAAAAAAAAAAACGACACAGGAAGACGGTGATCAGTTTGTCAGTGGCAGGTCGTGGAATCAACGTGTATCACCAAGATGTTGAATGGAGAAACAAACGCCTCCATATGAACTGAGAGTAATAGATACCACGGAAATATACAGAAGAGGGGGAATTTTGTCATAATGGATGATCATCTCAAATGCCAATGGGTTTCCAAATATGGCCAAAACATTCCACAAAGTCGCAGGTAGGAAGAGGATCATCTGGATTGGTATTGTAGACAGAACAAGTTGGCTTTAAAAACCATGTGAGGTCGGCATACCTATAGATTAAAGCTCGCAAAATCTATTACAAAGCACAGAGACAATCGTAAAGTGGACAAAATCTATGACTTCCCATGCCACAGATGGATCTGATCTAGAGGTTTATGGGTGACTTTGGGTCCAACAATGAGTTTTCACGACTCCAGATAAAGCACAAAGAGAAGAACAATGATCATGCTTGCAAACCAGGATTCTCACTTTGCGTGAACCTTGACCAAGATAAGAAACAATAGTTAACCAGTTTGATGCATGTGGGATGGCTGCGTTCTCATCTGACAATGCTGATTGGAAAGACAGTGAAAATATTTGTCGCAAACCTGATCTGAATGTTCAGCAGAGTCCGAGTTTAGTCCGAAAGATGAACGTGATTATAACGAAAAAATAAAAGAAAATTTATAGATTGGAAAAACTTGATAATTATCTCCTACGCCCCAAGAAATTAACTACATGGGAATCTCCACCAAAGGAAATTAACTCCGTATCTGATGTTTTATTCAATTTTCTGACTTGAAGTGCTGGATTAAAACTTGCGGAACTTGAAAATGAAGCAATTAAAGTAACATCTGGACTCAGTATATTCAAGGATAATACGTCACACCCAGGGTAAGACAGGGGAGTTCTAGTCCTATATGGAACCAGTGTCAAAGAAACATAGGACATCGATCTGAGATTCTTGCAGAGCCACCCATTTCCGACACAAATACGTGGGTATTCAGGTTTTCCGTGACCCATTGACAAGCAGACAGACCCTTAAAAACTGCTCTCGTATCAACACCATGTCAGTCATGAAAGAAGGGGGATCTCCAAGACTTAGACTAATTTGTGAGTGGCAGACATTGAACCCTACGGACACAAGACAATAACTCATTTACGAGTCATGTGTTTGTTGCTCACATACTGTCCGCAACTATACTGAAATCTCTTCTCTTGATTGATATAGGACTCTCCCCCCCTCCCCTTTTCCATCTCAGTGACTAAGTGGCCATGCCTCCCCAATCTTTTCCTTCGGATGCCAATAGATTTTCCACAGTAATTTAATTAGCCCCTGACTCCCACTTTCCTTATTTTGTGCTCTTTTTCTTCTAAACAGATTTCTTTTTTTTTTCCTTCCATTGCTCAGAGTGAGATCCAATTTTTCTCTATTTCCAAAAATTGAACACCTCAATATCAATTCCTGAGTATCCCTTCCCAATGTGATATTCTTAGATTATCTAGTCAATAGCTTACTATAGTCCTGAATTATCTACCTTACAAGATTGATCTTCCTCGCCATATTAAATCAGAAGCTCACCAATCAACTAAAAACATAAAAATTCGAGCCCTTTAAGGTTAAAAATAGTGAGCAGACAAGGAACTTTCTCTGGGCTAATGGAGACATACAGACGGCAACATGCACATAAGAAAAGGAGAACAGTAATTAGAATCTGAATGCCATTAAGGGCAGGAATCAATAATCTGAAGGTGGCCAATAGGGCACCACGCAAGAAATAGTCACGGATGTTGGCAAATGAAAGACCGGAGATTCTTTGATTCCATGCCAGGCAAAGGGGTCAGCTGGTGACCATACGCGGAAAGGATAATATCCAGGGAAAGACTTGCAGAGCAGAAAAACCGAGTCAAAATGGGATGCACGGAAAAAGGACTATAAATAGAACTCCTGTAGGAGGCCAAATATGTGAAAAGCACAGAAAAAGAGAAGAAGAATATAGATTATCTCAGGAAAATAAAGATAAATTGGACCAATCATGTCTCACTCCCAGAAAGCAAATAAAACAAGCTCATGTCTACTAACCCACCTACTTTAGTTACCAATCTCAGAATCATTGTAAGGACCTCTCTAGGTAACCTATACTTCTCTAACTAAACTCATTGGCTAATTTTCTGAACAAGAGAAGATGAAAAAAGGCAGGGAAAAAAAATAATGCCGTGAAAACTAGAAAAAGAGGAAAATATTCAAGGAAAGATCAGGAGAATTATTATTCCATGATAGTTAAAAAAACCGAGAAATTTGAGTTAAAACATGACATTTCAGCTTATCCAATGCAGTTTGAGACAGGGACTGAATTGAACACAATGCATATTGCAGATCAGGGTCGATTTCATAATTCCGTTTTGAACTCCAGATTCCCATCGAAACCTTGACCATATCACACAAGTCCATGCTAAAGTTTAATGAATATCTGAAGCAGTAACTACTAAAGAGGAAATGTTAGTATCTGAAACATTGTGTTACAGTATAAATAGTAGTAAATGGAATCAGGGTAAAGGCAAACACATATTTTATGGTTAAAGCAGTCACACCCTGAAATAAAACCTTTTGCACTGACCGGACAACACGAATAGCTACAATATTCGGACGGGATTTTTTGGGAAAATTGAAAAAAATCATCATGTTGCTTCTGTCGTTGACTGAATTACTCGCGAAGAAAAGACCATTAAAGGCAAATGCACGCCTACTGTTTCAACGGTGATGGACAGCAACTCGTTATTTATTTTAGAATCTATAATTTTTCAGGTTAGCCCAACTACAAAATATTGGAGAATGGTTTCAGACATATTGAAACGATTGTGAACCATTTGGGAAGAATCGAAAGAAATGGAAATTAATGAAGAGCAGCGTGAAAATCAAGGAAAATAGGAAAACATTGATACTTTCCATCTCGTCACATTTGAAAGAAATACATTTAACTTCGGACCATACCATGTTTTCTGAAGCTTAGTCCCGAGTATCGTCAGAATCACAACGTATCTGCTCCATTTAATCCAAAATATATGGATAAAAATTTCAGCAGAAAACTTCTTAGCTCGTTTACTTCTGAGAGACTGACTGATGAAATAGTGACCACTCACAAGCAGAATGCAGAATCAAGTAAGAATGCCATTTTATACATTCTAATCACTGATGGGAAGTCAAGAAGAAACATATGATCATTCAACGCGAGAGGGAGTAAAAGTCCCCGTTTATTCTCCTTAATGTCAAAGGAAAGCACCTAAATCAGTTGCAGGAGATAGCAACCTTGGTGTCAAGATGGAGTTCTTTGTTGACAACCTGATCGACGGCGTTGATACAGTAATTAAAGATGTCGCAAAACCAAACCACTGTCGGGGACGATGACGGTGGATCTGGTAGCCGAGGTCTTCTCGGATATTTTCAAATATCGTCCTTGTGCGTTCAGCCTGCAGCGTCTTGCACAACAATTCCACGTCGCTCTCCTCCATCCCCCCCTCAATCCCCTACGGCCCTCAAACAACAATTGGCCGCCGGAAGAACAATCTGTGCAGCAGACAAATTAGCCGAGAGCTGGCTTAAAAGCCACACTCCTAGGATCAAAAACCCAAGATGGGAACAATGCCCGTAGTTTAAACCCCGAGATCGAACGCGTGCCGGGACGGAGCTCGAGGTGGAAAAGGTGAGATATTTCCCGACACTGCCACTGCTGGCGCAAGTGCAGTAGCTCCTTCGGCGCCTGAAGCGCTTCCCGAATAGCATTATTGCTATGGTTTAGGATCGACAGACCGTGCAAACCAACGGTTAAGCCGTAACCGTGAGCCGCTCTTTCGACAGTGCCTCCCACTGATCTTCTGAAATAAATAAGTCAACGGACTGTACTCAAGAGGATCAGTGGCCTCCTATTTAATGCTCCTGAAAGGAGGATGTGTTTCTGTGGGTCGTGTGATGCCCATGCGATGCGCCACCTTGCTGCGTGCCTACTCTTCTGTCAGCCTTCCTCCTCCCTCCTTTGCCGGAGCCGCCTTCGCGGCTGAAGCGCATGAGCCATCAGCGGAGCCGTGGCTCTCGTCCTTGCTCGGCCGGTGCTCCGGCTTCGCCCACGTCGCCCAGGCCCACGGGTTCATGGTCTCCCGAGGGCTAGACCAGGACAATCGCCTCCTCGGCAGGTTCGTCGACGGCTGCGCCGTCCTGGGCTTCAGGGCTTACGCTTATTGTGTCTTCTCCCAGAAAGAGGACCCAGACATTTACCTCTGCAACACCATCATCAGAGCCCTCGCGCAGACGGATTTGGCGAGGGTCGCCATTGGTCTGTTCCGCAGGGTTCAGCTCCAGTGCCTCCGACCGGACACATATTCCTTCCCCTACGTGCTGAAGGCGGCCACCCACTTGTCCGAAATTGGAGTCGGGAGGGAGATTCATGGACAGATTGTCCGCATTGGGCACTGCGGTGACGTTCACGTCGCCACAGCCCTCATCCAGATGTACTCTGTCTGCGGGGAAATCGGCGATGCCCGCCACTTGTTCGATGAAATGCCTCGCAGAGATGTCATCGCCTGGAATGCCTTGGTCGCTGGGCACGCCAGGCAGGGGGACATGGAGCGCGCAAGTGCTCTATTTGAGCGAATGCCGGAGCGGAACGTCATCTCCTGGACCACCGTCGTCGCCGGCTACGTGCAGAGCGGCTCTCCGGCAAAGGCCATCGAGGTCTTCCAGCGGATGCAGCTCGAGGAGAACGTTCAACCCGACGAGATCGCCCTGCTCGCTGCGCTCTCCGCCTGTGCCCGCATGGGTGCCCTTCAGACGGGCGAGTGGATCCACGAGTACATCGTGAGGCGCCGCTTGCGGAAGATCGTCCCCCTGATGAACGCCCTGATCGACATGTACGCGAAATCCGGCAACATAAGCAAGGCAATCGAGGTGTTCGAGGGAATGACTCAGAGGAGCGTCATAAGCTGGACGACGGTGATCGCCGGCATGGCCCTGCACGGGCTCGGCTTTGAAGCCGTGGAGATGTTCCAGAGAATGGAGAAGGCCAGAGTTCCTCCGAACGACGTCACCTTCGTTGCCATCCTCTCCGCGTGTAGCCACCTGGGTCTTGTCGCCTTGGGCCGCCACTACTTCGACCGCATGCGCTGCAGGTACCAAATCAGGCCGAGGATCGAACACTATGGCTGCATGGTGGATCTCCTGGGCCGCGCAGGTTTCCTGAGAGAGGCGAGAGAGCTGGTCGAAGATATTCCCTTCGAGGCCAACGGGGCCATCTGGGGCTCCCTTCTAGCGGCAGCCAGGAGCCACAGTGATGCGGGTCTGGGGGAGGTTGCCATGAGGAAGTTAGTCAAGCTGGAGCCACACAACAGCGGGAACTACTCCCTTATGTCTGATATCTACGCCTCGCAGGGGAGGTGGTGTGATGTGGGGAGGATGAGGAAGCTGATGAGAGACCATGGCCTGAAGAAGAAGGCCCCCGGGGGAAGCTCCGTCGAAGTGGGCGGGGCCGTCCACGAGTTCACCGCTGGGGATTCTTCCCATCCTCACTTGCAGAGTATACTCAAAACCCTGCTCGATATCAATGCCCACCTTAAGATGGTGGACTTCGTTGTAGAAGAAGCGTCATACTTCTAATTATGTGTATGATTCGAATGGACAGAAGGGATGTGAACAAAACTAAATCTGGTTTCTTCGTTGAATGAGAGGAGGAAAAGGGCAACAACCATCTACAAATATTTGAATGCGGAGGAATGATATTGGCGGCTGCCGACAAGACTGCCAGTCTGAACAAGACAATGAGATTACGAAGAGGCGCAACTCAGGGTTCATCAGTGAGAAGAGATCTTCAAGCAAAAAAGACTACTAAAAATAGCAGCGCAGGACAGACGGCGCTCAGCGCTTCCCGCCGCCGCCGCCGAGTTTGGGTCCTTTCGGGGCCTTGGGCAAGCTGCCTTTGGTCTGGGCCTTCTGAGTCTTTGACATCAGCTCAGCTTTCTTGGCCTTCTTCTCGTCCTTGGTCTTCTTGATCCGCTCCTTGATCTCACTAAACGGGGAGAAAAAGCGAATGAAAGGTTAGCCTTATACGCCAAAAAGATGAATTGAAGTATAGTTGTCGTCATCAGATCATATAGAGAAGAGTGGGGGAGGATCTTGTACCGCAAGGCAGCTTCCCTGGCAGCACCCCGAACTTCCGCCTTCTCAGTTCTCCTCTTTTGGATCACCTCCAATGTTGCACCGACGATCGACCTGGAGTATGGCTTCTTGGTCGCTCTGCGCCTTTTCTTCACAGCTTCAGCGTGAATATCCTGCCGTCCAAGGAACAGCCATCAACGAAGCTACGCTCAGCCTCATAAGTACACAGTCTAGCATAACTAGTAGTCTAGACACAGCAAGAGAGAGATAGAGAGAGAAAGGGAGGGAGAGGTGCTTTAAGAAGCACTCTCGTTGACCAGATGAAGATCTATATATGTAAGAGACCAGGTTCACGATGAAGATCTAAGCCCATGAGGTATGATCCATTCAATGACAGTAAAAAACCATTTCAAGTAAACTTAAGCATTTATTACACAGAATCAGAGGAAATATTATAGAAATTCTAGAAACAATCACATGGAAAAATAATATATTACCTTCTTGTGCTGCTTTCTATATACTGCTGTCCATGTAAGCTTGGCAGGCCTAAGTCGGTTGTGGAAATAACGCTTGCACTTCGAGTTAGAGAAAAGAAAAACCTGAATAAAAAACACCAAAGAAGATATTACATCACGTATATGAGAGAATAAAAGCTATCAGCCAGCATCCGCACATAGAAGAAACTACCTGAGAATCAGCCCGCACAAATCTAATACCCTTGCCAGGATATATCTTAGCACCGCTGAAGCGGCAGAGCTCTGTCCTATTGAGTCAAAAGTACGAACAATATAGAATTAGTCATGGGATAGTATTCTTAAGAATTGTAAATACATAAAAATGCCATCTTCTCTAAAAAGAAATGGATAAATCCCCCAAAAGATGCAAGCGGAAAAAGTCTTCAATGCAATGCTCTGGTGGTCACCACAATTCTAAAATGCCCCTAATCAAGGGAAAGTAGCTCTAATTGATCCCTGCAACAATATTCAAGATGGTCTCCACAACAATACTCATTCTAACAGAGAGTCTGTGATATTTTTATCACATGCTGCGTGTTTTTTCTTTGGCGACGACGTTTTCCCAAGAGCACAGTACATCTATGGTACTGCGAGTTCCAACACCCTAGCCCCTAATATTTTCGAAAAAAATATATTCCCAGGTGAAAAATGTTCATAGTTACTTACTTCAGAACCATCCTGAACTTTTAACCTTTAAATATTCCTCACCTGTCATTGAAAAAATGAGAAAGAAAAAATTATATCGGAGCTGGAAAGCAAAAGAGAAATTGAAGGCTAAAAATTATATCTTGGGTAACTACCGGAAGCAAAAAAAAAATCGACAATTTAGGCTGCAAAGCGCCTTCTCTGTTCTTTTATTTTGCACATCGCTAATAAAAAAATCACAAAGTAAATCCTCCAGAAAGCTTCAGTAAATATGCAAATAAATTATCACAATTAGAATAGTTATGTGAAGTGGAATCAGGTTAACCAATAAGGATATTCCATTCATTCACGAACATTTTATCAGAGCACCATGTGATAGATTAACTCAAATGGTACACCGAAAAAAATAAAAGTAAGGTCTGCTGAATTCATTATCAAAAAATAATGACACTTTTATAGGAAGGATTTATTGAATCACAAAATTGATAATTATTTTATTCTTCAGGGAAAGAAAGCAAACAACTATTCTGTTAATTTGTTATATTCAAATACAAATTATGATAATTTCGCCTCTAATATGCCACATGTGTACATATAACTAATCTTTTTCTACATCTTAGTGGCAAAAAATGGTACATTACAATCGTTTAGTAGTGCTCCATTTTTCTTTTAGAAACCAAAATGATTTAGCAAAATGGTTTAACGAGCATTATATAATTTGACAGAAAAACAAAATGAAAACCACCACAAATATCAGAAGCTATTCATTTAATTCTACCATTTATCATGCACGAGCACAAAATAAGGAACGCCTTTTACATCGTAAGAAACAGTAATAGAAATCCAGATAAAGAATAAAGGGAAATGCGACGGCATGGTATATGCAGTGATATCTACTTATTTATCCCTCGTCAACCTTATAAACCTTTCAATCGCTTTTTCCAGACTGTGCCAACAATATAACAGAGCAAATCATCAGCCTACAGACAGTCAAACAACTACTGGCACACCACGTTCTTCAAGGAGAGCAAAAGAAACAACTCCCCTCACTGATTTCCCCGCATAAAATCTTTAGGCCAAAATCAAGCCTAACCGCATGATGCTATGCGTTTTCTTCAATCTATCACAGCGTTTGGATCCCAAAAATTTGTCACCAAAAAGCTCCATTCAGGGGTGGATCCGCAAAATCTTTTTAAAGCAATCATCTTCTGATAGTTTAGAGACGCATCTAGTGGAAGTATGAATACAGTTGACGACAATGCCATACACTGTTAAAAGAAAATGGTCCACAAACCGAATGTCAACGACATTAAGAGGAATGAAAAGTAACATTTTCCACTACAGTCAGATTAAAACCATATTCACTGCATTTTCCATTTACTGAATACTGAGATATTATCATTACCAAAATTAGCGTTTTCTTCTGATAAAAAATATGTTGCCCAAAATAATTACTGCAGCTTTCCAACCCCATTTGATTATCATATTAAAAAAAATGATTCCTTTCCTAAAAATATCTCTAAATTCTGGCAACGACATTTTTTTTCTTTGAGCCGAAGAGCGTCATTCGGATTGCGTCAAATCCGCAAGATTTCACGTGTACATGGTGTTCATCATCGAGTGAAGAGATCACCCATGTTCAGACGAATGAGCGGAAACGATCATTGTACTCGGAAATCTAACTATACGAAAAAGGTGAGAAACACAAACGGGACCTCCAGGTTGAGATAATCGATTCACGTGCAGATGGAAAGCAGAACCATTAGCGAACGGCACAGAGAGCAACCTCGCAGGTATAGGACGGAAGAGTACAAGTGATTCTACCTCTCGGCGGGAGACGGCGGCTCAGAAGGGAAGCACTCCCAGCCCTAACGGCGGAAAGGAGATTTAATAGTCCCACTGGTGTCCATGCGGCGCAATTTACCTTAACGTGTTCTCAATCGGATCTAAGCTTCAATACCCGCATTTCGGATCCCAAGTACGAGATGTGTGATGCAAACCGAACTGCGGCAGGGCCGTTGGAGAGGACAGATATGGAGAGAGTGTGTGGGTATCCAACATCTCCAGCTCTAGATCCGAACCCGAACCGCACCTAACCGTTGTGGGCCTGATTAAATGGGCAAGTAGAACAGGTAAGTTGAATCACATGTCCTATACTTAGATGCACCATTCAATTATTCAGCTCTACGACAGCAACGTCACCACCCTAGTCGCTGATAGCCCGCATCGCTTCAGTGGTCAAATCGACCACTATCGACCCCAGACTTACATCAAATCACATTAATCAAACCCCGAAAACAATGAGAAGCAAGACCATATTGGGCTCATAAAATTATATTTCCACTAATTAATAATTGATATAAAAAAAACCCAATAAACTTTCACCTTCGTCTGTGGTAAATCCTCCATGAACCCAGGGTATTAGTCACGTGTTTGTAGCCGTATCAAGTCAACTATAGTGGTAGGTTGATGTTCAAGCTTTCATAAAAAGTTGCTACCTTCGTGGATCAGGGATATAGTATTGGGATTGTATATGGCAGTGATTAAGCTAGCAAAGCCAAACTCATCACGAACCCAATTACGTGCTTGAGCCATTTTCTGTGGAGACTATGATTTTATGGCTAAGGTTGTAAAACGTTCATCATCTTCATTGGCATCTCCTCCATGGTGCCCAGTAATGATGAAGGTAGAACATCTTTCTCTCTCTCTCTCTCTTTTGGTTCGGCAAGTTCTCCTCCGCCGCCTGAGGCCTGAGGTTGAGAACGAAGACAGTGACACCGCCGGTCGAGAACGACTAGTAGGCGCCGGAGCGGCGATCCTACTGACCGCAGGGCCGCAAGAAGCTCAACGACCGCGCGATAACATGCCCTGAGTGCGGAAATATGTTCCCCGGCCGCAGGACCCCTCGACCCACCTTTCTACGCAATCGAACTCTCGTGGTGTAAGAGAAAGAGTGAGAAAGTAAGTAGGATAGATAGATGAGAGAGAGAGAGAAGCTCGCTCTCATGTAATCCCATGTGCATCATCTTCCTTGTTGGTCTTCTTCGTGGCCGTGGGCAACGGCGTAAGACTGTGCCGAAGGGTCGGCTCAGAGCCTCTTAGGAGTTTCTTCATCGGAAAGGGCTCCCCGAGTCGAGCCAGCGCTTGTCGGAACGATTCACTTCCTCGGTTCGGAAGTCCTCGTGCTCTTGACCATCTAGCCTTACTTGCAGGGCTCGTGACGTACTCGGGAGAGTGGCGGTGTGCAAGGGTCTCCGAGGAGTAACCAGCCAACAAACACGGTAACTAACGATCCCTTTTGAGTGACAGTTTCAGGAAACCGAGTTGCACCGGCGGGACCGGCGGGTCGCTGCTGCCGCTGCTGCCGCTGCTGCTGCTCTCTCTCTCTCTCTCTCGCTATCTCTCTCTCACCCTGTGATTGACCCTCGTGAAACTTGTGGTGAAGCAGGGGATGGGACTTCGAGACGAAGTTGGGGTTCGACTAGGATAATGAACGGAAGTTGTTGGAGTTGAGTTTAATATTTGCATTGAACTTTGCGGAATACATCGGAAAAGGAGAAGATTGATAACGGAGTTGACGAGGACTGCTCCGACTCCCCCCTTAGTCAGCATATTCTCAAAGAAATAGAGAGATGACTAGAGAGAGAGAGAGAGAGAGAGAGAGAGATTACATGAGATGATGCTGTAAAGGGCCGTATATTCTGCATCCTTCCATGGCGCCGTCCCGCGGAAAACTACGATGTATGAGGTGGGTACAGCTAAGAAGGGGTTTAGATAAAGCGACAGGGGAACCTCTCGATCCAGAATTCGGGGCATCCAGCATAGTGGCGCGGAGGTTTAGAGAACTTCCAAGTTTGCAGAAGTCAAATGGACAGCCCACCCACAGCCCATGTGCGTGATGCATCAAATTCTCCGTTTGATCGATTCCTCGAAAGCCTTCTTTAACGATGGGTCCCGGCAACAGGGCTCTGATTCACCATTGTTTCGGGAACAAAGCAGCCTAACTCTTTGACCCCTCAACTTCTGGTACTTGGGAGTTTCCCCGGTTTTTACCATAGCCAGTAGGAATGGGGCGCCGTCTTTTATTCCTTCATCACCAAAGGCATGTGGGCAGGAAAGATGAGCTTTAAAGGGGCCATCCTGAGCGCCGCCTAGACCCGAGGCTCCATGTATCGGATTGGTCGGCGTCGCCACCCCTACCCCTTTCCCCCGGCACGAGTTTGCGTCAGCATCTAGTTGTACCTGCATAAGATAAGATGCATGGAATTTGGAAACGAATCCAGAAACCTTCGTTTTCTCTCTCTGTCCTCTCTCTCTCTCTCTCTCTCTCTATTATCTCTCTCGAAATGAGAAAGTTTCTGTCTTGCAGAGTCTCCACTCGACGTGGGTTCGCGGCCCAAGTCTCGAGCAAGATGGGGATAAAATAGATGGAGGGTGTCCCAAGGGAAAGAGGAGAGACGGAGGGAGCGGAGGTGAAGCATCTTCTACTAATGGTAGAGGGCGGTTTAGTTTCGGTTGGCTGTTAGGATACTTCTGTACCCCCTGGTGGTCCACTTGCCCAATTCTATGCCTACTGTAGTACTCCCCTCACATCTATAAATGAGGCTTCCCTTCGGCAGACTCTCCTCGCATCGTCCCCCACCTCCTCCTACATTCCCGGTTCACAAAGGAAAAGAAAACTGCCGGAGATGGAGGCTCTTGGGATCTTCCTGGCGGTGACCTTCCTCGCCATGCTCGGCTCCGCCCGGGGGCTCGCCGGCGGGTGGACCAGAGCCCACGCCACCTTCTACGGCGGTGGCGATGCCTCGGGAACGATGGGTGAGCTCGATGACCCGGAGCGGGTCCCAACGCTCTCTGATCTGAGAACTGCTCACTCATCCTCATCGTTCTAATGTGCAGGGGGAGCTTGCGGGTATGGGAATCTATACAGGCAGGGCTACGGCACGAGCACGGCGGCGCTGAGCACGGCGCTGTTCAACAACGGGCAGAGGTGCGGCTCCTGCTACGAGATCCGGTGCGCCGACGACCCACGGTGGTGCCTACCGGGCTCAATCGTGGTGACGGCCACCAACTTCTGCCCCCCCAACAACGCCCTCCCCAACAACGCCGGCGGCTGGTGCAACCCCCCGCTCCAGCACTTCGACCTCTCCCAGCCCGTCTTCCTCCACATTGCCCAGTACAAGGCTGGCATCGTCCCCGTCGATTACAGAAGGTAACCCAAATCCCTCCCTCCCTCTCTCTCTCTCTCTCTCTGTCTCTCTCTCTCTCTGTCTCTCTCTCTAAAAATGTCTTGGCAGGGTGGCCTGCGTAAAGAAAGGGGAGATCAGGTTCACCATCAACGGGCACTCCTACTTCAACCTGGTGCTCATCAGCAACGTGGGCGGGGCGGGGGACGTGGTGGCGGCGTCCATCAAGGGGTCCAGGACGGGGTGGCAGGCCATGAGCAGAAACTGGGGGCAGAACTGGCAGAGCAACAGCTACCTCGACGGTCAGTCTCTCTCCTTCCGAATCACCACCAGCGACGGCCGCTCCGTGACCTCCATGGACGTCGCCCCAGCTCACTGGAGCTTCGGCCAGACCTTCTCCGGAGGGCAGTTCTAAATACGCCGGTGATATTCCTGGCCGGCATCAGCCTGAGCTGCCTCCAACTCACTGGTAAAGGGCACCGGCTCTTTCACTGAGTTAACCAGAGGTTGCCACCGGCTTCTGGGGATGATGAGAACAACCATTGATCGGTCCTCTTACGGATAATCATGTCCTAGTTACTGTAAAGCCATTGTTTTCTAGTAAGAGTCGCAGAATATTCGACGCCATCTTGCTGATGATCGTCGAGTTTGACTCGTAGAACCAGACATCTCGAGAAGACAAGATAATCTGCTTCTGCCCGTGACAACTCCAGACCTTAGGTTTCCAAATATCTACCTTTTTATGTGAGGTTTTGTCTCAGCCATGAGTGACCGATACTAGCAACTGTCCGTACATAATGACGGACGCGTTCTTGCGAGTTCCATCAAGTTCGTAACGTTAAAAAAAAAGTGCTGTAGCAAGGGCTGTAATTATATGCCTTATGGAAACAATATCAGAAGACATGAACGTTTTAAAAAAACGTGTTAATAATGCATTTCGGAGATCAGAACTCCCATAAACAGGTAGCAACAGCATTCACCATCTCCTGCTCTAGCAAGGGCTGTAATTACAGGTTTCAAGTTCCGGTTTCTATGCTGCTGATTGGCATTATCTAAAGTTTAGTATAGAAAATTTACAGCTGAACTTTAGTCATGAGCGAACGAAATTTAAATAATGAAAATACACGGCCATAATTAAAGTGAACTAAAACTTTGAAGTTTAATAATGAGAAAGAAACTCACCCGGCTCAGAAAATCACATTAAAAAAACCCACCGAAATACAATCTTCTACTCTTTTGTGGAATCTTTGTTGGGATTAGAACTCACAATGGGCAAGTTCCTTCTGTACTGTGGAGAAGTCAGCCTCCTCTCTAATGGAGTCTTCCTCTTACTCACAACAAATCGGTTGACCCCTTTTCTCATAGGCATTATCTCTGGGAAGTCCTCATCTGGGATATTACTCAGCTCAGATATGTCTTTGATCTGAGAAACTCTGCGGAACCATCTCTGGGCTTTGGCCTCCTCCGACATATCCAGAGGATCAGGTTCTGTTACCGCTGAACCCTCCAAGCTTTTCCCAGCAAACCCATGATTCCCATTCTCCGTGACCTTTTGTAGACGTTCCACAGGACGGTTCCAGTTGCTCGAACCACTCACACCACCACCCGGATTCCCCTGGTGAAAAGCATCACGGGAGCTTCCGACTTTGTCGTCAAATAGATTGTCGCATTGTTGCATCGCCCTCCTTTCATTTAAGTTGGCTTGTACGGGTCCACTGTTCCAACCACTTCCGCTAGATCTTGTGCTTTGACTTTGCCTGGTGTAACCAACTCTTTCCTCGTTGGAATATCCGAGACTATTTTCTTCAAATTTCGGGGGCATCCTTTTATCATTTCCCGCTGCTGCTGAAGAAGAATTTTGAGCTTCGTGTTTCTCTGTTGAAATTCCAGATCCATTCTGGTTTCCCTTTTTCGCAAAATAATCCGGAGGAAAAGGAACGAAGGGGATGAAATTAGAATTGTTTGCTTGATCAATGGCTATGCGTCTCTTGTAGTGCGGTGAAACCAGGGAGTGATCTCCCCCATTTTCTTTACCATGCATAGGCATGGTCTCCAGAAAACCTTTGTTTGGCATTTCATTATCTGTATTAGTAATGCCAGGAGACTGTGCAGGTTTTTTCGACCCCAACTCAGATGGATGAGATGGTCTTTTCATAGCCTCATCCGCTTTCTGATCACTGAAAAAATCAGAACGAAAAGAATTACCTGTTCTCCCCGGCACAGCATCTACCAGCGTGTCATTGTTCTGGACTTTATTGGACACTTGCCACACTGCTGCGTTCTGTTCTTTGCAAGACATATCCGAAGATACTGACACAGATGGAACAAAGCCGGAAGATTTCCTATCTGGAGAAGTGAAACCGCTTCGAATATTGTTCGACTCCCCACTGATTGAATCATTCCATGTATCCCTACTGGTGCCTGATGCCGGAAGTGAGTGAGTTCCAGATGTAGCTGGCGAGGAGCCTAGTATCCTGTCCAATGTTTGACTGATTGCTGATTCAGACATCTTGTCAGATCCCGCCCTTCCCAAGGAGTCATTCCCCATGTATGAAACCTCGTTTCCCCTGAGGTGCCTATATTGGGTATTGGCCAATCTTCTTTCCAGTGGTGTTTTCCGGGTGCTGACAACAAATCTGTTTGTACCTTTCCGCAAGGGCATAATCTCTGGGAAATCCTCATCTGCTATGGCACTGCTCAAATCAGAAGAATCATCTAGCTGAGATACCTTACTGAACCACCTTTCCGCCTTCTCATCATTTTCAGCTAGACGACGCTCAATATCGGTTTTGTTGATGTTGCCTGAATTAAGAATCTGCTCAATACCTGGTCTCCTACTTGATGGAATTTCCTCAGGGCGTTTGCAATCGCACCTCAGGCATGTCAAATTCCTCCCATAGTTGAAGAAATCGCATCTGAGTGGATTATTAAGATCTTTCAGTGACAAGATTAACATAAATAAGCGGTACATTACGACATAAGGCAATCTAAGACTAACTTACTGAGGACATTCCCACTCTCCACCAGTCAGCTGCTTCTTTGGGCGTGCCTCATTGCATTCAAGACACTTCAAATTCCTTGCGAAGTTCATGAATTTGCACCTGAAGAAAGCAAAAAAGGTCAAATACAACAAACATAAAAAATTTCCTTCTCAGACAAAGGACAATGTGAAAGTGAGCAGAAGTTAATACCTTAAAGTTTGGTTTAGATCTCAGTAATGATTTTTAAAACCTACTATATCCAACTAACGGCTGAGCAACTGCAATTGATTCTAAATTTCTGCAGGTACCTTTGCTCCTATATCTCCAAATGAAGTCTTCGCATGACAACTAGGAGTCAGCCTACGACTTGGACAAACAGATACAAGAATTTTAACAAATTTTCTGGGATCCACTCGATCTAAAAACCTACTAAAATAGTAGCTCCATTTTGTATTCAGGGAAGAGATGAAAATGCCAACTCTCTAGCTAAGCCCAGTTGGTTTGGGGTGATCTGTCAGTGCTATCCATCTTTGGAAACAAGATGCAAAGCACATCTTGCCATTTTGACTTGAAATAGCCATTGCAAACATTGTCAAAGCAAAAAAGTCACGCAGTCTCGTTGCTAACAGATTTTACGGAATCGAACTTCAATTATGACTTCAGAACAATCAATCTGATTCAATATCAATATAGTTGAGTTGGACTTGGGAGTTGCATTGGTTTAGAGCTTATAGACCGTTTGGTATACACATTCTTAATCTACATAGCAATTTTCTAATCAAAGTCGACCTTTCTGGACTCCCTCGTATCTTTTTAACCATCCAGTTCCATCCAGGAAAGATAACAAGGCATAGAGAGCACAATAAAGGGGAAAAGAATGAAGAGATAGAATTCAACTTTGAGTGCTAAGAACCACATCCATTTCCATAATTGAGTCTCTGTGCTAATTAGCATCAATAACAACAACTGCATTCAAATGTTTCCTTCTGAGAAATTGAGGGAGACTTGAAATCCATGACGATTGGGTCATATTTTTGAATGACAGGTAATACGACAATCACTGATATTCTCATGGGTAATCGCAGGTTGCCCACACATTTTCCTCTTCCATATATCCTTGGTTGAACGGACCAATCTAGATCTTGAGGCAAGCTTCCCCATACCAACTACATAAAAGCCAGGGTGTGTAGAGGGAGCTCTATTGGAATCTATTGCATTTCACGTAGGAAAAAGAAAAATGATAGAAATAAGCTACAAAGCAGAGTTTTTTCCCTCACTAGATCAAACTAGAAAAGGTATAACCATTTTTCTTAAACCAAATGTTACATCAGTGTCATGACTGGTTCAATGCTTCATACTTTCTAAAAATGTGCTTTTTTCAATAAAAACATCATTTCTTTCGATGTGATGGGCTACCTAGAATTGGAATAGAAACCAAAGTTGGGAGACCGGATCATCCAAATCAACCATTATTTTTTGGAGGAGGGCCGGGGTCCATGGGGGGTGGTGTTAAGGCAGCCAATAAAGTATAAAAAATTATAAAGTATGCTTAAGTAACTTTAAAACTGTACATATAGAAAGTTTCAACAAATTAATAGAGGAAAATAAAACTTTTGAATAAGACTTCCACAATAAGTAAAATTCCCACCCACTAAAAAAAATCACGACACCAGGTCTCCCATATTTCGAGCAGAGGCTTGGGGGACTCAGCAGTGGTTCCAGTAAGATGCGGCAATTGGCAGCAAGCTGAATATTTTTTGTATCTTCTACATCTTATTCCTCCCCCACCATCACCTTCCACTTCTTATTCCTCTACCCTTCAGGGAATAGGTGCTACATACAGCTTTCTTTTTACCTCTTCTCCAGGAGGATATAAGATACAATCCGACCAAGACTCTGGCAATCCAAAGTTACACATATGCTGGATTATAGGTGACTTATTACCCACTATTTTTTAAATTTCGAGAGTAAGTTTTTCCCCTTCAAAATCAAATAGAGCCTCTAATTTCGATCCAAACCAGCCGATTTTTCTTACCATGCAGGGTATCACATTCAAATTCACCTTTGCATGCAAATCCATTTAATCATCACAACTAATTTTCAGGTTAGCAGGATAAACATCATGTCAGCAGCCCTAGCTAATAAAAAGTTATCATGTATAATGAGTGTATGCGCTAGATAAGCTAGTGACAGTTCTGACAGACAGTGTTAACTTGAAATTCAGCATGCTAATATCAGAATAAAGCCCAAGATAAAACTGATTGAAATGTAGTTATCAAGAGGACATCAAACATCATTTATTTGCGAATGGTAAACCTGACTTGAACTCAACCATTAAAATAATAAGCTGCAACTTAAATAGTTCAAGTGCAGTTTTACGGTGATGAAGTTTAGACATCACCAATTTAGTAAGACTTGAATAATTGTGATATTCCACAACGAATACAAAGACACAGACTATGTCTGCACGTAGAGATTAAAAAGGGCATAAGACCAAAACAAATGAGCAAATAATAGGAAAAGTAGTCTTACTTTGGACAGAACCAGTCACCCTTTTTCATTTCAATAGTTTGCTGTAAATGCTTCTGTGATTCCTCATATCCAAAGTGAGAATGTCGTGCTGATGACTTAGTAGCATTGGATCCTCGACTGCCACTACTGATCGTAACCAACTCATGCAGTAGGCTTCTAACAGATAATTCTACGGGTTCTTCACATCCAGCATTATTCCCTCCAATTAAATTGAGAAGATTCCATGCATAGCTTAACAAATATCTCATCAAATCAACGGTGCATGCTTGCTCGGACGGCAATACCTGAAAAATCTAGATGAGGTGAAATCTATTGACCAAGTGTACGTAAGAACAGCAGATCATGGTATTTATGGACAAACTCACGTCATTTCGTTCATTGCCTATGAATGAATTCATCCGTCTGACAGAAGCTGACGCATTCTTGAACAAAAACGGTAATCCGTTCTCCACCACTACTTCGATGTCCTTCTTAGATAGAGATCTGTATAGTTTTAATCAGAGAAATAAGAACTAAATGTCCAAATAAGATATGCTTTATACTTGGTGATGTATAAACTAATAACGGTTCACTATAGCAGCTTTGAGAAATAAATAATCACAAAATCGTATACATTCCACGTCGGAAAAAAAAGTCTCATCATTGGTTTCCAACCATACCTCAAAAGATCCGGCCATTCGCGAGCATAATAAAGGCACGCACCAGCTACATTTCTGAAGTCCTCGGGCATCTCCTCGGAGGATAATGACACGTCGTCATCTTCCCCCGGTGCAGAAGGCACCTGCCGGCCCGTGTAGCCACAGGCCGTTAAATACTCCACGAGCTTCAACCACTCCGGCCATGGAAGGACGGAAGCCCTGTAATTCGGTGGGGGGACAAGTGTCTCCTCATAGCCTATCCTTGGCGTGTGCAATTGCTCCTCGGCTCCAGAAAAACACCCGCGCCGAGGTTGAAAACCGGAGAGCGGGAGACGGTGATGCGAATCTACGGCAGCAGAAACCGATGTCGGGGGAACTTGCGACTGCCGAGCGAGGCGAAGGAGAGATCGCGGATAAAGTCTGAGACGGGTGGAGAGCATCACGGAGAACTTCGAAGCTCCACCCATCGCGCCTTTCAGACCCCCCCCCGAAAGCTCCTCGCCGGAGAGTTGGAGGCGGAGGGGGGTTTGGAAGGGTTTTCCTCACTTGAAAGCATCTAGAAGCCTCGTAGACAGTTGAGTTCCTTCATCCCCCACAGATCAATCATCATTTCTAGCCGTCTGATCTATGGATCTCGCCTCGTGAATAGTGGACTATTATTGGCCCTTCGATCTCATACAGAATGACTGATGATGAAACTGATTCCTAACCTGGGAGGCAGCCCGATCTAGAAGGATCGTTCCGAGTGGACTCGGGGCGAGTTCCTGTGGCCGTTGCCCCTATTACCAGGCATCGTCAAAAGAGTAGGAAAGTCAGCCGGAGACTGTTGGTGCGAACTCCCGTAGCCTTCGTCGGAAGTGGTGTTTGGACCAGGTGAGGGAAGGAGGGGCATTGCGCCGGCAGAGGGTGGCTGTGTGCGAGGCAAATGCAACACAGAACGCTGGCTGTGGCCACAGAGCCGCCGGATCTCGGAAACTCCGCTGCGGACGCTCCTCCTAAGCAGGTGGCGCGGGCAATGGATAGGCTAGGACGGGCGGCGCGGTTAGTCGCGGACGTCAGACTCGGTGCTGATCGCCTCCTAGAGGCTCTTCTCACCGCCGAGGAACCTCGACAGGCTAACAAATCTGTGCAGTTTATTCTCAAGGAGGAGGCTTCTATGCGTCAACATCTTCAGGATCTCCGAACTCTAGGTTTTTGCTGATTCTGCCTTTTATCGAATCACTTGATCATCTTAGGTCCATTTTCTCGTTTTGCTGAGCTTTGTTCCTTTTTTTTTACCACCATCCATTGGTCCGAGATTCCAAGCAAGATGGCTTTCTTCATTTGTCGTTCTACGGTTTTGCCAACATACACTTTGTGATTTAATTACTTGTAGTTATCACAGCCATTGGTTCTTACAAATTATTTAGGTTTGATTGTTTATAGGTCCCCGCAAAAAAGATCTTAGACATTGTTCGAAAAACGTGATTCATGCTCTAATCGTTTAACTTGTGTCTAATATTTTTTTTTTTCCCACAAGGCTTATAGTTTGATTCTAAACCTTTTGGCAATGTTGCTGGTAGAATACTCAACTTTCTGCTTGTGGTTGCTAGGAAGGCAACTGGAGGAATCAGGAGTTCTCAGTGGCTCTTTGAAATCACGAGGTAACTCTTGGGGCCTTCACATGCCCCTTGTCTGTCCAGACGGTGCTGTTGTAGCTTATGCTTGGAAACGTCAGCTTGCCGGTCAAGCAGGAGCCTCCGCTGTTGACAGAACAAGGTAAGGAAGTAACTGATTCAGTATGCTTTTACAAAATGTGCAGAAGGTAAATAATTTTCTCCAATCTACTGGGCCTAGACAGGATTAAGTCTGATTAGGCTACATTAAATTTCGCATTTCACAGAACCATACAGAGGACTGTGGAGTGGATTAACGAGCTAATCTCTGTATGTCTGATTATAACACCTTCAGGTGTACGTTACTTTTTTCCGTCAATGTGGAAATAATGTTTTCGGAATAAAGATATAACAACGCCTTGTGTATTCTTCTATAATTAAATCTATAATTAATTGAAGAACCTCATGGTTTGCTGTTACTCTAGAGATGTTCTGCACAGGTCATGATTTGAACCCATTTGGAAAGAGCGAAAAAAGCTAGAAGACTAGAAAAAACATTTTATCTTTCTCTTCTAGTTCTAAGAGTTTCTAAAAAAGAGTATTGAATACACCCGTAAATCTGAGCTTCATGTCCCAATAAACATGTCAAACCAGGGAAATCACAATCAGATTGAATGGGATCACAGAGTCTCAGTTCGAATCTGTGAAATGACAATTCTGATTCCAAAGCGAAACTACACTCATATGCGCGATTGCTTGACCCCATGAAGAGTTGGTTGGCTCACGTTTGAGGGATGTGCTGTCGCAGCTCCTTAAGCTGACCCTAGATCTGTGGGATAAGACGTGATGTCACAGTTGAAAATTCGAACATTTATTGCTATGCTTATCTAAATCCTACTACGAGAACTCAAAGATAATAGCAAGTTGTCATCGTAATTATACTGCTCTCTTTGGAAAGATTTTCATCGTGTCCATTTTTCAATGAGATTGAGATAACAAACCAAGTGTCATCCTGACTTTTTCCAGACTACTACATCAGAGTTGGGTTGGAGATTAATTTTCGCGCAAGGCTATGACTGGAGAAAACAGCCCTGACATTAACAATTCGAGAAGAGGAACTTAACCATTCAATGTGAGAGGGTTAAAATGTTTAGCAAGGCATTTGGCAAATTGAAGAGGTTTTTCCCTCACTTGGAAGGAGAACTTAATGGCCCAATACTTGCTGAAGAGTTTCGAATTTGACAAAAAAAACGGCTTTTTTGGCTCAATGCACAAAAGAACATTAAGTTTATGGCAGTTCTTGGTTTAATATCCTTATGCATTATTTTCCTTTATCAATATTTAGTTTGTTTCTTTGTGTCGTTGAAATGGATCACTCTATCAGGCTCTTAGTTCCCTTTTTGGGAAAATCCAATGTGACGGGGCAGGGATACGAGAAAGTTTGGCCTTTATATCGAAATAAAAATTCGATAGAGAGATATTGAATCGGATCATCCCCGCTTGGTTGTAATCCAACCTCATAAATTATGTAGACAAAAGCCTCTGCAGAGTAATAGCCCTCTAAAAATCTTTTATATGTGACCTGACTAAGTATAATTCATCCAGAGGATTTTCATCTTTTAAAAAACCGTTAAGTTCGTACTAGTTGGGTTGTATCACCAGGAAAAAAAGTATGCAAGATTTTGAGTTGGTGCACTGATATTTGCTGAACATAGTTTATAGTTATTGCGAAATTATTATAAAATCTATTTTCATTTACCTTTTTATGAGAAGAGATCTCACAGCAGCCATCTTTTAGTGAAAGAAATCAGTATTCAGACCTGTTATAATTTTTGGCGCTTTGTTAATATGGGCATTTTTCTTCTGCTCCGTAGATTAGCGCTCAAGGCGTTCAGTGACCAGAAGAGGCGATATTTCCCTCACCTAGAAGATGAACCTGACGGCCAACCATCAACAGAAGAGTTTGGGGTTCGAAAAAAACTTCATCACTCTCAGGCAGTGACCTCTAGTCTGAAGGAAAATCACGTTGAGGGCAGAACTTTGTTTGATATCCTTGTTAACTTTTCAAAGGAGGTTCCTGACGTGAGAATCTCCACTTATCAACGCATGGAATGGTTGAAAAGAGCATCTTCTAGGGCTCTATCAGCCGATGAGAATCCTATAGACCCACCCAAGGATCAGTATTTTCACAGTTCTGATAAATATAGAGCAGGCTCACTGGATGTTGCTGCTTCAGGACAAGCGGCTGTCATAGAATTGCTGGCACCTTCCATCTTTAGAGCCATTTTGTCACTTCATCCTGCAGGCTCTACCAACCCCGATGCAGTTGCCTTCTTCTCTCCTGATGAGGTAATCTTTTCTATGACTTGCTGCTAGAATGCTATCATTTATGGATAATCATTTCTCTTTTATTTAGCACGAATCCGGTAAGCTGAGTATGTTGAATGATGGTCACCAATTTGTTGTATCCTAGCAATTGTAGGTTTGCCGTTTCTCTATGTAGTGATGTTCACGTTCGATGGGATTGAGCTGTATGCCAAATGACATGAGGTAGAGGTATCTTCAACCTCCAGTTTCCATTCAGCCATTTCGGTCTTTATCCCCCCAAGTATTTTTCTCCACTGCCGAACATTAAACCTTTGTCATAATCCCCTGTTCCTGTCTAGTCTCGCTAGCTAATGTTCTATGTCTGAAGGGGTTTCATTGCTGCCATTTGGTGATGTTCTGTTGTAGTATCTCGCCATCACCGTGTCAATAGAATCCGTAGATAATTTAGGAATATATCTGAAGGAGGAGTCCCTCCACATTACTGAATGAATGGTCTAAAAGTTGTGTGATCATAAGTCAAGTGCTCGGTTTGTGCATCTGCCTGTGAATCCATCGATGCTGAATACGAAGTTATTATTTTCCGGTCGCCTGTGATGCACCTGATGTATTTGACCTGTGTTTGCATTTGTCTCTTCTTTAAGTAGTGATGCGATTTCGGTCTTTCTTGCAAAACTGGAGCTATCTCCCAGCATGTGGTTGGCTTGTTTCTAGGTCACGTCTAAGGGCTATTACATTGTCTGGGTTAGTTAGCTGTATTGATAATGATATGCTTGGATGATGCCCCCTTAAAATGTCAGGTTCTTTACCTCTGTCAGATCAAAATCGTAGGGAATTAATTTTTAAAATGCTGACACCAAGCAATCACCCATTTTCTCCAAAACTCAGGTACTGCTGATCGAGACATGAGAACCCCCAGCCTGTATCTTTAAAGAGTGAATTATGTTTCAAGCTCGTCCACAATTGTTTTCTCAGTACTCTCAAAAGACTCATTCTTCTATACTCGATTCCTCTACATTAGCGAAGCCAAACTCATGGACACAATATCCCTAAAGGTCGCCATTGCATCATTATTACGTGATCTGACTCCTTCCTACCACCTGGTTAATTCTTTTTGCTTATTTTTCCCCTAGAATAGAAAGGAATATTTTTCCAATCATATTTTTCTCGTGTGTCACTTTCTTTGGGAAGTGAAAGAGGGAGAGAAATTATGGTGAAAAAATTAAGCATCAAAAGATGTAGTTAACGATATTTCAAGTCAAACTTTCTGATGTCTTCTAATGTCACCCTAACATTAGTACAGATTCTCTCCTCATCACTGCATCTTCTCGCCCTGCAGATAGATGGGTTCCAAGATAGGAATGCGGAAAAGAAATTATACAGCATCTGATAATCCAGTAGATATGCCCTCATTTTTTATTTCTGTTCGATCCCCATAATTATTCTGGATGTAGATGCCATTTTCTGAAAAAAATGGAAACTTATTATACCATGTTTATACTAATCAGCGGACTAAATTTTTCTAGGGAGGCAATCATGTTAATTCAAGAGGCGTATCATCTTACCAAGTCTACAGGCACATCACGGTATGCATGTGCTAATTTTGGGTCAATTCCGAATCTACTGTGCAGTGAGTAAACCAACAAAGGTATTCAAAGGCTGTGTTTCCTTCTTGCAGGAACACGCTGAAAAGACATCACAGTATTTCCTGAGTGTAGAACCTGATGCGGCATTACCCCGACTTCTGGTATCTCTTCTCTCTAACGCTGAACTCTAATTGAAGCATACATGATTGTCTTGAAACGGCAGACAGTACCCTGATCATTTAGAAAGAAGAAGAAGAAAACGCTGTAACAGTGCGCTCTAAATATCACGTATATATATACTTTGTAAGGTTTTGCATGTTTTATCTCATAGACTGTGTGGATTCTAACAGTTTGTCTGTCCTCATTTTCGCCCTGCAGCGTTGGATATGCGGCTACCAGACACTATTTTCTCAAGCCTGCAGGTGAAGCTCTGGAGACTCAGCTGTATTAGAAACCCCCCTCGATTCTTTGTCTTGACATCGAGCGTTCTTCTCATGCAGTAAATGCGGACGACTTCTCACGAATGATAGGCTCTTAAACTTGCTCCTCCCCCCCGTCCTTCGGCCTCATCAACAACAATTAACTAAGGTTCCGTCTCACAATGACCAGAAATCCGAACAGGCCCCTGCGTACCACGTAGGGTGCTACACTGACGAAGTCTAGTTGAAATCTGACTTCTCTCTCCGCACCCACCCAAAAAGGGTTTAACACCAGTTTCATAGACTGTTTGAGCTCTTGTGCCCTCACATCCTCCGCCAAGGATTTTTCCTACTACCCATCATGTGAGACTCTGAACTCGACTCTTCACCTGTATAGCTCGTCTGAAGCGTTTACAGGCGATGTGCGGGGGCGACTCTTCAGAGGGAATCTTCTGCCTCAATGGGTGATCTTTATCGGAATTGTTTCGAGCCTACTGTTCGATCTTTTTAGCAGATGCTGCAATTTCCTGCCCGATGACTGTACCTTGTAGCTGTTCGCACTTGCCATCAACTCTGGGGGATACCCCCTTCCTCGGGTTTTGACCTTCTTCAGCGTAATTGTTCTTGATGTTCTTTTCTGCCGCATTCGGGCATGAAATGTGTCGCCATGAACAGACCATCCCTTGTCTTTGCTCCACCGGAGCCAGTGGTCTGTATAAATGGGTACCGCTTTTTTTGGTCTTCAATGGGTTTGGCTCCGGGTAGGAACCTTGTGAGCTCCATGAGATAGACATGTAACTATCCATGAGAGAGACTCATTGAGAGCGTGAGAGAGAGAGAGAGAGAGAGAGACGACGACTGGTTGTTTGTTGCTAGAGAGTGGTTGATCTCCGTATAAACCTTAACCAGTCCGAATCGAGATAGATGAGGTCGGCCAGCCCTAGGCTGGTCATTTATTTCATGTCGGTAGCATGCAGGTGGTGCTATGTCACTCTCTCTCCCTTTCTCTCTCTATCTTGGGGGACAGCGAGAAAAATAAATGGGAATGGAAACGTGGCATTGGCCCACTGATGGGGTCTCCCTAGTTTTTGTCCCATTATTATATATTTTATTGGTGAATCATGCATAAGATTCCCGCTCTGTTGGGGTGAAAATATGAAGGTAAGTCAACTTTCGCCGCTGGATAATTCCAAGTTGTGGGGGCGGTGTAGTGGTTATAAGAGGCCTCTGGCGCCCTTGCGCGCACATCAACACCTCGGGTTCATCCTCCGGGAGGCAAATGGGCGAGCTTTCGATGTGTTTATCCCCATTCCTAGAGAGAGAAAACATACTTTCCTAGGCACGGCATGGGCTTTCGGAGTCTATGCTGACGACGGGGGGCGGGGCTTTTCTCCTAGTTTAAAGACACGGGCGTAGAGAGAGAGAGAGACCCGAGGAGGAGACAGACCCTCTGGTCAGACTCGGGGCAGGACACTGTAGGGGAGGGGATGCTTACGTTTCTCATCTGCTTTCTCTACAAAATGGTTAATGGGACGTCCAGCGTCACCTGAGTCGGGTCAATCGCACCTATACGCAGCTACGGACGAACGCCATGATGAGACTCTGCGTTTGTAGAGAGAGAAAGACAGAGGTTACTTGAAAAGGGTGGAAAGGTGAGCCTGGATGGGGTGGGTACACGCTCTCAAGCTACGCTCGCAAAGATACACAGTAGGGGGACTTCAGGGAAGGAAAGGAGGGGACTGCCCACGCACACCCACTGAAGCGAAGAGATTCTGCCACTCGAGCGTCAAATCTCTGTTTTTAAAGCCCCTTAAAAGATGGAGAGCCGCAGCAGCGGGAGCAGGCCCTTGCAGTCGCCATTAATACACACGTAAGGTTGGACTCCCTCACGTCACCCCATCCCCCCTCCAAGCGACGGTAGCTGCCTTTAAATGGAGTTTCACTCAGAAGTGATAATGGCCCCCTCCCGCCCCCTCCTCTGCCACCTCTCTCTCTCTTTCTCACAAGACATATTCTCTTTCAAACACCAGTCAAACAAGCAACATCACCGGCTCAAAGAAATTTCTCGGGCTGCCAGAGGAGAGCCGGCGACAGCCCGAGAAACAGACCCACTTCCCGATATCACCTCTCCTATTATCATCTCCCCATCCCCCTCCTCTCTCTCACTCTATCTCTATCTAGCAGCAGTAGTAGTAGAGAGGGAGGAGTCGGAAGAGAGGAAGAGACATAATGCCACTGTACAGGTACCAACTAAAAACGAGGACCCCCGAGGAGGGGCGCTCGATTACGCTACCAGAGCCCACCTGGGCACGAGCGGCTTGCCGGCTTCCGTTCTCCTTCCCAGATCGTATTTAGTAGCGGCCCCATCTCCTTCTTGTTCTCTAGGTTTCTGTGCCGCATCAGCGACAGCCCACCGTCCCCGATCCTCCCCCGCACCCTGGTCGCAGGCCGTCATGATAGTTCAGCCGCCGGCACTCCAATTGGCTTCGCCCATCCAAGCCAAGCCAAGAATGAGCAGATGGACGGACAGATAATCTTTTACTCCGACGGTTTCCGAAAGAATGAGATTACGCTTCCACAGAGACCAACGACCAACCAGTTCACAGTACGACGACGAACAGAAGAACTAAAACCGGTGGGTGCGACCAAAATCGAGAAGAGGAGCAGAGAATTATTCGCAGTTCCAAGCGGAAGAACTTCCCACCTCCTCCCCAAACCTCCCTTCTCCCAGCCCAGCCCAGCCGCACCGCCGTTTCTCGTCTAGGTGTTCCTGTACACGGCGGCTCGCACAGCCAGTCCAACGCCATTACAATAGCCAGTCCCAGCCGCCGTTCATCTACGTTGCTCCGACTCCGAGGAAGTCGAAGAAGGGCAACTTAGGACCGTTGTGCCTCTCGTCGTGGCCCCTTGCGTCTTCGCAGGCGTAGGCCATGCCCCCCGCCCCCGGCCAGGACGTGTAGTGGGGATCCGCAGCGAAGCCACCGGAGAGATCTGCCGGTCCCAGGGCCATCAGAACCGGCGTGCCGCGATAGAACATGTTTCTCGGCGGGGCACCTCTCCCATCCATGCCTGCACCGGGAGGACAACCGCCAAGGAGATCAGAAAAGGCAAGGTTAAGCCTTAAGAAACCAATCGGAAAAGATGACCGGTTACAGAAAAATGCTATGAACGCTTCACTCAAAACCGAGAGCCGCCTTCATGAATCTTCGTGACGAGGGAATCATTAAAAGCAATCTAAAAAAGAAAGGCGAAAGCAAGCCCGGGCGAGCATCTCCGTGAAGAACACAAGATGAACGCATGGAAACTACGCAGGCAGGCAAGTTCGCCAGATTGTTCTGATTGAAGTAACGATGATAGCGGATCTCCCCCACCGACAGAATACAAAAACCATGCGGAAAAGAAGCTCATGGGCAGCGACGAACGTCAGATAAACCCAAGTCTGATGGAGGGATTAACGTAGCGATCAAACAAACATACCCACGAAAGATTCGATCGGTGACGGTGGTTGGTGCTGAGGACGGAATCTGCGGTAGAACCCTTGAAGAACAGGCCGGCTGGAGGGCGAGTTGAGGGAGAGATCTGTGCCAGTGGATGCTGCAGACTCGTCCCTATTGCTGGTGGTGGTCGACTCACCACTGCATGCATTGTTATTGGCGACCATCTCCGCCGCCTGCGGCGGTGAACCAGCTGGCAGACAGGCCTTCCTCCGCCTGTAAGCACTGGACTGCTCCCGGTGCTTCCTGGCCATGATGACATGCCAGTGGTTCTTCACCGCGTTGTCCGTCCGGCCAGGGAATAGCCTGGCTATCAGCGCCCATTTGTTCCCGTAGAGTCGATGGGCTGCCAGAAGCCTGTCTTCTTCCTCTTCACTGAAGGCCCTCCGGTTGATCCTCGGGTCCAGCTGGTTGAACCATCTCAGCCGGCAGCTCTTCCCTGTCCGACCACAAAGCGAGTCGGGTGACGAAGACGATGAATCAGTGCCCGTATAGCCCAAAAGGATAAGGTCCGTGGCTATTTTTTTTAGGGAAATTGGTTTCTAATCAGTAATACCTGATCGTCCTTCGAGCTTCTCGGCAATCAGATTCCAGTTCTGGGGACCGTACCGGGCGACGAGTTCTCTGAGCTTGGCGTCCTCAGCAGGCCTCCAGTGCCCCCTGGCGCAGAGCTTGGTTTGAGTCTCGTGATCCTTCATCCCTACGAAGCTCTCGCCTTCATCTTCTTCGTCTCCCTTTTGCAGGGATATCCCGCCGCCGTTGACGCCATCGAAGAACCTTCCCTCCCGTTTGAGATCCTGAAACCCCCATCCTTGATGGCCGTGCGGTTGCTTGTCCATTGAGAAACCGATTACGATGGTATCGCATTTCCCCTCCCCGGAGGGGCGGAGGTTGGCGTCTGGGGAAGGAGGACCCGGCGGTGGAGAGAAGAGACCCATCTTCTGGTAGAAACCTCCGGCTCTGCTGTAAAAGAACAGGGACTGACGATGAGAGAGAAACTGGTGGGAGCGACCGAGTGGGCGTTCTCAGGCCTCGGAACGGTTTTATTTTGCTTTCTCTAGCTCTCGAGGCGGAAACAGCCACGGAAACTACAGAGTCAAGAACGGAAACTCAGAAAACCAAGAATGGACTAGGAGGGGGAGGGGATGTTTCCCTCTTGAACCTGCACCCAGAAGAAGAAAGAAGGGATTTTTTTGATCGGAGGGGAGGAAGACCGTCTAAAAGGTGGTGAACCAAGGGGCCGTTCTCAAATGAGACCCCTGCAGGAGATATAGAGAGAGAGGGGGGTGGAGGGAACCGTCGACGGAGAGGGAAAACCGATCACAGCCCGGGAAAACAACCACAGATAAGGGGAGGGCGGCCGACTTAGAGGGGAAAAAACCAACTGTTCAGAGCGCCAGGAAATAACCGCATGCGGAAGAAGGCCGCCGGCGGGGAAGAAGATGACTGTTCATAACCCCAGAAAACAGAGAAGAATACCAGATGATTCTCTCTCTCCCCGCCCCCTCCTCCTCTCTCTCTCTCTCTCTGGTACACAGACTAATTTTTGCTTACTTTGAGACTGATCGCTGTGCCTCTCGTGGGAAGAGGGGAGTATTGGTTTCTGCAGCATGCACCAGTGTCAAAAGAGCCCCCTCGTGTGCGTAGTGGGGAAGAGAGAGAAAGAGGGAGAGAGAGGGAAGGAAGGAGAGATGGAAGACAGGGGTGGGGCGGAGTGGGGAGCGTAGTCCTCTTATACCAGTCCTGCCGCTGTCCCTCTCGGCCTTGACAAAAACACAAGAACCGAGCTTGTCTGCTAGCCAGCCCCAAACTCTCTAAAAGCCCAACATAAACTAAAGAAGAGTACAGTTCCCCACCCAATCTCATTCCATCTCCTTTCTAAATCAAATAATATTACCCTGCAACAGCTTCTTTCATCGTAGATTTCCGTCTTCTCTCTATTTCTCTCTCTCTCTCGCTCTCGCTCTGTTCCTCCTTGATTCAATGGACTTTCCGCGAGGGTTCCTCTCCCTCTCCCCCATGTGAATCTCCAGTCGGATGCTGAAGCCTGGAAAACGGGCTTTAGAACAAATCAGTCGCCCTACTTTCTGACAGACCCACCCATTTTCATCATTTTGTGGAGGCCAGGGGAAACCTTTGAATCCGCCGGAATTAGGTTAGGATCCCTAAAGGGCACCACTGTTCAGGGAAAACTGATTATCCTCTGCTTCAATAATGTCCCCCACTGTTCACATGCCGGCTGACCTTTTGACTCCCCGCCGTAGCCCCCCAGGGCGGCCCCTCCTCGTCGCACACCATTAATTTACGGTGTCACTAACGAGCTCCCCTCCGAGGCTAGCGGCGGGTCAATGTTTTAATAATGAGGACGACATCATTTTCATTGGCGACGTGCTATCAGATTCTATCGTCCGTCAGCGTCAATGGCCGGCCCACGGCAAGATCGCCGGATCATCCCCTCCCACGTTTTCTCGGCTAAGGTTTCCGTTGAAAGGTCGTACTGAGGGCTCTTGAACTTGTCTACAGGGAAAGGAAGCGCAGAGTGAAGGTGGAGGGCTTCAACGGGAATAGGAATCCATGCTGTTCTCTCCCCGGCTTGCGTAATGGCCGTGGCTTACTGTAGAAGATTTGGATGAAGAGGAATATTTGGCGGAGACAGAAAACCAGGAGGGCTCTTCCGCCGACAGGCGTTCTCGCAGGTGGACTGGTAACGGCTGCTGAAAGATAGATTACCGACGAGGAGCCTACTAATTGGTTATGATCCTCGCCGGCAATCGGAGGAGGACAACCCGACGGGAAAGACAAGTCACAGGGAGGAGAACGACGAACGGCCCGCGGCTCCGCTTGCATGGTTACGGCGTCCGTTTTCGTCCAGAACTGACGGGACATGACGACGCGATGGGACGTCCCCCACGAGTTCGCGACCGGCGCGGCCGCCCGTGTGCGTGCCGGCGGATCTGCCGGCCCTGCGCCAGGTGGGGCGAGGCCAGTCATGCCGATCCCTGTGGGGCAATTAATCGAACGGCCTTCCGGCATGCCACTGACGCACCGTCGACGAGTACGACACCGCCGAGACATGAGCACGTGCTCAGCGGCTCTCCACCCAGCATGAGCCCCTAAATTTGACTGCACCGCCGAAACTCGACCGGAAGTGCACCGGTGGCGTCGCCGAGAGCCTATGACTCCCCCTTTGGTTCCGACGAGGCAGCGGCAATAACGTGGCCTCAACTCATATCGTCGACTGAGGCAAAGACGACAAAATAATGTTCCTCCCCGTCAAGTTTCCGGCGGGCACGGCCGCCACGGCAGACCCGGAAGAAACACCACCGCCTCCCACCCTCCCCCCTCTCTCCGCCTTGCCGGCGAGGACCCACTCCGCCACCGAAAATAAAAAAGGAAAAGCGATCTGAACCGTTTGGTAGCGTCATTTCACCACAGCGGCGGCAGCAGCTTTCTCTTCTTTCTCACCCGCCCTCATCTGTTTCCTCCCCGGTGGCGATGGGCCTTCCCCCCCTCCGTAACGGTCGCTGTTTGCCTGAAAAGGACGGCGAAAGCCGCACCAGTCGGGACGAGGGGCCGCGCACACGTGCACCCTCTCCGCTGGCCCCTCCCCCACCTGACCCGCCTAGGACAAAAGAGTAGGCACACCGGAGATCAGGACACCTCTTTATCTCTCTCTTTCTCTCTCCGGCGGGTGGGACGCAGACGGTGGCCGTGGGACAGAAATGGAGCACAAGATCACCCGAGGATCCGTGGGGTAGCGCTGTGGGGGGGAGGGGGGGGCGCGCGGGGGCAGCTTTAACTTTCCTTTTGAATTTAGTGTCGAACAGCGACTGTCTTCACTCTCGTCTACTTGAAGAACTGGTAACGGACGCGAGAGTGACCGCTCGCGGAGCAGACGAGGAAAGGCGACCCCTCTCCCTCGCTCTTCTCGGCCGACGGGGAGCCACCACCACCACCACCATCTTCTTCCCTCTTGCAAGGTCGACGAGACTTCCCATCAGGGTTTCTGCATCGGCGGCCCAATGAACTGCACGGTCCGTGATCTCTCGAAGCTCGTCGGCGGAGGAAGATGATGAGATTTCCTAGGAGGAGAAACGGGCGGTGGGCCGCCGAATCCCGACCATCTCCACCGCCCCCTCAGCGATTTTTACTGCTTCGGCGACTTTACTGCCGCTGCACCAGTTTGACTCGACATCAGGTGGACTGTCGGGATTCCGGATAAAGCTCAGCTCCAGTCCAATCGATAGGCTGACCCGTACGGCTCCGGCCGGTGGCGAAGGTCGTGCGGGTTCTCCCGTCGCCCTAGCCGGAGCACCGCCGTGAGGACCAGGAAGAGTTGAACCGGAAAACAACTGCGTCTTGTGTAAGTGTTCAGAGAATCCGTCGTCAATCAGTACGACTCTCCCCTTCATCAAACTCGGCTGGTGTCGGCGAGCGATCGCATGGATAAAAACTCGGTATCGGATGAAATCTGAAGCCAGGCATAATTCAGCAAGAAGACGACGGCGGCGGACTGTGAGCACATGCGCCGCTGGGAGGAGAAGCCGACTGGGGGCGATCACATGATAAACAGTCAACAGGAAGGCCCCGCGGCTGCCCAAGGGGAGGCCCTGCCGACGACGGCAGCAAGACCAACCTCAGCTGACGGTCCCCAGTCATGTGCTCTCCTTGGTTCTCCGTCGCCGACCGAATTACTTGACCGTAGCTTCTACGCCGCCGAGATCAGTTGACCGAGAAGTAGTGCGTCTGATAATCAAAACGCGCGTCCGAAGGTATTGGTGGACTGTCCGAAATCCACCAGAATTTCGACGTGTGGCGGACGTCTTTCCTCGAAACCCGTTAGAACCCGGCCCGAAGCAGCCGTCTCTTGTCCTGACCAGTTGGCCGGTCCACATCTTCTCACGTCAGGGTGCGACGCCTTGTTTACTCTACTTTCGGTTCAGAATCACGTATTCTGCCTTATCACTTTAAAGGAAATTAGGCCAGAACCATTTCTCTACGGGTGGAGTAGGTATCTGCGGTTCAATCTGGTGTAACCTTCCATCACGTAATGATCGAGGAAGCTCCAATCTCGTGCAATACTATAATAGGGTGGAGAAATCACATGTGGTGACTGTAAGTGGATCGACCATCATTGTAACATATAAAGCCACGTCATAGGTCTCGAGATCAATCGACCGATGAGTGAGGTCTGCCCGCATATGATGAAGACAGACGGAGTCTCTTCCAGCCGTGCTGGTCTCCGTAGGGCGGTGGTGGACCATGAGAAGAGACGAGAACTGGCGTCGAAAGTCTAATCCAACAGTGGAGCCATCCCTCTCTCTCTCTCTCGGACGTTGATTGCAGCCTTTGTTCCAAGTTACGGTCTGCATGAGTCCCATCTCCGCGTATTGAGAAATCGCTCGTCGGGAGACCTTGGCCCGGTTGAAAAATCCCAGAGAGGTATCCCGCAGTAGGATGGAGACCGGTCTTCTCTCTCTCTTTCTCTCTCCCCCTCGCTCTCACTCGGTCTCTGCCCATCTCTTACGGAATAGGAGACCAAACTTGGTTATCACGAGAGTAGATTGCACGAGATACTGGACGGTGGGTGTCCACATGCCGTCATGCTGATTCCATCTTCTTCTTTTTGTCCTCTTTCCTACATTCGGTGGAGGAATTTCGACCCATTTTCATTCCTTCATCTCTCTCTCCCTCCCTCTCTCTCTTTCTCTATCTATCTAATCTATCTGTACGTATACACAGATATCCATGTATCTGCTCTTAACGAGGTTTATTAGTCACGAACTGCGGACGGAGTAGTGAGGATTTACGGCTGGCGGAGGGGGTGGGGCGGACGGCCACATGACTCGTGGAATTCGGAACGTTTGGTCTGCCAGGGTCTCTTGTTTCCTCGATCCGCAAGCCCAGAACGTGCGTTCTCGGTGTTCTTTGCGCCCGACGCCGCTCCGTTCTTCCCCCCATTTGTTTTCTCAGCCCGACTTCTGGTGTCCTCGGCCTCTCCGGGCACGTGTGTCGCCTCCGCCGGCAGCGGCCACGACAGTAAACATCGGCTCTCGAATTCGAGCAGCACCCAACGCCGCCACCGTGTCGGAAAAGTCGCCGCCTTTGTCCCCTCGACAGATCGCGGGGTTAAGATTCCACTGGACACCAAGGCCAGCTAGGGCCCGCACGTGTGGCGGATTAGAGACTCACCTAGTAAATACCCTAGGGTGAACTCGTTCCAAGGAGGACGGGTGATGGAGACGAAGCAGAGCTTCTTCATCACCCCCTTCTAAGTCGCTGTGGTTTTCGTTAGTCTTTGTTTGTCCACTTCGCTGCTTCCGAAACAGCAGCTCTCCGGTCACATCGCCGAGAATCCACCGACTCCCACGTTCCCTCCGCGGAATCCGACGGCGCCCCGCGGCCAAATTTGGATCATTTGTCATTAGCGATGCCGTCGCCGGCGGCCGGCATTCCCGCCGGCGGTGTGGACTGGGAGGGGCGCCGTCAGTGGGCTGGTCCCGGCGACTGACCGGGAGGTCGTCAAGATGATTCCCCCTCCTTCTGCAGCTGCCGGAGATCGGTGTCATCGCTTCCTCCCAATCATTCCGTACTTGGTAAAAAAAAAAAAAAAAGGCCAGTCCATCATTTGTTCAATTAATTTCGAGTCAGATAATGTGATATTCTATTAATAGAAAATTACTATTTTTCCGAAAAGTGAGTCCCGGTCGTAATAGATAATTTTTCCTCGACCAGCTATCAGCGGCCCATTAGCCCATGTCCCATAGATGGATCGGCCCATAAATCTGTTATCCCACAGGAGAAGTGAGCTTATGGGCTTGATAAAATATAATTGGTAGTGGGCCGGTGGGTGACCGAATAAAGCCTCGGGTAGATTGGGTTGGGCCCAGTTATCTCTGAGAATATCTTCAGGGGATGACGCCATGTCGGCCCACACTGGGGCACGCTACTGGGCCTACCTCCGACCGGGAGAAGTGGAACCTCTACATGTGGTGTAAAAGATCGACAAGGTCTCTTTCACGTGGGCCCACTAAGGAGATAATTGAGGCCCGTCAATAGGCTTTCGGCCCGACGACATTCAACGGTAACGGTCCGTGAATAAATCGGACGACAACCTTCCGTCTTCCAGGCCCGTCGTCGTCTTCGTAGTGGGCAGTGGAGTGAGAAGATCCCATGGCAGCAGCGGCACCAGCAGCCCCAGTGGTGCTCTCGTATTGCCGTGGAGAAAGACGGCCTCTCCGCCCGCTTCATCTTCCAAGTGCCGCTCTCGTTTCCTCCTCGCCAGCGATTCCTTCACTCTGCCTCAGATGCTCGCCCTCGGTGGGACAGTCGCGCGGTCTCTCAGCGAGAGCGCGGGGTTTGGGCAGGCGCTCTACTGTCGCCGTTGCGAAGTCGCCTGATGCTGAAGGGGCGCCACAGCCTTCGGAGAGGTGGCTTTTGGAACCTATAGGTCAGTCTGGTTCCCATGCGCCTCTGTTTTGTTTGCTTTTTATCTGAGGGCGCTGGATCATATCCGTCCATTGTGAGACTTCACGCTGTGGTGCTCAGGTTCGTTCGATTCGGCGGAGTGAGATTTCTCTTTAATGTTTACTTGCGAATGTGATTGGATCATGGACCACCGTGGAATCTTTCGTAGATACCGGTTGCCGTACTTTTTTCTATGCAAGTTAGAGCTGTAGAATATATGATTTGGGAGAATTTGTTGAGTCAGCCTTAGACTCAATAAGGTGCTCCCAATTTTCACGCAGTTAAGCGGGGAGAATATTTGAGTATCAATTATTGTCGAAATAGCCAGCATCTTTGTGGAAAATGTACCAACGGCGGAAGGATGGACAACTATCTTAACAAATTTATTTTATGAATGCTCAAATGAGTGTTTTCTTTGATACACGGCTTCAGTCTCAGAACAAACTAAAATGAACTAATATTATGTCTTGTACGTTGTTAACATGTAGGGTAGCATATCAAATTGGCATGAAGTCGTGTACCCTTGTTACTTTGTGATCTTCAAACATTAACGATGATGCCGTGCCATGTTGACCTATACTAGATGCTGAGTTTCATAATCTTGCTGTTCGTGCAAACTAAATGTAGGTATTCAAGGTAAATAATCATGCCTTGCTACGTTTCTTTGTGCTCATAAGTTTTCTGTTTACTCCAACTAATCGTACCTATTCAATGGAAACAGTTATACTTCCTGTGTTCATAATTTTTGAAAGTTGATTTCTGTTCAATGGTTCATAATTTAATGGCTTTAATTTTTGTGAGTGTATCATTCTCTCTCTGGCTGTCAGTGGCCAGAGCACATCTCTTTATCCTCATTATCACTATCATTCATCGATAGAGCTACTCACATGGTGATGTGGTGCAGGTGATGGGGATACAAAACATCTTGGTTTTCTAGTGCCAATGCCTAACGCGTTTGAGATGGTTTCAGTAAGGCCCCTTCCGTTACTCATCAATGATTCCCTTCAGCAGAAGAGACTCGATTACCTAATTAGTGTGCCATCTTTAGAATGCGGTGACGGTAGGCCGTCTTCCAGAGAAAGCAGATATGGTAATCCCCGTAGCAACAGGTACTACTAAATCCTGTGCTTTGACATGTGAGAGAAGATACTGCAACTAAACAAATAGGCACGCTAACTAGTTCTCATTCCAGCTGTCGAATCTTGATGAAATGCTTGTTCTTTTACCTATGTTCGACCTTTCTTACTCCGAGCAGTATCTGGCATCCACGCTCGACTGGAGAAGAAGGATGGGCTTCTTCTTGTCACCGACCTAGACAGCACAAATGGAACATACATCAATGAAAAAAGGCTCAGACCCGGCGCAATCTCACCAGTTCCACCTGGGAGTCGTATCACATTTGGTATGTTTCTGTGTTTCATGAAATCGAATAATAGCTAAATTGAAACTCATTTAGGGTTCCATTGATCTCTGTTAATGAATATTTCTCTTTTGGGCATGAATTTTTTTTTTTTCCCCTCTCAGGTGATACACATTTGGCAATGTTCCGTGTCTCTAAGCTTCAGGAGAAAAATATTGAGGTAGAAGCTGCTGATTCTGACACCGAGGCGGAAACTGAAGCTTCACAGATTGCGTCAGCTAGTTAAAAACGGAGATAATGACCTCCTCTGTTTGCCCTGCCTATCATCATAATTAGCATCGAATACCTCTGGCTTATGGAGATCATAAGTTGTGTGGGTACTTTTTTCACGAAAATAATTAAAGCTGAATTGATCTGTCCAGCTTTTTTATCGTAACATTCACAGGCTTTTGCCCCCTCTAACCCGCCCAGGGTTTCTCAGATTAACTGGTTGATGAGCTCCAGAAGGCGTTCTTGTAAGTTCCCTAATATCAGGAAGCTCTGGATGTATGTTTTCATTGTGTTCATCTAGTTCTTCCTCCGAGCGAAGAAGATGGTGATTAGATCAGCATAATGCCTCATGAGAAGGTTTCTATCCACCGCATATTCGGAGGACTTTGGTTCAGGTATGAGAATGACATTTGAACCTAGTAAAAATTTAGCGTTATCTCGTGATTCACATGTGAACTATACTAAATAACCCTGAATATTATTTAGAGAGAGAGGGAGGGAGAGACGATGTAAAAAAAACGAGCGACAGCGTGGAAGTCGGGGAGAAGCCTCTTCGTAGTCGTGCACCGCTCTACTGGGAAGCTGCTCTCTGGTTCAGAGAGAGAGAGAGACGTTTCCTCGAACCCAGTCCTCGAAACGTGAATGGAACCGGTGAGAAACGTACGGGGGACGAGCCCCGTGTGGAGCAGGGATTCCTTAGGCGGATAAACGAGATTTCTCCGGTGGGATGCCGACACGCAAAGTCGGCTTATGGGTCAACCCTTCTCCTCTCTCCCCGCCGAATTTCTTATCACCTGATAGCTTCTAAGGTTAAACATTAAAAATAACAGAGGAATGAGGCCACTGCGTTTGCCGGCCAAACGAGGCAAAGTGCCCTTAAAATTCCTATGGAGACGGTAAAAGATGACACATTGCGCGTTCTCAACGTGAGCAAAGGTCAACGGTGAACGGCTAAGCGGCACACTGTAGCATGCCCTTGAACTCCGATAGGCAGATCCTGCCGTCGCCGTCCTCATCGTAAGCTCTGATCATCGACTCGCAGTCCTGCAGCCTCCTGCCCTTGGTGAAACCCAGCGCGACCATGACGCTGCGCAGCTCGACGGGGGTGATGAACCCGTCGCCGTTCCTGTCGAACACGGAAAAGGCTCGCAGGAGCTCCTCATCGCTCGCCACCTTCTCCTCCAGGAAACGAGAGGCCGCCTTCACCAGCCTGCACCGGCTGCATTCCCCTTCTTCCCACGTCTCGTCCCCCTCTTCCTCGGAGATCTCAAGGCCAAGCTTTCCCATGACCGTCTCCACGTCGTCGATGATCACGGCGCGGCCCTCGTCGCCGGAGAGATCTCGGTGAGGATTCTTCTGGCAAGACTCGCACTTTCCTGCCCCCAAGTCGCCGGCTTTCCCTTGCTCTTCTTCCTCGCCGCCGGAGTGCTCGTGGTCTGCTGCGTCCTGCTCGACGCTCACTGAGAAGACGCGCATCGACTTCATGTAGCAGCGGAGGAGCTCCACGAGGAGATGGATCGTGCTGTGGAAAAACGACTCCATCACCATCGTCATGTTTTCTCCCAGGTTTCAAGGATCGATAGAGTAAGAGAGCGAGCGAGCGAGAGATAGAGAGAGAGAGGGAGGGGGAGAGAGTGATGGTGGACCGACCGTTGTGGGTCTAGGTTTGGAAGGATTGAAGACGGGGGGTTGAATATGTAGGTTCGTTCCAAGATGTATGCTTCTTCACGGAAGGTGGTCAGAAGCTTCGATTGCCGAAGGGGCCTCTTTGCTTCCTGGCCACCTTCTTCTTTCTTTCTTGGAATGCGATCGATATAAAGAGAGAAGTGAACGGCCAAGCCGCGCGTCTTTTTTACTTTTCCGCGTTGATTACTCGTTGTCTTCCACCGACAGCAGAGTCTTGGAGTCTAAGCAAATTGTTTCTCTCTCTCTCTCTCTCTCTTCTCTCTCTCTCTCGGCGCCGTAAATTTGTCATGACAGATCGGGCTTTACGAAGCTCGATTTTTAGCCTAGCTTTCTCTTAGAGGACTGGGCTTCCCTCGGTTTGCAAAATGAGAGAGGGAGAGAGGGGTAACCTTTTTTGTACAGAGATCGGCGTTCGTCTCTTGCTGGTTCGCTGCGAGCAGTGCTCAGCAAGGAAACGGCATGGGGAAGCTCACTCGGTCTTCCGCTGGGTCTTGCGAAACTACCACGAAGGTAAGCATCCTTTAGGTATAAGACGAGGAGACTGGCCATTTATTCGACAGGAGACTCGCAGCCCTTCTCTTCTCTCTCCCTCTCTCCTTTCTCTCTCTCTCTCTCTCTCTCTCTCTCTCTGAGTGTGCAGACTGAGGGCAAGGCCGGTAATGTGAGTTGAAACTAAGCATAGTAAAGCCCGGACTGTCCGGAGAAATTTGCGCAGAGAGAGAGAGAGAATAATTTGTTCGGACGCTAAGACTCTGACGTCAGTATAAGACGAGGTATCGTCAACGATACTGGGGCCGACGATAACATAGCGGAAGGATTGCCTTCGTGGTGATTTCGCGAGACGCAGCGGAAGGGCGAGTGAGCTTCCTGCTACCGTTTCCCTGAGCTCAGCACGGTCGGCGTGCCTTCGTCCATGAAATACATCTCCCCGCAGCGAACCCGGCAAGAGGAAGACGAGAGCCGATCTCCCAAAACGGGTATAAATTAGGAAACTTCATCGCGGGATGAACCGGAAGGCCGAGACCATTTCTTCAGTCATCTTAGCCCCCACTAGAGAGAGAGAGAGAGAGAGAGAGAGAGAGAGAGGGGTCGTCGCAGAAGTATTGAGATATGGGCCCAACAACGGCGGCACCTGTCAAAGGGCCTTATGGGCCGTGCCTTTTCCCAATGAGGCAAAAAGAAGTGGTTAATGACGAGATGTTCTTTTCTCTTTTTGTTACGTTGGGAGACAGCAGCAACTTTGCAATCTCACATTAAGTGCGAGGAGGTATAAATATTAATTCTAAATGTCATTTGTTGGAGTGATTATATACAACAAGTTGCATCATAACTCAATCACAAGTACCAGAAGATGATGAACACTTCTTCAAAGTTAGATGTGGCAAAATTTTATGAAACATCTAATTTTAATATAGAGAGCTAAAAATGAAGGATCTGCTAATTCAATAAGATATGGTAAAAATCTAATAAAGGAACATACAATGATGAGAGATGTTGGGAAAAAGAGATGAAGGTGGCAAGTAACGTTCATGCATATCTTGTAGATTTTGTTCTATATCATGTCTTGAATCAAGATTACCTACTTGAATTTTGACAAAATTAGAGAGCTGATTTATGTAAAAACTCTTAATGAACAAATTATTTTTAAAATATAAATTTTACAAAATTAAGGTTACAGAAGGTCCTAATCTTACAACTTTTATAGATATTTTCAACAAGATGATTGATGATTATAACAAGAAAAGAACGTATGATAGAAAGATAAAATTCAAACAAGAGAAAGAAATCACAATCAGTGTCAAAATCCAAAGTAAATTAGATCAAGATTTGAATGTTATAAGTGCCATGAGAAGGGGAACATTAAGAAAGACTACCCAAGACTAAACTATGCAAAAGTTGAGAAAAATGACCCTTCTACCTTTACAAATGTTGTAAGATATGAAATCACTAATTGTTGCTATAGATTTTTCTTTTTCAGATATTTGATTATTGGACCTCAAAGTGTTTGTATCACATGTCTAAGTATAGATTTGATTTGAAACTTACATGTCAGTCTTAGATTTTTAATAGGTTCAGACATACTTATATTTAAGGTAGAAAATTAAACCTTGAAGATTGTGTAACAATCAATATACTATTATGGCACACAACACTATGTTATACTAATGAGAATGATCTTAAAGAACCTTGTAAGAGAGTTTTACTACATAAAGTAAAGAATTCTAATTTATTTTTTCAAATGATATGTTATGAGAAAATTATATTTTGAATAATGTGTCATAGATTGTGTATTTAGACGCTTAAGAATTCATGAACATAAAATTAAGAGCATCTTACTACTTTATAAGTTTTATTGATGATTATTTAATGAAAGTCTATGGTCATTTCATGAAATACAAATGAAAAATTAGACGGGAGTAAGATCAAAGTCTTGAGAAGTGATAATGATAGAGTATCAAGATTAAAAACATCTAAAATATTATGAGGAGCACATAATTCAAATGAAACACACTAAAGAAAATATTGTAGCAAAATAATTTTACAAATAGAATAAATAGAATTATTCTAAATAGAGAAAAATGTTCAAAATTGAATACTAAGTATAAAAAGAATTCTGAGTATAAGCAGTAAACATGACATGTGATTAATAGATTACCAATAGATGTTCTTAATATGAAATTTGTTGAAGAAGTTTAGACGTAAAAAAATAGAGTATTCAAATTATGAGTTATTTAGATGTCTCAATTATGTTCATCTTCCAACTGAAGAAATATCAAAGCTCAACTCAAATTAAAAGAGATGTATGTTATTAAGTTCTAAAAATAAAGTTAAAGGATATAAACTTTTGGATTTATGAACAAAAAATACTATAATTAATAAAGATGTTTGATGAAATCTACATGTTAAAATATTTGATGAAAAACTAGCATTGCAATTAGAAAGAAAGGCTTGTAGAAATAATATTTTTGTGAAAGTTGATAAAAAAAGTAATACACTAGAAAGAATCAAAATAACAAACAAAATTAAGTCAGAATGAAATGAGATCGTGACCAAAAGAGCTAGATGCACCATAAAACTACATGTGAGATATGGTTTTGAAGATTATGTTTCTTGTGTTTTGATTATGAATGAAGATGAAAGGGTTTTTCTATGTTGGTCAAAACATGAATAAATTAAAATGGTATTTTTAATGATAGTAAATAAAGATAGAAAGTTAGAGCAACCTAATGTAAAGTTTGTGTTCTTTCATAGTGATTTGGAAGAAGTTAACTATAAGGATTCAAGAAACAATGTTAAGTGCACCTTGTTCATAGGCAAAAAAAGTCACTTTATGGATTAATGTAACCTAAAATGTAATGATAAAAAAAGAATATTTGATTGATTCAAGTGGACTACAATCAATGAGTATGCTTCTTGTGTTTATGTAAAACTCATTGAAAATAGTTGTTCAAATATGAATCATATTCTCGAATTCAAAAATATACTTAAGAAATAATTTAAAATAAATTATCTGTGCTCAAAGAAGAAGACACTTGGGATAAAATTTGTAGAAATAGAAAAGCAAGACAAACATTTTGTCTATCATGTTGAGATATGGTAAAGGTAGAATTTCATTACATTACAAGATAATTCAGTGTTATTTTCTTGAAAATTAATCAAGTCTATCATGTAAGAACTGAACATATGATCAAAGAACTGGTAAATTCAATATATTTTTTAAAAAGAAAATTCATATTACAAAAAATGGTGAAGACATGTTGAGTAAACTAGATACAATAGATAATTCAATCACTACTTGGATTTGATTCAAATCTCAATTTGCTGAGAAGTAAAAGCATTTTCCCAAAAGAATCTCAAGATAAAGGGTAATTAAGAAATATTTTGGATGATTAAGATATTTGTTAGGGTGTAGAATGTTGAGATATGGCTCAAAAGAACACCTATCAAAAGGAGGAGTTGTTTTCTTATGTTGCATTTCGAGATAGTATTTATACCTCATCTCACGTCATGTAAGATTACCAAATTGCCCCCCCCCTCTCTCTCGCTCAGCTGTTGTTTTCACGTTCTTTTAAATTGAAGGAACGGGACAACTTTGCAATCTCACATGAAGTGAGAGGAGGTATACATACTATCTCGGAACGTAATCGTGTACGGTTTTCGAATCAATTAGAAAGTCTCATTTTCTTCTCACGCCCTCTAAATCTCTTTCTCAGCGATAGACACAACTGACCATTCACTGAATTGCAGTGAGTTTCTTTAGTTCTGTTCTTTCTTCTTATCAGTCTTTAATTCTGAACATTGATTCGACCCAGCGTGAAGGTTTCGTCGCCACAGCCGGTGAGGACCTCTCTGATGATCATACCAAACGCGGACAATCCGAGCTTATCTTCTCCCACCACTCCGATGACAACGCCACAATCCCCGCTCTCCCAGGCAGCGCCACCCCTTCTTCTCCTCCCCCGCCGATGCCCCCGTCTCCGATTTCTTCACTCCATGACCGTCTTCTCTCTTTCCCTCCCACGACCTTCGGCCCTCTCCTCTCCACTCCACTGCCCCCACCTTCAGTGAAGTCTCCGTCCTTTCTCTGTGTTGGCACCGCCCGCCCTCCCTCGTCCGAAGCTACGATCCCCGCCTAGCAGTTGTCAGGCAGCCTTGGGCCTCCAGGTCGCTTGCGTCAGCGAAGGAGTTGATGGCGTGATCCCCTTAATGGGCTCATCCTCCGAGAATCCACCATTCTCGGAGGGATCAGATATTTCACCCCATCTCAAACGATGAACTATAATTTTCTCGACATATCAGATCGGAAACTGTTGACCCTTTTTTTTAGGTTTTTTGGGGCCTAAAAGTCAATGGGTTCCACGCAACATCACTATACTAGCTCAGCTTTCTCCACCTCCGCCTCAACCGGCGGCAGTTGAGCTTCCCCGGCACTGGGCAGGGCACGCTCATGCGTCACCTTCCGCCACCATGGACCACTCCCCTGCCAGTCTTCCATTGTTGCCTAGCCCTCACCTGCCATGCTTGCCAGCGGAGCCGACTCGCCGGAAATGACGACCCACTAGCTCTGTCTCTCTCGTTGCCGTCTCGGGAGGCTTTTGCTTGCTCCGGTGAGGCTATCATTAGACGAGGACCAAGACTAGTCGGAGTGGCTGTTCTTGGCACTGAAATCATGAGTAAAGTAACAGTGCGGCGACATGATCGCTATCATGAATTATATATAAAACTATATATAATCAATCGAATTATTTTACCGTAAATGTAAAGATGTTAACAATCTTGAAATGGTTCACTTGCAGAATGCCATTTCCCGTGCGCTGGCGCTTGCCGGCCAGATCCGGCTGCCGCCGCCACGGAACCGGCGTGGGACGAACCGCCTGCTTAGTAGACTAACGCGGGGCTCGTTTTGTGACGGAATGTCTAACGCCCCCCTCTCTTCCAGTGGAGATAAAATAATGCAAGCGTTTGGCCGTCTCTAACCATATAAAAATATGGAAAATGGGCACCGAATGAGACCCTTCTGGAGCTTCAGGGCGTTGAAGAAAATCGCCAGGCAAGAGAGGAGATGGGATGGGCCACGGGCTCGTGAGACGACCCCTCACCTGAAGCCGTGCATATTTTTATTCAAAATTAAAAATTCGGTTTTTTTTAGTGGAAAAATTGCCATTAAAGTCAACGCTTTTTAGAACTAGTTTGAGAAATCTGCCTTTTACAAAGAGTCGTATGCTCATCTAACTGCCACGTGACCATCTTTTGACCACTGACTCGATGTCTTAAGTTCTCGGATCTATCTCGGCCGGCGGCCGGAAATGGAGTGTTCAAGCCCACAACGCTGGGTCAACGCACGTCTCTTTTCGCATCAATTCTGGCTTATTTTCGCCGTCGATTGTGCCACGTGGGCGGTCAAACTTTGCCACGCGTACACGGTCTATGATCAAACAAGTGAATTGGGACGTTCCCATTGCGGCAGCTGTTTCGCTGTTATCAACGCCGTCGAACCAGACCCTTGCTGGCCCCGGTCAACGCTTTCTTTGAAAACTTCAACGTGACGGAGCTACGCGGATTTTTCTCGTGAATTCCAGGACGCCGTCACCGTCAACGTTGGAACCTCAAGAGGCCTCAGTCACTCCCCGTGGCCGCCATTTCTGACAGATCGCCAAAGATCCAGGGCACGGCATCGAAGTGCCTCTAGAAGCTCTCTCTCTCCTCTCCGTGTACGGAATTTACGAAAGGCCCTGGCTTTCTCGGGTATTGGGAAGGAGGGTCGTCGAGTCGCCGATGGTCGGGCCGTCGTCGGCGGCGACCGAATCGAGCTCCGCCACGTGGACTTCGCGTCACATGCACACGTGCTTCAATCAATTTACATCAAATGGAAAAGCAGACGGTCCTCAACAATTACGTGCGAGATATCTAATTTAGGAGTATGTATACGGTTTATGAAATCGGTTATTTGGTTTTCACGCCCGTTTTATTGGACGGAACTTGTTATTTTTTTGCGGATACGCCCCCCATAATTTACACATTGAATTTAATGGATTATCCTTTGCTGATTTGTACTCATGTTCGTTTCGGATGGAAGACGTAAGCACCGGAGTCGTCGCAATTTTTTAAAGGAATACTCGCCGTAATCGAGTGTAGGGGCATTATTACAATTATTATATTAACATAACATTAATTTTAAAACAATGGAGGAGTATATTCGGAAAACCTAATTTTTATATCTTGGGCTGTCCGCTCGATCTGTCTCGGCACTACCGCTGGCGATCTCTCTATCTCTCTGTCTTCCCCCTTCCCTGACACGGTTGCCGTAGCGATCTTCTGACCAGACTTCTGCTGCAGCTTCTCCCCCTTTGAAAGTCTTCCATTCTCCTACCTCTCGTCTTCTTCCCCCTTTCCCCCTTCGCAGACCTTTTAATGGCCGTTTTTTCCGCGTCAAGGATTTGCATTCGTCCCCTATTCATTTCGACACGATCGCCTCCCCCTTCTATCCTTCACTGACCTCGCTCGGTGCCTCTCCGACGCTGATCGTCTTCTTCCCCGGCGGGGTAGGGTTTCTCAGCTTTCGATCCACCTTCTCTGAGCCGAGTTAGCTCTCATCAAGTCTCTCTCTCAATCGGCGGCTATCTGGTTTGGGTTTCGCTTAACTCTCTTTCCAATCTGAGGATGATTTGCCTCTGACCCTCGGATCTATGGCCTTCGTGCGGCCTCTCTTAGACCCTTCACCTCGGCCGCCGCCGGTGCCAGGCTCGCTCCCGCCTCCGTCGGCGGATCTTCCCAGGCCCATCGCGGAGCCTCCCATCGGTTCAGACCTCAGCCAGAACCCTTTCGACTCATCCTCTCGCCTCTCCAATGCCTCTGCTCGCCTTCGGGTGGACTACAACTCCGGCGACCGGGTTCTTTTCCCGGAGCCGGGCAGCGCCGACAGCTTCCGTCGCGTCTCCGGCTCCAGAACCGCCGTGCGGCATGGCTCTGGCGCCGAGTCCGACAGATTCGGCGTCGCCTCCCTGAGGGAAATCTCCGATGAGGACGCCCGATTCGTCTACATCGGCGACCCCGCACGGACCAACGAGCGGTTTCAGTTCACCGGAAATTCTATCCGCACGGGGAAGTACTCTGTCTTCACCTTCATCCCTCGCAATCTCTTCGAGCAGTTCCACCGGGTGGCCTACATCTATTTCCTCATCATCGCCATCCTAAATCAGCTCCCCCAGCTCGCCGTCTTCAGTCGGGAGGCTTCGATCATGCCTCTCGCTTTCGTTCTCCTCGTTACCGCTGTCAAGGATGGGTACGAAGATTGGCGCCGGCACCGTGCCGACCGCATAGAGAACAACCGGACAGCCTATGTGCTCTCCGACGGCGAGTTCGGTCCCAAGCTATGGAAGGATGTGCGAGTGGGGGAGATCATTAGGGTTCGATCCAACGAGAGCCTCCCTTGCGACATGGTCCTCCTGTCCACCAGCGATCCCACCGGCGTAGCCTATGTGCAGACTATCAATCTGGATGGGGAATCCAATTTGAAGACAAGGTATGCTAAGCAGGAAACCCTATCGAAGGTGCCCGAGAAGGATCCGGTGACTGGTGTCATCAGGTGCGAGCAACCCAATCGGAACATCTATGGATTTCATGCAAACATGGATATCCAAGGCAAGAAGGTTTCTCTCGGGGCTTCCAACATCGTGCTGCGCGGATGCGAGATCAAGAACACAGCGTGGGTGGTGGGAGTTGCTGTGTACGCCGGGAGGGAGACGAAGGTCATGCTTAACAGTTCTGGAGCCCCTTCCAAGAGGAGCCGGCTGGAGACGCACATGAACCGGGAGACGATGCTCCTGGCCTTCATCCTGGTCGCCATGTGTTCCATCGTTTCCATCTTCGCTGGCATCTGGTTGAGGAACCACAAGGATGAGCTCGACTACTCGCCCTACTTCAGGAAGAAGGACTTCTCAGAAAAAGAAGAGGAAAACTACAATTACGATGGAATCGGGGCGGAGGTGGCCTACAGGTTCCTCATGTCGATCATTGTGTTCCAGATCATGATCCCAATCTCTCTGTACATCTCCATGGAGCTGGTCCGACTGGGACAGGCCTATTTGATGATCCAGGACAGGAATCTATTCGACGAAACTACCAACTCTCGACTTCAGTGCAGGGCTCTGAACATCAACGAGGATCTCGGGCAGATCAAGTACGTGTTCTCGGACAAGACCGGGACCTTGACACAGAACAAGATGGAGTTCCAGTGCGCAAGCATAAGCGGGGTCGATTACCAGGCTGAGATGGATCCTCTCTCAGCTGACCACGCAGATTGCTCTGTAAGAGGTAATTACTGTGCACTACTCTTGGACATGGTACTCTGGGCATGCCGATTACATCATAAAAGAGGCAATGCCATTGACTTCTTTTTTTTGTGTGTGCAGTGGGCGATCAGTTCTGGAGGCCAAAAATGAGGGTAAATGTTAATACTGATCTGGTCAAATTGCTTAGAAGCGGCCATGGCAGAGAAGAGAGGAAGTATGTTTATGACTTCTTCCTTGCTCTCTCGGCTTGCAACACCATTGTCCCCATCGTTGTGGATACCGCAGACGAGAACTCCAAGCTGATCGATTACCAAGGAGAGTCTCCAGATGAGCAGGCCTTGGTTTATGCAGCTGCAGCCTATGGCTTTGTGCTCGTAGAACGGACATCAGGCCACATAGTGGTCGATATTCTGGGAAACAGACAGAGGTAGTGCTCGTCACCCATCAAACCAATTAAAAACTTCGTTAATTCTCAATTGATGCTTCATCTTTCGCTGCGACTAGTATCATCACTTATATTTGCCCACGGCTCTTCCATGGGTGATGTAGGGTCATACATGTTTCAGATTGATTCTATCTTCGTTGCCCTTTGACATTTATTATGGCCATTCGGGAGCATTTGCGAACGCTGTGACGATTATCACTTTTCTTTGTTGGGGGGATTCATTATTAGCGCGCCATCATATCATTTGACAGAGAAGAGGCCTCCACGGCTTTTCCCGAGTAAGCCATTCTTATGAATCTTTGCATGGTGTGTGGACAGGTTTGATATCTTGGGACTCCACGAATTCGACAGCGATCGCAAGAGAATGTCAGTCATTGTTGGCTGTCCCGACAAGACGGTGAAGCTCTTTGTGAAGGGCGCAGACAATTCGATGCTCGGCGTGCTTGAAGAATCCCTCGACTTGGACGTTGTTCAGGCGACCAAGAACCACCTCCACGCCTACTCGTCACTGGGTCTGAGGACACTGGTGGTCGGCATCCGGGAGTTGACCGGCGGTGAGTTTCATGAGTGGAAGTCCTCCTATGAGAGGGCCAGCACAACCTTGTTTGGTCGGTCAAAGGCTCTGCGACTAGTGGCATCTAATGTAGAGAGCCACCTGCACATACTGGGAGCTTCGGGAATCGAGGACAAGCTGCAGGATGGGGTCCCCGAGGCCATAGAATCCTTGAGGGAAGCAGGGATAAAAGTATGGGTCTTGACCGGAGACAAGCAAGAGACCGCCATCTCTATCGGCTTTTCTTGTAAACTTCTGACGACCAACATGGATCAGATAGTCATAAATAGCCATTCCAAGGAAGCCTGCCGAAGGAGCCTCGAAGATGCCATGGCGATGTCCAGGAAACATCTCCAGATGGTCCATGATGCTGGGCGGATCTCTCTGGCCCTGATCATTGATGGGACCAGCCTCGTCCATATTCTTGAGAACGAACTGGAGGAAGAGGTATGACTTCTCCCAGTCTTGGAGATGTACTCTTCCTCTTGTTGATCCCCTGTACTTCATTAATTTCTTGCGTCTTGTTGTGTGCGGCAGCTCTTCAAAGTAGCCACAGCCTGCGACGTGGTGCTGTGTTGCCGGGTCGCTCCATTGCAGAAGGCTGGGATCGTCTCCTTGATAAAGTCCAGAACTGAGGACATGACTCTTGCCATTGGAGACGGTAGGTTGAGTTTTTCTACCTTCGGAAATTTTAAGGCCGTCTGTCAGGTCTAATAGATCCGTGGGAACTGCTACTTCCAGGTGCAAATGACGTCTCGATGATCCAGATGGCCGACGTTGGTATTGGGATCAGTGGCCAGGAGGGGCGCCAAGCTGTGATGGCCTCAGACTTCGCCATGGGCCAGTTCAGGTTTCTGGTGCCTCTCCTCTTGGTCCATGGCCATTGGAATTATCAGCGCATGTCATACATGATCGTCTACAACTTCTACCGGAACGCAGTGTTCGTCTTCGTGCTATTCTGGTGAGAGAAGATATTCTTTCAGAATCACTCACATCAGTAATTTTTATCAAAATCTCCCACTCGTACCTTCTCATGGTATCATCCAAGTATTGATGAGGGGGTTTGATGGCCTTTGCAGGTACATTCTCTACACGGGTTTCAGTTTGAGCACAGCAATTACTGAATGGAGCAGCGTCTTGTACTCCATCATCTACACTGCCCTTCCCACCATTGTCGTCGGCATTCTCGACAAGGATCTGAGCAGGAAGACACTCTTGAAGTATCCCCAACTCTACGGAGCAGGGCAGAGAGAGGAAGGCTACAACCTGAACGTGTTCTTGCTGACCATGGTGGACACAATCTGGCAGAGCGCCGCCATCTACTTCATCCCCTACCTGGCCTACAGGAACAGCACCGTGGACGGGTCGAGCATCGGAAACATTTGGACTCTCGGGGTGGTCATCCTGGTGAACGTCCATCTGGCCATGGACTTATTCCGGTGGACTTGGATCTCACATGTGGTGATATGGGGCTGCATTGTTGCGACCTGGATCTGCGTGATCGTTATAGACTCCCTCCCTTTCTTGCCCGGCTTCTGGTAATCCCACATCCCATCCCTGATTACATAAAGAACAGGCCCTGCTCGCCCTCCTTGCGAATCTCTTCTAACTGATTTCCTTTCCATTGCAGGGCGATCTATCATGTGATGGGCACAGCCTTGTTCTGGCTGTGCTTGCTGGGTATCCTGGTGGTGGGGATGATTCCTCGGTTTGCTCTGAAGTCGTTCCGCGGGTACTTCTTCCCCAGCGACATCCGCATCGGCAGGGAGCTGGAGAAGGCCGGGGGCTACTACGAAGCCGTCGCCGGCTCTATTGAGATGAGACCCGTCGTCGGCGCCGGCGGCGCCCGGTCGTGACTCCCCAACAACCCCCCGAGCTCCCATCTGTGCAATCCGTCGTCATTCTTGTGTGCATAATTAGCCGATTCTTTCAGCTGTTCGTCGGGTTTTGCTCGCCGGCTTGCAAGCTCGTCGCCAACCCGAAGGGTACATTTCCAGTCCCTCTACAGTCGTGTATACTTCTCAACTCACATACCATTTTCCTTCAATTGAGATCAACACAGCTTTACCCATCACTGCCCCTGCGGCTCTTCTGTGTCGGATCAAGAGGAATGAATGGGTTTAATGGGCCAAGATACAGGCTTGCTTGAAGCTTCAGGTTATTGGGTCGGGAGGTAAGGGAGCTGTGTCGTACGGTGCGTCGTCATCGGCCGGGGAGCCAACCGGCCGGAGTGACAGACAAGACGGAAGCTTGAGTCTATGCCGGGGAACCTCCGACTCCGAATGGACGTATCGGCGGCTCTGCCAGTATTTCTTCTTCCCGGTGAAGGCAGCGGTGGCGCCACCCGCTCCTCTCTCCGCTCGACGGGGAAGACTTCGAGCAGGTAAGCTAGACGCCTGTCGCCGCCGCCGGGCGTGGGCTTTCCGGGAGACCCGCCTGATTTGATGGGGGACAGGGTTAAATAATATGTATAGTCGATGGTTCTTCATCACCGAGTTGGAAGTCCTTGAAAAACGTAAAGATTCCTGAAGTACGTAGAGAAGTGTAGAGAGGTGGGGATTTAATATGGATTTTAGGTCATTGATCTACAGAAATTAGAATAATGTTCTAACATAATTCTGAAGAAGGCTGAGATGGCCCGTGGAATTGAGATCGATGATATAATTTGCATAAAACTATCTGATGATCCTCATCTAGAGGCTAGAAAATCACGCGGGCTCTGTCTGTGTCCCAGCCTTGAAGTATCCAGATTCAGAAGACCCTGGCCGTCAACCACGTCGTATTATGCATGAGAAAATACATTAATCGCCTCTGAAGCTTTGCCACAGCGTAGCACGATTAAGTCTCTTCGAAATGTACGATCCATGCAACTTAATTTCCCTACGAGGAGTAAACTCGGACGGCGAGGACTCCGCCTCCGCCGGCGAAGAAGTCGGCTCTCCACATAGCTTGAGGTCTCGTGAGGGAAGGACAAGTCAAGGACGGACTGAAGCGGAGGCGCCTGCGAGAAGTCCCTAGTCACGTCGGCGAAGCGTACGGCATAGCCAGCCCCCCTCCCCTGCGGCAACCGCGGGATCCGAAGGAACCTGTGAGCTGCACCGATGGGAACCTCGCTCCCCCGGCTACGTCAGCCACCTGGGGAGGAGACGGGTTGTAGGGGCGGCCCAGGTTGTCCGCCAGTCGCCATCCGAAGATTGGCCGAGACGAAGAAAATCAAATCAAGCCTCTTTTTTCGCTGCTCTGGCACAATGCTCTCCCGTCGTCAACCGGAAAATAAGAACTCGAGCAAACTGTAGTTCCCGTCACCCTGATAATAATTTGAATATCTAGCGAGGCAGATGGAGCACTCACATGACAGTTTGACGAGAGAGAAAGAGAGAGAGGGAGAGCTAGATGGTCTCTAAATCAGTCGGTGGCTAGCCAGGTAGATGGGTAGGTGTAAACAAAGGTTAAAGCCCTGGGATGAGAGAGAGAGCGAGAGAGAGAGAGTTTATGATAGCAAACTAGGAATATTTCCTGCCCCGTTGGCGGAATTAGAGCCACTCGGACTAATCTGGACGAGAAAACCGGGTGGTTGACGAGTCAATCGTTCGAGTAGATTAAAACTCGGAAGAAAAAAAAGTACGACACTCTTTGACACGCGTCGTCGCATCTTGAGCATTCTCGACCCCATCCACTGAATCATCGATCTTTCTCGACGCCGTACTTTATAGGCCCGCTGTTCATGGCTTAATGAATCGATCTACTCCCAGATAGGCTCTGCAGCGGCTCATATTTGTTTAAGCGTGGGCAAGCGATGGGCCGAGGAGGGGACGAACCATGGACGATGGGATTCCGCCAAGCAGCTCGTCCTCTGGCTACCGAATATTTGGATCCTCGCGCTGACCCGGATACATATTTGGTCCGAACATAGGTTTCCTATGGGGGAAGAAAGCTGCTCTTTACGAACATCGAAGCCCGGATGGCCGGAACCCAACCGGGTGCAGACGTTTTCCCCAGATAAGTGCGGGCCGTCGCCCTCGTACGACAATTATATGAGGATCGAGCAGATCGTAGACTCGTGTACAGCCTGGTCAAGGACCAACCTGTGGCAAGAGAGAGAGAGAGAGAGAGAGAGAGAGAGAGAGAGAGAGACAGAGAGAGAGAGAGAGAGAGAGAGAATAATTAGGATACTCTCGTTCGAAAACTCTCCTTTCTTCTTGTAGCTTCTTCCCCGCCTCTCGCTGAAACCAAGAACGAACGATCTATACTAATAACCGAGGGTATTCGAAAAACTTCATCCTTTGAATTCGGTGGCTGAAGTCAGATCAGACGTCAGCGCATTGTGTAGGTTGACGTCAGCGCATCGTGTAGGTTGACATCAGCCTAAGTACGTAGATCTATCGTAAATGACAAGGTGCTTAGACTGCATCGCTCCTCCAAATAAAATCCTTCAGTTCTTCCCACCCCTCCTCCCATCATTTGAGCTTGTGTCCATGCACTCGTACCACGTGCCACGTGCAAGCCAAAGCCTTATAATATGGGCTCTTTACTGCTACCTGTAGACATGTAGACGCGTGCCGCTATTTACGAGCACAATTGACTTGAAACCAGCTCACAGTTGGTATATTAAACCCAGACATTTACTGATATTAAGCTAGCATTTTGGATAATATCATTCGCACAGGGCGAATAAGATGATGGCTAATTTCATCGAAATTTCTGGGTCGTTTATTCTCAGATATGTTTTCATGGCTCGGGCGGCGTCTCGCCCTATAAAAACCTCATGCTGGCATTCGTTTCTACGCCATTCATCCTTCCTCATCGTCGTCTCCTAACTTATTAGCGTCGACCCGAGTTGGTTTCTTCTTCTGCCCTGCCGACGGCCACCATGGAAGATCAGGTGCGAAAGGCCAAAAGCCACCCCCATGGCTCCGCCGGTGACGTGGTCTTCCCCGCCGCCGAGCGCGTGAGGACCCGGTGGACTCCCAAGCCGGAGCAGATCCTGATACTCGAGTCCATCTTCAACAGCGGTATGGTCAACCCCCCCAAGGACGACACTGTGAGGATAAGGAAACTTCTCGAGAGATTTGGGCCGGTTGGGGATGCCAATGTCTTCTACTGGTTCCAGAACCGGCGGTCGAGATCTCGCCGCCGGCAGCGCCAGCTGCAGGCAGGGCTGGCCGCGGAACCCAGAGCTCTGTCTGGGACGGATGGCGGCGGTGGGGGTGCAGCTCGATGCGACGTCACTCCTCCTTGCCCATTCGCCAACTCGTCCTCGAATACCTCGTTTGAGGGATTCGTTCCTTCATCTACGTCTGTTGTTTCCATTGGTACCGACTGTTCTCCGAACATCTTTGCGGATGATAGCGCAGAGGACCTGTTTTCGATCTCTCGCCAAATGGGTTTCACGGACACCATCGATCGAGCTCGAAGATATAATCCCCCTCCTGCTCATCATCATGACGCTTCGAGTTTATATTATCAGCCAGGTGAGTGAATTCATTTACTATATAGTTCATGCATCACGCTCAATTATCATTGTTTTTGCATGATATCATGTTTTTAGATCGAACCGATTGCATTTCTGCTAGGATCATGAGAATTTCTCAGTCGAGGACACCATCCGTCCTTGGGGGATTCGTTGTTTTCTCGCTCTTCCTGACAACAATCTCGAATTCCTAGTTCCTAACGCTCCACCGCCGTTAACCTTTTCGCCTCTGATCTCCGTCACATCATCGTCTTTGAGTCTTCTCACCTGGTTTCAGCAGTGACCGGGCCTTTTCCTCCTCCCCCGAGTAATCAAATGCTTTCCATCTGAGAAATCCATAGTTGGTTTCCTCACCTTGAAGGGGACAATCGAGTATCGCAGGTCTGATCACAGTCTTCATCAATGGGATCCCGCAAGAGGTTCCAAGCGGGCCGTTCGATGCGAAGAAGGTTTTTGGGCCGGATGCGATTCTCCTTCATTCCTCCGGAGAACTTGTTCCCATGAACGACTGCGGAATTCTATTCGGGGCCCTTGACGACGGCGAAAGCTATATACTGGTGAGCTCTCGCTCCTCAGGGTTCAAAGCCGTTCCTTTATCATGAAAACCCCACGACTGATGCTGACTACGTTTCATTACCATGCCCACTTCATCGTAATCGCCTTGAGGATTGGGCAATAACGTCGCCTCTCTCTCTCTCTCTCTCTAGATCTAGTTCAGGTGCATTCTCTCTCTTGCCATGGATCAACAGAAGAAATTGCGAGCTTCGGATTTGAAATGAGCAAGACAAGGCACATCTGATCTTCTTCTCAGGGACAATTCAGGCGGCAGAATCCCATTCTACAGGAAGCTAGTCGAGGAATCCTTTGTCTGTTCGTTTGTCTGGTTTTGAGTGTCCTTCAAGTTAGCAAGGGCGAATCAATTATATGGGCAGATGCCACGTAGTGGGGAGGGTTATCTTGTCAAATTATCCATGTTTGCCTCAAGAAATGATGAGCTCGTCAGTTTCCGATTCTCGTGGCTGCCCGTAGACAAGCGTCTGTTGCCAAATATAGCGAGATCTTGTAAACTAGCGAAAGTCTTAAATCCGGTCCTGGCCGGGAGGAACGTCCGGAGATGAGATCGGGGTCGGACCTCTTTAAAGCTCTCAGCCCAACGTGCATGCACCAGGGGAGGGAGGGGGGGAGAGAGAGAGAGAGAGAGAGAGAGAGAGAGAGGGTGCAATCTAAGCTTAGAGATATCGACCATTCACGAGAAGATTTGCGGCTGAATGTGGGAGTATAGAACAGCAAGAACTGGATTATCCTATAATTTCAGCGATAGCTGAGTTGAAAACCACAGCCTACTTAAGAATAATAAAAAGAGTGTCTCCATATTATAGCAAAGACTGAAACATCCACAGTGCCGGACGACTAGACTGATCGCCAAAACGAGGGTCTACTGCAGGAGAGCAATTACAGGCGGCGGGCTCGTCTAGGTGCACTCAAGTCTCAATAAAATCACAATAAAAGTTGTTCCTAATGATGCATATCAGAGAAATACATATTCCTCTCACAACACAAAATCGTTTTTTTCAATCAGACCCATTATACAGACGGAGGAAGAGAAGAACGATACTCATTCAATCGAAGCTTCACAACTTAACCCGCTTTGTGATGAAATCTCATCGTTAAAGAAGTGGGTAAGCTTCTCATACATATTTCACTTGTCAAGTCCAATCCCAGAGCTTCAGGTATCTCAAGCTTTAGACTGGCAATGGCGTGGCGATCAGTGAATAAACTGACAGGGATGATCACCTGTTGATCATAATCCACCTCATCGGTACCAAAACTAAAGCTGTGATATGAACTTCAGAGTCAGAGAAGTAGGGAACAAGTCTTCCATTTTCTGTGCACAGGATAATTATTGAACAGATTATGATAATGACATTCCAGATAGCTTGTCGAATTACCCATGGAAGCATCAGGAAAATCTGGAAAGAAGAGCGTCAGCTGGGTCTCTGGTAAGACCAAGGTCCCCCCAGAGGGGTTAAGCTTCCTTCCTCCCATATGCTATTTTACATACAGAGATCAAGACCGAAAGATTTTACACGGCGGAACCTCGACAAACCTCCTATGTGCTTTCCTGGAATGTCTGGGAACGAGAGAGAGCGGCAGGGTTCAGGTGCAGGACCTGTTTTCTCCCTAGATGAATATCTCTGCCTTCTATCTTGTTGGGCTGGAAGCCTTTGAAGATCCCAGATTCCTTCATCGACTCATCGGGGTCAGGTTTGATGCCGAGCGTTGCCCATATAGAACTCTTAGCAGCCTCATCTGGGTCATCGATCCTCAGTGTCTTTGGGATCCATAGAGATTTCTCCGTCTTCTCTTCCACCAGTAAGCTCGAATCCCTGCAGTGCTTTCCCAGTGTGGGAGACACGCTTCCTGAGCACCCACTGCCGGTGGAAGGGGGAGACGGCAATACTCCGCCGGATCCAATCCATGGCATGCTCCATGTTTCATTGGGCCAGTTGGGCTTATAGCCCCAGAAGGAGGCCGGCACAAAAGGGAGCCGGATAGCTGGCCCGCAGAAGGCAGGGGAGGCCATCATCATATGGGAATTCCACGAGACTGGATTCCCGTTACCATTATCATGTTCCTGCAATGGTTTAGAAGGATGTTGACCCGCCGGCAGAGCAAATCCAGTCCACCCTGGGGTCCAGGGATAAGCCCAAGGCTGGCCTGGGAAGCACTCCGGATGGGGCAATGGCGTGGGCTCGTTGGAACAGCTCTGTACACCACCCTGGTCCATGTGATCTGAATTATCAGGGAATTTATCTTCCACCGCACAGGACGCCACCAGAGAACTCGCTGATGAAGGTGGTTCGTCCCCATTTTCGTCGCACTGGGAAGAACCCATCTTGGGATTTCTCTTCTGGTCTCCAAGATGAAGTACAGAGGCCATGGACTCGCAGAGGGGCGCGTCCGCTCCAAACTTCAGCACGGTTCTGCTCCCCATCAGAGAGCCAGCAGTAGGTTGATTATGAGCCGAATTCGGGTGATCAGCTTGAGGGGATGGAGCTGCTTCAGAGGGCATCAGCAGGTGGCGGCAGTGTGATGCAGAGTGCTTATTCTTCCTTCTTCCAGCGCCTACAGGTACATTCCTCATTGTCCCTCCAGCCGTCCAGTATCTTTGGCAGTTCTTGCAGAAGTGCCTTGGCTGGTTGACGTTGTAATTGTTGTAGTAGCAGAACTTTGTGTCCAAACTGTTGCATCGTGGGCAGGGGAGAAGCTTGTCCGGCTTCTTCAGCACCTTCTGCTGGTTGGAGCCATCTGGCTCGTTCTTTAACTGCTTGGTTTTTGGGTCGCTAGCTGATCTATCCCCTTGTTTGGTGCTTTGGCAGTCAGAATTCTCATCGGCACTGCATGAACCTGAACATGCATCCAGCTCAACCCGCTCTGCTCCCTGCAATCTTTCCAAGGATGGGGGATCGGATCTGGAACGTGATATCTCTCCACTCGAATCCTGCGATTCAAGATGAAAAAACACATAATTAGTTATCAGAGAGGGTTTCTGCGACAAGGGCACCTTGAAACATTATTTAAAATAAATTCTTTTCAGGAATATCAGGAATTCTCTACGACTGATTCGTCGTAAGGTTCTCAGATTATGCACAGTGTTTCAAGATCCAAGGAAACTCAGCTTTCTTTGGGGACGTTTTCGTCAAATCACGTCATAATTAGCAAATAATTTTCTTAATCGAGGAAACACACAAACCTGTACTCCATCAGACCAGAGAATCTTCTTCTTCCACTATCCCAAATGGCCAAGAGAGTGAAGATTACGATCACAGGCTCAAAGTGCTGTGATATCATCTCTTAAGAAGATTTAATTCGAGAAGACGACGCCGGCATCTTACGAACACCGCCAGAAGTAAATTGTATCGTCCGAAATCCGAGGGGCACTTCACCCATTCTATGCACTGGTTTGGAGGTCAATCGGATAAGATCGACGAAATCCATAAGCGTCAACACAAATAAAACAAGGGAGAAAAAAAAAAGGAAAAAATATGGGTTTCATCCTCCTAGCAGTGGATTAAGAGGTACGGTTGGAATTAACCAAAATAAATATAAAATTTTAAACCGAATAATCAGAAAAAGCAGAAAGGCGACGGCCTAGAAGCTGCCGATTCTGTTCATAGATCAAAAAACGACAGAAACCTCCCTAGCAGAGGCAATCAAGAAAAAAATGACTGGAATCCACAAGTGAATGAAGTCCCCGTAAGTCAGCACGAAGCAAGGGAATGGAAATTCTCCGCAAGAGAGACGGGCATTCTTCCACTTGTGCTACCCCTCTCAGCGAGAGAGATGGACAGACAGCTTCGAAGGGAGGAAGAGCGGCGACCCTCACCTTAAGCTCCTCGCCCGCCTCGTCCATGGGATAAAAGTCGGAGTTCTCCACGGACCGGCTCTCCGGCAGAGGAATCGTCCTGCCGAAGAGCTTTATGGCCGGATCCCGCGCCTCAGACATTCTACAACCGCTCGGCACCCGCTGCTCGTTCCTCCCCCAAGTTCGCTTGGGCGACTCGCATTTCTCCTTTCGCCGGCAGCCCAGAAGGGAAAAGGCTAAGCTGAAGCGAATCGGCCGGTGCAGAGTCGAAAAGTCGGAGAAAAGGGGGAAACCCGACACCACCAAAGCGGTGGGGATGGAGAAAGCGGGGAGAAAAATATGGGGGAAACGGCGACAAAAGCATGCTCCTTGACGAAAATGGCGGCCCCCCCTCCCCCCGGTCCCTCGACCTACCGGCGGGGAGAAGCCGGTTCACGACCAGATAGATCAGCGAAACGTGGCCCCATCTCACAGGCTTGACCCCCCGTCGGAGCCAGCTAAGCGTCCCAATCATCGTGGGCCCCCACCTCCAGGCGCGGAAAGACCATGCCGCTCCACTAGGCAGCCTCACCCTCTCCGTCCATCGAGGGCATAATTGGCATAATCTACTAATGATATTCTCAACCGGAAAATAAAACGCGGCCTCGCCCGAACCGGAACACCGGTTATAGCCCGTCGACTCGCAACGCTCCGGTTCGTTCCCTTCCACCTCGACGCTTTATACTGGCGTGGGCCACGTGGGCCATATGAAAAGGTAAAGCGAAAAGAACATCCTTCCGTCATTTTGGGCCGTCCGTTCTAACGGCAGCGATTCGGTCTTGAGGATGAGCCGTTCCCTTTCAGCCGTCCGATCCTTGTGCCCCAGCTGGGCCCCGCGAATATGTTGTGGATGAGACGCGGCGCCGAACGGGTGAGCGCTCCTTCGATTTCCCAAGGGGCAATCAAAATCGCCGCATTTTCTTAAACTAATAAATATATGGAAAATTTATATTTTATTTAAATATAGTCGGCAAAGACTTATCCCCAGGTCCTCTGGATGGGGAGACAGAGGATATGATTCCACGTGTCGGAAAAATGGGGGCTTACAGATATGGCCGGCAGGGAATTCCACCTCTGGAGGGCCAACGCGTGGCAAGGTCCGTCGCCTTCCCTGACGTGGCGCGTAAGATCTCCCCGCGGGGCAACGACCACCGCTCGTTCCAGATTTCATTCGCGGTGTGCGGTGGCAGCTGAGCCCCGGCCCTTTTTAGTTCTCATCCACAACTCCCCAGATCCTATAGGCGCAGGCATTGTTGGGCCCGCCCACCTGTCCATAAATAATTAATATCCTCGTATTTTTTAAAACCGTAGATAATAAATTAATACGATATAGTTAATATAATATTTCATCTGAAAATGATTAGGACCAGATATTCGATTTTTATAAATATAATATTATAATAACTTTGGTCAGAGGATGAGAAAAAAGTGATAAATAAATAAGAATAAGACAGGGATGGAAAAAAAATCGGGAGGAAGGAGCGGTGCAGCAGCATGGACATGACTGCTCTCTTCACGTGCCGAGGCGCTCATTTTAAGGACTTTTCGTCTCCACGCTCGTGAAAACTCGCACGTGGGAATGACTTTGACTCGACGGAAAGCCTTCCGTCTTTTTCAAGAAATTATCCCTACAAATAGGTAATATTTAAAAAGGTCCTCCATTCCGAAAGCTTCCTTTTTGCAAGGCCCGGATTAGATCGGATCAGAACCTGCTGTTCCGGATCCAAACGGGCAGATTTTGGGGATCACGACGGCCCATTCAGATTATGTGGGCTCATAGGCCCATATAGAGCCCAATACTGATGTTAATGTATCGTGGGCCGACGGCAGGTTATTGGGCCGTGGAGATTCAGGTAATGCTTTACTCGTCGGAAATGACAGAAATGAAGACGGGGGCTGGGCTGGGCTACGGACCAAACGGCCCATTAACATGGTACCGCTCTGACATGTTTCACACGAATCCACCGGGAGATGGGCTTCTCTCTCTTGATCGCACCATAGATTTGCTTGACTTTCGATCGGACGGTGGAAGGATGGTTTGGCTGGGGGAAGGAGGAGGAAGCTGGCTGTTCCAAGAAGCTCGATGGCCGGAAGCCGGTGATCCCATTCACTCCTCTCCGGAAAAGGGGAAGCTGTCTTCCACCTCTGCCGCTGGTTTCGATTTCTCGATCGCTGCGGCGGAGGGGGGGTGGCGGGGGGTGGGGAGATGCTCGTGACTTCTCGTTTCTGCCACTGATCCCGACGGAGCCGTGTGGGTGGAGAGGGCGATGGAGACCCACCGACGGGGGAATGCCTTCCTGGTAATTGCTGCCCTCCTGCTCTTGATCGCTGGATCAGCGTCTTGTGCGGCTTCTAAGGATGCCTTGGGCATAGCTCCTCAAGGTACGGCTCTATTCCGCATACTACAGGTCGAGTAATTCGTTCTTGTCCTCGTCCGTGGTACTGAGAAAGGAATTCGTTCTTCTGTAATGCCTGGGGTGCAAGACGTGGATTACTACAGGTCGAATGTGATCAAATGCAAGGACGGATCGAGTAAGTTCACTAAGGAGCAACTGAACGACGAGTTCTGCGACTGTCCGGATGGCACCGACGAGCCAGGCCTGTCGCAACCTCCCTAATGAATTTCCCGTTTCATCGAGAATTCTTCCATGAATTGATATTTTTATTTCAAATTACTTATTACGAGTTTGCCTCCTTCACGGGGAATGCACGGCGGTGTTTATGCGTAAACATCTGTTTTTCCAGTTTATTGGGATGTGCTCACTTGGTTAAAATCGATTGCGTCTTTCAGGGACATCCGCGTGCCCAGAAGGGAGGTTCTATTGCCAGAACAAAGGTCACACGCCCTTAATCATTTTCTCTTCCCGAGTGAATGACGGCATTTGTGGTACGCATTTCGATCCGTTTTTTTGTTCGCTTTCATTTACTGTCTTCAAATGTCTCTAAACATGCTTATAGTTGACCTGGAGCTGCTTTTGCAGTTCCGGACATATCATCGCTTATCTGTGGTTCGGAGTAGAATACTACAATTTCTCATCACTTTTAGTTTGATTTCTGCCTTAATATTATCAGAACAAACAATGTCCGCTATCAAGGTAGATAATAGTTACTTCCTCTCTGCTTCGACTGAATGTCTCTTTGCTTCTCCCATCTTCTTTGAATCATGTTAAAATGAGAACGTGCAAAACTCATCTCAAGCTAATCTCTGGCATTAGTTGCTGACAGCCCTCGCTGGCTGGCCAGGTACATGAAATGCATTTTATTGGAGTTTTCTGACAAGGGTGGCGCGGGAAATTGAGCTTTACTTCTTTATAGGAGGCTTATTGCTTCAATAGCTCGTTAAAACTTTGTGATCTGTCTTGACAAAAAGAATACATTCTCCTAGTAAATCATCATGAGTCTGGGTTCTCATTCAGCCAATGCATGACCAATTACTTTGGTACAAAGTGTATTTTTTGCCCACATAAGATGGAATTTACGTAATGGTAACGAAAATGTTAATTTTCACGGTTCTTATGCTCAGATTGTTGTGACGGAAGCGATGAGTATGGTGGTAAAGTGAAGTGTACGAACACGTGTTGGGAAGCTGGTAAAGTGGCAAGGGAAAAATTGACAAAGAAGATAGCTACATACCAGGAGGGTATTGCACTGCGGAAGATTGAAGTGGAGAAGGCAAAGAAAGCATTTGAGCATGATGAAGCTGAGTTGACAAAGCTGAAGACCGAGGGAAAAATTCTCAAAGGGCTTGTTGAAAGGCTTAAAGGTGTTTCATCGTCCCCTGCTCATTCTTACTTTGTAGACTGAACATACGTGGCATTCTAAATGGGTATATGATAATATAGTCCTGAGATCACGCATTCAACCTACCATGGTTAATGTGGGTACCATCCAATTGAGTTTTGATTTGTTTGGGGTAGTATATACGTTGGCACATGCACACATACTCGCTAGAACCTATTGTTTTTTTCTACAGGAGGCATACTTCATGTATCATAAATAGATATAAATTATTATATATGTTTATCTCTGTATGCGCGTTTTGCTATCCATTTTATTTTCCCCTGATTTCTAACCTCTTAATATGGATATTCATTCATCTATTATCAAAATTCAGGCTCCTTTTATGATTTCTATTCGTCATTTTGCTTAGTCATTGTGGTAGCTATACAACATGTATTTTAGGCAACATTTTCAGTTATTCAAAATCAGCTTGAAAAAACCTGAAACAATCTGAACTTTGCTAGGAATGTTTCGTTTCTTTCTCCAAGAACACATGAACTTATTGCACGATACTGACCAATCCAATCCTAAATGGACCCATGGTTTGTGACTTTATGCATATTCATTTAATTGTGTTGAGCCCGAATAAATGTTGGCACTTGAATCAAATTATGGGCAATTAACTTAGACACGTGTAACAACACGATAATCCCTGTCCGTGACCCTCATAAGAATTAAATTTTATAGGTACTGCTCATCATTAATCATTCTTGGATATTGGTTTTGGATTTTGCATCATCAATGGACACACAAAACACGGTTCAGAATTAGGAACTAGCCACTCTCTGTTAATGGAAGAATAAATTGTTGTGCCATATTTTACAATGCCAAATGAAGACTGTGGAACAAGCTTGGGCACATGGATAAATGGTTAGATTTGTATCATCTGTCGAATCCTTCTTGTTTTTAGAATCACACTAAAATTTCCAGTTGGTGCTTCTTTTTGCTCCAGAAGTGAATTGGCATCCCACAGAGGAATTTATGATCTTTATTTTTCTGATAAAGATGTGTATTCGTCTGGGTGTTGCTCCATATAATTTCTACTCTATATCAGTACCTAAGGCTTTTTAGGTGTTTCTCCATCCTCCCTCCAATCTGAGATTATCTATACTTTTGTGCAAATGTCATGTTTGGTGTGTTTCCTGGTTGTTACGTTGAAAAAGTAGCTAAACCTTTTGTCAATTTCGATGCCCTGTAGTTTAACGCAGTTGGCTTGTTTGATGTCTTCAAATGACAGCACATCCGAAAGTCTTTTCCATTAGATTTTGGATATCCTACCTGGCATATGTGTAGAGAATTCAAGTCTTAAAAGGATGACCTAAATGTTGAACCATGTGGCCCATTTCTTTCTTTTCCTGAAAAGGGAGCAATGTAACCGAGACATGAAGACCTGAATAACATCTTAAGGACGGAAATCGTGACCTGTGGGGTTCTATTAGACAACCTTAACATGGGAAATATGTGAACAGGTATTCTTGTGGTGTCCTGACGGTCATTTCCTTTCTATGTGGCTGTCAAAAGTGACTCAAATCCCTGGGTGAGTACAACTGGCAGGCCTTGGAACTGCTAATGTGTCTGTCCGTTTCACTATTTGGAATGAGCTTTGGAAGAGTATTTTGGGAACCGCTTTTCTCTCTTCGGTCTTTGACAAAGCTGAGATCATTTCTGAAGTCCTAAAAGTTCTGATAAATTTGAGCATGTCATTTATGCTTATAAAAATTACTCTGCATTTATAATTTATATATTCATTAAGATTATTATTAAATTTAAAACATGATGTATTTCATGGACTAATCCTTGTTAAAGTGTGCTGTCGATTAAGATCTAAGGATCTTTAAAATTGAGCATGGTAACCGTTCCTATACCTTGGTCCGAAGGCAACTAAAGTTTAATTTGGCTCTGTTGGTCTTGGCTCTCATGTTGGTTCAAGGGAATAGGGCCCACCATTTTTTAGTGGGTGTTAACTTGATCTTATTAAATCTGGGTTTGAGCTGAGTCTGTTTCAACCTCTGCCTTAGAAGGAGCTGGATGAGAGAGGCTTCTGTGAGTACTTTTCTGATCCACCATTCGTTTTTTTGAGATGCCTAAGATCATTATGGGTAGAATATTTGACCTATTGCAACCACAGTGTTTGTACTTGTGGCTGCATTGAGGGTAAGAAAGCTTGATCAAATTAGTGGAAGCTTTCCTCTGGGTTCTTGATCTATCTCTAATTTCTTTGTGTAACAAGGTTAGATAGTGGATGAGACATTTTGAAGGAAGGACAAGAGGATGCTATTTGGGTTTCATGAATGGTCTGCACAGTCTTGTAATAGGTAACTTTTTGAGAGGAGAACACGTATGTATATCTCTCTCTCTCTTTCTGTTCTTTAACGAATTCATGGTGCTTCCCTCTTTTATTTATGTGTTCTCTTCTCATCAAATTTTAGCCTGACACGGTGCTCTCTGGTTATTATGTGCTGCTTCTCACGTGTCTTATTTAATCTTGATCCTGTTTAACTCTACATCATGAAATCTATTCTTTCCTCTTCATATTGCCAAGAAGAAATACTCCTCTCTTTTGTTTAAATGCATGATCCTTCATGGCAGGAGAAGTTTCATCTCCTCGTTGCCGATTGGTTCCTTGCCTCCTATTCTGTTTCATCCTAGCATCACATATTGACTGAATGACTAGACTATAAAATTGGTCTGGAAACTTATGGCAAAGATGATAGTATTCATTTAAAAAAATTGAATTCTGGTCGGTTAATTATTTCCTGTCCTTGTAGAGCACAAGGAACAAATTGAAAAGGCTGAGGAGCAAGAGCGCCTTAAAAGGGAGAAAGAAGAGGAAGCGTTGAAAGATTCTGAAAAGACGGTCATCAAGGACGATGAGAATGAAGCTGATCCGGTTTGTCTAATTCACAGTTTCAACTGTCTCTATTACCTTTACATTTACAAAATTCAGTATGCTCATCTTATCATACTAATCATAATTCAGTATGCATATTTACTATTCATTATTAAATGCAAAAAAACCTTAGAAAAGGTAGATTTATAGTATCTAACTATAATTAATTTTAAGGTTAATTAATGCAGGGTCACCCTAAATCATGTTTAATCCTTAATCTTTAACAAATTATTACTTGTGCCTGCATATGGTCAGTCCTCTAGTGTTTTCCTACATCAGCCCGTCTTAGAACGCTGTATTCCACCCGAAATGGTAATCTAGCTAGAACGTTGGGACTGAGACAGTCTGATTCCATTTTTATAGTTTCTTTAAAATTCGATCACTAATGATGCCCAGATTAAGTTTTGCATCTGGGGACAAGCAATCCTGAATCGAGTTTGTCCCAGGCTTCATTTACTAATCATTACACACACACGCATGCACAAATATAAATGGTCACATGTCTATGTGAATGTGTGTGTGCAGTCGGTGTGGATGCATTCACATGTTTTGTTCTAAGTGAACCACCATATCTAGAGATAAAATGATTTGCTGCAAGTAGCTTTTCACAATTCGCCAAATTTATATCCTTACTAAAATAACCATGTGACACAAAATTGCAGATCTTTATTGCTCCTGAGATCTTTCTCATTCAAAGGCTTGTAACAGATTCTGGATTTTTATCCTCGAATAATTTTTATCTTCTTTTTGACAATTGTGCCACATTGACACAACGCCAACTAGAATGATTGCTTAGTTAGGTCAGAGGAGGTAAGATGCATTCCCAAAGCCAAAAGTAGATGGCTACATATTCCTCAAAAGCCTATCATATGTGATGAAGGTAGTCTCATCAGTGATACATGGATTTCCCACTTGTGTGCCCGGATAGCACCGTGGATATGAATCTGCAGACAATATTTAAATGGCATGCTGTCAAGGACTTGTGCGCCTGGTCCTGACAAACGTAGATACTTTTCTGTAGTAGATCAGGTGCTCTTCTTCTCTTCACAACGATCTGTGCTATCAGTTTGGTGCCATGTTTTGGCACAGCTTTCTCAAGCTGTTAAGGGCTTAATCGGATTGGTTGAAACTAACCATCTGAATAAAATGAAACTTTGATCTTTTGGTTTACTTCAGCTTTTTTTTGTTGTTTCCGCCCAGTGTTTTCCTTAACGATGAGGTTACCCAAGGCAAATCTAGCCCGGACCAATCCGTATTGAATGGGCTTGGGTAGTAGGAAATGAGCCTTTACTTCTGCATCATGTGTGTCAAATTTGTTAATTTTATTCTCTCAAGTGGTTGAGCTTGGAAAAACTTAATTCCAAGCCCTGGGGACCAGAATAGCATGTTAAAATGTGAATCACAATATTATATGGTACACAATCCTAAAATATATTTCATCCTCTTTTGTGAATAAAAACTCATGTTTTACACAAACGATAGTTCGTCAAATGCTATTGTTGCATTTACTGTCTTCGGCATGAAAGAAAAAAAAACTACTAAATTGCAACGGCCAGATGTTCTCAAAACGGGCTTGGACCTGGTATTCTTGGAATGTGATTTTTGTCTTTGCAGGTGGAACCCAAGCATTGATCATTGGCATACCTAGTGTTCTTCAAATTTTAGTCTATTTATTGTTGCTGATTTTTCCTTTACCGTTGTGTTAGGATGCTTCAAAAGGTAGTCCTAAATCAACATCCGATGATGAAAGTGTCCCTGCTGTCACGAATGAGACACCTGCTGGACATCATGAAGAACAGGCAACTGAAATCTTTGTGATATTCATTTCTGGCTTTAATATTATTTTTGCATCTGTTAGTAATATCGGTCTTTGTGCTATATCTCTAGCATTTGGAAGAAGACAAGGACAATCATGCTGACAAAACTAAAAACACTGAAGATGATAAGAGTACCGAGGCTTCAACTAGTGTGGAGGAACAGGTATTAGGAACCTTCTTGTATTTTTGTTCCTCATCTTCTATATTAATGGTAGATATGGAGAATCAATTACTCAGATAGTCCCATCATGGCCTCGCTATATTTACTTTAATATGCAGTTGTGTTTTGCCTAGTTTCCCCTCATGGTTTGTCTGCCTTTTGTTCTATCTTGGAGTAATATCTTTTCGTAAATAAACAATAAATTCTTGTATGGAGTCATGAAAGAGTGAGAGTTTTCATGATTTCTGAATCTAATGAAAAGTTTTCCGCAGTGGCATCATTGATCTGTGGATGAATTTCTCTTCATGCCTCGATCCTTCCTAAAGTAGTGAGAATTGAAGATTTATGGACTAAATAATAGTTCATGCAAATAAGAATATTCTCAATAAAATCAGAGACAGATTTTTACTGTTGAGGGGAACCTTCATGCAAATAATTCATTGCAGGTAGCAGACAAGTTCCCAGGTCTGAAAGCTAGCAGTGAACAAAGAAATGAATATGTTACAGATGTCAACTTCATGTGCATAGCATGAATTTATAGTTTCAACCGATCGACGTTTACTAATCTATCTGATTGTTGTTTATTCTGGCGATCCTTTGCTTGAATGGCTGGGGATTACCTTTTTCTAGACTACCAGTCTAATGGACAGTATTGTGGCATAAAGCCAGTAAAATCCCTTATATGTCCTCACCACACTTTTGAAAGAAAGAGTGACACATGGTCATTTATACAAGATTGTTAGGGTTTCTGTTGAAATTACGACTGGAGGTGACAGTTTGATGGCTTTTCATGACTTCAACTGACAGAAGATGATCTATGCGATAATTTCAACACAATTTATTCATAAGTGGATATAAATTTGTTTAATATCCTAGAATCATGACAGTGGAGGTATCTTGGCCTTGGTGATATTTTGTCACTGAGAAATGTATGTGACTTTAGTTAGTTCATTCTTCCATGGCTGTGTGGGTATGCTGGGGTGAAGGGCAAGGGCAGGGTTTCATATGTATGAAGCGTTCTGTCTTGTATTCATGCTCTCCTACTACAACGTCATTTTTTGACTTTTGTATAAATTGTTGAGTTTCATCTTGTCCCATATAATTTTTTACATTATCTTCATCAACATCCAGTCCAGGTCTTCATCATGATTAGAAAAAATCATGCTTTCCTCCTACTTTTTGTGGCAATCAATTTATCTTACTTTTAACCAAAATTTAAAACTCGGTAGTTTCATTTGTGACTTGTAATCACATAAATATGCTATTATGGCTGTTTTTTTGGCGCTAGAATTCTTTGCTTTGCGTCAACTTCTCCTGAGTCTTTTTCTCATCAATTATTTTCGTTTGCAGAAACAAGAAGACCCTGGCAATACAGGACTATCAAAAGAAGAGTTGGGCCGTCTTGTAGCTTCCCGTTGGACAGGGGAGAAAACTAAAGAAACAAACGAGGATGAAACAGAAAAACAAGAAATTCGGAAAGAAAATGCAGGAGCCTCTGAGAATAATGACGAAAATAATCATGGTTACACTTCAGAATCAGAAGAAAGTAGTCGAAAATACAATGATGACGACGATGATGATGAAGCTGAACATGGCCACTCAGATGATGAATATGAAGATGATGTGGAGCCAAGTAATGCGTATCACCCCGAGCCAGAAGATGACGTGGATGTTTCAGGTGGATGATCTGCCAAATATACGTATTTTTCTTCTCAAAATATTTTAAACCTATGGATAGGTAAACGTGTACTTCTTATATTTTTTAGATTTCACTGAATCAAGCAGCCCATCGTGGTTGGATAAGATTCAGCAAACCGTCCAAAGCATTCTACTGAGGATTAACTTATTTAAGAGTCCAGTTGACATATCAGGTAGAGTGTATATACAGTGCTTACTTAAGATGACTTATTTCAAAGCATAAGACTGGCTTTCTTCACGTTTTGGCTGTACAGAAGCTGGACGTGTTCGGAAAGAATATGATGAATCAAGCTCTAAATTATCCAAGATACAGTCAAGAATATCCAAACTGACTGGAAAATTGAAATACGACTTTGGTAAGGATTTCATTAGAAGTTTTGTAATTTTCCAGTCTTTTTTCTGCTTTTTCTAGGGGATCGGTGGAGGAGATGGAAACCAGATGAGAATAATAACTATGAAAAGTAAAATTGTGGTTAGCTCATGCAATGCTGTCATTGGTCGTCTAGATGGAGGTAGAATATTTCAGACATCATGTGATACATTTTTGCTACAGTGGAAATGGAGTTATTTTAAATTTGCACTTTTTTCAGTAGATTTTATGCTATAAATTGGTTCAATATATTTTCGTTCAACCTCAGCTTGTAAGAAAAACGATATAAGCCAGTAGATAGGTTGATCAGGGTCGTGTTCTGTTGTTGGATGGCGGTTGAGAAATGATTATGCCTCTTCGTGGGAAAAGTTTCTGTGTTATTTTATGCAGTATAATATGCTAAAGAGATTATCCCATTATTACATACGTTTTATTCTGACCGCTAAATTTTTACTCTTTTGATGCTAGGTGGGGATAAGGAGTTCTATTTGTTCTATGATAATTGCTTTGAGATGAAGCAAGACAAGTACAACATTCATTATGTGTCATTTCCCTTGTTTTTTGGTTTGAATCCTACTGCATTTGTTTGTGTTTTATTTATCTTATATTCCTTGCCCATTTTTCGTTCTAGGTATGTGTACAAGGTGTGCCCTTTTAAAGATGCCTCCCAAGTTGAGGGATACAGTACGACACGTCTGGGGTATGTTTTTTCTCTTAAAAAAAAAGAGAAGGGAAATCATTTATATTTTACAGGTGCTTCCTTGCAACAAGTCTTGACCAGTAACTCTCTGTTATGGTCCATAAACACTGTTGTTTAGCAGCATAATCGATGAACTTTCAAATCCACATCATGCCAGTGCTTTAGTTCATTGATATGGAAAGCCAGGAGAAAGGCGTTGGACCCCGAACTGGAAATCGAGAATAAACTTTACAAATTTCTGATAAAGTTGCCGTCCTAGACAGTATTATAATTGGGATGATTTGGAATAGTATCTCTGCATACAAGTAATGAGACAGATATTAAAGGTTGGACGCTGTACAGTGATGTCTATTTTGCTTACTACAGATTTATGGCGAAATTGGTGCGGGGTCTTTGCAAGAACATTGTTCCTTTGTATTAAGATCATTATGAAATCTGTTTTGATTTGACTGAAATAATCGTATTAGCAGCAAACCCTGACGGTATAGTCACAAATAATCTTGCTGTAATCGGCTGCACCGTTAACAATAGCAAAAATACAGCAGCTAATTTTGGTACGACTGACAGAATGTTGGTGGTCAGCAATTTTCTGTTTTTCGTGCAAACATTTGAGGTAGCAAGTTTTTCAACCAAGTTCCTGTCTGATCTCAAGCTGCTGGAGTTTTGAGATCACACATCCTTCTCCCCAAGTTTATATAGTTTTTTTTAAATGTGTGTAAAAGAAGGAACGAGACAATTTTGCCACATGAAATCTTGATCCTCCCCAGTTCAATAATCCGCAGAAGAAAAAATTGAGCATGATTCCACCAACATACGTATTTTGGTGTTCTCTATTGTCTGTCTTCCTTTACACTCCAGATTCACTTTGGTCCTTTTGATAACCTAGCAAAGTTTTCGGTGAGAGTTGACAATTTCCTGGGACATCTGCCGAAGATAATGGCAACTACTATGGATGTTCCTGGGACATCTTCCGATGATTGTTAAGAATTTCTATGAAAGTTATTTTCTCTGGATTTTTTTTTATCTCGGTACACACGTGGAAAACTAGTTGTAATGATGTTTTGACTAGTCAGTTGAGGTTTCAGTGGTTCTCTTGAATTCACGTCTCTACAATGTGATATCTTCTCTGTTTATTCTTCTTTTAACGCCTTCTAAGTAGAGTTTTATGCGCGCGTTACAAATCTCAGGAGCTGGGACAAGTTTGACGACTCATACAGGCTAATGCTGTTCTCCAACGGAGACAAATGCTGGAATGGACCTGATAGAAGCTTAAAGGTTCGATATCTTGTTCTTAACAGATCCTGTAGAGTCAGCCCTCTGTTGAATTTCACATTGACCATCGTTGACTTCGCCCAACAGGTCAGGCTGAGGTGTGGATTGAAAAATGAGGTCATACACGTGGATGAGCCAAGCAGATGCGAGTAAGATCTCCTGGTCCTGTTCGTCAGCTCCTCTCCCTCTGCAGCCAGCTACAAGTTCTCATTGACAAGATCTAATCTTGCAGATACTCTGCGGTTCTGTCGACTCCCCTCCTCTGCCTAGAAGAAAAACTGAAGGTACCCTTCTACTGCCTACATTTCTCTTAGCCACCCAGCTCCCTGAAGTACAGTTTGACTAAGTGAAGTAAACCGTCTTATATCATTTCCCAGGATCTCCAAAACAAGCTAAAGCTGATGAACTCAGGCGAGGCTCTGCCTCACGACGAGCTTTGATGGCATCATTTCAGCTCTTAGATGCTGAAGCTGGCGTTCACTGTGAACGCTGAAAGCTCAGGAGTAGCGGTCTGGTTATCTTTGGACAATCTTGAGCTCCTCTTTTTTTTTTTTGATAAATATCTGGTCATTGATCCCAAGAGAGAGAACAGAGTTTTCCCAGGCCTGGGACCGATGTTCTTCGCCTGATTTTGACTCTGATGGGAGCTTTTTGGTCTGAAAAATGACAGTTTTAGGTCTGGCGCCCCCTCTGAATGCCTGAATCCGGCGTTTTGGCAGAGAAGGGTGGCTAAGGAACCCTAACATCCACCCATCCCAACCGGAGACTTGATAACTGGGAGAGAGTAGAGAAACAGAGGAGCCGTTCAGTTTATGTACAGATCGACGGCATGAGTGATGCAAGGCGAAGGAACAAGCGAGAGCTGAAGAAGAGCCCTCAGCTGTCGTCTTCATGAGAGCGGCTAGTTCCGGATGCTGAGGAAGAAGGATTCCCACTGCCTTGGGAGCCCGACAAGGAGAACAGCCCATTGAAGGGCCACGCCATCGGAAGCCAGGACGACCTCCTGGCGGCACCGTCGCCGGCGGCGGCGGCGGCCAGATTCTCCGACCCGCCGCCGGCACTCTCTGGCACATGCGTCTCCTTCGACCCGCCAGCGGGAATCTGAAATCTGCAGACTGGGCAGGAGCTGTGAAGCTCCAGCCATGGCAGAATGCAGGCGCTGTGGAAACGATGCTTGCAGGGCATCTCCCTCGCTTCAGCTCCGCATTGGAAGTCCTCCAAGCAGACGGGGCAGCCCAAATTCTCCTCCTTCACCGTCACCGTCGGCAGCGCCTCCACCGCCTCCCTCTGCGCCGGCGGCGTGCCGTACTGGTTGGAGTCATTCTCCGCCAAGTGCTGCAGCAGCTGATCCAGGCCAGACCCAACGAGGTAGTCCCCAAGAATCGCACCCACAGGGGCATCCTCGTCAGAGCTCCGCCGGCGGTGCCCGTCGAACGGCGGCGGGAGGAGGATGCTCTGATCGAATGGGTCGACCAGCGGAGCACGGTCCCTTTCTCCGTCGAGGTCGATGCCGGTGCGCAGGGCCTGGAGCAGCTGGAGGAGCGCGGAGCTCCGCCGCCGCCGCCGGAGGATGGCTTCAAGGTCGCGGTGCCATTCCTGGTCCAGGTCCTCGTCGCCGTCATCCAGCCGGGACCGGCGGCGGCGGGAATTGCCCATCATCCCCAGCAAGATGGGACCCCACAGGGAGAGAGCTCGACCCGAACCAAGGTCGCCGGAGTCGACGGCTCCGCCGTCGCCGGCGATCTCCTCCACGAAGCCGCTGTCGCAGAGTGGGCACTTGAGCTCCGCCGAATCCATTACGGTCCTCACCGTCCGCGAGCACATGTGGCACCAGTACCTCCCCTCCATCTAATCGTCCTCTTCGGAGCTCCACCTCCCCCCTGGCCTGAATCCACACAACCCACTGGACAATGAGTCTCATCGGACACGGGAGATCTAAACATTTGTGGCCACCGCGGGATAGAAATGCTCATCCAATCGAGTAAGAAAACACGATCTTTCTAAAGAAAAGGGAACGCGATGGAATGACCGATCAATCGAAAAATCGACGGATCAATAAACTTAAAAAATGTACGATCTTTTGGAAACAATGAGGGATTTCCCCTCTTTTCAGGATTCCTTTCTCGCCTCTGGAAAACAGACAACAGAAACCCCAAATTTCCGCGTAAGTTCTCCAAATGGGCAACGCGAGGCCAGAATTACGATCGAGCCGGCAGAATCTCCGCCTCGCATGGAAGTAGAAACGCCGGCAAAGAGGTGCCCCTGTCCGAAAACCGTGGGAAGACTCAAGAACGATGATTCCGACCGGGGGGGGGGGGGTGTGGAGAGGAAGATCCACGGTCACAAGAAACGAACGACGAACATCAGCTCAAAACAGGGAGAGGAGACGAGGAGGAATTACCCGGCGCAGCAACCGAGGGAGAGAACCCAGAAGGGATCTTCCGTCGGGGAAGAAGGGAAGAAGGGGAAGAGCCAAGGTGCGGCGACCGCCAACGATCCTTCCGGGCCTTCCCCCTCGGCTCTATATCTCTTTCCCTTATCCTGCAATCATTGCCCTACATCGAGTACGCTTCTCCCCTCCCATTTTTACTATTTTAAGCTCGCACCGAGATTGGAGGAGGAAGAAAAATAATCAGCCTTTTAAAAAGATCCCAGCGGGCCTCCTTGTGACGGGGAGGCTGGCCCGCCGGCTACTGCATTGTCAGATATAGTGGCTGTCAGATTGGAGATGACAACAAACAGAACGCACCGAACCTTCAGCCCTTTTTTTTTCCATGCGAGACAGACACCCACCTCATGCAACAAAATTATTATCATTGAATAGATCTCGAGAGGGGAACTACCATTGGTTAGCGCCAAAATTTGGATCATCATTGTTAAGGTGCTTAGGAAGTTGACTTTTTTCATGGAAGAACACACCATCTGGGGATCTCCGAGCACAGAACGATCCACTCGGCTGAATTGCAGACTCGCATGATTCCAATCCACAGGCGGGTTGGATCAGAGAGAGAGAGAGAGAGAGGGACTATGAATGGCAATTTTATGGACACTATTCAGCACGAAGGCAAGGATCCACAACGTTCGGAGTTTGCATCCAGGGAAAAAATGGTCAACGTTGCAGTATGCTTGCCCTCTCTAGCAGAAAACCGCAAGAAATTTCCAAGGGGGGTAAAGAATTGGCCGACCAGAAGCTGTACAGGAGGAGATCGATCTGTACACTGCAAGAAACCAGAATTGTGAGGAAAATTTGGACGCGGCGGGCATGGTGCTGGTGTTGAACGACCGCTTGAAGTTGCTCAAAATCTAGGGCTCTGGGAAGGGATCTCTGGAGTAACCTGCAACCACAGTAGGAGGTTCCAATTAGAGGGTCCGACTGCCTAAGATATTGTACATAAATGAGAATATTTTTGCTCATTGACGATTGGCTCAGTTGAATGACCCAGGAAACATCGTTCCTGCACAGCTCATTCACACCACCCATCTGACAGAGCCCACAAATATCGGCCAGCGCATCATGGTGCTTGCTAGAATAGACCCACATGGAAGAAATCAATTGAACTCTGTTGTCAGGTAGACAGGCATATCATTTGGTTGTTCATGAATGTTGGAAGGATGTCAAAGTTAGAGAAGCGGGGACCCACTGACTGGTGGTCCTTGAAAAGGTTTCTGGGTTAACTGAGTTATGTACCAGAAAAAGGAAATGGGGAAATGCGGGTGAGTCTGCTTACATTGGCAACCTGAAAGGGCTGGCTGAGGCTTGATCTACACTGCGACGGTTCTGCTTCAGAAGTAGATGATCCACTGTTGTGAAGAATTATCTGTCTGTCAGCCTGAGAAGAAAGAGCCTTGTAAGGAACTGTTCCCCACAGCTGAGGAAAGATAATATGATTCACATCTCATTTGCACGCAAGAAAGGATACTAGTTAGTTTATAGACGTAAAAACATTCAGCAGGTATTGTAGGACAGTGATGTCAGGAGCGGTGCAGAAGGCATTGACATGTGGACGGAGAAAAAAACAACGTAGCACTTGCAATTTTTCTGGGTCAGGGCTCGGAGATAAATATAAATGTCAGAACGGTGCAATGATCCACTTGGAGCGTCAGTGTATTGACGGCCAATACTTGAAGAACCAATCAAATTTCTCAGCCCTGCTTGCAGGTCAGTTTTTGGGGGAGAAGAAACTGGTGAGCGGCCCAGCTAACTCAGCTATCATTGTCATCATGACATGGGTTTAGCATTCCGGGTAATCATTGGTGTTAATATTTTAAAACACAATAATTTCATGAACAAATGCATCATTATTAATACGGGTTTTATACAAAAAGACAAACAGAAAGACAGGTTGATTATATTCGAAAGTATAAAGCTGCTTATCAATTGGATTAAACAAGAATAGCTGATGCACCAACAGAATCTCTCACCACTATATCTTTGTTGGTGCCTATGCATCGTTCAGTTAATGAAAGATTCTGAGGAATCAAGATGATCGGATTCAACGGAAAAGTCCTAATGTCAATGAAATAAAGAGGATTTGACTGCTCACGATTCTTTTTTTAACGAAATAAGGCACTTTGTTTTTAAAAGGACTACAGCCTACGGGGTGTACAATGAAATTACATTGATGCAGAGAAAACTAGCAACTTATTCATTGGATTGCTGTGCCAAAAAGTAGGCAAAAAACTTTTATCTCAACATTCGATTGTTGGAAGAACTACCTCGTTTGAATATTTTTTGTCTTGGCCATCTTCAAAGAGAGATGAGTAGTAAGCGGGATTATAGATAGAGCCCCCCAAGATGTCTTCCGAAATGGAGTACTGTCGACAAGGTTCATGAATTGGAGGATTCAAGAAGCTGTTTCGCATATCAGAATCTGCTTCCCTATGGGAAACACTATCCACCCATGAGAGCCCCAGGCGATACATCTGAATCCATAGTAATGAGGAGCACAACCTCACGGAAAATCCAATTATTTGCATGCAGAGAGTAAGCCTCACTGAAAAGAGAAATGATGCACTGTACTCCTTAGAAGGCATGTTCCTGAAAGACAAGCAATAAAATTATGATAACGATTTATTCACTTAAGAAAGAAACGTTGTAGAGGAAGATGGAACGTGAGAGTAGGACGGGAAACTGAGAGAAAGTGAACTACACAAGCTTGAAAGAAATGGAGGGTAGAATCCGGGAGACCAGGAAGTTTTTTCTTACGTAAAATTTTGGAGATACAATAATAAGTCAAGTTCATGCAAGCAAAAGCATTAGAAATACAAATCGAGTCTTTCTGCCGATTGACCTCAAGCTAAAATTTAAGGAGAGGCGGAAATCATAAAGTAATAAGACAGAACACGAGGTTATTGGACCCATTGGACATTTTTGAGATGCTATGAATTCATTTACCGTCATGCAATGGGAGTCGCGATTATAGCACTGTTCCCCAACCACCACTACAAGCTTATGGAAACAGACAGCACATGATCGTGCATCAGGATGAGGCATGGGAGATGACCCCCTTTTCTCCCAAATTAGATGCTTTTTCCCAATGACAAGTTGATCAATCCTGAAAAAGAGCCTGAGTAGTGGGTGAGAGTCAGATCAATGTGTATGGAATGAGGGATCCATAGCATCTTAAGTGGTTTTTAAATAGACAGCAATTGAAGGCAAATCCATTGCGTCGTTTAAATTAAATTGCACAATGCTCATCTCTCTCTAACCCCAAATGCTTAATTCTTATTCTGCACTTGTGGCAACATTACGATAAGACAACTTAAAAGGGAAGAAATGAATCCTTGCATGATTTTGGCAGTTGTGAGGAATCCTATCAATCTACTTACAATGGCACTAATAGGTTCATATCAAGGTTATTTGGTGTGAATATCGAATGGGAACTGAGAGGGGTCTGGCAGTGACAAAAGGTCAATGATCTTCACCAATCATTATAGATCAGAATGTAATTGCAAGTCCGAATAACTTGAAAGTAAAATAATGAAAAGTAGAAAATCCTTGATGACTCCACATAGTTGGCAAATAATTTGGTTGAGACTCCCTGATATCACGCACGGAAAGCACAATGTCATAGTTTCATAAAACCGCACTTAAAGAAAAAGAATGAGTTAGATTAAGAATCAAACCTTGAAGCTGGTGCCATTACTAGATAATGGGTCAGATATAATTCCTCACAAGAAAGCAACAAAAACGTGATCTATATACGTAAATCAAAGCCAAAGTCAGAGATGCAAGATACACGATTCCACTCAGTGTCATGTTCCAAAATCCTTGAGAAATAATTTATTTTATGTAAATCCCGCCCACGGCTATCCAAGTCCAGTTGCAATCTTCTCCGTGGTTTTCCAAGTATCCTTGACCTTTCCACTCGTTCTCTGAGAGTTGATCACATTCCACGGCTTCTCTTCCGAAAAGAGATAAAGATCTTGTTTCATCTTTTTCATTTTCTGATCCATAAAAAGGACACATATTGTGTATTTTCTCACAAGAGGGATGGTAATTCCTAGTTATGTTTAAATACTATTGTCAAGAGAAACACAAGTGAACCAACGGAAGAGATATTATCTATGTTAAAATACCCAAAACGGAGGCTGGGGAATCCTAATATTAAGGGCAACAGTTCGTTGCTTTTCCAGGAACACGGCTGTAAACTAGAATGTCAAGTACCAAACACAGTTTTTTCAATCCGTTCCACATGAATATTAGGATCACACAAGATCAAGCGGAAGCAACAAATGTGTCAAAATTCATGGGTCTTAAATGGTAATTAAGGGTTCCATCGAATTCTCAGTCGGTCAAAAAGCCTGACCATTCCACGTGAAAGAAACATTATCTGAGAAACCACAGGGATGAGTTTCCAATCACATCATACCTGCCGTCCGTAACAGTTGATTGGCAAAAATTAGTTCAGTGCACACTTCAATTTACATTGGAGAACATTGTGTGAGCATCAAGAAGACTTCTAAACTTGAAAGACCATCTTATTGAAGATTCATAAGAATGAATAAAGGCATCAATCATTACCATAAATAAAGTGAAATGATCAAAGACAACTCGCATAGTTATGAATATTGTACCATATTTCATGAGAGAAAAGAATGAGCCACATGATGTCAAGCAAAATTCCCAGTGCGAGAAGTGCAGCGTAGGTCCGTCCAAGGCTCTGACTGTTGTTCTCGATTGCGACTAATGCAAAAAGTGCCACCGCCAGATTAACCAGCAGCACTCCATTGTACAGCGCTCCAAGCGAACCGACCAGTGAGCAAACAATCTATTGACAAAATGAAACCGAATTTAGTTCACGCCACAATAATGTGACCAGAACATATGCATTCACAATCAGATTAGAATCCTACTGATCTTGGAACGGGAATAGTTCACATCTTACTTTGAAATGGCTTCTGTTCTAACATTGGAGAATCTAAACATGAAATAGGGGCACCTGAGGTTGATCAACTAGGACATGATCGCGAGCTAGGCATAGGAACAAGAAGCACCGAAGAAAGAAAATCACGGGACAAACAGTAAAGATCGGATCGAACGCAAACCCTCACCGGCAAGCAATGCCTGATATCGCAGGCGCTAAGGGATCCCCCGAGGAACGACTACAAAAACTCGTTGGAATTCCTAAGTGTGCGGGAGAGAAAATGCAGATGCCGGAGAGCAACCCTAGGTTCTACCAAGCACGGAGAAGAAAAAATATTTCGCGTACTTGAGCGTAAATGAGGACGACAGCTACACCCTGGATCCTGTCGTAGTCCCGGAGCCACGATCGAATTCGCGATCCTACCAAGTATGCGGACCAGGGCATCATAGAACAAGAAAGGAGACCGGTAGCTCGAAATCGAGCGGAGGAACCCAGGGGCGGGGACGGCGGAGCGCGGCGAGTCCTCCTCCCCTCCTTTCCTCGGCCTCACCTGAAGGTCAAGATCCCCGCAGAAATGCTCCACGGGAAACCCCTAAAGGTGATGCCTGCGGGTTCTCCCTTTTCTTTTCGTCCCATTTTCTGTTATTCTGCAGGCAGTTAATTGCCAACTCTGCAGGGCGGGAGCAGAAAGCTCCCTTTTTATATCCCCACGAATCCCCACCGTCCACACGGCGACGCCCCACACAATTTCTCTCACTGGGAGCACTGATCAGCGCATTGATAACAATCCAAGTCGACAATGGTCCAGATCGGAACAGACGGCAGAGGCCTGGCCCATTCTCGGGGGGCTCATGTTGACTTAACCTTCGGTTGACTTGGCGGGGAACAATCCGCCGCCTTCAGCCCAGGTCAACCCATATACGGTATTTGCAGGGAAATCACAGAGACGAAAAACCAATATTTAGTTGATTGGGCAATAAAAAAATTCAGCGATCCTCCGGTGGGATCTAGAACTTGAATAGATTCCGGCGGACCTTGGGCACCAGGCGGCATGTCAATGAGACCCTGGTCGCTCTTCTGCGGACGACCTGGAGCTGTTCTTCGCCTCCAGCTTCCAAGCCTGCAGCACCCTCAGCTTGGAATCCGATACCTTCTGGGCTGTTCACAACCTGCACAAGATGGGGTTTTTACCCCAAATTCTCTCAGGGCACAGGAAGAATGAGGAAGTCAACTAAGCTCGAAGATGGACACACCTCGGCCAAGCTGTGCACATCGGAGTCTTCTATTCCATGCAAGTAGTCTGCAGAAAGAAGAAGTCAGACAGGTCCCAGGAACCCAAGTTGGGAAATCTTCCGAACTTGGTTACTGCAACAACTTTCCCGATCGAATCAGGAGTGCTCACTTGAGTACGCCTCATCTTTGAAGATCAGCAAGCTGTGTGGCATCAGCAGGAGTGACACTGGGCGGGGGGTTTCTTCGGCTTGGTTGCAGGAATCTGACGGAGGTCCTCCGTTGTTGGCGGCCGGTTCATCAAGTCTCGGGTGAGGGGTGAAGTCAACCACAGCGGGGGATCCGAGTGATAGAATTGCCACGACAGGGAAATAAGCAGGCCCATCCTGGTGCGGCTGATTTTGAAATAACTTTCAGCAATGCCCAGTAGCAGAGAAGAATCATCGGCATAATCGTGATCTAAGGGCAACTTCATGGTTTTGGCAAGAACAGATTATGATTTTCATGCAGGAGTTGCAGAGAGGGAAGAGAATCATCAGTACAAACCATGATTCCTTGATTAGGAAGGTATTCGTTGATGAGCACGTGATTGATTGGCGAGGGGAAGAGCCCAGTTTGTTCGCATATTCTCTGGGTGATCTTCGTGATCCATGGAGGCACTGGTAGAGAACAGGAGATGATGAGACAAAGTTGGAGGGTCTCCACTGATCTATTGTTCTTGATTTGACCAGCTTTGGTAAATAAATTACAACATGAAAGCAATCTAAGATTTGTTAGAGAACCAGAGCTAGAAGATCCGGCATTCGTCATATTCATTACACATTCTCCACGGTGATTAGGTACTTGTTCTAGGGTTTGTTCTTCGCAAGTTTTATCATGTAAAACAGTTTTTGGAGAGGGTAAATGCAGATATACTTTCTATAATTCATACGTTTCGGAAACCGCATGCGGATCAGTTCTCGATCTGGAAGGTCGAGGAAGAGAGAAAAAAGGCAGGTTTATCGACTCACAGTCCTGGGGGAGAAGACCCTTCTCGTGCACCACGCCGCCTGAAGAGAAGATCGGCATTAAGAACCCACCGGAAAAACTGTTCTATCTGAGTGATCGCTCTCAGGGAAGATCTGAGGACACGAGAATATTACGATACCCCAATTCTGCAACCTTCTGTTCTTGAGAGATTTCCACTTGGACATGGGGGCCTCGTAGATCTGCGCAGGGTTCGGAAGACAAGGATTAGGCTTCTGAATCCGGAGAGGAAGAGGGGCAGACGCCGCGTCCTTGAGTCAGAAGAAATTACGTGGTGGAGAAGCTGGCTTTCTTCAGGGGCTGATATGAAGTTGGGAATGTAGATCAGAGTTCGCAGAGGGCCGACGGCGTAATCCTCCAGCCGGAGAGGATCGCTTTCCTCCATCCTCTCTCTTCCAGGGCTCCAGATCGCGGAAACCTTGAAGGGAGGTAGTCAAAGAAATCCACCTTTCCGCGCACCAGAATGCTTATCCCCGGGGTCTGTTCTTCGATTCACGAGATCGAAATGGAAGTCCTCCACTGCGATCCATTCAGATGCGAGGATCCAGCGCCATGCGTGTGAACAGGCCGCCGGCGTCGACGAACACGGGGCTGCGGTGCTGCGCCTGTTCCTGCGCCGTAGCCCGGTCTTCGCCTGCCGGAAGCCCAACAGAGGGGCGACAGCGAGATGAAACTCCGCCGGAGGAGGAGACCAAAGATAAATAAAAGATCTACACTTGGAATCGAAGCAGATTTTTTTCCTGCTCAAACAGTCAACGGTTTTCGACCCCCTTGAAACAAAAAATGCCCAAAACCCAATTCTTCCACCATAATCTAAAATCCTTCAAATTTATGAATTCGAGAATTAAATTCCCCTCGTCAACAAAATCTTTGAATAAAGCATAGATCATGGAGGCTATACAACTCTCTCAACCCACAAGAACAGGGGAGGCTGGAGGCTGGAGGCTGGAGGCCGGAGGCCTTCTCATCTGGTATTACTTCCTCATCTGCATTAAAAGAGAGGCCGGAGGCTTTTCGCCGCCAGCCGCTGATGCACCGCCAAATGAGGAAAAGCCACCACTGCCGCCAGTCGCTAATGCACCGCCAAATGAGGAAAAGCCGCCACCAGCACTCTGCTTTGGGGCGAATGACCCAAAACCACCTGAAAGCGAGACGATTTCACCGCATCAGATTGAGGAAGCCAATCGGTCATAGTCCACAAGAGTAGATAGAATCAAGCAGTAGCCGGCCAATGCCAGAGCTACAATTGCTTTCCAAAGACGAGTGAATTGAAAGTGCCCATCTCAAAGAAAATGATGCGCAGACCTGATGCGAACCCGCTTCCCGGTGGGACTCCAAATCCACCACTAGCAGAAGCTGCGGCCGCAAAACCGCCAGCACTAGGTGCCACAGCAGAAAACCCGCCTCCAGTGGTGGCTGCGGCGGCAAAGCCACCTCCAGGGGTGGCTGCAGCGGCAAACCCGCCTCCAGGGGTGGCTGCAGCGGCAAACCCGCCTCCAGGGGTGGCTGCAGCGGCAAACCCACCTCCAGGGGTGGCTGCGGCGGCAAACCCGCCACCACCACTCATTGCAGCAGTTGAGAAGCCAGTCCCCCCAAAGCCACCAGAGGGAGCTAAACCAGCTCCCTGGGCACTGAGGCCTAGCTGACGAGATTGCCCAAAAGCACCAAGAACAGAGCCGAGTGCCTGCTGTCCGGCTCCAATTTGTGCCGGGCGGCCAAACCCGCTCAAACCACCGCCGGAAAATCCGCCAGAAGTCATTGGCTGACTTGATTGCATTGGCTGAGATGTTGGGAGACTGAATGATGCTGGTCTGAAGAGCTCACCGGCAGGTGCTGCCAGGGAAAACGCTGGAGTTGTGGGGGTTGCTGTACTGGTGTTGAGTGAGACACCAAATGGATTGGGTTTAGCCGCACTTGGTACAGAAGTTTGCCCAAGTGCAAACCCACCAAATGCACCCAGGGAGAGCAATGTATCCGGAGCTTCCTCCTCCATCTCATCGTCTTCTGTAGTTGTAATATCTGCTGCATCTTTACCCTTGGTTGGTATGGTCTGAGAACTGGACGAGGTGGCCGGGATCTCAGACAAAGGAGAAGTGGTTGAAGACAGACTGGCTGCAGGGGTGAACATAGATATTCTATCAGCTTTTAAGGCAGTTGAAACCTCGCCTAGAGACTGTGGAACACTGGGCTGAGGCTTGGACAGAACTTCAGCTGGCCTAAAATCAAGTGCAGATATAGCCTGTGAAGTCACTAGCTGAGCTTGTGGAAGCTGCGAAGTTACATCCTTGGGGAGGATTGAAGCTGGTCCTGTGATCTTTGAGATCTGTGGTGGAGACGATAAATTCGAAGAAGAACGAAGGGGCTCAACAGGAGCAACTGAAGAAATTGAAGACGAAGAAGTCTGGCTGGGACCCAGAGAGAAAGCAGTGGCAGAAGATGATCCTCCAAAAACAGCAGGAGATGCAGATGCTGAAGTTGACACAGGTACAAGGGGAGATGGCAGAGGTGTTGGTGATGGCACAGGTAAGACAACTGAACTTGACGTCGAGATTGTACCAGAAAAGGGTGTACTAGACGGTGTTCCCACTGTCTTCACCTGGGAAACGTTTCCACTCATGTTAGATGACAGAGATAAACGGCTCTTCTCCGATAGACGAAATGAACTGTCAGGAATGACTGATCTGCCCATGATCTTTGGGGAAGGTCCACTGCTCATAGCACCATTCTCACTGCTCTTCACGATCCATGCCTCACTTGATTGGGATGCTTTAATTGGTGATGCATTCTGTGAGGGGATAGAAGTGGGAGCAGGCATGCCAATCTCTGCCCTAACTTTCTCTCTAGTTTGCGACTCTATTTCCACTTTAGAAGAAACAGGTTGCTTAGTTGTTTGTGACATTTCTTTGCCAAACTTATCCACTAAACCTTTCGATAGTGATGATGGCAGTGCAACTGGGGTCGACTGGAGACCAGTTTGCACATCAGATGCAACAGGATATCTGGTTCCTCCGGTTTGGGAGACTTGAGAAAGATCCTTTGTCCATTTGAAATGAGAACTAGACTGAGGCTCAGATAATTGCCAGGATGACTTGTTCTGATCATCTTCTAAAAAGATAGAAAAATAACAGAGTAATCATGAATAGGCCACGCCATTCATTTGACAAAATAAGGGTCCAATGAATATGATTAAAAAATTGTGGGATGTAGAGGTGATCTACCTTTCTTAATGTTGTCCACTCGAGACTGGAACCTGTTCATGGACAACTGCAAGGAAGGATCCGGCGTTACCTGACCCTGGTGTAGAGAGAAAGTCCCCTCTGAGACTTGAAGACCAGATTCCTCTTTAACTGAGCTACGTAACTTTTCAGTGGCAACCTTAAAGCGTTCCTCTAGCTGCATCCTCTTCACAGTGGTTTTTGGAGGATCGAACCTACTCCAACTCTGCAAGAAACATAGGCCAAGATAATAATTCTTGCTAGAAATATCCACAGAGGGGCAAAGCTGTAAAATATTTTCAATAACAAATTCTCCCTAAAGGATTTTTTTCTAGATTCGTTGCTTTATTTCGGTTTCAACAGATGCTACAAGATGAAGTCGTCACTCCCCAAAAGAAAATAAAAAGCCTTAAACTACACGAATGTTACAGAAACCTTAAGATAGTTCAAGTATTATTCTCTCAAATAGAAGAAACGAAATCTCACAAAAAATCTCTCATATTTTTTGTATCGAGCAGGCATAGAGATGGGTTCTTGTTTACTACTCCTGTTCTATGCTATTAAACCACCTCCAGATAAGGACCACAACGTTACAAAGCAAATCTCCTCCATTTTTCTTTATACTTGGGTTCTTATTTCAAAACTAAACCGAAATATAACAAAGTGGTTCACATAATTGAAACTAATGTTCTTCCTAGATGCAAATTTTCAGAATAATTCTCAGTCTTAAAGGTCAGTTTTCCTGGCCTTTGGGGGCTGATGCCATTTTTTTCTTTCTTGGAAAAGTTATTTGCCAGTTGATATCAATGGAAATGTCTATTACCGACAGAAACTGTACATAAAGTCATCACTATTGCATCTTAACACTTTAGCAAGTTATGTGAATGGTCTTCACGCTGATTCTAAGCTTCTGCTTTAGAGAAACAGTTTTCTTTACACGAACCACATTTATTTTCAACGTGTTCCCGCAAAAAGATATCAAAATAGGCTTTCATCATCCGAGACATAACAATGGATGTGATATAGCTTCAGACAGAAGTGTCAACCACAAACAACGATGACATGATACAAAATTATGACAAGCAACGATATGATAACATGCATATTAATAGTGCAATAAACTATTACCCTGTCCAATGAGTCTCTCCTCCTCCTCGAACTCTCTGGTTCTACGGCCTTTAGGGCCCCCACTGTGGTCCTGACTTTCTCACCAGCCCTAGATGACAATGGTAGGAAAGAAATCCTCTTGGAAGACTCTGGGGAATAAACAGCCTTTTTCTGCGTTGGAGACTGGAAGGAGTCGGAGTCATATTCGAGGCCAATTGATTCAAGCAACTCTTTTCTTACAGAATGCTGCTTTGCAGGAGGTGAACTTATTTTCAACAAACCCATTTGTTTCGAAAGGCAGTCAGAGAGCTGCTCTGCTGCAGCTATTTGCGAGTTTAATGTGTTGTGCAGACTATGCAACGAATTTTTTTGCCTGCAAAACAGTCATAGAATTGAAAGATAGAGATCGGATGAGAGCAAGACATTATATGGTTATCCATTGTCAAATTTGAGGAAGTCAATAGTACAAGCATTTCAAAGATCTGAAGAAATTCTTGCAAATAATCGAAAAAACCACGTCTTATCCTATCATTCATGCTTTGTGACAAAAAAATGAGAAGTATAAACATGATGATCGATATTGAAAGTTTTTCACATCAAGATTTTCCTTGATTGTCATTGAGAATATCATTCAGAAATCTTACCACCACTACTAAGACAAATAATCTACCTACAGACAGTGTCCCTCCCTAAATCAAATAGAAGAGGTTAGTAGGCGGATGACAATGAAGTATCAAGTCATTCCACATAGTTCACATATGAGCTCGGACCAATGAAGGAGTTAAGCAGTCCATTGACAAGAAAAGATTATCCTCTAGCATAGATATTGGTATCATCTCTGAATTATTGTAATATTGTTATATCCAAGACAATAACAAACATGAATCGTACTGCCATTCGGTACCACAGAAGCAGCGGATTTTCCTTCTGCAATGTCTTTCAAAATCAGAAATATCTGATCCACAGTGAAGCAGAGTCTGTTTTTCCTATGCTCATAAAGGCGACAGTAGATTTCGGGTAGCTCGATCATCTTTCACAACCTACCAGCAACTAAATATAGAGAAACAACGAGGAAAAGACCCGAAAATGAACTCCATATCAAGGAATAAAAGTCGCACCCGTCTTCCATTCCAGCTTTTTCTCAAAAGAGAAAATTATTCTGTGTCAAGCAATGGACAAACTCTTTGAACACAAGTGGAAATGTCAAAAAGTGTAAAGGGATAGACAGGAGCGAACAAGTGATGGGGGATCTCCAACGGCATCTCATCATAGTTTGCTAAAAAAAGTGAGGCTTTTTGGAACTGTCTTCACTTTTTTATAATAATGAACTCTATCGTTCTCTAAAGACCAATTGAACAATAATGCAATTGAAAAGGCCTTGATGATTTTTTTGGGATGATATTGATAGAAAACCTCCTTAGAATGGGCTTAATTGCAAATTGAGTCGTTTCATAGTTCATTTGCCAATAGATCAATTATAAAGCTTATGCTATAAATCTGACATATTATTTTTAGATATCTTAGAATGGTCTTGATAACAACACGACATTTAGTCACTAAAACATAATACTCTTCCGTGAAAGAAATTATAATCCTTCCAAGTCTGTATAAGCATAGGTAAAGAAATGTACATATTCAAATCTTAGTGACCCAATCACTGGCATGACAGCATCCGCTGCATATATTCATGTAGATCTAGTGACCAAGGAAAATGAGCTTAATACCTTGGGGAACCCAAAGTATCTCGTAATGCTCTCCGACCATTAATAGATGTACCGCTTTCACCATGTTTCCTAAGTTCAAGAGCATTGAAATGTCTTTCTAGTTCCACAAGTTCATTAACCAAAGCCTGCAAGAGGTAAAAATGATCAACATTATACTGCAAAACTAAAAAAAGGAGCTCATTCTAAATTTACATGATTCAGCTTGGAAATCCGCTGCTGCTTCACTTCATATTCAGGACCCAACTTCTGACAGTTCCATAGGTCCCAATACTGACCATTAGAAGCTTGCTTAACTAATCCTTCCATATAAATTTGCCTAGCAGATACTGAATCAAAATAACAAAAAAAAGATAGTTCAGGCGCTAATTGTGATTCCTACGAAAAAAAAACAATCAGGCAGATATCAGTGACAGCATCAAAGTTTCGTTTATGAAGTTCAGATTTAAAAATGTACCATCCAAGATACCATCAGTTTCGTACTAGCTATAGTAAGTGATTTCACATCACAACCATATTAAAAAAATGTGGCACATGAACAGAATAAATTCATTTAAAAGCCTCAGAAAAAGTTCGCTTTTAACATATCCACTTTCGCATTCTGCCCTCATTTTTTAGTAAAAGCTGCCAACACTGCCAAATGACCGCAGTTAATTTGTACGACTGACAATGAAATCGTGTAACTTGAAAAAAAAAATCAACTGATGTGAGCAATAAAATTACGATACTAATGGCAAATCACTATATCCAAATGCATGGAATACCACGTGCAACAACACAGGCTCATCTTTACCATAATTGAGTCAAGAAGTTTTTTTGACAAAACTGCTAATGACTAGCTTGGCATTATGGCATATAACACGGAGGATTAGTGTAAAGATTCTGCAGCTCCGAAAGTCATAACAACACAAAGAAAGTAGATATAACGAGAAAACTAGTGTGCATTAACACAGTCAGGGACCAGAAATAAATAGTACAATCCGTGGATCAATGATGCTAAATGGAAACATACTCATCTCAGGTTGTCTTTGAAATGGGTGTTCTTAAAACTTAGAAAGTGAAAAACAGAGTTAAAACATACTGTAATGGCACGAATTCAAGCAGACAGACCAATTTGGGCTAACTCCGACAGGTCCACAGATAAAACGCACTTTAAATAATTAGTTTCTGTTAACAAACTCTGACATTACCACTCGCAACTCACCTTAACCTAGCATACATTGGAGATGGAAATCTTGAAAAAACAATCCGACTTGAGTGAGTAGGACTGAGTTGCAGTGAGCAAGAATTCATGAGAAAATTTGTCTAATGGTTCTGATGTTTGATATGTGGCTTCTACTAGTAGAGAAATCTCTATTAAGAATCAATTACACATGTCTCAAGACTAGGGTTCGTTCCCAAATTGACCAGAGCCGACTGGAGTAACCTCAAGCCTTACGGATAGTGACACTGTCAGTCCCCTCCCATCCCACCAGCCCACTGGCTCCACTGCACAAACGGGAAAGAGAAGAGGAATGGATGGATATGTGGTCCACGCGTATAGGAAATCTACACCAAAGTCTAATTTATCGCTTTTTGATTAAAAGTGCATAAGAATATATCCTCTTTTTTAGCAAATTAAAGGAATCAATTCGATTTGATCTAGCTCAGTTTTCGTGCTTATAGAGTTGAATCCAGAGTCCTATCTGGTCAAGTCCACCTTAGAGAGCTATATTGGTTCAATTAGTACCTAAAAATAAAAATAAAACATTTTCGGAGAAAGTAATGGAAAAAAAAGGATAAAAAGGAATAAGGTTGAGAGATTGGTGTCTTTCATATTTTTTTTGTCTTCTCCATATATAACGTAAGAAAACACTCTTAAACAAAAAAAAAGCGAATGAAAAACAAGAAAACTTATGCTTGGGTTGCGTTCATGAGCCAGGCTTAAAGTGCAAACAACAAACCTTGCATCCTTTTGTCCTGAAGTTGTTGGATCTCTTTCAGCTGTTCCTCTACTTTGACCTGAGTCAAACATCAAAAAATCTTATCAGCTCAAAAGTAGAGATGCATAAGTAAAGTGAAAAGAGAGGGAAACAACATTATTACAAAGAAAATAACCTGTTGCACATCAATGGAAAGAAGTTTCACAAGAAACCCACTCAGCCTAATAAGCTTACATTTAAAAAGGTTGCATACGTATAATTCCTGGAACATTTTGGTAACAACAGTCCACACCAATGAAAGTGAACATCTAGGAATGAAGAGTAGCCAAACTGAGTCAATTGAGATGCGACAAGTCTGTTTCAAACTTGGAAAATTCTCATGTCTATGCACCAAATAGACAGAACCTCTAGAATTGATGTCTGACAACTCACGAAAACAAAAGGGAGAAATGGCAGGCTTCTAAGGGAAGGTGCAGATGGGAGGAGCTCGAGGATTGTGGTACGATAAAACATGGCTAAGGGGAATTTAGTTAAAAAGTAAGCCACAATACTTTATTATATTCCAGAGGAACTTCAATTTTGTGAGGTGACTTTAATGCCCTGAGACAGCAGGTGATGCATCTTCCAACCTCAAATCAGGAGATATATATTTTAGTATTTTATTTGAATCATAACTGCGGAGTCTACTGGATTTTTTCTGCCACGTCAATGTGTCAATGGTGAGGCCTTAGTTTCAGGAATGCTAAACCAAGCTCAACAATTTTTTTCCTTTGTGATGACATGTGGGACAAGCTATCTACTATAAACAATCATGCACTAAACTCAGTGCCTGATAAGCAATTAATTGTTATACCAATAAACAAGAATGCAACACAGTCGCATTAACCTTTCTAAGCGACAGAAATGATAAAAAAGGTATTCTCTTTCACAAGTGATGTGTGGGTGGGGAAGGCACTCATCACCTTGCACATCCTGAGTTTCTCTGATAGTTTATTTACGCCTTCCTCCAAAGACAGCACCGAACTTCTCTGGATGACAGTACACGCATCCCTGAGACCGCCCTCTTGTTCTATGCCCGCTAGTAGTTCGTCAAGTTCTTTTGTCATATCATCCACCTGAACACAAATACGAGTGAAACAGTGAATGAAAAAACTTACAGCAAGAGCGAAGTATAGGCATGGCATAAACATTCTCATGATGAATAATGATCCTGATGAGGAAGGGAGCAAATAAGCATCATCCGGTAAATCCAAACTAAACTAGAGTCCAGAGTCTTTGGCTCTTTTGGAAATATCCATAAGAGATGATGCACCGGCACACCCAATTTTTAGCCGGAGAAATGATACACCGCCCTGATAATGGTTTCTCAAGACATGGTTATACTGCTCTAGTGCAGCAAATCTATACATGGAACACTCATCCTATTATTGCATCAGCAATGCTTAAAAGACAATGAGAAAGCAACACAGGTCATGAAGGATTTTATCTATAAGACTGACACAGACTGTTCTCTTCCAATCCAGTATTAGAGGGAAAGAATGGGGCATCACCAAAAGATGCAATGTAATAGGGAGGTTGTATGCAGTTGTATCCAGTCGTACACAGAAATTTTTGACCACCTACATGGAATGTACTGTAATAAAATTGAGTCAATGACCATGACATTTATTGAAATATGCCAAAAATCATACCAGTAAACAATCCAAAAAAGTGGTGTGCATGAAAAAGAAAAAGAAACAGTGTTCCAATGAATTATTGCTTAATTATTCCTCTCAAATACAAAATCTGGAAAAAGAGTGAAATAATATTACAACTGAAAATTATTTAAACAGTAAAGGTGCATAGTGGCCAAGACAATCATACACTGTAAAATTGCTTTATTAACTTCGTCTCAGACTCTTGCATTCCAGGAAACCTGTAAGCTTTATGACCACCTCCTGCATCCTGCGTGTTCGAGATGAGGAACTTTCCATGAGTAATATTCTCCTTTGACGAAGTTGAAGGGATCCCCAAGGCAGGAACAGGTTCAATATATCCTGATCTTAAGGGAGCTCTTGTACTATCCAAAAATGACGTGAAACCACCAGATTCCTGGGGGAGCTTAACACTTGGTTGAATTACGCTTGAAAAACCCTGGCTGATAGTCTTTCTCTGGGATCCGACAGCTCCTTGGGAATCACCCAGCGTAGATTCATATGAATATAAGGAAGATTTCAACATAGTTCCATCAGAAACACTGGATTTTCCGACGGACTCTACTCCCAAAGGAGTAATAGGGAGGTTATCTGGGATAACAGATGTTGGACCACCTTTGTTCTTAGAAAAAACTGTGCTTGATTCCATGGTACTGGATGCTTCACTTCTTTGGCTGCCTAAGAGAGACACATAAGTCCCAGACTTCATTCCTGTTGAGTTAATTCCTTGTTTAAGAGATGATTCAGCAGAAAACCGCGCAATTTGTTCAGTCTTTTCATTCCTGGCTGGAGAAATATTGGCCTGCCCCAGCACTGTGGAAGAACGTACAGAACCAAAGGTTCCCGACGCCTGACCTGCGAGAGCTGATAGCAACAGTCTCAAAAAAATATTCATGATGGTAATATTGTGATTGATTACTATCCAGAATATCCACCACAATGAAAAAGTAAATCTGTCCCAAGGACAGTAAAGCAAAGTTCAAAGTACTATTGCATGTTAACAAGAGGTCGTAGAACAGTTACCAATATTTATGGCTGGTACATTAGAACTGCTTTCCTTCAGTTTAGCATCTATAGGCACACCTTGCTCATCCTTGAATCCAATAGTGGATGAAGTTGACTCGGCCGATAAAGGCACAACAGAAGAAAAATCATCTTTGGAAGGGGCCTTTAAAATTTCTTGGGAACAAGCAGGCTCCGAAACCCTACAAATAACACCAAATAGAAATTTCAAAGGTGCCAGTAATCATATTCCAGGATTTCCAGGAGATTTAGGATCACAGTGGCACTTCAGACTTTACTGATAAAAAGTGATATAATTAACATACATCATTAAGGCGTATGTTTACCTAGCAACATGAAACATAATGATCTTCCCCTCACAAGAAAGGCACAACAGGACACAATGAGGAGAGAGAACCTTGACTTCCGAATCTATTATGAGCTCAAGCTTCTCGTGTATAGATACTCTGTCAATATCAAATCCCAATAGAAGATTCTCATCACGGCTTTCTGAAAGGAGATATCCTCATTAGACCATAAAAATATTAGTAGAGAACCAATATTAAGAAAAAACTGTAAAACACAATGTCAACGTTGAATCCTTCATACAATAGAAGTGAAAACAATCCACATTTTTCATTTCAAGGTGTATTCGAGTTCGCCAATCATACCTGATTAATCCCGATTATTTAAATACTGAGAGAAGTATAAAATCATTGATGCGCTTACAAAACTACAGGGAAAAGTTTTGTGATCAGACATCAGCATGATTGCCCATTAGGAAAATTAACTATATATTACCACAAAGTTCTAACATTTTTAAAAAAACAGTGAACACAAAGGGAAGCCTTGTTAACATGTAATATTCTGTCTGAAACAAATTGTTAACCACACCTACCTCATGATTGTCGGCTAAACAACAACAGGAGAGAAGGATACAATGTAAGGGGACTAATCCCAACGGCAATGATATACAGCGTCAAACACTGGTAAGATACTTTGTTCTGCAACATCAAGATATAAAGCACCAGTTGCCTAAGCATGCAGCCAGAGATAATAAAATTATAATTATCATTATAATTATAATTATCTGAAGTGTTCACTTAAAATTAAAAATTAAAATTAAAATGCTTAAGCACCAGGTGCTTAGCATACAACCTTATTATCTGAAGTATGGGCCACCACCCTTCAGATAATAAGGTTAAGTCTGCAGACAAAATTTGCAGAGAAAAAGGGTTAAAAAGATTTAAGGAATCAGTATACTCTTTATTTGCGGATAGTAATGGGAACCGAACCAGTTTTGGTGAGATGATACAGCTTCACCTAATCCTATTGAGTGCAGGAAGGGCCATAAAAGTTTTTGACAGGTCCAGCAAGCTCTAAACTTGAACCTATTGAGAATTAACCTGACCTGATCTCCGTCCAGTTTCCCAGCCCATCATGGATACTCTATCTTACTTCATGAAACCGAAGCAACGTATATAGGAGGCAAATTTCTGGTAAATAAACAAGATGCTTCCCATAATTGGAGGTGCATCCTTCAAATACTTATCGCCGCGTTATGGAAATGTAAACTAGAAAGATTCCTAGTTCCAAAGAAAAATCTTCTTTAATGGAAACATATATAAAGCCTACAAGAGGAAACAACATCAAGAGATCCAGTCCTCGCTCTATGGAGGAAAACCAGAGTATCGAAGCGATACTATTTGAATTCACCATCAGGATGAGCCAAATCTAATGAAACGTTCAAAAATAGCTATACCTTGAAGTTCAATCCGAGGAATAAATTTTTCTTGTTCAAATTCAAGGCCAATGGGTCCTTTTCCATCCTCTCCGGACCATGCCAAGAGCACAACGTGTTCATCTGTATTCTTCCTGTTCGCAACAAGAGCCAGGTCCCTGGCGACATAAAATGGTAAAAAAATATTCAATTGGCTACATAAAGTGCACAGCGAAAAATATTTAACTAAATAGAACATGTTCCTGTTGTTTGGTTCAACATGAACCTGATACAACGGGAAGACAATGCCAAAAGAATGGCCTTGAAGCTCAAGACGATTTTATCACCAATTCAAACAGTTAAAACAGGTTTTCGAATCAATACATCTTGATGCAGATTCTTTTTGAAGGTGTCAGGTACCACAAAGTTTTAAAAGAATTTTGTGCACAAAAAAGGACTACATATCATCGTTGGCTCCAGGTTCGAATCTGGCGTATTCCAAAGTCGATCCAAAAAGGTAAACATGTACATTGTCAAGTGCAAAGTTCAGACCGTCCGTGAATAAGGGAAAATCGAAGACATGGCAAAGAAAACAGAAACATGCGAACCTGATTGAGAAATACCATCTGACTCACCTATATTTGGAGTATCTCAGAAAATGCCACATGTGAATACATACGCATAACAATAGACCAGGGTTAGCAGCAATCTAGTGAACGATAAATTTTAAGCAAAATTTGACTAGCTGCCAACATGATAACAGTCCACTTAGAAATTTTCCATAAAAGTTCTTATCTGCATAAATTGCTAATACTGACAGAATTGTTTGGAAGACAACAGAAAACATGAGACTCCTGAATCCTTAGACAACAGTTGCAACCATAACCTGGGAATTAAACACTAGCAAAGAGCAAGAATAAACAGTGGCTCCACCTCTTGTAGTGAGGGGAAGATTAACAAAGAAACTTTAGCATATCAGAGAAAAATGGGAAGATAGACAACTATCAGCTTTGATGTAACAATACCAGTTTTTTAAATAGTTCACAAATAAGTGGGGTCCACTGCCAGAAGGTACTATGTCATCGACAATACCATGAAATAAATCACTGAAAGAAACAACCACCGCCTTGGAGGAAGCCTACAAAAAAGATGTGAATGAGAAAAACTGATCATTTGAAATTCAACAAGGAAACAAAAAGAAAACAAATTAAAGGAACATACACAGAATTCTCTGAAAGAAATTTAATGCCTGCAATGGCATTAGAATTGCGCCACACTCCAATAGAACTGTTTTATAGACTTTTTTTCTCGAGACCACTCCAGAAAAAATAGATATAAATTTAACGAGTATACCTTTTACAGTTCCCTACATAAAATATCACACTAATAATACTTTTTAAGTTCCTTACATACACAGAACCTTGCTCTGACTGACTATTGCAGATGAACTTAGCCATGGGTCAGATAATTTGAGAAATTTCCTTCTGTCATTTCAACTTTAATTGTCATCCTCTCCCAAAGTCCAAAGACTATCTATCCTTTTATGTCACGATTTATAAATGGCAACACTTTCCTTATGTTTGGATATCAGGGTTTATTGTGGAACATAAGCAAATGCAGACATAGAAATTTACATAATCCTTTGCATTAAAGGCATAAATATACACAAAATGCTGCCTCTCTGTCCAACATTTAAAATATTTGAACTACTTCAGGAACTAATATCTAGTTAAAATGAGTGCACAACGACAGACTGTGCACATGAACATGTTTTTGAATTAGCATTTGTTCCTTGTTGAAAGGTAAAGTTTCCCATCATCTCAAACGTAGGAAAAATAAAATGGTTTGATGACGTTGCCGTGATATTTTTTTAATTGAGCTACATAGTTGAATTTGAATGTTATTTTGGACATTTATTGCTGTCCTTTGTTCCACAGCAGTACAATGAGGCATCTTAGGATTTTGATAGAAGGCTGATACAGTACCCCTAAAGATATATGTTTGCTGTAAGATAACAGTCTAGAAGCTTCTATAATAAACACTGGGATAAGAAAGGGATGAACAATATAAATACCCTCCCCTGTGAGTAAGAGGGGGTAATGTGGTAGAAGTGACACAAGAGGAAGGGAAAGTGGGGTATACTCTCGAACTGATTCCTATCTATTCATTGTTTTCTCTGTTTTTCTTGAATACGTTGTTCGTTTTCCCTTCTTTGTCTGAGAGGAGAGGATCGTATCAACCAGTATTAGAGCAAGGTTTTGAAATCATGGGACCAAGAATTGCAGAAAACCGTCTGGAGGCATTAGAGACCAATGCAGAACAAATCAAAGAAGAACAATGATGTACGATGGATCTGCTACAAAAATTCCTTCAATGGATGGATGAGAAATTTGAAGAATTCAAGAACCTCTGTCAGTGAAAAGCTGTTAGCATTAGAAAAGAAGGATCCAACGACAAGTATGACATCTCAATCAGTCATTAATTCTCGATAAAATGAGCAACAAGAGAGAACCAATCCACAACCAGAGTTACCAACCTTCTTGCCAACTCTAAATTAAATTCCAGATGGAAGCCTACAAGGAAAGGAGATCTTGAAATATTCAAAGGAGACAATCCTGAAGGATGGCTCCAATGTGCAGAGTGATATTTTTGAATCAACAAAATTCAATAAGAAGAATGAATGGAGGTTAACCAGCTTACACATGGATGATATTGCATTAGAATGGTACATTTAGACGGAAGATCAATATCTATTCAAGAATTGACAAGATTTTCACATCCAACTTGAGAGGTGTTTTAAAACTTCTAAAATAGGAAATATGTATTAACGATTTCTTGATATTAACCAAGAAAGATCTGTATCTGATTATAGACAAGAATTTGAACGCTTCTCTACCTTTCTTTCTAAGATTTCAGAGGAAGTCATGGAACATACATATCTGAAAGATCTGAAGGTAGAAATTCAATCTGAGTTTTCTAGAACGAAACCAGTGAGATTATTAGAAATTATGGAGGCTGAAGAGTACTTGCACACTGTGAAGTGTGACATATCATGTAGGGCACACCAAGAACAATAAGATTTCCCTCACGAGGAAATCATGTACGAAGCAATGAGAGAAGGCCTGATTATCCTAACAATTCAACAATTCAATATGAAACAAAAAAAAAATAGGGGTGGACAGCAATCCCTTGTAGGGCAGACAGAGCTGACATATTCAATTAAAAGATGTTGAAGTTCATGAATGCAAGATCAATGATTTATGCTTCCATTGTGATGACAAATATGAATTTAGTCATCGTTGTAAGAAGCTTTTCCACATTTAATTATTCAATCTGATGATAAACTGACTCAATAAAAACTAGAAGCTGATTGGGCTGATATGGAGGACTCGTGTAATGAGGAAGGAACATTGTTTACTGCCCATGTATCATTGAATTCCGTGGTTGGACTTACACAACCAAGATCAATGAAGCCAAAAGGGACCCTACATGGTCATGATGTTACTATTACGACAGGCTGTGGGGCCACACATAATTTCATACGTGTGAGTCTAATAAAAGAAAGATTAATTCTAAACGAATTCATGAGTTATGACATTATTATGGAAATAGACATTTAGTTAAAGGGTAGGAAAATTGTAAAGATGTTACCTTACAATTACAAGGACTGACAATTACATAAGATTTCTTACCTTTGCAGCTAGGTAGCACATACCTCATATTGGGTATGCAGTGGTTGGGAACAATCGGATGGATGCATGTTCATTGGCAGCTATTAATCATGAAATTTGTGGCAGATAGGAAGGTAAAAACCTTGAAAAGAGACATAAGTCTGTTAAAAACTACTTTTTCCTTGAATACTATGGAAAAATTAACCAAGAAGAATAAATCATTATTGCTGAAACTACATCAAGTTCCAACGGCTTCTCAAGAACATATAAAAACAGTCTTCACCACCAAATTGGAAGGTATGCTTCGAAGCCAATTTTCTCAGGTATTTTCTCCACTAACTGAATTACCTCCTACAAGAGAGAAAGATCCTTTGATCCATGCCTACCCCAAAACTAAACCTGTCAATTTCAGACCCTATAGATATTCACGTTATTAGAGGGATGAAATTGAGAAGATCATTTACGAACTTGGTGACACAAGTATAATTCAACCATCATAAAATCCTTACACTAGTCTAACAATTTTAGTAAAAAAAAAAGATAGGGGATGACGATTTTGTGTGAATTATTATGCCTTAAACAAAATGATTATGCCCACCTGTTATCCTATACTTATGGTAGATGAGTTATTGGATGAGCTATATGATATAATAGTATTTTCAAAATTGGATTTAAAATCTAGATATTACCAAATTAGAATGATGAAAGATGGCATTCCTAAAATAATATTTTAAACCCATGAGGACCATTACGAATTTGTGGTAATGTCATCTGGTTTAATGAATGCTGATGCTACTTTCTAGTCATTAATGAACCAAAATTTTCGACCTTATATTCGTTGATTTGTTCTTGTATTTTTTGATGATATTTTAGTCTATAATAGAGACCAAGATTAACATGAGCAACTCTTCTTACAAGTATTCTAAGTACTATTTGAAAACCACTTACATGTGAACACAAAGAAGTGTAAAATCGGTCAACATAAATTGAAATATCTTAGGGCACTAGATTTTGACGAAGGGGTGACAATGGATCAATGAAAAATTTCGCCTATGATAAGTTGGCCAATTCCAAAGAATGGACAATGGATCATTCCTAGGACTTACTAATTACTATTCCCGTTTTGTGGCAGTATATGATTTAATTGTAGCACCCATGATTAAACTGTCAAAGAAAGAATCATTTTGTTGGAATCAAGACGTCCAAAGTGCTTTTGATCAACTTTGCAAGGCAATGTCTACAGCTCCAGTATTATCCTTACACGATTTTTTTAAAACATTCATCATTGAAATAGATGCTTCGAATTATGACATTAAAGCTGTATTAATGTAAGGTCGACATATAGCTTATTTCAGTTAAAATTTATCAAAAAAGTTACAAACTAAATCAACCTATGAACGAGAATTGTTCGCCACAGTAAGGGCTGTCCAAAAGTGACACCATTACCTGTTACATCAAAGGTTTATAATATGCACAGATCAGAAGCCTTTCAAGTTTTTATTTGAACAGAAGCTCGTGCTGGATCTTTATCACATGTGGTTGATCAAATTAATGGGTCTAGATTTCGAAATTAGATTTAAAATAGGAAAATATAATAAAGTGGCAGATACTTTATCTCGCTTACCTACTGCAACATAACTACAAAAAATGTATGTCACATTTTCAATTGATAGATCTTACTAAGATCAAAGATGAAATATCTCAAGATTCAAGGTTATTCTCAATTGTTTCTGATCTCTCTAAAAATTCTCAAGCACATCCTAACTTCTCATTATAGCATGAAATATTACTGCATAAACAACAACTGGTAACCTCAGCTCAATTTATTTTTATTTCAATTCTTGTAAGAGAGTTTCATGGTAGCCCATGTGGTGGACATGCTGGATTTCTTCAAACTTATCAAACAGCATCAGAAAATCTTTTCTGGTCAGACATGAAAAAGTCCATTAAGAGATATATTGATGAGTGTGCAACATGTCAAAAATAAAAGATATATTCACTTGTTCCTGTAGGTTTGCTACAATCATTACTAATGCCTGCACACATTTGGGAGGACTTAAGTATAGATTTCTTGGAAGGATTGCCTCAATCTAAGAGGTTCAATTCCATACTGGTTGTCATGGACATATTGACCGAATATAGTCACTTTATTCCACTAAAACATCTGCTTTCAGCTCTTGAGATCGCACTCATCTTTTCCAAGTGGCACGACTTCATGGGATTCCAAGATCAAATACGTCAGGTCGTGACAATATTTTTACCAGCAATTTTTGGAAGGAACTATTCAAATTGCAGGGTGTCGAATTAAAGATGAATACCGCATACCACCCTCAAACCGATGGGGCAATCAGAGTTATCAATAGGTACTTAGGAACTTGCTTAAGATGTTTTGCATCCGATAAACCCAATTTATGGAGTGAATGATTCCATTGGGCTGAGTATTGCTACAACACTACTTACCATTCGTCTCTCAAAACAACCCCATTCAATGTGGTTTATGGACGAGATCCTCCCACCATCATCAAATATGCATTCCGCCCTCACCCCTTTCTACAATAGATCAGTAACTACATGACAGAGATCAGATGCTCACTATCATCAAAGACCAATTGAAGCGTGCCCAAACTATTATGAAACAGAAGGCTGATAGAGGGAGATGAGATGTTCAATTTATGGAAGGGGACTTTGTCTACCTTCATTTCCGCCCATTCAAGATGAAATCCCTAGCCTATCGATTGGACCTTTCAGTCCACTCTTCTATTCACCCTGTGTTTCATGTATTATAACTACATAGGATGGTAGGACTTCAGGATTGTGTACAACCCCTTCCTCCAAATTTAACATAGGAGCTTGAATGGAGACTTGTACTAGAGTCACATCAAGAGATTTGGCCTACAACAACAAGACTCGAGGTCCTCATCAAATGGGTAGGTCTTTCAGAATTTGAAGCAACATGAAAAGCAGCTTCAGAGATAATACATAGATTTCTTAACTTCCACCTCAAGGACAAGGTGGATTTGAATGGGGGGAGTACTGATATGGTACCCCTAATAACATGTTCGTCGTAAAAGAGTAGTCTAGAAGCTTCTATAATAAATAATAGGATAGGAAAGGACTGAATAATATAAATACCCTCCCCAATGAATAAAAGGGGGTATCATGGTAGAAGTGGCACAAGAGGAAGGAGAGTGGGGAATTCTCTCGAACTAATTCTCATATGATCATTGTTTTCTTTGTTTTTCTTGAATACATTGTTCATTTTCCCTTCTTTGCCCAAGAGGAGAGGAGGGGATTGTATCAAAGGCCACCTTTGTAAATTTCATGAGGTTCAAATGGTTCCTTGAATTTTTCAATTTTTTAGTATTAGTAATTCATCAATTCTGGATATTTACAATTTAATGATTTTTTTGGTTATACATGTTGAAAATTTCTTATGGATACTAGGCCTTTATACATTTAATTTAAAATTTGGGAATTTTATTGCTATGCAAAACTCGACCATATGTGGCCATGGTACTTTGGCCAAGAAATTTCAATTCCAAATACATGTTTCACATTCCTTTAAGGGGTTCTTGGGCCAAAAGGATTAAAGATGCTCTCTAACTTGGGTCACAAATGATGATATCCTGAGATTTTTTTATTTCCCCACCTTTGATTCGCCAAAAGTCATTTGTATACTGAATCTGGAATTTTGAATATTGTTTCCTACAGTATGCTTTTCTTATTATGATAATGGCATTCTGCGAAGTTACAAACATGTCTAAGTATGATGAGATGGAGCAAACATCTGAGGAACAGAAACATCAAAAGTAAAATAATCAAAATTGCCTAATGTGCATTCCAACGCATTATTTTCCTATTGCTTGGCTAAGATGTTTCCTACCATATTCAATAAACGAACAAATGATGACACTCAACATATAAAATCACCCATAAAAGCAATATAATTGGCTAACTCAGCCCCTTTCAATAATAGAACGGCAGGTGACATATTGCCAAGCATAAAAAATAAAAGAGAAACATGAAAGCCTCTCTACAAGTAGCACTATGACTAACCTCACCAAATCCAGGATCTGTAGTAGTAACCACTTGGACGGTGTAATCAATCTCTTCATCATCTTCATTAACTTGAAAACACCCTATAACAATACTATCACACCGCACCCACTTAATGGAATCCACTGTCATGTTTTACAAGAAAAAACAGCAGCTTCTTAGTCATCTTGTAACTTTAAAGACTGACAACATGTGTTTAAGAGAAGCAATTCCTATAGATCTACCAATTAACAACTAGAACAATATGGAACTAAAATAAAAATAGTCAAAGAGGAAACACCCAGAACTTGGGTGGATACAGAGAATGAGGAACCATAGAGATTTTGTTTTGACTCATTTTTAAAAGGTAATGGAGAGGACTGATCCAAACTACTCCATCATGAGCAAATTTGAGCTGGCTCAATTGACCTACTACCATATCAAAATCTATAAATAGATCCACAGGAGTCTCTAGGACTGCCACTGAGAGATGGTGCTATCATAGACAAATGTAGGATGAAAGCGCGAGGAATGGAGTGAAAGAGGCCCTCTCTGTGGGAAAGGGAGGTAATATCCTAAGTTATTTTTATTGACTGCAGCAAACCACCTCCACATGAAGTAAGGGAGAGTAGAGACAGGCTAAACTCGATTCTTACACGAGGCCCTGTATTCTAGGTTTCTTTCAGATTAGGAATTTGATTGAACCTGACAGCAGATGATACGACACCAATCCGCAAGTATTTTCGAAGGAGAAAGAGACTGGCCCAAACGCCTCAACCCATAGGCCAAATGGGTCAGCACAGTGCCCAAAAGGGCCAACCTTGGGCTCAGCTTGACACAGGAAAAAGAGTTGACAGTCGGAGAGGGTTCTAGGGTCCAGGCAAGGATGGGAAAAGGGAGAGTTTCTTTTGAGTCTGTGGGAGAGATGAAGTCCTCTCCAAAGTCCTTTGAACTATCGTAGGCTCCTGCAGGTTTCCAGTCCAATTTCTTGTCTCTTTGCTTGCTGTTCTGTCATAAACTCTCCTCTTGTTCTCAATACCGTGGAAGTATGGGGTTCGTATCAGCAGACCTCTTCACAACCTTTCCAGAAGTATGTCTTTTCTAGTTCGCAGGCATTAGTGTGTCTATTGCCGAACTAGGAAACAGGGAATCTATCATGTTGTGGTCAATCACTAGCATTTTTTACTGCTCTAAGAAATTGTATAAAGAGTTGTAATCTGTCTATGGATAAAGACGAGAAAGTATAAGATTAAGAATCAAGGGATTAATAACTATTCAGTCTCCTAAACTTTCACCAAAGAAGATTTGGAAGTTCCATTTCTTTTGCAGACCTTTCTTTACTGGGAAAAGATCGTGGAGGATAAAGATATAGCTATTTTGGAGATGGGAAACTAGTGGCTAACTAATAGGTGAAAGTAAATTGGAAGCATCTAAAAATCGAGTCATTAGAGAAATAGCAAAATTACACAGAAATGACGCATTATAAAATTAAAAAATACACCAAGTTAAAATAATAAAAAACCTTTTACAGTGACCTTCAAATCAGTGTTGTCCGTCCAAGGGTGAAACAAGAGAGACATGCTAAGCTTCTCCTTGTATTCGGATGATAAAATGCTCAAAACATTTTTTCTTGCTACAGCAAGAAGATTGCCATCCACACTCCAATCAACTGCATGAGAGTGGAGCATAAATGAATGAGATAGTACCATGCTTTTCAAGAAAAATGTAGGCCTTCTGATGTTCACTAATAACTCTCACTAGCATTCTCTTCATGGTCATTGCAAGCTCAATTAAACAGCACAAAACAATCCACCCTTTTGCAACATGTGCGGTCATTAAACCTTTTTCATTGATAAAAATAACTAGAATAAACACATTAACACTCATGGAAAATATTTCCGGTGTAATTAAAATTTGACAGCAAAACCAAAAACTTTAGAGGTCATATCACGATCACATCATGAGGTCATTTAAACAGTTCCTTTAAGCCTCTTTCAAAATAAAAGTATTGATGCCTAAAAGAGGCATTTGAGATGATGCAATAATGTGAAATATCTAAGATGTCATCCATCTTCTATTTAGGGAACAACGAGGTGTATATTCTGACCCCTCCCCCAATATCCACACAATGATAAACCCTGGTTAAACCTCAAAATTAGGCAAAACCGGTAAAAAATCTTAACAAAAAATTAAAACTCGCCAAGCATATGCTATAAGGTCATTGAAAATGTATAAAGTAAATAACACTTCAATTTCCTAAATTCTAAGTGTCCACTACTTTGTAGCCCCTCCTTTGATGTATAGTTAGCAAAAGGTCTAGACCAGTATGTTTTAGAATCAATCATCATTGACTCAGTGTCTCAATTACCAGAGGGCTCTGCTTCATTCTGTTTCACTACAGCTGCTCAAAACACTTGAAGGGCATCGAAAGGTGATAAATGGGGACTGAGCTAGAACCTACCGTTTCTATTTTCATTTTACCTAGCCTACTGATTACTTTTATCAGAAGAAAAAATATACAATAGAGATAACTACAGAAACCATTGAACCTAGAGAAACAACTTTATAACTTGACTTGGAATGAGCTAAATAAAACATAAAATATTATGCGAGATATATGTACATCAGATCCCATGTCATGTCCCCAAAAATGATGACTCTGAGCAGAGAAAAGAATAAACCTCCTTCCACAAATGCAACTTTAAAAAACAAAATATTTACCCAAGCTCTTTAATAATCTCCCATGAGGAAAAACAGACCCTGATACCATGTATGCTAACCTTTCTACCTTCAAAACCAACAGCATCCTACCATCCATCCAACCAAGAACAACTACGTATGTACTGTATAGACAAAATAAACAGAATCCGATTCCTCAGATAATGCAAATGGGCCCTCAGGTATCCAGCTCCAGCCTCTACATCAGCCACGATCATCTTCTCCTCTGTACATAAAGCAACCTCAGATGATAACTCAACTCCACTTTGTGAGAAAACCACCATTGCATAACAATATACACCAGAAAAGGGTACACTCCTATGCCAATTTATTCAGCTTCCATTGACCGTTGGCTCCACCTGCCATCATCGTTGGTTACATTTGACAAGAACCGTACTGACTTTTTATACCACACATCTCAACCATCAAATCTCCCTACTCATAAACACCACCTGCACTACGTCCTTAAACTCCAAGTGCATAGCAACCGCAAATGGCTGCACAGCACACAGCCCATTCATTCAGTTGCTTGGCCTCCCTGCATGCATATAATAACTTTTTTTATCACGTAAGCCATTTCACAGTCACTCTCCAACAACGGTCTATACTCAACCTGTCCCCTCATTTATATATTGTTACCCCCCGACCATTTGACTTTGGTTCTGGGAGCTATCCCATTCTGACCACGTATTTACTTTTCATCATCAAACTTGATCTCTTATCCTCTCTGTCACCAGCAAACTTCATACGCTCATCAGAACCAAGCATTCGCACATATGTAAAGGCCATCCATCTATTGATATTCTGAAATATTACAGGGATATTCACAACCCAACGAACTTTTTTTCTTCATCTGAGAATGCATACAAACTTTTTCATATCCATCTCACTTCACTTCGAAAATATTCACTGCTTGGTTATAGAGAAGATGAGATGCATAACACATAATGAGATGTAGTGTGATTTAGTCTATAAATTATTCCAAGTCTACTTATGTAACAAATGAAAAGAAGTGACAAGAAAAAAAAATGTCAGCTCCAAGGTTTCTCTAGACCCACAAACTATTTACTCCAAACCCAGGGCGAAATGAAAAAAAATATATGCCCATATCCTTCCCACATTAAGGGGTCATCTATAAAGTGGCAAAGCTTACCTATCTTCCTGCACCAGCTTCTTTTTTGACAAATTTTCTTCGTACATTTCTTTTTCTACCAAGAAAAACTTGAGATCGCTTTTCAAAGCTTTTTTTCATGTTTACTTGTCAATTACTTTTTTTTACTCATGAACTGTTTTGTTAAATGTATATTTTTTTTCCGCCTTAAAATTCTCCCGAGTTAATGATGCACATTTTTTTTCTACCTCTTCTGTTTTCACAGCTATACAGAAATCGGAAAAAACTCTCGTGTTATAAAATGATATAATCTGACAAAAGAAAATAAATGCACAAAGAGGGACAATTAATTTCTAACAAACGGGTGACATACTAATATGTTGTAGATGTGAGCATCAAGCAAATAACAGTTAAAGACTAAAAAAAAGGATATTCAAACAAACCAGCCTCTACACCGTCCATAATGTTCTTCAGATTATCCTTCATGTTTCCATGGTATAAAAGGCCACAACTTGAGAGCATGATAAAAGATGTTTCCCTGTTTTTTCGCCATAAGAAGTCCTTTATATTGCTGGATTCACCTACTGAACAGACAAAACAAGTCTCTTGCTTCTTCGAATACGAAAACAAGAGCAAGAAACAATAGAAACGATTAACGGGTTTCGTTAAGGACAAGCAACTAGAAGATCTGTGGGCTGAGCAATGCACGCAGGATACTTACCTTTTGCAGGAGTGAAGAAACTGAGAAAAAGTGAACTACTCGGCCAACGGTGGCGGCGAGAATCGACGAGTCCGTTGAGACTGCCAAAATGTGAACAGCACCAATCTGTGCATCCAATATGCTTTTTTCCTGAACGCACAGATTTTCGGCGTCCTCTTTGTTTCTGTTCTCCTCTTCGATTTCTTTGATGCGCTTCGCTATTTCGATGACGTCAACAGTCTTCACCACGATAAACCCTGCGAACTCGAGTGTAAAATCTAACGATCAACCCTGCTTTGCAAACCCTATAACCAAACGCAAGAAGAACAATTACCTCCATCGCTGACTAGAAACAAAACACCAAACTTTTCAGAGACAGCCAATGGACGTCCTGGGGGTTTCGACAAATCGAAACTTGAATCTCCGCGCTTCAGAGGAACGGATGAGCCTATCCTGAAGAATGCAAAATCCGAGGTCCCCTCGCGATCACCCTCAATCTCCTCCTCCAATCTGATACAATTGTGCGACATTTCCACCGTACTGAGGTGAAGTGCCCGGACGATGGCGGCGGCTACAGCAGCCGCGACGGCGCTGGCCTCCTATCTGCTCCGGCGAAGAGGAGCGAAGTAGCCTGGGGAAGCGAAGAACTTGGGCGGGAAGGACCTTCATTTACGAGTGGTCATACCTGCCCTTATGCACCGCGAGGGGAAGAGGCGGTTCGGACCATCACACCTCTCAACACCTGAAAACGCCGTTTGGATTGTAGGAAAAACAAGAGTTTCTATTTCCCGCAGGCATAAATTTCCTAAAAAGTTTCTCCTCCTCCCCGTCGAGGCCCATATGGGTCGGCCCACTATGCTCCTATCGGATCAATAATCCTAACAGATTTTTTTAAGAAAGGAAATTAATTTACAAAATAATTTCAAACGCGAGGATGTAGTTTATTGAATTGAATTATAGACAAACAAATTATTATTATCTTTAAATATTTCTAAACAAAATTATTCGTTTCCAAAATTTTACCTGTTCTTGAGCTCAGCCGATGATCGAGGGAAAGAGGTCAAGAAATCCACCATCTACGCGTCCGATGATAGCGTAGCAAGAGATTCTACGCTCGGATGTCGATCCAGGGGGAGCAGTTCAAGGTTTTTATAGAATTCGCTGTGGTCGTGGCACCTCCGGCTGGCTCTCTCTCGTCATGCCGGCCGAATTCCGTAACCTGGTGGTGCTGATCAACGCGGGAGATCTTCCTTCTTCGATCACCAGGGCTCTTTCAGGCGCGGACTCTCTCGAAGGCCTCCGCCGCGTCCACGGCCTGGTGACGACTTCCGGCCTCTCCGGATTCCCGTTCTTCTGCGGGAAGCTCATCAGCGGGTACGCCGTTTCCGGGAATGTGGTCGCCTCTCGCCGGATATTCGCCAGCTCCCCTCACTCGGAGAACAATGTCTTTCTCTGGAATTCGATCATCCGAGCCCACGTTCAGAATGGAATGTTCGCGGAAGCTCTGGATTTCTACTGGCGGCTGCGGAAGACGAGGCTGCTCGCCGATGCCAGGACCTTCCCGCACGTCCTCAACGCGTGCGCTGGTCTGCGAGATGTCGAGGCGGGCCGCATGGTTCACCGCCACATCCTGGATATGGGCTTCACTTCCGATCTCTATATTGGGAATTCTCTGATAAACATGTACGCTCGGCTGGGCTACTTGGAGAAGGCACAGGAGTCGTTCGACAGAATGCCCGACAGAGATTTGGTCTCGTGGAATACTCTAATTTCGGGTTATAGCGCCAACGACGAATGGGAGAGAAGCGCGGAGATCTACGAAGAACTGAGAGTCTCTGGTCTGACTCCAGATTGCTTCACCGTGGAGAGTATATTGCCTGCTTACGGATCCCTGGGGGCCGTCGAAGAGGGCCAGATGGTTCATGGCCTCGTGAATAAGGTCGGAATCGAAAAGGATAGATTAGTGAACAACGGTTTGATCGCCATGTACTGCAAATTTCAGGATGTAGAAAACGCTCGAAGAGTTTTCGATACGATGGTAGATAGAGGCGTCGTCTCATGGAACACCCTGATCGACGGGCTCTTCCAATCAGGGGCATTAGCCGAAGCTTTTGAGATGTTTCAGGAGATGCTGAGGACGCTCAGGCCTGATATCGTCACAGTCACCATCGCTCTCCGAGCTTCGTGCCAAATGAAGGACACCAGACGAGGGAGATCCATCCACGGGTACCTGGTGAGAAATGGGCATGAATGCGATGCCATCGTGGATAACATGCTCATTCATCTTTATTCTAACTGTGGAAACCTGAAAGCTTGCCGCAGGGTCTTTGATCAGTTGGCGAACCAGGGTCCCGGCTCTTGGAACACCTTGCTCATCGCTAACTTCCGGAGAGGATGCTTTGGAGAAGGAATCCGGCTGTTTGGGTTGATGAGGAGGTCACTCATTGAACCGGACTCCGTCACGGTTGTAACCCTAATATCCGCCTGCACCCAGCTGGCTGATCGAGCTCAGGGGAGACTCCTCCATGGCTACGCGATTAAGACGGGATTTGTCAGAAACAATTTTGTGGGTAATGCTCTCATCGACATGTACTCCAAATGCGGTGGCTTAGAGGATGCTTTGAGAGAGTTTGAAGAAATGGATAAGCGGGACGTAGTAAGCTGGAACTCAGCCATATCTGGCTGTTTCGTCGGAGGCAATTTCAGCCAAGGTTTAGAGATTTTCCGCAGAATGAACGCCGAGGGCGTCCCTCCGGATACCACCACCATGCTAACAGTCTTGCCCGCTTGCTCCTTCTTGGCCGCAAAGAGACTCGGGAAGAGCGTTCACAGTTCCATCTTGAGGACTACCACGGAGCTCGACCTTCCGGTGGGGAATGCACTGATAGAAATGTACTCCAAATGTGGCAGCTTGGGTCACTCGGTCAGAGTCTTCGACAGCATGAGAACTAAGGATGTGGTCACATGGACAGCCCTGGTTTCCGCCTACGGCATGCATGGCCTCGGCAAGCAGGCCCTGAAAGCTTTCATGGATATGGAAGTGGCAGGAATCCCACCGGATCACGTCACCTTCGTGGCTGTTATATACGCATGCAGCCACTCTGGCCTTGTTGAAGAAGGGTTTTCTCTCTTCAACAGGATGGAAAAGGATTACAAGACCACCCCCAAGATCGAGCACTACGCATGCGCCGTAGATCTTCTATCTCGATCTGGGAAGCTGCCGGAAGCCGAGAGCTTCATTCTTGGCATGCCTCTAGAGCCGGATGTGGGTATCTGGGGTGCTTTGCTCAGTTCATGCAGAAATAATAATGAAACCAAGATCGCCGAGCGTGCTGCTAAAAGGATTATGGGATTAAGATCCGATAACACGGGTTACTATGTCCTAGTTTCTAATCTGTATGCATCTGCTGGTAAATGGAATCTGGTGGGGGACATAAGGGGCTCTATCAAGTCGAGAGGTCTGAGGAAGGACCCAGGTTACAGCTGGATAGAAGTCGGGAGGAGGATGCGTCTTTGGCGCTGGTGACTCGGTCGAAGGGTCCAGGGAGGCCTATCAATTTCTGGAGAAGCTCACCGTTCTAATGGAGGGGGAAGGGTATGTTCCTGTCAGGAAGCTTGTTCTTCACGATGCGGAAGAGGACGAGAAGAGGCAGGCGTTATGCGGGCACAGTGAGAGACTCGCGATAGCATTCGGGTTGTTAAATACGAAGACGGGGACATCTCTGCAGGTCATGAAGAACCTCCGGGTTTGCGGAGATTGCCACACGGCGATCAAGTATATCTCGAAGATTACGCAGAGGGAGCTTCTGGTCAGGGACGCCAATCGTTTCCACCTGTTCAAGGATGGGGCCTGCAGTTGCGGTGATCGGTGGTGAAGATTGGAGACGATGAGTTGCTGTGAAAAGTTCGTGTTCTGATAATTTGATTGATTATGCAGTAAAAAATGTTGTGCGCAAAAGGATGGCAAGCTTTTTTGAGAACCGGCAAAGGACTGAATTCTGATGTCGGATGGAAGAGTTTACTTATTCGTAATGGCTCATTATTGCTTCCTCGAACAAAGTTTTGTGGCGGAATATGACAAAGATTACACAGAGTAGCACCCATAGAGAGGATAGTTCTCGGAGATACATGTAGAGGGGCCATCCTGCGTCAGGCTTTCCCCGTTTATTCTCAGGACATGTTGGAGCAGAAGTTGCGGATGATCCAGGAGAGCCGTGAACCCTAATTAGGAGGCTTCAAGGTCGCAAAGAAGGCGACGAGTTTCTCTCTGGGAGGCCGAGTTTCCTTGACCACATCGCAGCTCGAGAAATCTCTGACCCATCTGCACAGTCTGGGGTAGTTCTCCTCTTCCAGCAAGCGTATCCTGGCCATCTCCTGCAGAACTTCCATCCAGGGAGTGAGGAACGAGACGACGATGTCCACGAAGCCGATGGTGTCACCCCCGAAGAATTTCTTCCCTTCTAGAGCAGTCTCCAGGGTTCTCAGGCGTTCCCCTGCCTCCGATATGCACTTCTGCTGCTCCTCGCCCCGGGTCCAGCAAGCCCGCCACAGAATCTCCAAGCACTGTCGGCAACAGCGAGCAGGTGGCGTCAACCGATGAGGAGAGTGAGGAAGCTAGCACCGGATTGGTTCACATTACCTTGTCGTCTACGTATGTTGCCCAGAAGCGCGCGTTGGCTCTTTCGTAGGGGTCTACGGGCAAGATCGGGTTCTGCTTCCAGGTCTCGTCGATGTACTCGAGGATGACGAGGGATTCTGCGATGGGCTTGCCGGCGTGCAGAAGGACGGGGATCTTCTTGTGGACGGGGTTGTACAAGAGGAGCTCTGAGCTCTTGTTTTTGAGGTCTTCTTCCGCGCGTCGGAAATTGACCCCCTTGAGGGCCAGCGCGAGCTCCACCCTGTAACTGAAGGGACTGTCCCACACCCGGAACACCACCACCTCGTCGGCCATCGCGCCGCCGCCTCCGCCGACTCCTTCGAGATAGAGCCGTCGGTCAGCAGAAGTGGAACCGGCGGTATGAGCGAGGTCGTTTCTTGCAGGGGGTTTGAGGCTTCTTCAAGATCCTTCTTCCAAGGCCCTGCTTGACTTTTGGCGGCCAGTGGAAGAAACGAGGGATCCACCCTGAGACCGAAGGCGCTCTCCATCTCTTCAATCTCTCGTCCATTCGGAGATGTCGGTCAAACTGGCTGACATGGACCGTCGATTAGTCCACATTAAATGCTGGCATTTAATGCGGATATGAAAAATGATGCGAGGGCGGTGATAAGATCGGCACGATTTACCGGGGTGATAAGTATTGTTTACGTTTGAAGTCTATATAAGACATCTTGCTTTAAAAAACTGGTATGAAAGTCAAATTATGACATCAATTTTTATGTTCATTATTGATAACAGTCAAGATTACATCATCAATTAAGTTCAAGGTAGAAGTGTTTGATAAGAAGACCGAAAAGTTTCAACATTTGGTCACTTAAGATGAAGTCGTTGTTGATATATCAAGAGTTAATTAAGGTATTAATGAGTAAAGAAAGTTTACTTACTAAGTGAAAGAACGATGATAAGAAATAGTATTTACGTGCTCTAGTCATAATTTATCTAAGCTTGGTGGATGATGTGTTAAGAGAAGTATCATATGAGGATATTTCAAAGAAGCTTTGGACTAAACTTGAAAAGAATTTTATGATGTGTGAAGAATATATTTCAAATATAAATTATATACTTTACATTTGAGAGAAAATGGTGTTATTGATTATGTGAGTAAGTTTACAAAAACCATTATAGATCTGAAGAACATTGATGTTACACTAAAAGATGAAGATGAAACTTTGTTAATCTTGTGTTCTTTACCTCTTTTATATGAGAATTTTGTAGAAACTTTTATGTTTGTCAAACATAATATTATAGTAAAAGATATTAAGGTTGCACTTAAAATAGTTGAAGAAAAGGATACAAAATACTCAAAAAGATGATTGGGCAGATGGCCTAATAATTCAAGGAAGAATGAAAAAACGCCATGGTCAAAGAGATAGATTAAAATCAAAATCTAAATCAACGAAAAAAAATATTGTTATGAGTGTAATTAGGAAAAACACATCAAAAAGAATTGTTTGAAGTTAAAGAGAAAAGAGAAGGAAGAGTCTTTTAATACAGTGAACATCGTTCAAGAAGAGATTGACCTTGGTAAAACTATTTTGTCAGTTTTTACTAGATCTTCTTATGATAACTATATTTTTGATACATGATGTACCTATTATGTGTCCTCACAAAGATTAGTTTTCTACTTACACATCAATAATTAGTAGTATTGTGGTATTGAATGATGACAACACTATTAATATTGTATGAATAAATACAGTATGAATCAAGATGTATGACACTGATATAATGACTTTAGAAATGAGACATATTCTAAAGTTGAAGAGGAACTTTATCTCTTTAAGTACTTTGAATAAGTAAGGGTACAAATATTCTTCAAAGAAATATTTTCTACGAGTTTCTAGAGGTACTTTAGTTCTAATGAAGACAAAGATGATTGAAACTCTTTATCATTTATCCAGACACACTATTACAGATAGTGTGAATATGGTTGACGATTCAAATATTTCTACTTGATTATGACACGAGTTGAGCCATATGAGTGAGTGAGGTATGACAAAGTTAAACAAGTATGTTTACTTGTAGGTCAAAAGATTGGTAAACTAGACTTCTGTGAGCACTGTGTATTTGACAAATAATGTAGTGTGAGATTTAATATTATAATATATTGAACCAAAGGTATAGTGGATTACATCTACTTTAATATTTGAGATCATACTCTAGTTATCTCAAAGGACAGTACAAGTTATTTGTTAACCTTTATTGATGACTTTTTCAAGAAAATATGAGTTTACTTTCTCAAAAGAAGAGTGAGGTGTTCATCACATTCAAGTAATGAAAAACATTGATTGAATGGTAGACTAAAAAGCAGATCTAGCACTTTCATATTGACAATGATTTGAACTTTTGCTTGAATGATTTTGATTAGTTCTACAACAATAAAAGTATTATTTAACATCACATTGTAGTAAGAAAACCACAACAAAATAGAGTTGCAAAATAGATAAACATAACACTCTTGGAGCATGCTAAAAGCATGTGATCTCAAATGAGTTTGTTAAAAGACTTTTGGGCAGAAGCTATTAATACAGGTTATTACTTAGTTAGCATATCTCTATCTACAATCATTAAGTTAAAAACTTCTTAAGAGATATGATATGGTTCTCTTACTAATTATTCTCACCTCAGAATTTTTGGTAGTCCTGTATATGTTCATGTCACAGGCGACAAGTTAGAGTCAAGGATGAAGTACATATTTATGGGCTATGCACAAACATAGGGTGTGGAGGGTTATCAATTATGGTGCATTGATCTTCTATCATCACAATTTATGACCAAGAGATATGTGACTTTTTATGAGTTTGTAATGTTTCCAAAGGGAGAGAAATCAATAACAAAGAAAGGAAATCAAGTTAGTAGCATACAAAGAGAGTTAGAGGTGAAGTTATCGAATGATACAATGCAAGAGGAGACAATTGAAATTTAAGAAGAGTCAGAGAATATAACGATAGAGAAAGTCCCTCAATGACAATCTAGTATTGCAAGAGATAGGTAATGAAGGATGATTAGACCATCTAACATGTTCTCTGATATGGTAACTTTTGCTTTATCTATTGTAGATGAAGTTGGAGGGACAAAACCACGTTCTTACAAATAAACTATGACTACTAATTACTCTTCAAAGTGATGGTTGGTCATACAAGAGGAGATAGAGTCTTTGGAGAAGAACAAGACATAGAAACTTATGAAGATACCACATGGTAAAAGATTACGAAGTGCAAGTGGGTCTTCAAGAAGAAGGAAGAAATCATGGTTGGAGAAGGTGTTATATTCAAAGCATGTTTGGTGGTGAAAGACTTCACACAATGAAAACGTATTGATTTCAACGATATTTTCTCTCATATGGTAAGATATACATCAATTCATGTCTTACTAGCTATTGTTGTTTCACTTGATTTAGAGTTGGAGCAAATAGATGTAAGGACAACATTCTTACATAGTGAGCTAGAGGAGAAAAATCTACATGCATCAACTAGAAGGTTTTGAGATTCATAATAAAGAAGACTATGTGTGCCTATTGAAGAAGTCATTATGTGGTTTGAAATAATTTCCGAGATAGTGGTACAAGAGGTCTGATACATTTATGTTGAGTCATAATTACTTACAAGTGATTATGATAGTTGTGTATCACATGAAACTTTCAGATAATTCACATATATATTTGTTATTATATGTTGATGACATATTAATTGTTGTAAAAAATATGTCAGATATTGACCACTTGAAGCCTCAATTGAATGGTGAATTCGACATAAAGAATCTCGGTGTAACGAAGAAGATATTAGGTATAAAGATATACAGAGATCATAACACTAGAAGTTTGTACTAGTCTCAAAAATAGTACATAGAGAAGGTTCTAGAGCGATTTAACATGACATGATGCAAAGTTGTAAGTACTCTATTGACAGCTCATTTTAGGTTGTCTACTAAAGATTCATCAAAGATAGAGAAGAAAATTGAGTTAATGAATAGGGTTCCATATACAAGTGTAGTGGGAAGCATTATGTATGCCGTGGTATGCACTCATCTAGATATTTCTCATGTTGTTAGTGTGGTCAATAAGTACATGAGAAATTTGAGGAAGATCTACTAAACTGTAAAGTAAATTCTTCATTATCTCAAAGGTGCTTTAGATGTGAGCTTAATATTTTAGAAAGGAAGTATTAATGATAGCTAATTAATTGACTGTGTGGATTCAAATTATTATCATAATTTAGATTAAGAAGAGATCTTTGACAAGATATATATTTACTCGTTTAGGTTGTGTTCTTAGTTGGAAAATTATTTTATAGTTTATAGTGACTTTGTCGACAATAAAAGTTGAATATATGGCAGTGGTAGAAGGAATGAAAGAAGCTTTATGGCTTTAGGGGTTGGTTGATGATTTTGGTCTTATATAGGAGACAACTTCGTGTACTGTGATAATTAGAGCACCATATATTTGATTAAGAATCAAATGTTCTAGGAGAGGGCCAAACATATTGATGTCAAGTATCATTTTATTCATAATGTTATCATGTAGAGAAAAGTTGATGTGAATAAGGTTCATACACTAAAGAATCTTGTGGATATATTTACGAAGACATTTCTCTCAAATAAGTTTGGGCATTGCCTAAACTTGATTAGTTTATAGAGCACATGAAGAGTGTCTTAATGGGGCAATGTCGACTATGATTGTGATAAATTATTGGGATCGAAAAGTCTAAGTCAAGAGGAGAATTGTCATTTAATGTGACTTGCCTTCTATCGAGGTTGTCATATTAAATGCTCGCATTTAATGTAGATAGGAGAAACAAAGTGCAAGGGAGAAATAGTCAGCCAAAAGACCAACTCTCATAGACTCAATGGTCCATTTATAAGTTGAGCAAGCTATGAAGTAGAACAATACAAGCGGAAGAAAAGAAAACTATTCAGCATGTTTCTGGAGATTCTTATTGGCACAATTACCAAGGTGACTGTAAGGTGCTTACTTATAGTTTCACCATAAAGAGAGTGTTTGGGAGAGAGTTTTTAAGGAAAATCTCTTGGGTTGATGAGTGCATTAGAGGGCCAAGATCAAAGATCCGTTTCTTAAGTTTTAGAAGGGTCAAGATCAGTGATTTATTCTCTGAGTTCTTGAGGAGTGATTCTCTTGTACTAATTTTCACATCTAGTAAAACTTTCATCGTCACCTGCGGACATAAGAGGCCAACCTTTGAACTGCATAAAATCTTTGTGTCAATACTTTTGTTATGAGTTATTTTTTCGTCTACCTTATTTCCCATCGTGAGCATTACTCTACTGAAGTCCATATAAAACGTCTTGTTCTAACATGAACTGGTCCCTAAATCAACGATGATGACGATGGAGCAGCACAACGGTGGGTCAAGGAAAACGAAAAGAACCGCCGATCTACCAAGCGAAGATGATGCAAAGATGACACCTTGCACGAGATTACAACTCTGATTGGAGAAAGAGCAAGGTTGTACCTCATCTTTTTATTATGGGAGAGTGGAGAGGAAAGAACCCGCTCTGGAATGATCACCATACTATGATAGGAGGAGATGAGAGAGAAAACTTCCCTTCCCATCATCAATGGCAGACGTGCTAGCATCTCTATCTGTCAACTTCGAATCGAGAGAATCTCCTGGAGCGGTGCAACTTGCGCCTGATGGCGGGGACCTTCCTGGCCACTGCCCGCCAGATCATCTGGACTGCGTCATTCTCCATCGAGGGGTACTGGTACTCGAAGAGGCCTTCCACCTGCTTCAGCCGCAGCCACATCCGTGTCCACTCCTCGCGGGTGATGTTCCTCATCAGCTTGATCAGGAAGCCCTTCTTCAGAGCATCGGAGGTGTTGATGAAGACGCAGAACTCGGAGTAGTCGAGGACGTCCTCATACGGCAGCTCGATTTCATCGCTGACGACGACAGGGATGCAGTGGCTGGCGATGGCGTCGAACAGGCGATTGGACGACGGGGTGTCCCCTGCGATGTTCAGACAGAACTTGGAGGAGCGCATGCCATCGCCCGCTCGGCGGATCCCGTCTCCACTCGCCGTCCCGAAGGAGAAATGGACGTCCTTCTCATCCTTCAGAAGATAAAAGAGCTCCTGCCGGATGAACCCGCCCTGTGGACAAAAACCCAGATGAGGCCATGAAAAGGGAAGCGGATCATTCATCCATTATACAGAGGGGGGGAACCGTAATTTTTCATGTTTTAAATGTGAAGAACATATGCGCTTGTAATGGATAGACGATGTGGATACCATAGTTTGTCATTGACCGTGAGCGAATCTAAGATTGCGAGCATTAAAACAGTCGGTTCAACATTGTCTTCTGGTACAGGGAAACGATGCATTAAAAAGCCATGTTCTTCTACATTCATTCTATCAGATGAGAGAGAGAGAGAGAGAGAGAGAGAGAGAGAGAGAGAGAGAACTGAACAGAAGAGGTGCACGAGTAAATATGACAATATAAATCGGGCACAGAAAATATAGATCACTGACGAGAATCGAGGAAAACATGGGCATTCTTCTCTGCATGCATAAAGTGAGAGAACTACAACGTTGACCAGGTTCTGAACGGAGAAGGCTATTGCTATGAAATATTTTAAAGACCTCCAGAGCAGTAAAAGGCTTCAGATGAAAGATATCTGATCTTACAAATCCCAAGTATACAGGTTAAAAAAATCTCAGAATTCTATTGTTTGACAAGAGCTCTCATCCTGTATAGAATCAACAGCATCCGATCCTCATATCAATTCATCGAAGTTTTTCTGTCTCAATAAAGTCAGCGTGCTGTTCATTACAAATGTGTGATTCTTCTGAACTTACGATATCATACAACCATTGGATCAATGAGAGAGGAATCAGAAGCAAGGAGGGTAATCTTATGATCCCAGCCAGCCTAAGGGTTACAATCAAGTCAAAATCCCTCACTATCCTGATGGAGATGCAAGGCTTGATCGCGAAAAATTAAAAAGAAAAAGATAGAGATGACTGGAGAATTATGGGCCCTTGGACAAAGTATTGCACCCTTCAGCTGTTCTCATGCTTCCAGAATCTTTCACAAGAAAAATTTCTACATTTTTTCAACAATAAAGAGAGGAAAAGAGAAAGCATGATACCATGAAGAACAGCTGATACGAGCCAGATTCAAGAGAAAGGGGGCACAATAATTAAAATTTAGATTATAATAACTGATGGGGTCCCTAAGAATTTCACTATTATTTGTCAAGGGGTAAATCTCATGAGAAAACTGGAATCTTGTTCTGCTTTCTAAACCATCTGAAATGATACAAGATGCAAAACTTGCAGAGATTAGCACAGGGCATGTCCACAGCGGCCGTTCACAGCAAGAACTCACATCTTTCCTGTAGATGGCTCCTTGGAAGTAGAGCAAAGTCGGCCGATCATCGAACCCGGAGGAATCATTTGCAAACGTCTTGACCACATGCTTGTAAGGAGCGACAACATCCTTATCCACGTTGGCTACGCTCGGAGGGTACCTTCCAAAATCCGCAAGAATGAACATGCAGGGAAACAGTTTCGATCTAGAATCCAGCATGCTGTTAGGATGATGGGCCACGATGATATGGTCTCGCCCCCCTGACCTCTTCCACTCCTTCTGAGCAGTCATGAATTCAACCAGCTTATCTTGCAGCAGCTTGTTCTTGCTCACCTTCTCAGGCGGCGAAACCTTGGAATGGCGATTGTAACTCAGGGAGGAGAAGAACGGCACGAACACCACATCAGCTTCGCGAGAGTCCTCGACCCGCACAGCGGCGCACGGTCCTCTTCGATCGGATGACGCTGATGACAAGAGATCCAATGTAAGCCAATACTCGATGCTGTGCTGGAGATTCAAGCCCCCGGGGTAGTCCGGGACGTGCTCGACGATATCAGGCCATACGCTGTTGCCCTCGGATCTCCAACCTAAGAGTCCAAAGTGAAACTCCGATGGCAAATCGTACAAGAAAACTTTGAGGACAGCTCTGCCAGGATCACATTTAGAGGAATCTCCGCCTTCCCTGTTTCTGGGGATGCCACCGCCAAAAGCGGACTCCTGATTCTTTGTTCTGGAAAGGCTCGAGCTGAAGGGTATCGAGCTGTGATCGATGAATCGTGGTCTGCCAGTAGAATCCAAAAAAGAGAACCACAAGAAGACGAAGGCGATCGTTAAGATGGAGAAGACAAAGAACAAGGGCCTCCTACTCGTAGATCCGTGATGATGTGTACTTCTCTCGGCCATTTTCTCCGCGGAATTTCACAAAAACGATGGCCAATTAACCAGGGAGATGTTGCATCCCGTCCTCGCGGCTCAGGACGGGAAACGGGCTTTTGAGCGATCAGAAATAATGGGAGGCAGCAAGCATGAGATCAGGCGGAGCGGCTCAAATTCTCTGGATAGTCGCTACCATTCAAAGAAGACGGAAGGCTCTCATAGTCGCAGTAGAGAGAGAGCGCATCGCCCAGTTTACGCTAGCAGCCGTTCGCAGCAATCTTTTCGGCAAAAGGAGTGACAGAAGGGAGAGAACCATAAAAACTGGGCGGAGAGCGAAACGGAGGAGAATAAGAGAGAAAAGAGGGGGGAGAGGAGGGGAGGAGATTGGAGAGAAAATAGATAGGTATGGACGGTCAAAATCTGTGGGGCAGAGAGCTAGACTGAGACGGGGGCAGCAGGACCGCGGTGGGCGAAAGGCCGGATGTGGGGGAGGCGATGATAAACGGCGAGCCCAGCCGTCTTCTTCCAGAGGCAGGGTTAGGGGATCGAGAGCATCAGCGGCGAGGGAAGATGACCAGGAGGCAGGCCGGAGCCGTCGGGATCGCCAACGAGAGACGAAGGGGGCCGATGAATGGGAGGCGATGTAGAGAGAGAGAAAGAGAGAGAGAGAGAGAGAGAGAGAGAGAGAGAGAGAGAGAGAGAGAGAGAGAGAGAGAGAGAGAGAGAGAGAGAGGGGAGAGAGAGAGAGGTGGTGTTTCGTCTCTCGAAGAAAATCAACGGGCTGGGCCGACCCCAGATTCAACGGGCCACGTAAGAACAGGCGACGAAGCAGCGCCGGCGGCGGAGGCCAATAGACGATGACTGTGGCGAACGTGTGCCTGTCCACTGTTAGACAGAAGTTCGCTTAGATGTTAGTGTCTTCTTACCATGGCGTCGCTTCTGAGCTTCGTTTCATTTCCCCTTCGGCCGGGGGAAAAAGCACAGCCCTGGAAGCCTCGGACCACTCTTCTCGTCTGCCCTAACACGGCTGAAGTTGGCTACGTCGATGACGGCAGCGCAGTACCAGAAGCCCTTCATCTTCTTCGGCAAGAAGCGCCGCCACCGGTACCTCTCCGCTACCTCCGGCTTCCGCGGCAACAAGCAGCTTTGTGACTGCCACAACAGTTGAAAGTGCGGCGGACCCGACTGTTTGTCGTAGCCCATCGCCATTGAAACTGCGACATTACTCTCTCTCTTGTGCTCTTCCGTCGAGCCTTGATTGGATATCGAAGCCAACCTGTCCGCTGCCGCTGAAAGGAAGGTTCATCATCTTCATGACGACCAATGTCACACCCATCATTGAAACCCTGATGGCTGGACGAACGTGGGCTGTAAGCGAAACGCGACGCAGAGCAATCCCAAGCCTTCACGTCTGCCCACCTCGGCCGCTCAACAGAATAGAGCAGGCTTTATTGCGTTGACCACCTTCAGAAGACGTCTCTCTCCCACCTTTCTCCTCCTCCTGTCTCCTCTCCTGCGTGGATTTATAAGAAGCTCGGCATGCCCACGTGATTATCCTCCGCAATAACCAACCCTGCGTAGACTGTAATCTCCTCGCCCCGTTGGGCCCAAGCAGGCGCCTTGAGACGTACCCCCACGCATCCGCCATCATCGGCAACCGGTGGGTTTCCTCACCAGTCTAGAAAGCTTGCCCACGGCGGTCGAATCACGGGCGCCGCCCCCCCGCCGATGGGGCCGGCGGGTTGCGGAATATGGCGAAGCTCCTCGTCGGCACGTCGGCATCCGGTGTGTTCCCTTCTCTGAATAACTCCCCCCCCCAACCCCACCCCAGCCCTCAGTGATCCCACCATATAAACTAACTCTCCCTACAGTGGCCGGAGTACCCATCTTTCTCTCTCTTGGTCTTCTCTATTTTTCTGGCCTGCCGCCTCCCCGCGTTCTGTGCCATCATTTTCGGTGGGCTGTTCAGTTCCCCTCTTCTCCATACGGGCTTAGGAGATCGGAGAGAATGGGTCCGCAACAGGAACCGGGGAAGTATCCGAGGGGTCCGGCGGCGAGGAAGAGGGTGGTGAGGTACGCGGAGTGCAGAAAGAACCATGCCGCTAGCATCGGCGGCCACGCCGTGGACGGCTGCCGTGAGTTCATGCCCGCGGGGGAGGAGGGGACGGCCGCCGCCCTCCAGTGCGCCGCCTGCAACTGCCACCGGAGCTTCCACCGCAGAGAGGTGGTGGACCACTTCCTCCGCGACCGCTCATCCGAGTCTGCCACCCTGAGATGAGCATCATCTCGTGCTGATTCCAGCTCGGGGTTTCTGGTCTGTTCCCCATCTCCGGCCTGCCCATGAACTGTTGATTGTGAGTCATAAATCCTCGTAATTTTATGCTTGATTACCATCCCGCAAATTTCAAACGGTATCATCCTCTCTCTTCTACAAGATGGCATCTCCTTGATCTTGAATTGCAAGTTGTTTGTGGGTTCTCATTCGAAAAAAGCTGTGCTCTTTGGTTTCCGAAGTATCTGTCTTCTCCAATCCCTGCCGCCTGTTCCTTCCAACGCGAGTGGTATAAGACTTCAGATCAGACGCGTCTTGCCACTCCAAAACCTAAAGAAAGAAAAATCTAATTTGCAAGGAAATCGCGCTTGCGGCGGGTTCAGTTAGATCGAGCGTAAACTCGTCGATAACTCGGACTGCATCAGCTGCTCGCGCAGATCATCAACATCTTTCTATCAAGTCGAAATTATGATATCTATCATGGAACGTATTCCAAGAGAGCCATCCCTCTTGTTGGGTCGCGCCAGATGACCGCCTCCTCAGCGGATCCACGAAGGCCTGGAGAATCGCAGAGGCTGTCGGCGGCGGAGGCTGCTCTCTCTCTCTCTCTCTCTCTCTCTCCCTCTCTCTCTCTCTCTCTCTCTCTCTCTCTCCTCCTCTCTCTCTCTCTCTCTCTCTCCCTCTCTCTCTCTCTCTCTCTGTCGGTGGTGACCGCCGCAGCCTTCATTGTCCCTGGTGCAGTAGCCGGCGGTCACTTGGGAGTTTCGTCGAGCAGCAGTCCAGTCGTTGACTATAGACGATCATTATTTGTAATTTAAGCCCAAAACTCAATTTTCGGGCCATCTAAGATCTCAGGTCAGGCCCAGGCCCAGGACCAGGCCCAGAACCAGGCCCAGGCCCAGACCCAGCTAGAAAAATCGGCGGCCCTCCTGCCGACTTATCCGGCTCGGCCTGGCCTGACCGTTGACTTTTCCTGTAACAACATCGGCGAAATTCTTTTGGCGCGCCAAAATGCGAAAGATTCGGATCATACATATAACTCTTCCCTCCCGCGCCCTTTCCCGCCAACACCCCGTCTCCCCCCGCCCACCCTGTTCGGGCCAAACCCTAGTTGGAGCTACCTGGAGAGATCTGGCGCCATCCGGGTTTGTCCGCCGCGCTCCGCCGCCCTCCTCATCATCCTCCCTCCCCATGTCTCGTGTCGGGGGGGCTCACTGAGGGAAGATTGCTGGAGGGAGTGCCGCTGTCGACATAGAAAATGGCGCTTCAGGCAGATCCGACGCATCCGTGGCATTACCTAATCCTCTTCCTCTTTCTCACTCAGATCCGCTGTTCTACGGACATATTCTTCTCCGATCTCTGTCTTCGCCGGCAGCGTTCTCCTCTGGACCTGTGATCTCCAGTCGAAACTACAGGTGAGTAAACATTTCTTCTGGAACATTTCTTCATTCCATCAAGCAATGACCTGCTCGTATATCTGCTCATGGCAATTTGACCGCATCTGCGACAATGCTCAAATTCATGGACCAGCAACTGTGAAAAAAGACCAGAAAATGGAAAAATAAGAAGAAAATGACCTGCCTTTCCCTCTTTGAATTGCCGTCTCCCTAAAGACTATTCATTCTGCAGGATTTTTGCGAAAAGGAGTGCCAGGGATAGGGTTCAATGCGATGGTTTTTATATTTTGCGCAGACAGCATTCCGTTCTGTCCGCCTTTGGGAGGCTCGAAAGGAGAGTTGTTAATATGGTGAGGGAACAGCGAATAGAGCCATTCTACAGGCGACTGCGTGATGCTACCTCTGCCTCCACCTCTTCCCCTCTATTGATCTTTCCATCGTCATCGGACGTTGATTCTCTTTGTACACTGAAGATTATAACTCACATACTCTCTTCCGATTCTGTTCGGTACTCTGTCTATCCAGTTTCCTCTTCAGGCGAAATCGAAAAGCACGCGGGTACAAGTCTCAGATCTGATAGCAATGTTACTCTCCTTCTGATTAACTGGGGCTGCCACCGTGATATTCGCCGAATCCTTAATCTTGGACCTCATGTTCATGTTTTTGTTGTTGATAGCCACCGTCCGGTCCACCTTCACAACCTTAGTGAACAAAATGATCAGGTGATCGTGCTCTACACACTCGAGGATGAGAATCAGGCTGATCTAGCATATGATTTTGACGTTTCTACGCTGGCTAATGCATCTGACCTTAACAGTGATGATGAGTTCGAAGAGGAATCAGAGAGTGATGAGGACAGTGATAGTGATGATGATAGAGAAAAACTTGGTGACAAGAGGAAGAGGAAAAGGGCTTCCGAGGAGTCTGATGCGGATCCCGTTAAACTTTTTGGGAAGCTGAAAAATGAATATTACAGATTGGGAACTTTCCATGGCAAGCCTTCTGGCTGCTTAATGTTCGACTTGGCTCATGCTCTCAGAAAGAATACCAATGAGCTGTTATGGTTAGCTTGTGTTTCCCTGACCGACCAGTTTGTCCATGAGAGGTTAACCAACGAGAGGTACCTAGATGGAGTAATGGAGCTGGAACAGCACATTAACAGCTCGGGCAACTTGGATACAGTCTCTTCGGTTACTCTCAAGGATGGTACCATAATTCAGGCGCCAGAGAATTCTAGGATTGCCTATGAAGACGAGCCGAGGTTGATGCTCTTAAGGGAATGGAATCTGTATGACTCTATGCTTTGTTCTTCTTACATTGCAACCAAACTGAAGACGTGGAGTGACAATGGACTGAAGAAATTGAAGCTTCTTCTAGCTCGGATGGGTTTCGCACTTGTGGACTGCCAGAAAAAGTTTCAATACATGAGCATGGAAGTGAAGCAGAGGATGAAAGGTGAATTTGAGCGCTTCCTACCAGAGTATGGCCTGACAGAGTTTTATTACCGGAGTTTCTTCAGGATTCATGGCTATTGCACCAAGCTGTCAGCTGCTGATGTAGTGTATGGAGTGACTGCTTTGCTGGAATGTTTTATAGAGGGAAAGGATTCTTCTGCTGCCAATCAATTCTGGGTCGCTTACTCAGCTCTCTCCCTGACCAATATCGACCAGCTTAGAAAGGGAATGCAGCATGCTATTGAGATACAGAGAGCAATTCTGAGACAGGGCAGCTCGGCGATTACTAAGACTGGGTTTATCAGAAGCAGCAGGAAATTCCGATGGGTGAAGCTCGAAGATCCTGTGGACACTGCAAGGCTCGGGTATCCCCAGGCTCTCACTAAATTCTGCTATTTCCTGATGGATGCTCTGAAGGAAAGAGGTGCGAGGATGAAGCCTCTGATATGTGCGTGCTTGATTAAAGAGTCTGGCAAAGTTCTAATTGTTGGTGTATGTGGGAGGCCTCGACTCGGCGCCCTTCAAGGCAACTCCTTTGGCATCGGATTTAGAAGCGCTGCTGAGGAGCTTGGATTTGAATACTATCACGGGCTATTTGAATCTTCATGGATTGTCTTAGACACTGCAAATGTAAGTTCCTTCATGATAAGGCTGACTGAGAAGCTCTGATGTGTGTTCAATGGAAACAACAGCAGGCTACTCAAACCCCCCTAATATTCATCGGTCTGTAGATTTGACTCCATTTGAATATTAATGCTGAGTTCCAGTTTCTTCGAAGTCTGGGTGGTCGGCATGCATCTCTTCTATTTGAATTTTCTCGGATTGGGTTTCGTACTAAAAATTGTTTGCTCATTATTAAGTTTCGGCCTCTCACTAAGGAAGATGTATTTCGTGGGAAGCCTTTTTGGAAGGAGATTCTCGTGTAAAGGTATGCGTTCAATCAGTCCTTATTGCCTGTCTTATCCAAACTATCTCTTGCATAGATCTTCACATTTTTATTCAATATCCCAAAGAAGCAATCTAAAAATCTACGTAATATTTCATAACATGATGAACTTCGTAATTATGTGTACTTAAAAAAGGTGACGACTAAGTTATGCAAAGGGCTGACGTGAAGAAAATTTTCAACATAGACCGTTTGAAGTTGCTACTATCAGGAGAAACGTGGGACTTGGTTGATGAATTACTTGATGCTTAAAAATAAAGATTAATTACCTGGTTTAAGATGACTCCTACGACTAAAGGGCTAATGGCCATGGTTTATTGAACAAATAAGATCTCAAGAGCTGACAATTGAAGCTTTTAGGTTGATCCTAAATGCAATCTGATAGAGAAAGAGAGCCTCTAGTGATGGCTTGAATCAAGGGAGGAAAGGAACAAGGGAGAAAAGGGTGGGTGGAAAAAGCTTGGATAGAGAACCCACACATACAATAGTGGTAATCTTTCAGGAGGATTACTAGAGAGTGCCACTCACATGTGAAACATAACACTCTCGCATGTCTGTCTTGAAGCTTTGTATTTATTAAGTTGAGTCTTCTTTATTACATTGGATTATAATTATTGTTGACGATTATGAAAATCCTTGTTCTGATGTTGTTGTCTGATTCTCAACAACATCTGAATTTTTTGTTTGTGAGACATTTATTGATCTTGTCCCTCCAACACTTAAAAATTCAATAAGACTTATTTGACGTTCAGATCGTGTTTTTTTTATTATTGTCATTTGATCTCTTGGTGCCATACTTTTCTTCTTTAGTTGAACTAGTTCCATAATCTCTTTCAAGTCCTTTGTCTTCAGCATCATGATCTTTACTTTGACTTCAGGTTTTAACTTTTTGACAAGTGTGCTTACCATTAGGTATTCAGAGGTTCCTTCTAGCAGCGTAGACAAGACCTCAAAATATCATCAATATTGTACAGTTGTCCCCCTTTGTTTGATGTCGACTTTCCTCCTGTGTTGAGTTGATACACATAAGTGATACTTTAGTTCCTTCTAACTTTAGTTCCTCGTGTGTCAATTCAGCAAAACCATGCTAATGTCTCTCCTTCAAAACTTACCCTTAACTCCAACTAGTTGCTCCACTTTTGATATTTGTTGATACAGCAACATAACTCTACACAGAAGATTCTGCCTTCTGGGTTTCCTTCGTCAAATATCAGTATCTCTATCATTCATCTGACTTTAATTCTATATGTGAAGGCCTCTTTCCCCATTTGTGCAACGTCTGTGAAGGTGCTTGGGGTCTCCCGACAGTATTCATCAATTGACATTGTAGAGCTGTACTTGTCTCCACAGCTCTCCTATGTAAGCGCTCTAGTACGTTAGCTGCTTTTGATATTATTAGACATTGTAACTTGTTTAGTCTCTTAGGGATAAGATCCATAGTCTTCTCTATATCAACAACCTTCTTCGGCTCCACCATTTCCCTTCGTTTTTTTGTCCATGTTTTCTCACCTTTCATCACTCGTCTTCAATGACATAAGTTACAAGGTCATTCGCTCTGATATCAATATGATAGGGAACCTCCAATGGTAACTAGAATCAAGGGGAAAGATGGAGGGAACACAAGAGAACAAGGAAAAGAACTGGGTAAAAGGGTGGAACAGTCTAAGTAGAGAACCTACACTTACAATATTGACAATCTTTTAGGAGGATTAACAAGAGACTCTCACTCTTGATAGATTCCCCCACTCATAGAGATGACTGAAATCGAGGGAGAAAATGGGACGAAAAACAAGGGAATAAGAAAAAGAACAAGGTAAAAGGGTGGAAAAGTCTACATAGAGAACCCACACTTTCAATACGATGACTAGAGACTGCCGCTCACATTTCCCTTTCCTAGCAATCATTTTAACGAACTAAGCTTTCCTAAGTCATTCTCTCTCTTAAGATGTTCAATTCCACGACGTTACCCCTTTTGGTAATAAGTTACATGGATTGGGGCGTAACACAATCATTAGATTGAAGAACTTAAACTTGGGAGGGTTAAGACCTTGAAAGTTGTAACAGCTCTCTTGTTGAAATTTCAAATAAGAAAGGTTGAGAAGCTAACCATAATAAAATATTTTTTGGGTTTTTTAAGCTATGTTGAAATCCTATTAATATTTAATTTTATGAGCTAAAAATGATTGATTGTATGTTGGAGGGGTTATTTTGTTGAAATCACGTTGTAATTCTATAAGGCTTTACATTGAGGAATTAATATATATGATCAATCATGTAAAGAAAATATTGTTTTATGTTTGAAGTATTGAGACTCGCAAGATGATATATAATACACCAACAAAAGCAAGTGTAGGTTCCATTTTCAAGTGTTCCAAATATGTCTACAGTTAGAAGTGTCAACATTCATGTTGCCTAAAGAAAATATTTGAAGATTTAGACCTACAAGGAAAGGGTTGATCTTAATACATAAGATTAAAAATGAGTTACACATGGATTGACACTTGAGAGGTATGGGTAAACTCTCAGTGTTAAATACTGAATGTTTTTTCTTGACCTTATATTAAATAAAATAGAAGTGCCAACAATATTTTCTACTAATTGACATTGACCAAAATTAGATTGTCAACAATAATCATCATAAACAAGCACATACCAAAACAAAAGTGATAGTAATAATTTCCATGGGTAACACTGACCGAAACATATGTATCAACACTTGCAATTGACTACAAAAGGGCATGTGAGGGTCAGTACATGATAAGGAAGGTTGACACAATTTTAGAAAATTGATTGAAAAATTAACACCTAAGTTTAGAAAATGTTATTTTTCCTTCAATGGAAAGTTTTAAAAGCTACACATTATTTATTTGTTGTTAGATGTATAATGAACTGATATTCGCATAATCACAAATACAAAAAAATTAAAAGAAGGAAAAAAATTGAAAGTTTTAAATTGTAAAGATAAGAACCCTTCAAGTGCAGACCTTCAATGAATATTCAACCTTATGTAAGTGATCTAAGCTTGTTGAAGCTTCTTCCTCAACTATACTAGAGTACTTTTAGGTGTTCAATTTATGATGTGTAATATTTTTAACAAGAGAGGCTTGAAAAGTTTAGTGAAAGCTTTGAAACTAAACTCAATTGTAAAGTGTTTGATTGGTACCTTGAGAAGGTTACCTCGTGTAGGTTTGAAAAAAATCTACTAAAAATGGCCAGTAGGAAGCATGGAGAGTGAAATCTATTAAAGATTTGACCTAGCTAGAAAAAAAAATGCTTTTATCTTTTGTGTTGTGTATACCACTTATTTTGTACTATATTTTTTTATTCAACGTAATTGTTTTCTTAGATCTATTCCAGTTAGTCCATTCACTTTTGCAACAAATAATTTTAAGGATTCAAAAAAATATATAATTTAAAAGATATTAAGACTTTGAACTCACAAAGTATGCAAAATTCTCTCAATGTTTAAGTAACCCATTCAATTTTTCTGATTTCTCAATTTAGTTATATTTTTTGCAAATTTCATTTTCAGTTTTCACTACAAAAAAGTTTACTCTTGAGTAACACTTGTAATGATGTAAACCCATTTAGCTGGTATCATGGCAAAGTTAAACAATAAAGTTTCCTAAATAATGTAGAAAAATGCCCAATATAGCAATAGGGAGAAGAATAAGTCTCTTTATAGACTATGTTTCTACAAAATATGTTTATTCTATAAGCAAATCTAGACACCAAAAGTCCACAATGTAATCAATAATGATAAAACATATTCAACATCAGTGTTTGGCTACCCTTTCCAAATTAACTATTTAATAGATCCATACATTCAATATTCTCATTTCCACCAAGGAAAACTAAAATCTAATTTAATTATATATTTCAAAATATTTTAGTTAAAGTTTCTACAAATGATAAAACGATAAACTGACCTAACTTGTATCAGTTTACTTACTAAAATGGTGATCAGTTTTTATACAAATATTGAGAATCTTTTTTATTTTCTTCAATTTGCCAGATCATTGTAACAAAGACAATGATCAAAGCCTGGAAAATATCAAAGTAACTAGAGATAATTACTGATCATGATACCACAATAGTCACATAATTGATGGTATCTTGAAGAAACTTGTTAAGTCCCAAAGGTTATGGAGAGTAGTTATCTATATACTTTTTGTTGAGTTTGAAGATATTTTAGGACACTTTGACAGATTGGAGAAATTTGGAATTGTGTGCTGATGGGTGGGGTTGGCAATGCAGACCATTTTTAAGTTAAGGAAAACTTTGATGGTGAAATACACTGAACGTATTTCATTTTATCTGTTAAAATAAACAAATGACAAAAACGCCAAATTTGAGACTTAGCATCTTGACAAACCTCCTTAATGTTTTGGCGTTTGAATAATTATTTCTAAATATCAAATTTTATTTCTTGGAGATGATAAGGTTGGGTGTGAATAATGCATAGGGGGTCATCCCAATACTAGATTAATATCATTCACAAATTCTAAACGGTACTCATTAAATGCACGATGACACCCTGCCATTCCCTGTTCCTCGAAATGGGACTCATTCAAGTCATGGGTCCACCTCAAGTTGAGAAAAAGAGCCGAATTAGTGTCTCCTCACCATGAATGATCCACTATTTCCTAAAGATCGCAATCAAATACAGATTTTCTCAAATAGAGGACAGCGTGTCATGTTACTCGCAGAATGGGAGCATTGTAAGTTTCTCTTCTTAAAGCACTACCCAAGGGAAGAACAAAGTGACGAAATAAAAGAATATCAAGAAGAATTTCACAGTGGTTCTGTGCAGTATTGCTGTTCTCACAGAATAGTTCGTTCCTAGTTCTCTCCTTAGTACCGTACATCATAAATGCACTGAAAAACATCCTTTTGGAGGGACAATGGATCAGATAAACGCCATACCAATCCCAACGCGAGGCCACGTCTAACCCTGCCCTTGTTGCGTGTGTTTGTGCGCATATGTGTGGCTTGGGGGGGTGTTGCACCACCAATGCTAATGGTTCTGCGTCAACACAGTAGGGCTTTTGGCTTCCAGGCTGGAGTTTGTAAGTCTGGACTCCATCCAAATATAGATCGGGCTGCGTCTATTTTCCTTCGTAGCCATGATTGAAGGTCCAGACCGAGCTTACTTATGCCATGGAACCTCCGCCCATTTGTATATGGGCAAGGATGAATGCATTTCCTTGTCTTTTTCTCTTCGAGCCCACCGGCTGGTTCTTGTCACTGGGACGTAACCATACGCTGAAGATTGATGTCGACAAGGAGAGCCCCGCACGGTAAGCCATGGCCCACCTTCATCTAAGATCGATGAGGTGGTCGAGTCGAGCTCCGAAGGCTTCATGTGAGAACAAGACGCGGCCAGCCAGACGCAGCTGTCACACACGGGCAGTCGTCATTAGGGCTTATTCGGATGCATTTAATAAATGGAGAGGGGGAGGAGAAACGGGAAGACAACCCATTTCTTTGAGATGGGAATCCCAAATGACAACCTCGTGCTTTGGTCGAGCACCCAGGAAGGTTTCACTGGCTAAATCGCCGGTATCTATTGATCCCAACTGACAGTTTTCCTGAATCGAAGGCCGAACTGCGCTGACAGCGGCTGCAGTCGTGGTTGCTAAATGCCAGGGAAGCGTCTCATGTTGGTTCTGCACCGTGAAGGGTACCCCCTTGATGAGAGAGTGAGAGTGTGAGAGATGAATGGGGGAGCAGGCAAGCACCTCTTTATCCACTATATCATGAGATAAATTTATAACATGGTTTTACTTGATGTAGTAGTTATAACATGTTGCTAGTTTCTATGGAGATTGTCTGGGCGTATGTCCGTCGATTGTCGGGGCGTTCTATGGAAGAGCATGCAATTGATTTAGAGAGTAAATATCTTAATCGCCATCCAAGTTTTGTCCAATAAATTTGTGGTTACTAAAACAGAAGTCGCCCCTCATCTTCGGTCATAAAAGACGGAGCTCTCTCTCATGGAACGTTTATTTATGCCGCCCATGTATTCCGAGCAGTGTCCCCCCGCCGTCTCCCCGTCTACAGGAAACCTCTCCGCTTGGTCCCCACCCATTCAATGAGCGCACCGTCTGCTTTCCTCTCTCCCCCTCTCGCGCGCGCGCGCTTTCCACCTTCGGGTGTTTTAAGTCTCCCTTTCGAACTAGAGTCACAAGGGTTCTCTCGAACGGGTCTCACCCCCCAACCAGAGATCCATGGCCAGCCCCTTCTCCTTTCTCGCTCGTCCATACTCGTGCCTTTCTCTCCCGGGTCTCTTTTAAAGTCCTGCATGATAGCCATCAAAAGACTCACATGATCGCTCCTCTCTCCAAGGCCACCACGTATCTTCTTGCTTTCAGCCGGAGAAAGACCCCCTTCGTCATATAAAGGAGATCTCCGAGGTGGCATACGCAGAGCCATCCTTTCCTGGTGCGGGATCTACGTGACGCCACCCTGTCCCTCACATGGGCTCTCCAATTTCCATGAGTTACAATGAAAACCTTCAGAAATCATTTTTTTTCCTCGTGAACGAAGATCTCTTCCACTGTTTCCCATCAACATCAATAAAACCAATCCAGAATATAAAACTTGTGATGATACTAATAATAATCACAGTTACATAGATTAGGGCACTGACGAGCTCGGTTGACGATCGTCAGTCACAACGCGCATTAATGCAAACACTCGGAGACGTGTCCGTTAGGTCATCCTCCTGGACAGAAGTTTCGTCCAGGAGCCACCCCTCGAGTAGAGACAAGGGCGGCCGCTGGCTCTCTAGTCTCTGCTTCATCTCAGCCTGAACCAGATTCTCCCGATGAGCCCCACAGTGCCTATAGTCGGTGGACGACTCATCCCAGGCCACGTTTTCAATGGAGAGCAGCGAGTCGAGGTCCTCCTGGGAGAGGATGCTGCAGCTCCCCTGATCTTCTCCACCTTGGAGCCCTCCGAGGGGCACTGGGCCATGGTTCCTGCTTCTATTGCACTCCCCTTCATGCATGGGCTTGCCGGAGGCCTTTGGGGAGGGCCTGATCCAGCCTTCCAGGAGTCTCGAGATGTTCTCTGCGCTTGAGGCATAGGTGGCCGAGCAGTGGCCGGGCTTAGGGAGAAAGGGATTTCCATTCGAGTTCGTAATTTTTCCTCCACCGGAATCGTTTAACCTCGCCGGGTGAGTATCCGCGGTTGAATCGACAGCCAAGCTTGGGCCAGAGGCTGCTTGCAGCCGCTTGATCTTCTTCTTGAGATGGGTGTTCCAGTAGTTCTTTATATCGTTGTCTGTTCTCTGCGGGAGATATGAGGCGATGGCTGCCCACCTGAACACGGAGATGACGAGGGAATCAAATACGATGAAACCCATCAGTTCAGCCTGCCCTCAGACAGAATTCTGAGCTGAATTCTGAGGTGAATTCTGAGGTGAATTCTGAGGTGAATTCTGAGGTGAATTCTGAGTTTTCATGGAGGTGGCGTTCTGGGCGGGTGGTCTCCGTTCAGAAAAGAAGAAAAAAACGAAAAATGATAGTTTCACAATTCATCAACGCACCTGTTGCCGAGCAATCCTTGCAGCTGGACTATAAGCCCTTCCTCCTGCGGGGTGAAGTTCCCCCGCTTGATCCCCGGTCTCAGGTAGTTGGTCCATCTCAGCCTACAGCTCTTGCTGCATCTCATCAACCCTGCTGCCGCGTCGGCGATTCATGAGGGATCAGTATACGACAGTGAGCAGATAGACCATGTATTCTCAGAACAGCATTGAGTGAAGAGAAAGGGAGGGAAGAGTAGAGGAGCTCACCGGCGTTAGTGGGCACTGACCTCCAATTGCCCGGCCCATGCTCCTGGATGTAGGAGACCAAGATGATGTCCTCCTCCGGCGTCCACGGCCCTTTCTTGACGCCGACCTTCTCGCAGCAAGGAGGCCTTCCCATGGCCCCTCATCTACCACTGAAGACAGCTCCTTCCTCCCGCCTCCTCTTCCCCCACCCTCCACCCTGCGGGTGTCTTTTCGTCGAGCATCTGATGTCTTAAATACAAGTCGACTTGAGTGAACGAAACAAGAGGGAGTAGTCATCTCCCACCCACCATCTACCACGCTGACCCCTCCCCTCTTCTGTCGGTCAACTTTGGCCCCATCAGGAAATCAGCCCTTGTCTGGCCATGTTCCGTGACGTTTGACGAAAGCTATCCCTTGCTTGCCATCTCGACGCTTAGGGGTTAGCGTTCACGTGAACTGGTTGTCTTCTCCAAACGTCGAGATCAGTAGACCATCAGGTCTTGAATGTGGGTCAAGACAAGTCAACCTGTTAATCCGGTTTGACAGTGCTCACCGAAAATCTGGGCTTCGGGGTCGGCATGGCCCATTAAGACTGTGCCTCCTGTTGAGGAAGCAGCTGTGTACCGCACGTGTGACGGTAGCAGGTTCGTCGCCGCCGGCGGTGGACAGGAGGTGGGGCTGCCGTCGGGGTTGGGTTCCTCTTCTCGAGACGGCGGGCGGCGGGACCTGAGCACGGTCAACTGGTTGATTGATCAGAGGAACCGGACGGGGAAGAGAAGTGGGTGGAAGAAGAAGAAGAAGAGGGGGATGGGAAACCTTCCGGACGAGCTATGGAACCGAATAATGGAGGCGGGCGTTCGGTGCTCCGTGCTGGGCTTCAGGGAGCTCTGCTGCCTCTCCATATCTTGCCGCCGCCTCCGCCGCTTGTCCGGCGACAGAGCCCTCTGGTCCGCCCTTCTCGCCGTCGATTTTCACCAAGACGGCGGCGGGCCATCTTGCCCCTCTTCTTCCGACGGCTCTTCTTCCACCGATTCCAAGTCCCTCTACAGGGCCAAGTACAGATCTTCGCCCCATCTTCTTCCACCCTTCTTTGGCCCCCCGCCGGCCTCTCATGGGGATCTCCTCTGGAGATGACGACAGGTTCGAGAGGCACAGAGCGAGGAAGCTCGCCGCGTGGAGATTGGCGGTGCTGAAGGAAGAGAGCCAGATCGGTGAGCACTCTAGAAGGCTCGAGGAGCTCCGGTCCCTGATTGGCAAGGAGCAGGAGAAGCTGAAGACGGCGAGTGCAGAGTTGAGGAACCTGGACAGAGTCAGGTGCGCTGCGTTCTCTGGGTTTTTCCCTCCACTGATCCAGAGAGAGATAGTCGAACTCTTTGACTTTTTATCAGGCGAGCATCTGTGGTCATCCATGTGTGGCAGCCTGAAGTCGTCCGCAGCAGCCAGAGGCAGCTCGTCGAGCAGTGCACTGTCCCTGTTGACTCCCGCGCGAGTGGGCTGGAGATGGAGCTCAAACTCTGCAGGCAACAGATTGCGATATACAGTAAAGCTTTTGTAAGTCTCTTTCGGCTCATCACCTTCGCTCGAGCTTGAGGGAGACACCTGAGAGAGTCTCCCATGTTTCTTTCACAGAATAGCCATAAAAGAAAGCTTGATGAGAGGAAGGAGGTGCTGGCATCTCTGAAGTACCACCCTGTCGACAGTTATGAACCGGGTGGCCAGTCAAACGGAGGGACTAAAAGGATGAGGAAACAGAAGTGATGGGCGACTGGTAGGAGCAGAATATATCTACATCCTCTCTGTTCATCCACATAGGGGACGAACTCTTCACCTTCGTCAACCCACAGGAATATAATCAGTTTCCATAGCGGACAGAGGCCTAAGGTCTGTGGGGCCAAGGTTCATCTAGGAGATTTTGTATATTTCATTTTTCTTATTCCAAATATAAGAATCATTCTGTGCATTTCGAGGTAAGAATGGCAAGCAACTATGATTAATAGAACTAAGAATACTCTCCAATCTACAGTCAACAAACCCGGTGATAACAACAGGGGTTGGCTGTGTGTGGTTTCACCCTTCCAAGTTGTTATTTTTCACGTCCTGGAACCATATGAGGAACATAGTCGGGATGATGAGCAATGAAATATAAGAAGCTAGAACCATGGAAATTAATTAAAATACAGATCAATGACAGTATAAGATTTTTCGACGAGAAGAAACTGATTTCACGGTTGAAGAGGATAAAACAAAGCACATAACTGATTCACCACAAGACACCAAGAGAAGGTTGGCCAAATACTTACACACAAACAGCTTGGATACTTCGCCAGTTCGAATCTATGAAAACATACTCGAGCAAAACCTCATCTTTATGAACGAGTGAAAGCCGTTTAATAAGCAGAATACACAAATGAACTAGTTTAGTTGACTTCATTCCGAGTAATCAAAACGAATTGTAAGGAAAGCCATTATGAACCACTCTTTATCTTGAAGAAGAAAAATATAAAGATATAAGAAAAGAAAGAGAAGAAAAAGGGGAACAGAAAGCAAGAAAAGATGAATGAATAAAGAAATAAACAAGGAAGAAACGAAAGAATTATAGAAGATCCAAAGAGCTAAACAAAAGAATTATAGTTCTCAAAGTATAAGTATGAGAACTAAACAAAGAGGCATACCGAGGAAATACACATTAAGAGTGACAAAAGAAGATAGAACCAATAAATGAGAGGAAATGAAGAAACAATGCCAATACTAAAAATTAAAAAAAAAAAAGGAAAAAAAGGAAAAAAAATGATAATAACAGATGAAAGATTACAGAAGTACAAGTGAATCGTGATGTTAGAAAGAAGTTTTTTTTTGCTTAGGCGACTGCACTTGTACGCCAAGGCCCTCATCCAGCCAGCCTATTCCCAACTGCCCATGCCTGTGTTAGGCTTGTGTTTTTCATATGTTCCTGCCCAAGTTTAGATTTTTTTGGCCCGCAAGCTTCTGGCTTGCGGTGGACTTTATTTAGCGTCAACTTCTAACGCCATATGTGGCACAAAAATGTATAGGTAGGCCTCTCTAACAGATGAGAACGCTAACACAATTTTGTACACGTCAAAGTTTTTACTTTCTTATAAAATTTAGAAAATCATTTCCAATTAGTTATTACCCTATGCATGTGATTTCGTTGCCTAGATGTTAAGACACTACATTTTCATATTAAAACTCGAGGATTGTAAATTCAAAACGTCTTTATAGTATAAAAAATAAAAATACAAATAATCTCAACTGTAACGTATGTAGAATAAAAAATAACCAAATAAAAAGGGCAATTTTGAGAATGGAAGAAAGAATGAAAGATGGTAGATGACGGGTATGAAATCCGAGATGAAATCAAGTCATAATCAAACAAAACCCAAAAAATAAACAAAAGAATGAGGTGATTAAAACTGTAGAAAAATACAGCTTTAAAACGGATAAAATAGAAACTAAAAATAACAAAACGTGGAAGTGAACACAAGAAAAATATAAAAAAGATAACTGAAAACTGAGAAAACGAAGGAATGAGTATCAAGAGAAGAAGATTCTGCAAGAACAAAAAAGACAAATAAATAATCAAAAAATTGAAATTAAGAAATATCAACCAATAACAAATAAAGGGATAATACCTAAATTATGTTAGTATCTGAAGAAGAAATGGGGAGGAAAAAAAAAATTAAAAATTGAAAGGAATAGATCAGCATGATAAAACTTAGATACTGAAACAAAAGATGAAGGCTTAAATGGAGAGCGTCTATAACATGGAAGTGAAGAATCAAAAGCAGAATAGAAACTAATTTGCAGTAAAAAAAATAGATGGTGACATCAACATAAACCCGATTCTCGTTGCTTTTTTACAAAGTTTATGAACTATCCATGACCTATAATCAACTAGCTTTTATTAAGGAGAAAATTTAGCCATTTTCTTATTAAGAAAAAGTTTTGCACAACAACAAGCTTGGTCAGAAAGAGAGAACAGTGAATAACGAAAACTTACAAGAATATCATTACCATGGTATGCAGATAACTGAGACACAGTGGAGGTTTCAAAAGAAACTTTGCGTCATATAACTTCACCACGTCACTTGAATCTTGATAACTTGATTCTTGCTGCGCTTTTGTTGATTATTTCAAGTTTTAATATTTTAATCCAACGTTATTCAAAGGTTCGCTATTATCTATATAATATACATCCCAACCTTGATCTATGGTTCCTGACACTTGTATACTTTATTCCTTGTTTTTCTCAGTGCTGATTTCCTATTTGTCAGTGCCAAAATTTTATATTTATTTATCAGATTTCTCCAAAATTTTCAAACTTTTACATGTAAGTAGTGACATCAGCATAATTGGCTCTCTCTTTTTTCCATGTAGGCCTTGGCGTCATGAATTTAGGTGTTGACACAGAGAGGACTATTTGAGTGACAACCTTTGCTCGGTGAGAGTAAACATTTTGCAACTGGCACTTCAAATATTCTCAAGTTTGAAGCATGAGTGTCAATCAAAGGTGTCTAGATGATTTACTTAGTGAGAATTTCAATATTTTAAGATGATTTTATTTCATCAACTGGGTAATGGGTAAGCTTATGAACGCACTATACGTTGAAATAAATTGGTGGCCATGGAAAATCTTATCTGCCGTCCAAGGTCAAAACATGACGACTTAAGAAAGAATCTCAGAAGAAATGCATTTGAATGTGTACGGGTTGATGATTAATTATACAGAAAACAGTTAATAAGATAGTTCTCTGGTAATCTTAACAAATTCTCAAAAGAAAATTGTACCTGTTGAGAGTGAAAGTTGGTTTCTAGGTTCAGCGGAAAAACCGTCACCTCTCAAAGAAAAACAGACTACAGAAATAAAGAAGGATGGAAACCCATTCTACCATAAACCGTCAAACAAAACCTTTTATCGTATGCGAATGATCTACTTCTTGTTTTAGGTCAAATCAAACAAATTTTCTCTGCTGTCTGGAAGGTTTGCTCTTCCTCTGTCTAGAATTATTGCTTAGGAAAACTCATTTTCCCCTGAGAATGAGAGTTCTTACCTCCTTGAGACAGGTCTAAGCGACTCTCCTCATTGAGATCATGGCTAGGCGACGGCTGTGTGCAAGGCTCGTTGTCTACCTCCCGCTCAACCATCGAGGACCGAGAACACAAAATGCCCGTCCCACCGAAAGTGGGTGCTCGAGGAGGCTGGAAAAAACTGAGAACGGTAGCTCGATGGGTTACTCGAATGAATGGGCTATTTCAGAACCTGTCGGTCGCAAGATGAGTTCAAGAATTCAGTGCGGAAAGAAGAGCAGCAACAAGAGGAGGAATCCGTAGAAGTGCCAGTATACCTACGACTTATGCGGAGACGGATGGAGATCATGAAAGCCAACTCAGGCCTCAACTCGCCAGCGCCAAAAGAGGAATAGACTCCGTCGTTCCGTCTGATTCCGACTGAAAAGAGTTGAAGTTCTCAGAAAAGGCGATTCCATTGCTAGGCACGAACTTCAAGCAGAGAGAAGGTAGAAGCTCCATCACGGGTGACGCCGTCTCACACGCTGATGGCAACGAGGCCCCAGCTTCCTTCTGTTTCCTGGAGTTTCTCCTGCTTATCAAACAGTTGTCGACGTAAAACGAACGGCGGGCGTAGTTGGATGAAATTTAAATATGGAAAAAACGCGGGGATCATTCTGCTGACCATTTTCATCAAATTATATATATATATAAAGAAAAGTACTTCTCTGAAAATTTTACAGCATGAAAGCAGACAGGGGGGGGGGGGGGGCCGCCGCCGCGCAGCAGAGTTTCCCTTCCAGTGGCTCCTCCCTGCCTACCTTTCGTCCCTCTCTCTCCCTTCGCGTCCTCCCCCACTGTCCTGAGTTCTCATGGCTCAGGTTGAAATATGGCTGCAGACACAAGCCTAAATTTTCAGCAATTGTTCGGAGCTGATATGATATTCAGTTCCTTATCATCCACGTCGAAAGGGGGCCTGATCCTATGTGGAGAAGTCAATCGTCAAAAGACAGAAGGCCAACCTACACCGGAAGGTCAAGAAACGACAGGATAGAATGACCAGAAGTCCAAGCAATCGGCCAGAAGACAGCGTGAATCCTGAATACGAACAAAGAGCAGGAATCGAAGCAGGCGGTCAACTCAACCGTCGGTATGGGGATCAGTCTCCTACTGGCTTCCTTCCTACTTAATCCGTGAATCCTGAATACGAACAAAGAGCAGGAATCGAAGCAGGGGGTCAACTCAACCGTCGGTATGAAGCGAATATAAGGAGGATCGAACGCTGGATTACGTAGGAAGGAAGCCAGTAGGAGACTGACCCTCATACCGACGGTTGAGTTGACCGCTTACTTCGATTCCTGCTCTTTGATTCGTCTTCCAGATTAACGCTGTCTGGGTGATTCTCTGACGATTCACTTTTACACGTAGGATCAGCCCCCCTTCCGACGTGGATAATAAGGAACTGAGTCGGAGGAACAGGAGGAAAAGATCATGGGAGATTCTCGCGGGGCCATGCGACCATATGGTGGACGGGCCACTGGTTACGTACTGCCCCACCAGGGAAAGGTCTATTAATGCGCTGGTAAGCTCCGCTGGTTCCGTCTCTTCAAGGGTCGAGCTCTAACGATGAGCAGACCAGCTTTTTTGATCTCTTCCTGCTCCTGCTGCTTCTCTGGTTTCTAGTGGGACTGGTATTCCCGACTAAGGTACCTATTTTTCTTATCTGATCCACTCTCTTATTTCCATGTTTCACAGAAAGCAGCAGTAATCCCGGAATGATCTACTTTCAGAGCAGCTGCATGGAGGGAGTTTGGCCTCTGTTGGCAAGGTCGGTTTCTTGATCTTTAGCTTGTTTTAGATCCTCATTTTTCCATTCCTCTATCATCTCTGGCTGTTTATAAGTATTGAAGATCATGGAAGGAAGTTCACCTTCCCTCCGCTCCTTTCCTTGCAGCGCAAACGCAGGCACCCGGACTCTCTGCCGCAGGTACTCCAAAAACCCTCCCGATCCTTGTCATCTGCTGGCACGAAAAGTAGACGACTAGGTTCCCTGCGATACTCTGTTTAGTGCCTTCATCCACGCCAGATCGCTGACGATTGGGGGGAACTCCGCAGAGTACCCGGGCGCGCGCATGCTCTTACAGGTGATCCAAGATAGCGTACAAGAAGCAAGCCCTGCCTGCTCTTCTGCCAGAAGTGCTGCTTCCAGTGCATGGCGGTGCGTCCCGCCGGCGGGCTCAAGTGCCCTTGATCACCCCCCGGCGGCTCCTCAGCTCGGGGGACAACAACTGAAAGATCAGTACTGCCTTCGAAATATCCTGGGATCGATCGTTGTTCCCAGCTTCGAGGGTCTTCGCCCTTTTGTTTCACCGAGGAGGAGATGAACCTGACGACAAAGATGGAGATGAGAGAGCAGAGCCTCCCAGCCCCGTACAAAAGATGGGAGTTACTTGGGCCTTTTATATGGGCCCGATATTCAGCCCAACTTTCCTGATGATTCAACCTGAGCCAGAATCAATAGGACCATAGACGAAACTTTAGCGGCGGCCCAGTTTGGTAAAGAAATTGGGTCCAATATGGACCGGACAAAAACAGTATTCGAATCTCAGCCACACGAGAGGAATCATTTTCCCTCGAGCTTGTCGACGGCTGTAGATCTTACCAGAAAAGGAGACTTCGTCGCCCATGGCTGCTGTCCACTCATTCTTCCGGCGGGGAGAACCCCGGAATCCCCGTGCCCCACGATTGGGTAATAAATGTGTTTTCCTAGCGACCATCCATCCGACGCCGCCCCTTCGAACCACGGAACGGGGGGAGGATTTGTGAGGAGACGGCGGCAGGCCGACAGTGTCGAGCGAGAAGCTTTTGTTCACCGCCCGCCCCGATGGTAGGATCAGTCAAACTATTTTTAATCGAATCTATCGTTCCAACGTTGATGATGCGGCCCCGACAGCTCCACGTACGGTGTGGATGAATTGATTCGACCCTCTTCCTTTTTTCTTTAAGCCAACAGCGTGGCCCCCTCCTTCCCTCTCTCTCTCTCTCTCTCTCTCTCTCTACCTACAGAAAATTGGTAACGATGTGTCGTACGCAGGGAAGTGACAGAACGATTGTAGTACAACTCAGGGACGTAGAGGTACGTCGCGGGAGGAGCTGAGATATGAGCACCGAAATAAAAGAACCCACATCATCAGATTAGAACAAGCACTCTCAAGTTCAATAAAAGTATAATCGAACATTATACTAGACATTTCCATTTATATTCGACGTGGGCGCCGAAATTCCTTAGAACCCACTTCGAGAGAGAGGAGGACCAGGTAGATCAGAGGCCGTAGAAGGTTATGAGAGCGGGTCTTCAGTTCGTCCAGTCAGAAACCTGTCTCCTAAAGTCAGCGGTTTGATGAACTGATCGACCCCCTCATCGAAGACGATCGCCATCCGCCAAGGCGCTATCTGATAGCTGCACTGCTTCTTTTCAATCGAATGACCAAGAAAGCATGGCAGGGCGTCGGATGGATACCTTCTTTAAGCTCCTCTCAGAAGGGCCAGTTTGAGCAACTGAGCTTCGGCGTCGAGTCGCCGGTCATTCTCTGCAGCCCGCCGAAGTCCATGCTTGAGAAACCGAGAGAGTTGAATCTGAGATCGGCATTAGCGGCTCCTTGATGGTTATCGAAGGAGGGCTGGAAGGCGATCTCCTCCTGGAGGAAGGAGTTCCCCGGCATCGAGCTGCTGGAGTCTTCAAAGACGGCGTCGGCCCCCATCCCGAGGGCCTGTCTGAAGAAGGCGTCCATCTGAATCCGCGGCTGGTCGTCGGCCGGGTCAACGGCCCTGGCGGCGTCGCCGATCTGCTTGCTCGGGTTGACGTTGGTGTCGTAGAACGACATGAGCTCGTTGATCGATTTCTGCCCATCGGCGGGGATGCCCAGTGCAGAGACGTCCAACGCTCCGTGGTTGCCCATGAAGTGGGCGGCGGGGGCGGCCTTCGGTTGGCTCAGCGGCAGCGAGAAGGCCTGCGGCTTGTCCTCCTGGACGTGGAAGCCCGGCCCGGCCAGGCGCTGAGAGAAGCTGCCGCTCTGATACTGGCATGCATACTGGTGGTTGTTCCTTGCGTTCTTGTCGACAAACCCCAAGCGGGGGTCGTGGTGGGGGCACTGGCCGTTCTCACAGGTGAAGGTTCTGTGGCTGAAAATCTGCTCCACGTTGGAGGGAGCCGTTCTCTTCTGTATGAAATCCACCCCGGCCTCTTCCTTGACAAGCGGCGGCACCGCCAGGAGCTTCTCCCTCGCGGGGTTGACGCCGACGTTGAACAGACCCCCGTCGGTGACCTTGCTGTCGGCCATTCCCACGTTGGTGACATCGTCGAATCCGTCGACGTCGTACTCGGTAGTGCTGCCGTATGAGAAGGTCCCGCTGCTGGCGCAGCCCAGTGAAGGCTGAGGGCAAGCGTCCGGGTGCAGCTGCCGGGCCAGCGCCTCCTCCTGGCTTATCACGACTGACCAGGTCTGGTTCTCCTTGGCCGTCATCTTGTCCTGGAGGCACTTTGACTGCCTGACGAGCTTGCGGATCTTGTTGACGTCAGGGGACATGTGCTTGATGACGGCAGTCAGAACGCTGACCTTCCACGCTTTCTTGAGGTCGTGGGGCTTCTTGTATGGCGGAGGCCCCTGCTCTCGGGGGATTCCCAGCTGGGGCCACCACTCCTCGTTCCCGGTCGGCCACCACGGCGGTGGAACCCCCTTCTCCAGGGGGAACCTCCTCTGTGGAGGATCACAGTGCTGCATAAGCGCCGAGAGAAGGGACCCCAAGGTTGTGTCCTGAAGCTCCTGTAAGGTGCGGGGCGTCGAGATGTCGGAGTTCGTCTCGGTTTTGCTCCCCGGCAGGGCGTTGTCCGCCTGGTACTTGGCGATGGCCGCCGGCCCGTTGCGATCGAAGCGAACCTTCTCTTTCCACCATCCCCGGAGGTTGTCTGAAGCCCCGCTGACGGGCTTCCCCTTCTCGGGGATTATGCCGTAGACGAACCCCTGCGCCTTGCAGACCTCCATCATCTTCAGCATGTACTTGAGGATTCCATCTTGGGCACGGGACATCTTCTTCCTTCTGGCCTGCTCCTGGGACTGGCGCTGCTTCGCCGCGTCGCCTTGGTCCTTGCTCTTGTTCTGCTGCTGCTCCTTCAACCGCTTCAGCCTCAGCCTGTCCCTCCACATTCTTCTCTCCAGTTCGTCAACATCAATATCATCTTCACTGTCCTCATCCTCCGGCATCCCCTCAGGGAGGCCTTCTTCAGCGGACCCCCCAAAGTCCACGCCGCCGACTGTCACCGAGGGAGGAGCAGTCGAGGAGATGAACTGCAGATTCTCCACACTTGCAGAGCATGGGAGGGACCAGAACTCGAAGGAGCCCGGGAAACCAACATCGTCCACTACAACAGCGCCCATCATTAATTCTTCCCACAAACCACTGAAGAATTTTCAGAATTTTCTGTCCCTCCTGCAAGCTCTATTCAGATCGACTCCTTCCACCTGCGTGCGAAGAAAAAGAGATTAGAAACGGTTTGAGAAAAACAAACCTCAAATAGCTCAAAAATATTAGCAGAAATCTCCAGAGTCAAAGGGAGACGCCAGTTAGGAAAGGAAAAGGACAAAAGCTCGTGCCGACTGAAAGGGGGAAACTCAGACTCTACTTTCTTGCTCAAAGGAAGAACACGACAAAACTATGACAAACCCGTACACAATCATCCCTCGAATGAAATCGACTGGCCCGGAAGACCAAGATCCAGTTCTACCCATCTGCTTGGTTCCATTTTTATTTTTTTCTGATCATCAGAGAGCTCTGGATACAGCTATTTACATAATTAATATTTCGTATCCATCATACATGGCCCAAAAGAAAACGACTGAATTCCTGGTAAACATGCCAAGATTGCGGCCTTTGGTTTAAACTTTCGACTCACATCAATCAGACTAAGATGGACGCAAAAAAAAACTGAAGGAAAAGAAAGTATCGTGAATGCCCGCCATAGAACTGAAAGAAGGAAATCGAATAAAAGATTTACAAAAGAGATTTTCCACATCGGATAAAAGGGTATGCTATCAGTAGAAAAAGTCGCAGAGAAGCTGAAGATGAGGAAGAATATCAGATTCAGGAGATCGTACTGTTACCGAAGGTGAAATCACAGATGATATCAGGCACAGTATATAGAATTGGATAAGAAAAACTGTTAATCATGAGAAAAAAAGAAAGGCAGGCGTGACGATGCCACATAAAAGAAAGGCTAGGTTTCCCCAGAAGTTATAAAAATAGATCATGACGAACAATCAACGAGATCCCAGAAAAAAACATTCGATCTCAATGATCCAATGTTTGAACGAAAATCGAACGACCCCATGTAAACATAACAGATGAAAAGCTTCAACCGGTTTAGTTTTTGGCGAGCAAGGGATTCGAATCACATCTTCTGAAGAAAATGGATGGGAACCAGTGAATTCTGACATGAATCTTTTTCTCTATCTACATCTCCGGCACGAGAGAGGAAAAAAACAAATCCAACAATCGAACATAGGATTTTATGACCGCGCTAATTTCTAAATCTTACTGGATGATGAAAGAATTTTTCCCCTTTTGTATTGCAGGAAACGAAGACACTGAAGATCAGATGAAAAGGCAAGCACAAACTCGGAGAGATCCCTCTCGTGTCCGCTCTTTCTCAGATGAGATCGGTCACCATCGAAGATCCATTTCCCACGGTGCCGCCTAGGTACGAGGGGTCGGGAATGACTCGTCGAACGACCGATAGATCTCGGCTACCGCGACGGTGTTAAGAACTGCGTACTTCTAGATTTAAGACGAAGACCGAAGTTCAATGTTTTTTTTTAACGAATTACAAACGGAAGCAATCAGGCTGCCTCAAGAAGGGAGCAGATGGTACGATGGGAAGACGGAGCTCGCTGAAGAGACGGTGAGACAAAAGAAGACAGGAATCTATAAGAACTTTGAAGAAGACTATAATTAATCGAGATGAATGAAAGAAAGGATCGAGAAAGAAAGCCCGAGGGCATCGATACTTCTTCTAAAGTATCTCCGCGTCGCCCTCATAGCAGTCGACAAGGCTCAAGCTTTAGGCTTGATCCCCATCCATGGTCTCCTAATCGAGCGCAATCAAATCATCGGAAGGGGAAAATACGAAGAAACAAATAGAGAAACAGATAGGAAGCATAGCAGAATCTACTGGAGAGGAAAGAAAACGAGGCCAAAAGAATAAAGGCGGCATCCTACTAAAACAAGCGGAGAACCCGCAAAGGAAACAATTTACCGCGAGAGAGATCATGGAGACGGATTGGGCTCCGCAACATATAAATAACAGAAGCCAAGAAGCTAATTACCAGGAGAAGGAGGAGAAGGAGGAATAGAAAGGAAGAAATCCACGAAAGTTACCCAGAAAGGCAACATATGTGCAGATACAGGTATAAAACACTCACCCAACAAGCAACCAAGAGCGCCAGAGACCCTAAAGGGTAAGAGAAACGAAGATCGCGGAGCTCTGGAGAGTAGGCAGAGCGGCTTTCTTTTTTCCTTTCTCGGGGGGTTCCAGTAGTCCTCAGATGATCCACCCCGAGCCGGGAGACTTCTGGAAGAAAAGGATGATGAGCAGCGGGAACAGGGGAGAGCGGGAAGGATAAGAACCGGAGAAAATAAAAGGAAGGGCAAGCGGAGGAGGAAGAAGGAGCGAAGGGGAAGTGGGCAGGGAAGGAAAAGGACGAGGGGGACCGAAGAAATGAGGGGAGGAGAGTCGTCCTCCTCCCTCCTGGCTCTGTCTCCTCCTCTCGCTTTCAGACTCCTCTCGACTACTTTATTGGCCCCATCAGCGGCACTCAGTGGAATCGCGCGGGTAAACTTAGAGTAACAGTCACATTCCCCCACCCGACACTGCGGTAAGCGTTCGCCTCCCCTTGGCCACGACCTAGAGTCCCTTCACTCGCCTCGGGATTGCGTCGGAGACGATTCAATATCTAATTCACCAAGCGTTTCTCTCCATACGACCTCATTAATCGATCGCCATCAATGCTAACACGGCTTGAGCGTAACTCGCGTCAGATGTTCTCGACGCAGGATTAGATAATTTTTTACAAAAATCTCTTCATTTATTTAATTCACCCTGGGGAAGAAGATGATCTGTGCGATGACGTAATTGCCCAGAGCTGGTCTGGTGAGATTGTTTTATAAGCTATAGGTCTACTGCCCCCTCCCAAGGTCGTCTTCGTTAACATAAGAGGGGGGGGGGGATACCGCCGCATATGGCGATGGGAGAGACGGGTCCGAACAAGTTGTGCTGCGGCCACACAAAATATCTGGCGTATGACGGCGACACTACCCTCGCGCGCCGGCCGTCGTACGAGTCTATCCTTTTTGTAATAATTTTTCTCGCCGTGGGTTTTTCATCGGCCGACGGGCTGGGTCAAGCCGACGGCACGGGGATCGTTGACGATGGGTGCCCGCCGTTCGCGGGAGTATCAAAGGAATCTCGGTTGTCCGTCTTGTCCGGCGCCTACTCGTCGGATCGACCAAATCAGTCGGCAACAGGCGCGACCCCGAACCTGCGCTGCTCAGCTTAGTCTTGTCGCTTTTGTGAAACTAGTTTATTACTACCGGAGAGAGAGAGAAAGAAATGGGAGATTGTACAGTGGAGAACCGTGCATCCTATTAGGGATCGTCATCTTCATCCAAAGAGAGAGAGAGAGAGAGAGAGAGAGAGAGAGACATGCAGACAGACAGATAGGCAGGCACACGGGGAGGTCAGTTCTACAGCCAATGTGCGCTGAAGGAAGCATAGATGCAGCTCGCTAGCATGAATCATGTTAGAAATAATATTCCCGAAAGCAAGAGATGAAAAGCTGAGTTGCCAATAATAGGGCCGTGGTTAGCCAGAGCGGCGCCCACACTGCATTATCAACTGTCCCTCCCCATCCGCAGGCAGACGTTGCAGTCGAGCTTAAAGCCTCCCTGCTCCGGGGACCCCCCGGCAGGCGGGGCATTGTTGCACCTGCAGCTTGAAGATCATCTACCAATGGTGGCTTAACTGTCGCATCATTCTTTGGCCAGGATAGGCCGCCCGTGAGAGACCTGCGCCCTCCCCCCCCTGGCGGAATCTGAGGCTCCGTCATCTTCCACTGGCACTCACTCTCCTCCTTCACACCAGGCACGCTTTCGCTATGGCGTGGCAGCGGCAATCTCTTCGTTGCTGGCGGCAGCCTCCCCTTCTGTCGCCATTGGATCCCTTCATTGGCCCCTCATCCAACCACAGCCACACGTTGCCCCCTCTACTTCAACGGAAAGATCTTCCCGCACCTTCTGCCCTGCGCGTGAAGGATCGGGCTCGTGATCATGAGCTCTCTCTCTTTCTGTCCCTCCAATCCCTTTTCGACGTCGGCGTTGACTGTAGTCCTTCAAAAATTAGGTCAAGAAGGAGTCCGACAACCAACGCGGGATCCACGAGCTCTTGCCCACACGGAGGGGGAAGAGGATTCCGACAGCTATTTTTCAAATGGAAATATATATATTTTTTCAAGCACTAATCTTAATGCGTCGCAACTTCAGAAAAAAAGCGTAATAAACATGATATTACAGAGATGGAAGAACAAAACGGCAAATACGCCGTGGCAATGGGTTGACCATATTGAGCTATTTAAGTGTGGACCAGTGACATGTGCCTGACAACATACGTCGGCCAGCGAGTGCGCTGAGCTCAATAATTGCCGGTGCCGTTAGGATTAAACCTCCACGTTTCATCCCTTCCCTTCCGCCCTCACTGTCATCCGATCCGCGGATTACTACCGCATGATGGAAATCAGAGGGTGAAACGAGGATCCCAGAGAGACGCAGTAAAATCCCTCCCATCTTCGTGAAGCATGCATATCCAAAGCTTGGTTCTCACCGGGATCACATTCAATGGGTGGATCACTCCCAGAGCACGTCGCAGTCCTCCAGCTCGGCTGCAGACTCAGTGGCCTCCTCAGTGGCGGATCGGCCCCCGAGCGACGGCCTTGTGGCCCAAGAGCTGCGCGGGGACCATTGCTCTGGTCCCATCGTTGAAAAATGTAGCTCCACGGGAAGGATACAAGGGAAGGGGTCCTTGTCCCAGCTTTATCCCAAAGGAAGCTATTATCCATGGAAGTTAATTCGGCGGTGCAACCCCGAGTTGTGGCGGGAATGGGAACCTATGGGAGCCTCAAATCCTACCGTATACGGGATAACGACGACGGCGACGGGTGATCTAGCCTGTGGTTGTCTCATTCATGCAGGGTAGGCGGCCGGCTGTCCCCCGGGGGGACCAGTCCCCGGCAGCCATGGTTGCCCGCCACGCGATGGCGGTCTGAACCGTGTGCTGGCCGCCAAGGAGGGCAACTGACCACCGAAACACGGAGCTCGTCCATCCACCGCG